TGATGACTAGTTGTGCTTCAGCTGGAACTGATGCTAATGCTTGCACATAAGCTAGTGATAGATGTCAAATAGATACTAAGAAAAAAGTTTGTGCTGATCATACTTGTGTTTCATATTCTGCTTAAGTGTTTAGTTGTAGATACTTCTACACTTGGGATTATAAGAATTACAACATTTGTTCATTAATAAATGGTGTTTGCACTGCTACGAGTGTTGATGCATTAAAAGAAGGGGATTGTTCCACTTTGACAGCATATCAATATTCATGGAATCCAGCAGTCTCTAAATGCACTCAATGTGGAACAGTTGTAGTAGAAGTAAATAATTCGAAAAACAATTCAAGCAGTGGAAATTAAGTCAATACAGATTCTGGATATATTCTTGGATTTACTTCGATTATAGTTGGATTGCTTATTTTTAATTGATTAATATGATTAAATTTATAAAGTGCTATTTCATTAAAGTCAAATTCTTTTTTGTTTTATATAATTTTGAATCAAAATTTCTTATAGATATTTTTCAAATAATATGTATAATTATTGCTGCAGTGAAATAAAGATAGGTTTTTAAGGAAAATTGGATTGGTAATCATTTTTATTTTTCTGTATATGTAAATAATGATGTCTTAGCCAGATACTTATATTAAATTTGTAATTCTACCAAAAATATAGCCAAAATTCTCTTTTTATGAAAAAAATTAAATTGAAATTACTAGACATATATATAATTTCTTCATATATAAAAAATGAATATGATTTAGAGTTTAGATTAATCTTAATATTGTTTTTGATAGTTTAAATATCATTTAAATTTATTGTCAATTTTTTATATTTTTTACTTTAAAAGATTCAGAAAAAATACATTAAGGATAAATCTATTGAAACAACTCAAGAGTTTAATTATATAAATGTATGACATTATCAGTAATGCTAGAGGGATAAGATTAATAATAAGAAATTATACCATCTTTGAATAGTATTTTATTAAATTAAGATTAAATTAATCCAACCTGATATTTTTAACATTAGAGTGTTTGGAAATAATTAAAACAAACTTATTATTTTGCAAGAACTGAATTAATTATTTTATACTTGTTAGCATTTTATTGAAAAACTTGATAAATTACATTTCAAATTTCCAGAAATATTTTCATCATACATATTTTATCCTGAAAAATTTGATAATTGTATTTATAATGATGTCTAAAGTCGTTGGTTATATTTTATAATAAAATTAGATGATGTTATAATACTGGCCTCCTCCATATATTAAATTTAATTATTTATCATAAAATAGAAATTTAATTTATACTACAAATGATTTATAAGGTTATCCTTAGATTTGTAAAATAATGATTATTTTTGATTTTATAATCAAGAAGCACATTGGAAAATTTTAATTCTTTCTGTTTTCTATTCTTTTGCAGTACAAATGAAAGAAATTATTATCCATAATTTTAAATATTTCCATTATTTGATGGAAAATATAATCTTTTTAAAATTTACATTTAATATAAATAAATTTAAGTCTTATTAATAATAATTAGGCATCTAAAATAGTTATTGAACTTTTGATATGATTATATTTGTATGCCTGTTTTTTAATAAATATGTAAATCTAATAGAATTCATAATCATTAATATTTTAGTTATAAGTTTGCCTTGCTCATCCAAATAGTTAATAGTTATGAACATTTAAATAAACTTATGAAACTTTCTTAAATATTAGCATGGAAGTGAAAAAATTTTATAAATATTTTTTTATGACTTAAGAAGAAACTAAATTAAGAATTGCCATATATTATGTCGTCTAAGACATATTTTAGAGTGGAAATATTATTAATAATCAAAACTAATGTCTTAATCAACTAAACTTATATGACAATGCTTATTTAATGCGCAATTTTTATTTTTTTTTAAATCTTAATTAATGTGCAATTTTTATTTTTTAAAATTCAAGAGTATCCAAGAGGTTTTAGTTGATTATAACAAGGATTTTAATTTCTATGATTAATTTTAAAAAATTTGATTAATTAATGTACAATTTCTAAATATCAAAAACTTAGATTCTAAAGTATTTGTAAAGATTTTTTTTGATTATTAATAAAAATATGGAAGAAGAATTTAAGTGTCGTTATGAAGCACATGAAAATGAACCAATAATAGGATTTTGTATGAATAAGAATTGCTCAAAACCTTCTTAATTTTGTTTTTAATGTTTGAAAACATTTCATTAAGATCATCACGATGATTGCATAGGATTTTAATAATTGTAAAAGTTGATTGATCAATTAATTCAATCCTAAGATGAGCAATCTACCATTTATAATAATATTAGGGATTAATTTATGCAAGCATTCAATACTATCTCCAAAAAGTTTCAATCAGATATTTTTATATTAAGAGAAATAGATCAACAATTGAATAACTAATAATATTATTCTTTAAAATAATAAATACTATTTATTTAGGACCTCTACTCAAATGAGAAAGAAAAGAAAGAATTTAAATTCCCAATTAAATATCAGGGATCATTCCTAATTGAACTGGAAAAGTTAATAAAAGCTTTTAAAGAATAAGAAAATGCATAAAATGAATTGAAAGAAAAATTATTTGAATAAGGTAATTATTTAAATATCATAAACTATTAGGAAATGAATTATTTGATAAAGGCTTATATGATGAGGTTATAAACTTGTTTGATAATTCATAAAAATATGATTGTACGGTGTATAATTTATAGGGTAAAATAATTAATATGAGTTTTAGGCATGGCTTTAGGTAAATTGAATCGTAATAACGATGCTGTAGATTTTTATGATTAAGCCATTAAAATCAATCCATATTATAATACAGCATTTTATAATAAGGGTAAATAGAATTCTTTAATTAGGCAATGCATTATTCAATTTGGATCGTTATGAAGAAGCCATTAAATAATATGACCAAGCAATTGATATTAATTCAAATGATAGTGATGCATTTTATAATAAGGGTATTTAGTTATTTTATATCTTTTTTAATTTAGGTAATACATTATTCACGTTGAATCGCTATTAAGATGCAATTGTATGTTATGATCAAGCAATTAAAATCAATCCAAAATATTGTGATGCATTTTATAATAAGGGTAAACAATTTCAATAATATAAATTGATAGGTATTGCATTATTCAACTTGTAACGTTATGAAGAAGCAATAGAATGCTATGATTAGGCAATTAATATTAATTCAAATGATAATGATGCAATTTATAATAAGAGTATTGAGTTCTTTAATATAAATTTTAACTTAGGTATTGCGTTAAGAAACTTGCAGCTTAATTAAAATTCTATAGAAAATTATGAGCAAGTGATTAAGGTTAATAGAAGACGGGGCGACTAAATTTAAAATAAAGGTATATAAATTTTACAATTTAGGAAATAATTTAAGAAAATTGAATCATAATTAAGATGCAAAAAGATTTTATGATGAACCATTTATAGAAAATCAAAATTATAATCTAGTTTCCTATGATCAACCAATTAGAGTAAATTCAAAAGACAGCAACGCATTTTATAATAAAGGTAAATTAGTTTTTGTAAACATGTAAATTAGGAAATACATTAATCAGCTTGAATTTTTATTAAGAAGCATTAAACTTTTATTATAAAGCTATAAAAATTAATCCAAATAACAGCTTGGCATATAATAATTATGGTAAATTAGTTATTAAATTTTAATTTTAATTTAGGAGTTGCATTAATAAACATGAACCATTATGAAGAAGCCATATAATATTATGATTAGGCGATTAGAATCAATCCAAATTATAATGAATTTTAATATAATAAGGGTATTTGAGTTACATTAAATATAGGCAATGCATTATTCAATCTAAGTCGTTATTCATATGCAATTTAATGCTATGATGAAGCCATTAAGATAGATTTAACTGATAGCCATTCATTTTATAATAAAGGTAAATATATATCTACACATTATCTTAGGAAATGTGTTAATTTAATTAGAAAAGTATTATGATGCAATTAAATGTTATAATCAAGCAATTTAAATCAATCCAGATTATAGTGATGCATTTAATAATAAAGGTAAAAGAATTCTTTATATAAAATTTAGGTAATGCATTATTTCATTTAAATCAGTTTTCTAAAGCTTTAGAATGCTATGATTAGGCTTTAACTATTCTGTAAAATGCTTTTTATATGAAGAATAAAGGTATCAAATATTTGCTACTTTAGCTGATGCACTATTTTATTTAAATAAAAAGGAAGAATCTAAGTAATGGTATTTGTATGCAAAAAATGCAGGTTATAATGAAGATAAAATTAGTTAAATATTGAAAAACTTTTGAATTTAATTAATTAATTTAAAGTATAAGATAATTTCGAATATAAAAATATATACTCTTTTTTCCAGAATTACATTTTATGTAAATATGAAAATTTTAATTGTAATTTTGTTTTATATTGCCTATTTATTGAAAAAGTGATTCTTTTTAAACAAATTACTTATTATATTATATAGATGATGATATCCATAATTCTATTTATTTACTCTTTCTAAATATATAGTTTAAGATAAATAATGGATATTTTATAAGAAATCATCTGAGGTGAATTAGATATTAATTAAAGCTGTATGATTGATCAATAAATCAGAAAGAGAGATTTTTAAAATCTAAATTAGTGCTTGAATAAGAGATTTAGATATTAACAAATTGTTTTTGCTTTGAAAGTGTTCCTTCCCTATTTTATAAATAATTAAAAAATTAATTTTCATATTTTATCATCCTTACTTTAATTATTTAATGTATTATAATATTATAAAGTTGTATTTTTTTTCATTAAATAGGTAATATATATAAATGAATTTAATTGATATAGAATTAATCTTATTTATAATGGTAGTTGGAAATAAATCAAAAAATAATATAGTTTAACTAAGAATGACTTATAGAATATATGAATTAAATAACAATTTGAATGAAAAAAAAAACATTCAAGAAATCTTTTTGTTTCTATTAGTTGGAGTAGATGCTAATTTACTAGGTTAGGAAACAGTTTATAAATTTTCAGGAATTCGAATTTGTCTTGTTGAATTGTACATTCTTGCCATCTCATTGATTCCTGAACCTTCATTTTATATAGGCTAATCCTCAAATTAATCTTAAATCTATTTTCTATGTGAATTTTGAATAGCAATTCTATGTAAATCAATATGCTTTTTAGATTCTGTTTTCTGTAATTATGTTGTTGGTATATCTAATAAATGAAATAAAATTAATTACCAGATATATCTCTAGAACCTAATCTATTCAATTTACAACTATATTAACTAAATTTTGATGCACCAATTACAGAAGGAGGTTTCATTTCAATTTTTGCAAATGAATTATTAGAAACACATGAAATTGATTCAATAGAATTTAAATTTCCTGTAAAAGCTGGTTATCTTTATTCTAAATTGAGATCTATTGATCCCATTTTCACATTATTCTTGTAATACTAATTATAATCATTCAAATTTTGTTAATATTTTTCTTATTTTACTTATTGTTCTTTAGCTAATTCTTTAAAATATGGATGTCTTAAACACTTATATAATATTTGTTAATTTTTACTTCAGTTGAACTCAATCTATCCTAGTTCTTTTTCAACAACATTGATCGTATTAAATCCTACATTTATATTGGTGCAGATTTAAATAAGGAATCATCAAAATTAATAATACAATCTTTATTGGCTTTCAAAATAGCTTTTTAATCTTTACCTGTAAATGGTTAATCACCAGTCTAATATTAATAAATAATTTACTATTAGAATATACAAGATGATTCCAGCACTAAAAACATCACATTTTTCATCATAAATTTATTATCCATCAATATAATCTAATATTTCAGGAGCAACAAATCCAGGAGTACCACATCTTTTAAATAAAATATTATTATCCTATAATAATGCTGCCAATCCAAAATCAGCTAATACAATTTCATAATTATTTTCATAAGATTTCAATAATAGATTTTCAGGTTTAAGATCTCTATGAGCTATATTAAATTAATGCATATGATTTAATGCTGATAATAAATTATAAGCTAATCTCTATAATGTTTCAGCAGGTAAAAATCCTACAAAATATTAATATTTAATAATACCTGTTTCTCTCACTCTTTAAAGTAATTCTCCTCCTGCTACAATATCAACTACAAAATAAACAGAATTAGCTGTTTCATGTACTTCATGTAATTTAAGAATATTTGGATGATTAAATTTTCTCATCACTTTCATTTCATTTAAAAGACTTTCAATTCCTTTGTGTTATTGTAACATAAAAGTTTTGCTAAAAGCTTTTACAGCATATTAAATATTATTCTCTTTTCTGGTGGCAAGATAAACTTTTGCAAAACTCCCCTTTCCAATTAATTTAGAAACCATATAAGCTTCATGGAAATTCTCCAATAAACAAGCTTTTCTAAGATGGATTCTCCATTAATCATAACGAGACTTATCAGATAGAAAAATCTCCAAAGTTTTAGTTTAATATTGCAATCTGAATCCATACTGTTGTTCATCAGAATTTAATTAAACTAAATGATCAGATCCTGGTTCAATGTAAGTCAAATGTGTAGTAATGAGAGGTGCACATTTTAATTTATCAACAGTTACTTTATATATGTATTCTAATCCAAGTACAATAAAGATGGGTTTGACAATAGCTTTGCCTGCAGTCAAAAATTCTTATTCAATTAAAAATGTTTGGGACTTGATATTAAATGATATTAGTTACATCCAACACAGATTTATCACAAGTTTACCAAAATTTATTCCTGGTTTTTCCAAAATCAAAGATAGAAATTACTTTTTATTCAGTCATTAATCTATACTACTGACACTAAAATAATAATTTAATAAATAAGTTTTAATTTCTCAACATCTTAGAAACATTTAATTTGTATCAAATTTACATCCCCATAGAATCTTAAATTAAGAATCATCATCCTTTAATTATCAATTCAAAAGTCATTAAATATCTTATTAGTTTATAATTCATTTCTATAACATTTCATATGATTACTTAATCAAAACTTACACACAAAAAAAAATATTCTGCATAGATTCTTGAAAAATTATAAAAATCTCAAAAATAAAATATGTCTTATCTAGAAAACTAAATAATTATTTTACGTTTTATAAATTACTCTAAGAATACTTCAATTTAGATGTCTTAAATTTTTATTTCGTAATAAGAATTCAAAAATGTTACATTTATTAGTTTATGTAGATGATAAATTTAGAAATTTCGTAATATATTTATAAAAAACAAAATAAAACTAACTAACATAATAACAATTTAGTCATCTTTAACTATTATTATTATACTCTTTCTTAATAACTCAACATTATTATTTTATTTTAGGTTTGTTTAGTACAAATGTAGTAAGGAATAACCTTGACTTTCTTTTTTTCACTTTTGTAGTATTTCTATAGATCGAATTTGGTTCTCCAAATAACCTTCATATTATTATCTTATTAGATTTTTAACCCAATTTAAAGAAATTATAGATAAAATTTCAACTTCTATATCAAATACCTAGCCAATTTTATTGTTCTCCTAACATTTGTTATTCTTGACTAATAAATCATATTGGTATTATAGAATATCAATAGCAAATAGCTATTACATACTATTTTATCATCTGATAATTTTATTTCATATCTCTATCTACTTTAAAATATAGATCTGATGAATTTGTAATTCTAACTCTAATATTTTTTTTCTATTCATGTTCTGCTAATTCAAACAGTTCCTATGATGATGTACTCAATTAGTTAATTCAAACATATGTAACTGATATTTTTGTGATTAACATAATAAGAATGGCTTAACAAATTTCCAACTCACAACATTGATTTTGGCAATTTTACATATTTGTTCATCAGAAGAAAATAAAAATATTAATTCTGTTAATTCCGCTTTAGAAATTTGTATAATCTAATCCAAAATGGTTATACAATCTAATATAGATAATTCTTAAATACTATTGTTAATATGACAAACTTGACACTAGCTTTATATTCAGTGTATGCAAAATTAAATAATTATCCATTTGAATAAATGCTATCTGTCATTAGAATTATTCATATTGATATTTACAATTTAATATATTTACATATATAATTTATATCAATCAACATTGCAATATATTTTCCTTATAAAATAATTATCAATTGGAAATAATTTGTCTTCATATTTGATACTGAATAAATACATTTTAATATCTAACAGGTAATTATGGACGATTGGATAGAAATATTTTTAAATTTTTTATATATCATCGTTTTTATATCATTCGTTAGCAATCTTAAATTAATTTGAATTCTTTCCAGCAACTATAATTTATTGCTTTTTAGGATCGAATTTCTGATGATGAGATCTACACTGACTCGCAGATCTAGATTTTATGAAATCAGACATTTTCTTAAATATTTGTTTCATTTTCTTCTAATCTGAATCTGACATAATATCTTTATGATTCAATATAAACTATTCATATAGTCTATGCTCTTTATTCGTCCAATGGCCTTAATAATTATAATAAATGGAGTACCTTTTTTAAAACTTTTGCTTTTTTTAGATTTTTTCTTTTTCTTTTTGTTCAAAATAATTATTGTTTCTGGATTTTTAGAAATGGCAGATTAATGGTTGTCAAATGTAGTTGGTGTTTCAATTTGTTCATTTTATAAGGATCTGTGTAACGTTTCTGAACATTTTTCCTAAATTTGTGTCATTTAATTTATGCTTAGCTGGTTGTGAATCTATGGCTATTGATAGTAGCAGTTTATTCTTTAAAAATCAGATAGATAATTGGGGATGAAGTTTCCATATTAATAATACTGATTATACCATTGATATGTATATGAAGGTTGACAAAAGTTGAAAGAACCTAAAAATGTATAGTATTTTTGTACTTTATGAGTCTTAAGGAATATAAGCAAAAGGAAACATTTTAAAGATGTTGAGTTGTAAATAAAAAATAATTATTGTCTTTTAAGGATTCATCATTAAGTTTAATTTAGGATCTACATAATATTAATCATAAATAGTGTTAAAAAGACAATTATTTTAGGAATTCATATTGATAATAATTAAATACAACTTATATTGATATACTATATTACAATCGTCCCCATTTTCCATATTGTATCTTATTTACAATTAATTTAAAAGTATTTGAAGAAACGTGAAATTGTAGCCTTAGTTGACTTTTCATTATTCTCTACTAAGCCATCTAATCAAAAACATATGAATATGTCACCATACTAAACATTTTCTAATTGTTCATTATTTTTAATTCAATATTTTTATATTGTAATTTTTGTTTATTTAATTGATTTTTTTATTTATTTTATTTTAATTATACTTATATTTTGTTTTATTGAATTGATTTATAAATTGCTATTAAGTCTTAAGCAAATTACTAATTAATGAAATTATGTTAATTTTCTTTTCTTTACATGCTTGCAATTATATATTATAAAACTTGCTTCCTTATTATTTTTATTTATTTCATTTTAGATTTTGTTTACAAAAAATACTTTGAACTAGAGATTTTGTATTAAACAAAGTAATTATTTGTATTTAATTTAACATTATGATTTTATTTAGATATCTTGTTACTCCATTTATAAATAAATTGTATCTAATTGTAAATGTTTTTTATATGATATCAAACTTGAATATACAATTAGATCTTTATATAACATTCAAATTGTGAAATAGTAAATAAAATAAAAAGAAAAGAAAAATAGTTAAAATAGTAAAAAGCAGTTTGTTTTTTAAAGAAATTCTAAAAATTTAGTAAGTTTATATTTTTTCTGAAGTTTTTATTCATTACAATTTATAAATATTATATGTTTTTATATATTATTGATAATAATCTCTCATACTTTAATTATTCTTATTTACTTAGTCCAAGCTTCTCCTATTTCTGAAGGTTACATTGAATGTTGCAATTTTCCAAGGGAGCAATATCTGTTAAAGAAATCAGTAATGTCAATCATTGTCTTTTATTATTTATCAAGACAACAAGCAATCAAATCTATTTTCATTCTCTATGAATTTGGCATTCTTGCAAACTGCTCCAATGCCTAAGTAGGATATGAATCTTCACCATCAGTATAAAAAAATATGATATGTCTAGATTTAATTAAATATTTACTTATTGAATTAATCAAAGTTTCTTACAGCTTGAAGTTTTTCATAAGCTAATTAGAAGGCACTTTAAAAGCTAGTACCTCCTCCATTACATAGTAATACATTTTTTATAGTTTGCATGTTTATAGGTGAACAGTCTACTACACATCTTGCAGTACTATTGAAGATTATGATGGTAACTCTTATATTCTAATTCTATTATGCTTATTATAAAAACGAAAGTATTCCATTTTATGCTTAATTAAATCTATCTCCTGACATAGATCCAGAATCATCTAATAAAACCACATAATGATAGCTTTATTAGTTTTCCTTAAAATTACTTTGTTTTTCATTAAAAGTAAAGCTTCTTCCATCCCTTCCAAATCGATAGTAACAATAATCTTTACCAATATTATTCCATATTACATTAAACTTATCATTTATTTTTTTATCACTACACCTTTCTTGAATATCCCAATCTTTAAACATATTTCTAATATCTCCCATATAAATAGAACGATCACTTGAATCAAATTCCAAAACTAAGTAGTCATTTTTAATCTCTTTGCATGAATACAAGGAAGGCTCTTACTCTACAAGAATGCCAGCCATACCTCTTATTACATGCTCATTTCTGCATTAATGTTTATGATTAACTTCACTTATATCTATATCACATTTTCTCTTACAAGTTGGACAACATTCTCTACATCCAATCAAATTATATCTTATTTTTTAAATGTACTATTCGATAAATTTATTTGAGACTTTGAGTTATTGAATTTATTCTTTTACTTCAATGATGAATCCTGAAACAAAATCTGATAAAATGTTTATTCTTTAATCTTTTGCTTATAAAAATTATTCAGCTATTTTACACTGATCATTCGAAATTTAAAAAATGCTCTTAAATTTATCCTATATATTATCTAAATCTTCTTTAGATAAATTTCCTACCAAATATTTCATAACTATTTGATATAAAATTTTTGGAGCATCTTAAGGATTTATTAATTAGATGAAGAACTCGGTAGCTTTTTAATTTTCAATAGCTTATCCTTGTATTTTCGACAATTTTGAAAGAATCAAAGATAAATCCTTATCCACATTCTCTCTTAATTTTTGAGTATATTACTCTACAAATTATTATCGCATATTTCCAGTTCTTAAAGTAACTTCATCCTCAATAAACTTAACAGGATTGTCAATGTATTTCTGAGTTTAGATATAAGAATTTTATTTTTCTTTTTAATTAAATAATTTGTCATCAAGATCATCAATTAAATAATAAGATTACATTTTACGATCATTTACTAATTGATCTAATTCTTTATAGGCATCATTTATAAGATTAATTTAATGTTACTTAATTGATTAATCAATAATCAATTTAGAAATGGCTTTTCCATTTAACAGTGATTACATACTTTAATCATGCTAAATATCTGCAATAAATTTATCAAACTTTTCCTTTTTCAATAAACTAAGTTCTTCATTTTCATATTTAATATATTATTAATATCTTTGATAACATAAATACCTCCAAAAAATAAAGATTGCAAAATTATAAAATATTTTTTATCCAACATTTCCTAAAATAGCTCCGTATTAAAAAAAACATTGATTAAATTAATCAATTTACTTTTCTACTTTATCCATAATAATTTGGATCATGTTAATATGAAATTAAGTTTCATTTGCTCGAAATTCTTATTCTATTATCCTGTAGATTTTTTTATAGATATCTTTCCAATCATTCTTAAAGTCCATAATCAAATCAAATAATTTATAATCTTTTTCAATTTTATCTTTTTAAAACATGACCACAGTGTTTTGATTATAAATTATTTTTTTATCTATGATAAAATTGGTTCTCTCATTTAATTCTTCACTTGCTTTAATTGTTGTTGTTTGAGGACTAATACTCAATCTATCTAAGAAATTTAATTCATTTTAATTATTTAGATAATATTTCTTAAAAGGTATTTCTTGATAAATTAAATAGTCTAAAATAGTTTTCTCCTTTTTAGCAATGACTAAATCTTAAAATTCATCAAATTTATCTGTATTAAATCTATAGCCAAAAATTTTGAAAAGATCAAAAAATTATAATGTTGCTTCTCTCTTGTCCTTATTTTCACAAAATTTAGTCAAATCTATAATTGCTTTATTTTTGAAGTAATTCTCTAAATCTGTTATTGAGATCCATTTTAACTATATTTCTAAATTAGAAAGTTAAATATGTGAGGATATCAATTTTGTTTTTTCAATATCATATATTTGAGCTATTATTTTTTGAAACTTTTTTTTATATTCATTGTGCACCCTATCCTCTATAGGTCTTGGCTCTATTTGCTTAAAGTCTGTTTTATCTCTATTTATAAACTCAAATATCTCAAATACACTACTTTGAGTCAAATCCTTATGCATTATATCAAAGGATTAATCAAAATCATCTTAACCAAGCTTATTCATTATTAAATTACTTGTAAATTATTCTATTTACTCTTTTTTATCTGAGTCCAGATTATATTTTTTAAATTTACTTAAAACCCTTAAAAATTCTTTTTCACTAAACTTTTTGAGTGAATCTTAATTCCTTTTTTTCAGTTCGTTTGAAATTACACTCCATAGTTCCTCAAATTTTTCATTTGTCTTATTTTTTTCATTCTAATAACTCGCTAATAAATTTTCATCCTAACTTAAATTAGCTGCAAAATCATCAAGGTTTTAAAATGAAATTTGATTATTAAAGTTATTTTCTTAAACCAATTCTAATTAATTAGGAAATCTCTTTTCTAATTGATGGATAAACATTTCTTTTTCTTTGATATTCAGTTCTTCATATAATTTATTTATGAGATCCTGTAATTCATTTACATCTTTATAATTCTTATTGTTTAGTTTCTCAAAGGTATTTTACACCTTATTTTTGGTAATTATATAGAAGGATGAAAAAGTGAAAGCAAACTGGATGATGAAATTAAATGAGGATGATCGATAGACATATATTCAATATAGTTATTTATTATTCTATCACCCATGAATAATTATAATAGCCAATATATATTTTAACAATAAAAGTCTCAATATAAGGAACTTAAAATGGTTATTCATTAATATATTATAGCAAAATAAGTAGTAATCTTATGACATAAATTTTATTGATAATTTTACAAATAGATATTATATTTTTAATCTTATAAAATTTAAATTAAATTGATTCTAATTATTAATGAGTCTCTTTAATAAGTTAAATTAATTCTATATTCTATTTATTGATCATTAAAGAATCATATCAATCATTTTCAATTAAATCATTTCTAATTCATATAGAGAATATTAACTCTAATAGATAAATACTATATTTTATGTAAATTCTTAGAAAAGATTATGAAAAAATAAAAATTAATATTAGATTCTAAATATATATTTATCTGTTTAACGATAATCAAATTAAAAATGAAAAATAATATTAATTTAATAATAAATTAATAAAGAGAAAGAGTTATTCTACAATATTTTTTTTATAAAACTTGAATCACAATAATATTTAATTGTTTGCATAAAAATAATTGTTTATTTAAAATAATATAAAAAATACACGTNTTTTTATCTGAGTCCAGATTATATTTTTTAAATTTACTTAAAACCCTTAAAAATTCTTTTTCACTAAACTTTTTGAGTGAATCTTAATTCCTTTTTTTCAGTTCGTTTGAAATTACACTCCATAGTTCCTCAAATTTTTCATTTGTCTTATTTTTTTCATTCTAATAACTCGCTAATAAATTTTCATCCTAACTTAAATTAGCTGCAAAATCATCAAGGTTTTAAAATGAAATTTGATTATTAAAGTTATTTTCTTAAACCAATTCTAATTAATTAGGAAATCTCTTTTCTAATTGATGGATAAACATTTCTTTTTCTTTGATATTCAGTTCTTCATATAATTTATTTATGAGATCCTGTAATTCATTTACATCTTTATAATTCTTATTGTTTAGTTTCTCAAAGGTATTTTACACCTTATTTTTGGTAATTATATAGAAGGATGAAAAAGTGAAAGCAAACTGGATGATGAAATTAAATGAGGATGATCGATAGACATATATTCAATATAGTTATTTATTATTCTATCACCCATGAATAATTATAATAGCCAATATATATTTTAACAATAAAAGTCTCAATATAAGGAACTTAAAATGGTTATTCATTAATATATTATAGCAAAATAAGTAGTAATCTTATGACATAAATTTTATTGATAATTTTACAAATAGATATTATATTTTTAATCTTATAAAATTTAAATTAAATTGATTCTAATTATTAATGAGTCTCTTTAATAAGTTAAATTAATTCTATATTCTATTTATTGATCATTAAAGAATCATATCAATCATTTTCAATTAAATCATTTCTAATTCATATAGAGAATATTAACTCTAATAGATAAATACTATATTTTATGTAAATTCTTAGAAAAGATTATGAAAAAATAAAAATTAATATTAGATTCTAAATATATATTTATCTGTTTAACGATAATCAAATTAAAAATGAAAAATAATATTAATTTAATAATAAATTAATAAAGAGAAAGAGTTATTCTACAATATTTTTTTTATAAAACTTGAATCACAATAATATTTAATTGTTTGCATAAAAATAATTGTTTATTTAAAATAATATAAAAAATACACGTCAGATTTAAATCAGGTACGTACGAATATTACAACAATATTGTGCCTTTGTATACCTGAGATATTGTATTTAAAAACACTTATATAATAAATAATGAACTCAAGAAGCACACATCTTACAGAATATGCAATAAAAGAAATCATTTCCGAGAAATTCACTTCTTGGAAATAAATCAGCCCTTCATAAATCAATATCTCTAGATTGACAGGGTTAACAAATATCACATACAAAGCATAGGCTATGATGGACACTACACCATAAACAATATTGTTTAGAGAGTAATGATTGTTATCATTTATAATTAGATTTGGTAATGCTGAAGGATTCGTGGATTCATAACAAGAGAGAATTGTATTTAAAACAATTTCTGATATGGATCTTGGACCTTAATAGTTAGAATGTGGTGACAGTTGGAGAATGGAAGAATTTGTAAAAGATGGAGTACATCCCAACAATTAAAAAATGGCTGAAGCTAATTTCTAATTTAAGTCTATGGGAGTTTTATAGAAATTCCATTAGATGGACATACCTATACCAAATAATGGATCATCATTGATTTTAAGAAAGACAATTTCTGAGGAAATGAAAGAAAATGTAATTAAGAAGATAGAAAAACGACAATTGTATACAGATGTAGAACTAAAATAATTGGAATGTATGGAAAACTTTATTAATAATGCAGAAGAATTCAATTATTTAAATGAGATGACATAGAAGGAGAATCATGAGGAGGTATTATTATTAACAATAATTTTTAGTTAAAATTCTGCCATAATGATTTGAATTAATTAAACATTTTTAACACATCTAAGAAGGATAAGGAAATTATTTTTATAGATTATGAATATTGTTCATATAATTATCCCTCTTATGATATTGCTAATTTCTTAAATGAATCTGCAATAAACTATTAACATGAAGAAGAACCTTACTATATTCTTGTTGATGACAATTTTAATAGTGCTCCAATTTAAGCACATTTTCTTGCATTAAGTTATATAATCAATAAGGAATGTACTTAAATGGAAATAGATTAAATATAAAAGTTAATAAATGAAAAAACCAATAAAAATAAAGATGAATTAAAGAATTTTATTGGATTAGTTAAATAAATTCTTGAATAAAGATTGAGTGAATAAGAAATTGTGAATTTATTTAATGCAATTTCTTATTTGAAAAGAAGAATAAGAAGATTTTAAATAATATCAAATTTAAATTGGGTATGGTGGAGTATTCTTTTGGCTCATGAAAAGAATTCTCTTAATTTTGAATATATTGATTATGGTTTATTGAGATTTAAGATGCTTGAGAAATTATTAGAATTAGAAAAAGCAAGAAAAAGTACTAATTGATTTTACTATTGTAAATATTTGTTTTTTGTTAGAGTCTTTAATTATAATTTTTATTCATATATATATTTATAAAATGTAATCAATAGAGAAAGAAGAAGTAAAATTATAAATTTCTAAATGAGATTCCATACTTTAAATTTTGTTAGAAACTTGGTGGAGTGAAAATGAAAGATATTTACATTTCACCTACAAAGGCTGCAACATTTCTTCATTTAATTAATAATGTAAGGTTTTTTATTTAATTATTAAATAGAAATGTCCAAAATAAACAGCACTTCAATTTGCATAAAGACGTATTTGTAAATGGGATACTACTATTAAAATGGATGGACCTAGTACATGTCGTATTTTGAAACCAAAAGATAGTAAGGATGTATTATAAGTATATAAATACTTTAGAAAAGGATTAATGGATGGTAAAATATTGGATTAGAAATGTATTATGATAATAAGGCAACTATTGCAGATAAAAATTAATTAGAGTTAGATTTTGATAATGATGCAATTTAAAAATAAATTGAAAAGAATGAAATGAAATTAAAGAATGATTTTAAAAATAAAATAGCCCATTTGTAATAATTCTATAGAGATCTTAATAAGAAATATTGTTTTAATTCAAATGATCCTGATTTCAAAAATAAAATTAGAAAAGCCAAATTTGATTTACTTAATAATAGGAATTTACCTATTAAATATTTTAAAACTAAAGGAATGAAGTATATTGAAATTTATAATGAATTAAATAAAAAGAATACTAATGATATAAGTGAAGGACTATTAAAACGTTTACGTGTATTTAATTAGTTAAGAACTGATTAATATAGAGTAAAAGAGAAATCTATGGCAGATATTTATAGATAAAAGAAAGAAAACTAGAGTCCAATTCACAAAGAACTACAACATGATGTTAATATCTATGATAATATGGAAGAATAGAGTGAATAGATGTTAAAGATAATAGATTAAAGTAATGAATTTTCAATGAAACTTAAAAAAAATGAATAAAAACCTGTAGTATCTTAAAAGGCAATAGTTTTTGCTGAAGATTTTAATAGAGCAAAATATTTATTCAATTTAACTAAATAGAATTAAATGTAAAAGATGTTTGAAATACCTGAAGTACCTTAATTAGTGATTCCTTAAAGTAGTTAATCAATACGATTAATGAAGAATTTATCATCACCTACTAGTTTAGATGAATAATTTGATAATTGTCTAAATTAATATGCACGAGAAGTCATAGAATATTAATAAGAAATTATAGAAAAAGAAATATCAACTGATAATATTGAAAAATTATTATAAGAGAAAGAGATTTTGAGATGCAGTTAAATGAGAAAAGTATCTAGGACATATCATTCTCCTTAACCTAGTGTTCATTTAGATTCTAGTAGATAGATGAGATATTAATAGCAATTATCTTCTAGAGATAGGGAATCTACTAAAGCTGGGAATTCATTTCATTTAAAATCAAGAACTTATGCTGTTAGTCCATTTTGTAAATGATGATATTATTTATTTATTTATATATATTTACTATTGGACTAATACTAATTATTTTAATGATTATTTAACAATATCTACTTTTGCTTGACAGTACTTATGAAATAAAATAATGTAATAAAGGGCACGTTCATTAATTGCTAGACAATATTATAAAAATAAATATGGTCCATAATTGATAGAAGATGACAATGTTTTGGATGTTCAAATTGGAGATGATAATACGTAAATTTAAGATTAATAATATTAATTAGATTACAAGCTAGATAAGGATTAGTAATAACAATAAACTCAGATGATGATGAACCTAAATAGAGACATTCAACATCTAATTTTTTAGAAACTGTAGTTAAAAAATAAGAATGTGCATTGTAAAAATTTGAAGATCGAAACAGTACTTCATAATTATAACTTACTTTACAATAACAATTATAAACATAAACTTAAACACATAAATAGCAATAAAATTAAGGTAATAATACTCTTGACAGTATGTCACAATTACAAAAATCACTTTCATAAATTAAAATCTAATAACCTTAACAACCCTAAAATTTGAGTAATCTAAAATAGCCTTAATAATTAAAATAAGTTAGATAACCTATTACTAAAGGTATTGGAGAATAGAATTAAAAAATTAATGAGAAGCCAAAATAAAGAGTAATTTCTATTCCTGATCAGATTTAAACAAAAATGAATATAGAATCTGATGAAGAAGAAGTACAAATAAATAAGATGCCCAGAAAATAAGTGAGACCTAATGAAGATGAAACTTTGCCTTAAGTTCATTTTAAAAAGAAACAAGATTTTTTTACTTAATTAAAATAGAAGGTATATATGTGTTAATTATAAATAATAGATAACATAACCATTAGATGAGAATACAGCTTTATAAATTTAATACAAATATAAATAAAGAGATGAATATTCTTCAGAAGTAGAACCACCTTAAAATATTGCACCTGTTTCTTATTAGGATTTTATTGCAATGAAGAATAGAGAGATTAATGCTGCTAAATAAAGAAAATAAGATGAAGAATATAGAAAGTAATTGTTACAATAAAAGAAATAAGAAAAAATAGCTCCTGAAAAAATAAGAGAAGGAGAGACTCTATAATAATATCAATAGAGAATGATTGAATATTTACACAAATAAAATAAATATAAGAACAAAAATAAGTATAAGAGAGGAACTGATTTAGATAATAAGAAAACAGCTGAAGAAAAACAGAAGATTGGTGAATTAATGAAAATGATTGATCCTAATTTTTAATAAGAAGATATTGAAGATAAACCAATTAAACCAGATCTATTAAATTATGATGTTTTACTTAAAAATGGTTTAGTCTTAAAATAAGCATTTGTTAAACCACCAGAACCTGATATTAATCCTATGCTTAATGTTTATAAAAGAGGCAGATATGCAACTGAATTTATTTTTAGTGGTGGAATTGATTTAGATGATGGTCCTTATGGATAATAAACAAAAAAGAAACCTAAGAAATTACCATTCCCTAAACATAAATTAAGTTTAACTCCTTGGGAATATTATGGTGTAGGACCTGAAGAATATTTTGCAACCAGAAATCCTAATTTTGAATTCAAATAGAAATATGTTCCTATTAAAGATTATTATAATGAAATGCCAAAACCTAAATAAAATCCTAAATATTTTAGTTATGATGTCGATTAATTATTAGCTAAAAGATATTAATCTAATCATTAAGAATATTAATATTAAACCTCATTTATTGGTTATAAATAAAGACATTGGACACCTGTATCTCATTTAAAAGCTGTATGTCCCAATTTAGTATTAGAATATGAAAAATATGAAAGAGATAGATTGTTTTGTTATATTGTTTGTTCAAAGGTATCTAAATATTAATTAATTGAAACTGTTGGTATTTTGACTTCTAAATATACTAAAAATAAAATAGAGAATTTGGTTATGACTTATTGGAAAGGTGATTCTAAAGGAGAAAAGAAGACTATATCAAATTTAGAAAAATAAGTTACTTAAGAATAAGTTCAATAAAATGATGAAATGATATTATTTCAAGAAGATGATGAAGAAGAAAATGAGAAGAAAAAGAGAATAAGTAAAGAGTAAAGACATTTAGAAGATGAATGGGATCCTAGTAAAGATGAAGCTACAGAAAGAGGTAGAAGGAATAAATTAAGAAAAGAAAAATTTTAAAGAATAGCAGAAGAATTAAAATAAAAATAATAAATTTAACCAGAAAAAAATAAAAAGAAATAAAAGAAGGATAATAATGAAGAAAATAATATGGAAGTAGAAAATTAAATAAAAGATGAAAATTAATAATCTTAATCAAAAAAAGAATTAAAAAAATAAAAGAGAGGAAAGAAAAAGAAATAAGAATAATCTAAATAAATAATTGAATAAGAAGTAAATCAATTTGAATAATAATTTTAATAAGAATAACAAAATGATAATGAAATAAGATCAAAAAGTGAGGAATAAGTATTTTATGATAATGAAGATCTAATATTCAAAGAGAAAATGATTGAATTAAATTAAAAAAGATTTAATTTCACTGGAAATGATGTTGATCTATAAGAGAGTATGAAATTAGTTTTTCCAAATAATCAATAATAAAAATTGGATTCAGAAAGATATAAATAATTTATGCAGAAATGAATTATATATAATTATAAAATTCAATTTAAAATCATATATGAATCAATTTCCTTGTTCTATCTAATGGTTATAATGTTAATTTAGTCCAAACATCACTTTGATCTGCATTTTCATCTATCAAATTCAATAACTCTTCTCTTTTTAATAATTTACACTAAAATCACATTTATCTATCATATACATCTAAATTAACTATGCAATGCCACATCAATTTAGCATACTTATTTCTCATTAATGGATCTGCTTCCCTCCCTAAACTCTCAATTTTTATTGTAATTTTCTTAGCTTATTCCTCTTCCATCCCTAACAATTAAACTAATTCTAACATATTCAGACAAACTTTTCTTCTTAAAGCTTAATCTGGTATTTCATTTTTTTTTTATGTTTTTTTCTAAACAACTACATCTTATTTAACTATTTTAGTTTATTCATTAACATTTTTCTTATCTTCAATTTTTGCTTCCTCATTAGAAATTTATTCTTTTTTCTATTAATTAGATGGATTATTATTTTAAACAGAATTATTCTCAGGAATTTAAGTATTACATTAATTGTTCTATATTTTATGTTCATTTTTATTTTTCTTTTTTTGTATTTTTGTTTATGATGGATTCTCTATATTCTATTTTTGTTATGGTTTTTATTAAACTTATTATAGTTTCTTATCATTTTAATTATCTTGATTTATTATTGATGTGAATACTTAACCTAAAATATTAGTATAAATTAATTAATTACTTCCTGATAAATTTTAAATAACATTAGCTGCATTGAAGAATTGATTTAATAATGAGTTTTTTAATTTACTAATTAAATCATGCAATCTTGTTATTTATTAATGAATATCTCGTTAAAAAAAGTGATCTGGATTTTATTCACTTTAATGTTTCAATATTAAATAGACAGCATTAAGGATGGAACCTTTCCTCTCAGATAAGACTTCAGTAATTGTACTATTTTGAGCCACTTATGCTTCAATAGTATCAAGAATTGGTGTCAATTTCTATTTAATTTAATCGTAATTCAATTATGCAGCTATCAATAATAACAATAAATCTTAAAATTCTCTATCTAGATATTATTTTTTTTATTGCATCTAAGGAGTTTCTTATAAAGGAGATTTTGATGTATTCTTATTAATATTATAAAATACTTCTTTATTAGGAGTCTCAGGTTTTTTACGTAAATTTAGTTTGCTTTTTGTATTTTTCTTTTTATCCTCTTATTCACTATCACTATGCTTTTTATTTTATTTTTCTAATAATTATAAAAGCAATACTTTAAAGTTTTAATGCAGTTTGTATTGCTTCTTTCAATTTTTTGTTTTTTTTAACTTTATCGTTGAATTCTTCAAATTTCTCTTGAAAATCAAAAAGATTATCATTCATCAATATGGAGCTATATATATTGTGAATGTACCCTTACTGTGAATCATCACCAATGAAATTAATGGCATACTAATTTCCATCAAATACTTAGGTAATCTTAATAAGATAAATAAAATAATTACAGTTCCAGGCCACCATGGATCTAAATATATTAATTAAAATATTTACGTCCTTTTGTTCTAGCCCAGACTATTTGATTCTTCTTGAGACTTGACTTCATATTATTATAAAAAATATATATATATATATATATATTTATTGTTATTATTATCAATCAATGCAATAATCCTTATTTCAATTCCTTTTGATTCATTCTAAACTGCATTCCTCCTACATTCAAATTGATTTTGCAACGTCCATTTACACTAATGGCTGGATACAATTCTAGATTCTGTCCCATACTCAAAATCAAAGCTTTCCTAGTTTCCTCAATCTCCTTATTCTTATTATTCAAGTCTATAAAATTATTAATAAAATGTATTCACCAATATCAATTTCACTATCTGCTTCCTCCTTTTTTTTCTCCTTCTCCATATCCTCCTTGCTTTTCCCTTCACTTGCAGGTGGAGGATTCAAGAATTTCCCATTATAACTCAACCACACTCTTCCATCCTTCTATCTAATACCAATTCCAATTGTTTCTCCATAGACAGCTTAAAATTTATGATCTTGATGTAAATTGCTTCTCCAATATACTTAACCTGTCTATGAATGGAATCCTACACTGCTTTATGAACGACCCAAAGAAAATTACTTCTGAAATTCTTTAGATGAACAAAATCCTATTATGATGTCACAATTTCTTGGATTATCTTCTATTTCAATCTCGAAATATGATATAGCATCTCTTGCTACTGGCTTGTCTCCTCTGATGGTTAATGTATCACCAGGCTTACACAGGAAGGTCAACTCGATATACTACCCGTAATAATCTGAAGTTCGCTGCTTCTTATATACTTTCTTTTTGCTGTTACTTCACTAGATCATCATTGGGCTCATCTTTATTCTCATAAAATTTCCAGAATCTGAATTTGTTTCGTTAAGCAAATCCAATTTTCTCTTTTGGAATACCATTCTCAGGTCTCTATGAATATTCTTAATACACCCTATATTATCTATATTTAAAGTAGCCAAAAACTAATCCAGCTATCCCAATCAAACTGCCTAATATAATTCCTGTAATCAACAACCAATGAGATTCAGATGATGTAGAATTTTCAGCCTCTAATTGGGTTATGTGATTTAAAAATTTATTTTACATAAAAATATATATAATTGTAATTAATAATAATTTAAACTATAATTTATTGATCCTAACCACCATTTTATTTAGTCTGATCTTCTGATAATCAAATAAACAAGAATAACAATTGATTAAAATACTAACTCACAATAAACACAATATGATGACATTATTTCCAGTACATGCATCAATCAAACATAATTCATTTAGATAAGCTATACTTTACTATAAGTATTCACTACCTAGTCTATTGTATGTTAAATAATGATTAATGATAAATTCTTCAAAATTGAAAGAGTCTTATCAATCATGGAAATAGTATATTCAACATTTCTTTTTTGAATATGGAATGTTATTTTATATATCATATCATAAAATGTAAACAATTTGATGTAAATATAATAGATATTTAATAGAGGAATGAAAATTATTTTTTTATGGTAAAAAAAGAGATCAATATAATATATAAAATCCAGTTCAATTTATGACGATTACATAAATCATGATTCTTAATTATTTAAAAAACAAATAAATTAATAATATATAGACATCCATATTATGCAGTTCAAATCAGAATCTTTTGATAGTGAATTAACGGAGTATTGTCAAATAGAACAGGATTTTGAAATTAAATCCTTGTTTAAACAACTCAAAATCTAAAATTAGTAGTTGCCTAATAAAAAGTCTAAAAAAATAAAGAAATTGAAGTTAAACATTCAAACGAATTCAATTATATAAAGAAGAAATGTAAATGTACAATAAATTTGATGTAATTTTTATATATAACTTCTCTATTGTATTTATGAGTGATATCAGTATAATTTTATTATTCCATTTCTCATCTTATTTGTTACTTAAATTCCTTATTATTATTCTTAGATATTCACAAATAACTTGTTTCTATTGTAAGAATTATAATGAGAAGTATTCTTTTTCATTTAAAATTAATATGCTTCAGGTAAGTATAAGAATAAATCATTGTAAATATGTATAAATAAGTGGAATACTCTTATATAATAAGACTTCTCACTTCTACACTTTCAAATATTTTGTATATTAATACGATTACAGTTTTATTTTAGTTATAATTCTCATTTACAATATTCCAACAATATAATATAAACGCATTTTCAAAAAGTATAATTATAATATAAACTTATTATATTAAAAGATTATTCTCTTTTTCACTTAATATGCATTAATAATAAGGTGAAAATGTAAAGTAAGTTCTTCTATATATCTAATAATGAATATGAAAAACTCTCTTTTTCTAAATTTTATTAATAAATAATTATGTGTAAAATAATTTACTGGACAAGTTAATTTTTGAGTTGTTTATTCGCTTCACTACTTATTGTAATAATTATAACTAGTAAGCCCTTTATGAGAGAATAAGTATTTCTAAATATTGAAAATTTGTTCATGTTATCTATCTGTTATTGATAGTGCTATTATATTGATAAATCAATTTATTTTTATTAACACTTTTTATGTTTGTTCTTATAAGTAGTTAGACTTTTTGATTAATTAAAGAGTATAATGATAAATAATTGAAATAATAATATAATATTAAAGTATATTTAAGCAGAAATTAAAATTACTAGTATGAATGAAAATAATTAATTAAATATGATATAAATGATCTGAAGCAATATCAAGAATACAATATGAAGGGATGAGTAATTTAAGATAAACTATTTCTGATTTAAAGGAAAATGCTAAATGGATAAAAATCTAAACTTGTAATCAATAATTTAAACCTTTTAAATTACTTTACTCTTATAATTTTATAATTTTTCATATTACAAATAAATTAGTTGAATTATCCTAGAATAATTTAATTTAATTTTTATAATGAGGATTTAATAAATAAAATATGAGTATTCAAGTGCTCTTGATAAGTTTAAATACTGAATTATCTATATCTATACTAAGTTGTTTTATTTAAAATTGGAACTATTAATTATTGAATAATTTAAAGTGTAAACTGTTATTAGATTTTATAATTATATATTTAATATATCAATAAAACACTTTTACTTAGTTATATTCAACCAACAGGCAATATTTGGGCTTTTGAAATGGAATTCTAATTACTATAATTATACAATACCTATTACAATTCTTTTTCAAATTCTCTCAACAATTTCACCTAAAGAGCACTGTAAAATTTAGTTTATCTTGAAGATTTATTTAAGTGTAATCCTTCAACATATTATTATTCCCATTCTTCATACTATTCGTTAAGCCAAAGAGTTTCATCTATTAGTGGATTATATTTTGAGTATAAATCATTATGCTTAAGGCTTTTTCTTAAGTCTACTTTAGTTTTATAGTATTAGATTTATTTTTAAAAAATCCAATTAGTTTATAATAATAAGGATAATAATATGAATAGAATAAAAGCTAAAATGTAGAATGATGGTTGAGTTAGTGGAGAAAGTTTTAATATAGCATTCATAATTTTGGTTGATCCTAATTATAGAATTAAAGTATAATATATATCTATTTTATAAGAATAAAATTCGAATTTAAGTTCTTCTTTAACTCCATAATTAATAACTTTTTACTTATTTACCCAGTAGGTAATAAATAAAGCTATTAGAGTAATAAGATAACATATGGGATATAGATAACCATAAAAGGAGCATAATCCAATCATAATAAATAATTCAAACTTTTTTTTATTAAGGTTCATTTCCTTAGTGAATAATTGATAAGATTCAAATTATGTAAAAGTAGAATTCTTATTTAAATATTTGTAATAAATAGTTTTTATAAATTTCCAAACTTATACTTCATCTATTATACTAAGTATAATCATTGCAATGGCATCAATCAATATTATATTAATAATATCTTCACTAAACCCACTAGCACACCAAATCTTTTTTTTTCTTTTATCTACTTCATCGTCCCATTTTTTACCATAAAGAGTTAATAATATACTACTTAGTAAAATTAAGAATTATTCAAGTGTTTCTATGACTATTTTGATCATTTTTGAATGAAATTTTTAGAGAAATATATTTGCTTCATAAAAGGTTAACTTAAAATAAATTTTTTTCAGCAGCATTAACAAAAGACCAATTGATAAACTCAGAAGTATATTATAATATTATTAATTTCCACTTTTACCAGTATTTTCCATAATATATTCACTTTTAGCCTATTAAACAGGTAGAAAAATCATTTGTACACAACAGGCAATAAACTATTTGATAAAAAATCTTTTCCTATTATAGTCTTATTTGTTTGTACTCCAATTTACATCTGATGGCCTTGGACATTCAATGACTAAATAATCATTTTAGATTGCTTTTTTAAATTTGATAGCTTCCTTCTTAAAAATTAAAAAGATTATATTTACTTCATAAGAAAGAGTTATAAATACTTCACCAGAAAATGTCAAAAATTATTCTCGATTTTTCAGAATATAAGTTTAATCTACAAATCTACTAATGACATTTTTCAAAGAGCTAATAATAATAAATTATATATCAACATGCCATTATTTTGTACTAATTTTTCCCTTATTTTAATTTTTAATTAATTTTCCAAATGTTCTTGATTATAAATTAAACAACAATCAATAATGTTAAATTTTTCATCTTCATCTTATTAATAATTTACAAAATAATTCATTATTGTTGTTTTGTTCAATTACGAAAATAAATTAAATATCTAAACCGAACAAACTGATATAGTTAATTCACTATCAATCTCTTGATCCAAATTATAATTAACATTTTTATAATGTGATATATATCGAAGAAAGGCTAATTATATCAAAATGGATATGATATATAATATGTCCAAAATGTAGTCTAAAAATTATTATTATAATAAACCATAGAAATTTTCAGAATCAACTCTATTAAAGATTGACAATAAATTATATAAATTTTATTGACAGGTTTCATCTTTTATGCATTAATCTCCTTTAAAATTCTAGAACAAATTGTAAATCCCTGCAATAATACTATTTATAATCATTAAAATTTACAAATTTATACTAAGAAGGATAAAGTTAATTTTAATGAATAAAAAGAATTTGTAGGCTGTACCATGCACCATAAATTCATTTAAATCTGTTAGTAGAGGATATTTTATTGAATTAATATGTAAGTTACAACAAGGACATCTTTATGAATCATTTATAACTTCTTTATGAATAATTTGAGCTTTCTATCAATTAAATATACTTATTTACGCTATGATTCTCTGCCTATTAGAAGTTTGGTGGGGATTTTAATAAATTTACATTGCGAATGAAATCTTACTCGTCATCTTATGAATCCATTAAAAAACTATTTCTTTAAGTAAAATATAAAATAAATAATTTTTATTCTATTTATTTAAAGTTATAAGTATATTGGTTATATATTTATCAAAATAGATCCAAGTTGAATGCGAAAAATAATTATCTGTATAAGATTGTATTGGGCAATTACATTAATTAATAAATAATCTAAAGAAATAAGTTCTTAAAATTATTTTATATTTTAGCAATATTATTAACTAAGAAGAAATCTGGATTGCCTTTAATTTTTGTTTTTTTGAATTAATTAACATAAATAAGAAATTAAAAAATTAGATTATTTTTTATAGAGATTATTATTATCTAGGATATAAAAAAATATCATTAAAGAAGTAAACTTGTGAATTCCTTCATTTATCCAATAAATTGATAAAAAGGTAATGGAGTACCTAAATTGCTTATAAAAGGAGTTGGCATTCTTGTTTCTAATAGTTCAGGAAATCCTTAAACTATTGAATTAAGTTATAACTTATATTTAGATTTTAATTTGATACCTGAAAAAGATCTCCTCCAATATTACCCCATATTCTCTTATGATTTGTATATAAGAGATTTCCAAATATATTTGCAAATCCAACAGTATACAAAGTCATCTAAATAATACTAATAACATTACCATATTCAATTTAGCATAATGGGATTGTAATTTCATCATAATTTTTATTGAAAGTTAAAACTATTTATTTAAGATCTTTTATCCTTCTTTGAGATTGTCTAATTATACTTTTAAGACTTTTAATTCTTTTTGGTAATCTATTTTTTATAAACTCTTTTTGATTTATAAAACTCTAATTGTTTCTCTATTGTTTTGTCTAATAGTAGGATGAGTAAAATAAGCTTTTTAATTTTCTTTAGATTTGATTTTGAATCCATATTTATTAAGCTATCTCATCAGACTTTGGTAATTATTGTGTTTGAAATTGGAAGGCAATAATTGTTTCTTAAATTCATCTACATTCCATATAACAAACCCATGTTCATGCCATCTTATGATCTAATCATTTTTAGGATTCTATTAAATATATTTACATCAATACATCAAGTATCTCATAGAAATGCTTTAAAAATTTTTATCTTTATTTCTCTCCATTATTTTCAAATTCTTCTTGAAGTTCTTTCATGAATTAGTAAATTATTTTAAGTATAAGATTTTTATATTACTATCATTAGATAAAATAAATATGTTTAAAAATCAATATTATAGATTGAATAATGATTAAAATAATTATAAGTATTTTAATTATTCAAAGTGTAATTAAATTAACTAATAATTATTTATTAATAAATTACAAGTGNATTAACTAAGAAGAAATCTGGATTGCCTTTAATTTTTGTTTTTTTGAATTAATTAACATAAATAAGAAATTAAAAAATTAGATTATTTTTTATAGAGATTATTATTATCTAGGATATAAAAAAATATCATTAAAGAAGTAAACTTGTGAATTCCTTCATTTATCCAATAAATTGATAAAAAGGTAATGGAGTACCTAAATTGCTTATAAAAGGAGTTGGCATTCTTGTTTCTAATAGTTCAGGAAATCCTTAAACTATTGAATTAAGTTATAACTTATATTTAGATTTTAATTTGATACCTGAAAAAGATCTCCTCCAATATTACCCCATATTCTCTTATGATTTGTATATAAGAGATTTCCAAATATATTTGCAAATCCAACAGTATACAAAGTCATCTAAATAATACTAATAACATTACCATATTCAATTTAGCATAATGGGATTGTAATTTCATCATAATTTTTATTGAAAGTTAAAACTATTTATTTAAGATCTTTTATCCTTCTTTGAGATTGTCTAATTATACTTTTAAGACTTTTAATTCTTTTTGGTAATCTATTTTTTATAAACTCTTTTTGATTTATAAAACTCTAATTGTTTCTCTATTGTTTTGTCTAATAGTAGGATGAGTAAAATAAGCTTTTTAATTTTCTTTAGATTTGATTTTGAATCCATATTTATTAAGCTATCTCATCAGACTTTGGTAATTATTGTGTTTGAAATTGGAAGGCAATAATTGTTTCTTAAATTCATCTACATTCCATATAACAAACCCATGTTCATGCCATCTTATGATCTAATCATTTTTAGGATTCTATTAAATATATTTACATCAATACATCAAGTATCTCATAGAAATGCTTTAAAAATTTTTATCTTTATTTCTCTCCATTATTTTCAAATTCTTCTTGAAGTTCTTTCATGAATTAGTAAATTATTTTAAGTATAAGATTTTTATATTACTATCATTAGATAAAATAAATATGTTTAAAAATCAATATTATAGATTGAATAATGATTAAAATAATTATAAGTATTTTAATTATTCAAAGTGTAATTAAATTAACTAATAATTATTTATTAATAAATTACAAGTGTTCTATATTTAACTCGATTTCAAAATGATTATTTGAGATAGAAGAGAAGAATTTGAATGCATATCAATCTAAGATTTTATTTTATGTTTATTAATTTTCCTTTGGTGGTTTATCTAATATTGAATAATATTCTGATATACTAAATTATTTTATTATTTAAAAGCATTATGGTAATATTATTTTCTTAAAGTTTTTATGAATGAATTATTTCATGTTTAATTCTAATTATAAATATGACTATTTACATATAATAATTCAAGAACACTAAATTAATATTTATTTAATTTTAATTAAATGAGTATTCAATTTGTTGTTGTCTTTTTATGTATATTTGATAATTAAATCTCATTTTATATTGAACATTCTTTGATATTATAATATATATCGTTAATTCAATAACAATAAGTTAAATTAATCATACTGGCTTCTATATTGTTTTTTTCTCAACTAATATTGTAGTTATAAGATATTTCTCAATTTATGATAAATTATTAAATATATCATCAAATTAATAATCTAAATAAGTATTGAGTTTCTAAAAGTTGTAATAATTTTTAATTTAATTTTTCATATAGTATAGCCTTTATTTCAGCCATTAAGCTGATATCTATTTTCTTATTCTATGTTATGTTGTGGATCTACAAACAGAAGTAAAACATTTAAAGGTTCTTGGAATTTGAAGGGATGATTGAAAATAAAAAGTAAATGACTGAACTTTTAGAATTGATTTAGTTGATTTATTTGAGAATGTTCAAAAAGATAAATAATTATTATATAATTCATCATAATTTGTTACATGTATTATAGATGGTTTCTGAATTTAGTCGCTTGTTGTATTTTTTAGGATTATATAAAATAATGAAAATTTTTCAACTTGCTTAATTATATTAAATAGTTGAAAAACTGAATATCCTCTTCTTTGTTTATTATTGATTAACACACTTGAACTAAGAGAGCTATGATAAGACATGTAATTAACAATATTTGTTTCAAATATAATACACACACATATAGTCATTATTTAGTTTTATCCAGAAATTTAACAATTCAAAGTTACTCTTCATCTGTCTCTTCATCTATCATATCCAACTAGGATTTAGTTGGTGCTTTGATAAAGTGGTGATGTTTTTATTTCAAACAAGAAAGTAGGAATTTCGATAGATCTTCAAGTGAAGTACTATCATCAGCATTGATTTCAAGTTTGAGAATTTAACCTTTCAAATATAGCTTCTCATCCTTTGATATCAGTTTTAAATCAAAAAGCCCTTACAAAGTTTAAAAGCATTATTTGTAAAAGGTATCGTTCATAAATTACATGATGAGTAATTAATTTTCAATTTATATATTTAATTAAAAATCAGAAATTTTTTTAAGGCTTTTGCGTTAAATTTGAGTAAATAAACGGGTTCAATGAATATTATATTGTCATTAATTATTGTAAATAAATTCTTCATTATCCAGTATATATAAATAATTGATAAAAATGAAGATGTAATATAATTGATCTATTCACTATTATATTTAATATATAATCTAATTTATAGAGTTTATAATCATTAGAATTAATGATGGGATTATATAAATAAGAAGAGTGTGAAAATAGCAATATAAAAAAGTTAATATATATATATTAATTAAATATAAGTCCGTAATTAAAATTACTAATATAATAAATACATAAATTATTTTATAATCTAATCTTGTTCTTATCTGATTTCTAATTTACATTCAAAATTATATTATATCAATTTAAATACTTTAATCTAACATATTTAATTTATCAAAGAGTATTAAAACTTTCATTTATGATTTAACATTGATATGTATATGATTATGTTTATGTATATAAAAATAAATCTTAATTCTTTATTAGAAATTATAATAATAATATAAGATTAATTACTGTTACTAACTAATTGATTATTAGAATATTAAAATTTTAAATTAGGAAAATTGAAGATATATTATTTGTATTTAATTATATTATTATAGATTAATATCTTATCTCGCATCTATTAAATATCAATTTATGTAAACAATAATTATTGCAAAATCTCATAAGGTTGAAAGTGGTAATATTTATTCAATTCAATATTTATTAAGTTAAGATATTGTTCAAATCTCGATAGAATGATTTTATTAATAGAGTTAGATGATATAATTATTTGATTATTTAATTAGAAGTAATTAATATGTCAATTTAATGTGAAAACATTTATCTTATTATTTATTTTAATATTTTTATGGAGTTCTTATAAAGAAGTTAATTAAATGAGTTTGATTGATTGAATATTAAAATTATCAAAATTATATGAGAAAGAAGTTCACTTTACAGTTTTCACATCCAACAATTGAACAAGCTTATTAAAAAGATAGGTTATTGAAATATTTATGGATAAAGAAAATACTGGCAATATTGATTCTTTTGTTTTCGATAGTTGGATTAATTAGTTCATTTTTTTATGAAAAATAAGAAATTATGTATTGGGAAGTTGGTTTTACAAGCTACAGCATATTTTTGGTAATTATCTCTCTTAAGGGATCTCCAGAAAAAGTGAAGGCTATCTTTTAATTCACAAATATACTCTTATGTATTTTGTAGATACGTGCTAATTATTATTCAACACCTTAATGTATTTATTTGAGTGGATAAAACATTATGATTTTCAACATGATAATGTTTTATTTTTCAAGTATCTAGGAAGCACCTATTTAATTAATTTTCTTTCTTGTTTCAAGATGTGTGATAACTGCATTAGTGAATGATATGTTTATGGGATAAGATTTAATATCAATAATAATAACAACTCTTAGTATACTAATTTTTATTTATCAGAATGATTAAATTCAAAGAGAGCATTTTTTATTGCAATTCTCCGATAAACAATGGGGTATCAATATTATTTAATTACAGAATAAACCTTACCAGTTGTTATTTAGAGTCCATTTGTAATGTTTACTTTTGATGAAGAAAGATTGAATTTTAATTTAAAAATTGCTAATGATATGACAGGAATTTGTTGGGATAATGAAAAGGCACCTTCTGAAAATTTAAGATTCTTTTTGAGATCTTTCAAAATGGGCAATGATAATTTAGAATAATATTTAGTAACAAGAAGTAGAACATGTAGTGATTATAAGAAGATTTATTAATTCTAATTAAGGATTTAAAGAAATGAATAAATTTATGGAACAAAGAAATATATAATTAGATTTTCTGATTTTTATTTAAGAGAATAAGTATTCTTAATTGTCTTTGATCAACATGAATAAAAGATAAGAATCTTAGAGAAAGTGAAAACTGCTTTAATCTAAGGTATAAATTAACATTAGAATTTAACAATCAATTTCTTATAAAAATAATAATAATTACTTTAAAATCTTATTGTATCAAATAATTCTATAAGTACTATTTATAAAATGAAGATTCATTGTATGTATTTCATAGGAAAATATACTCAATGTAATAGTTTTCAAGAAATTGAATAATAAATTATATAAATTAATATTACTGATATGATAAAAGGATTAATACATATCTATTGTATGGCTTATAAAACAATATAAATTGAATTCTCAAGTAGTACTTTTGAAGATATCTATATTTTTAGTAATGAATAACTATTGAATATTTTTTTAGTAATCATATTCTAGACACTTGTTAGGATATGTTAAAATGGAAAAACAGTATTTATTCACATTAGTGAAACAAATAAATAATAAGATTTGGAATTAATAAAGATTAGTGTTTTATTTAATAAGTCAGAAGAACTCAAATAAAAATTAGTATATAACTAATTATTTTATAAAATATAAGTAAGATTAAGTCCAAAAGTAGATATTATATCTAATGATAATTGTAATCATCATATATATTGACTAGCATGTCATTTTGAAATTTATAAAGATCTAAATTTATTGAATGCAATTAGGATGTTAGAAGAAGATATAGTATGACTCGATTTTTATTTAATTTATTTTACTCAATATATAGACAATAAACATATATTAATATCATTATGATCTGATTTTATTGACAAATGATATCTTGTCAAGTCTAGTAACAGATCTTCTACTATAGATAATCTTTCTTTTACTAATAAGTAATATTTAATCTTCATCTTATGATTATCTATAAGAATTTAATTTAGTAACACTTGATGATCTACCATTCCCAAAACCTATTCCAGTTAAAGTTAATTTAAATAATTTTGTCTATTCTTTAAACCATGAATGAGTTTAAATGTCAAAGATATTAGCCCTTTCTTTTGGATGATAAACAAAAATCTGACTTAAAAGATTAATTAAATCCTTTGAGACAGTTTTTTTTGGAATACTGTAATTACATTAAATTATATTTCTATATGTTTCAGAAGGATTATTTCCATCAAAAGGGAGTCTTCCAAATACTAATCCATATATTATACATCCAACTGCCCAGACATCTTAAGAAGGTTATACAAATTTGTATGAAGAGGACAGAACTTCTGGGGCAAGATAAGATAATGTACCTACAACACTATCAATTTATTTTTATTGTCCAGCATAAGTAGAAACTCCGAAGTCAATAATTTTAATCTAATTTTTAATTAATAAAAACTACTTCTTTAGAAGACGTAGAAGTAAGCATGATATTTTCTAATTTAAGATCACAATGTACAATATGTTTTTCATGACAATAGGCAATTGCATCAACTATCTATTTCGAATATAGTCTAGCATCTCCTTCAGTTAATTTGGCTATAATTAAATATAAAACATAGTATATACAATTAGCTTAATTTAAGAGTGATCCACCATTCAAATATTCCATAACCATTGTAATTTCTCTTTGATTTTGTGTTGCTTAACTTGTTGAATAGTTTTCATACAATTTAACTATGTTTTTATGATCCAATTCTTTCAAAATTAATTATTCTTGTGAAACTCCATCTATTTCCTAACCTGACCATGTTTACTAACTAATTTTTTTCAAAGCTACTAATTCCTTTGTTATTTTATGCCTTCCAAGCAAAACTATACCTTGACCTCCTTCTCCAATTTTTTTGATGATATCATATTGTTATTAGATAATATTTGGCTTACTATCTTTGTTACACAGTTCTACAAATAGTGTAGTACCTTTTGTAATGTTTATCAGATCACTTTCCTCTACTTCTTATCCATCAGTATTGAAGAGTCTTATGAATTTAACTTTTCTTGTCCAAGCAATTTAGATCAATTTCATTATATCTGAAAATTTTGTTTTTTAGTTTAGTAATAAACACAAAGGGTTAAAATTTGAAGAAATCAATGTGCAAGATCGTACTTATTTTTAAAAAACAAATTTAGGAATGCTCATCTATTTAATTATTATTATCAAAAATTCAATATTCTGCATCTTTTTTAATTGTTAGGAATGGAATATAAAATTAATCTTTCAGTTAGATCACAATATCAAAAGGTCTTTATAATTAATTTTTATTTGGTCCTCCTTAAGTATCTTTGTATGTCAGTTAAGTGTATTAGGTTTTGTAATATTAAAATTAAATTTATAATATTATATTTATGATATTCTTATGAAAATTTCTAAATTTCTTAAAATATTATAATCAATTATATTCTTGAAATTTATTCAATGATTTCAATTATGACACATCTTTATACAATTATATATTGATTCCATTATCACTTTATCTAATATCAGTTTCTGGAGAATGCAATTTTAGATACATTCTTATTACTAGATTTTTATTCAGGTTTTCTAATAAAATATAAGAATTTAGACAATTTATTTAAATAAATAAAATTTCTGATTTTGAATACATTATAATTCTTGTTCTAAATCCTAAATCTCTTGTTGTTTTTCTTAATGTCATTTATAACAATTGAATAATAAAATCTTAAGACATATCTTTATAATGAACTACATCAAATTTATTATCAGTGCAATCAAATTAAATATTAACATCAGTATATGCTTTTTAAAAAAGTGATATTATGGCTATAAACATGTGTTTAAAATCAATAGAGATTGTTTCAAAATATTTATTTGCTTATGAAAATGAATTTGATATCTTATATTTTCCTTAAAAATATAAATGATGAAGTTTTAATTAATATAATAATTGAATTCTAGATGCTTCATTTTATAAACTCATATTGATTAATGATGCTTATTTTTTTAAGAAGTTAGATACCAATTATTAATGTTAACCAATCAAATTAATTAGATTATTTTTAGTAGATTATATATATTGTGCTTTTTATTATGATTATTCTAATACAATTAAAAAGTTGTCATCTAAATGATATAATTCAGCTAAGAGAATATTAGTTTCTTCAAAATCAGCAGAATCAAATTGATTTGGTCTAAGTGTAAATTAATTTAAATCAAAAAATTTAGATTGTTTTTCTATTCGATTTAATATAAATTATTCTATTGATACACCAGATAAATGTTATAGTCTAAGAAATTATTTAAAATTATCTTCTTATGATAATTCATTTGAGCAATATGGAAATCTATCTATTTTACTTGAATTCTTGTATTTAAAACTCATTCTATTATGATCAAATGAAAATAGAACAAATGGATCACTTATTACAGAAGGTAATAATTAATCTAAATAGATATTATAATATACGCCAATCATTTCCTTGATTATTACTCAAAAATAACAGTCTTCTTTATTTGTCTATAGTTGATATTACAGAAATAAAACAAAGTGGACATAAAATAGATAATACAATTGAACAAGTATCAGTTTAAGAATCAAAGAGTCCAGCTATAAGTAATTTGAAAGTGGTTTAAAAAAAAATGTTGATTACTGCCAATTTAAAATCAATAATTAGTAGTATTGTTGTATGTGCAATTGCTAAATTGGTGCCAAGAATAAATTAATTTGTACCTTATTAATCATGAATTTAAAGTAAAATAAGCAAATTATTGATAAAGACCATGCAAAATATTGCACCAGATGAACAGAATTTTAAAATTAAAACATACATCAGTATTATAATGGATAAAATTGATGATGTTATTAATATACCCACAACATTTTCTTTGTGTGCAAAATTTATTAATCTAATTAATGTTATGATGAAAGATAAGAAGGCTATCTTCTTAAAGGTATCATAACAATATTATTCTTTTTCTTTTTAATATAGACATTCTAAATGTTGCTACCTAAAGGTTTATGTAAATTTATTCATTGTTTTATTAATAACTTAAATATATATATAGTGTATATATAAAACAATTAATATATATCTAAGATTTAATTAACAATTAAAATATCATAATAAATGACTCTAAATAATAATAGTCAGAGTTACCATTTTTTAATTAGTCTTCATTTGTATTTAATTCTATCAAACAGTTGCATCTAAACTAAAAAGGAGATTTTTAATTACTTTTTATAGACAATATATGAAGTTAAATACAAAAATCTATAAAAATGTTTGTTAGGATTTATTAAATAAAAATTAAATTTCTCATTTAGAAACAAATAAAATTAATTAGATTTATATTAAAATAAATAATATCTAAATGTCTAGAGTCAAACAATCTTTATGTAAATTATGTTTTTTACAATGTCTAGATGCATAACAATCTCCAAATACAGGTAGAATTTAGAAGATTTCAGAAAAACTCTCTACTATTTAGATAGGAGTTGAGAATGAAAGATTTTAGAAATTGGAATAAGCTGAATAACGTATTTAATAGGCTGAAGATGCATTTAATGAGTTTTAGGAGTAAATCTTTACTAAACTCAATGGATTACGAGATTAAGTATACTATCTATTAAATTTATTAACAGTTGGGTAAATTATACAAACAAGTGGATGATGACAAAATGGCTAAAGAATAAGCTATTGAAGCCAAGAATAGAGATGTTTAAGCTTTAACAAAGAAGTTTGAAAATGCTATAGAGAACGAGTAACAAACAAAGAAGGAAGGAGAAGCAAAGATTCTTAGATTGACAGAAGATAAATCAGCCTTACTTAGAACAGAAGTATAGAAAGAAACTGCTTAAAGAGTAGATGCCATAGAAGGTATTCATTAAGGATTACAAAATGATTTGCCAAAGATTTAAGAGGCCATTCGAGAAGAAGCTAATGAAAGAGATGAATCTGATTAAAATGTAAGGAGTATTATTTTAATATTTAGGTAATGAAATCAATCACAGATGAATTAGTAAAATTAAGTAATTTGATCAATGTAGAGAAAAGGAATAGAGATGAAAGTGAATAATCAATATTTGAAATGCTTAAGGATATAGTGAATAGAGTCAAAGTAGAATTAGATTAAGAGAAAAGAACTAGAGAATAATCAGAAGAACATTTACTTAGTTTATTGGAAGATACCTGTAATAAATTAAGTATTGCAGCAAATTTATGAATAATTTATATTCATATTAGACATTCATGTTTCATATCAATATATATATATATGGTTCTAATTCATTACAAAAAAACAGAGTTGAATCAATTCTTATATGAATGTAATGGCAATACTCCAAATGATTAAGTCATAAAAGATCTTGTAGAGAGTAATAAACTATTAATATCATCTTAGTAAATAACATGAGAATCATCCTGGATCGTTTAGCATGTGCAATGGAGGATTTAGCTACTAATGGTAATATATTTATACTATTCATTATATAGGACCTTTAAAACCTGAAGACACTAGAGGACTATCTGAATAATCATTAATTGATGCTGCAATTGAAACTATGGCACCTGAAAAAAAACCTTGGGCAGTTACTCCTTAATAATTATTACCTGGTCAAAGATTGAATCCTGATAAAACTTCATATCGTACTGGAGTAATTCAGACAGAAGAATTATCATAAATGGTCATTGAGAATTGTAATAAAGTCAAACAAGCAATTTCAAAAAATTTAGTTGATTTAAAATAATGTCTAACTACAAAGATAGTATAGGAACAATTAGATTTGTTAAGAGGTTGTATGATGATATGTTATCCTGGATATCATGGATTACCACCTTGGGAACCAGCTAGAGAAATCTTGGAGGGTTAATATGATACTTAAGCTACATTTACAGAATAGTATGATTTCTTAGATGAAAAAAATACATCCTTATGGTGGGCAGGCAAAGAATTATTAAGAGGTAAATTGTTGTAAGATTTCATTGGAAAAAATGATAAGACAAAAATTGTAATAATAAAATTTTATATTTTAGATTGTAAGATTATAAAAGACTGGTGGTGGAGCTCCTGTTAGAGAACCTGCTGTTGATGCTGAAACATAAAAGAAAATGATGGCATTCTATTATAAAAAATAATAAGAATAAAAAGTATTATTTTATTTTAATAAATTTATAGGAATTAGAAGCTGAAAATGAAGATTAATATTTAAACTCTTAATGGGCTAATCCAAAATAATTGAAATAATAGTTGATGGGAGCTAGTGATTAAATTTCATGGAAACCTAAATGATCTTTACGTTGTGTAATAAGATAAAAATTAATTAATTAATATAATTATTTTTGTAAATGAAAAGAAAGACTTTATTATTGGAAGCTGACATTATTCAATAAATTAAAAGTGCATTCAATCTAAATCAAATAGAAATCACTGAATTACTCACATAAGCCAAACGATATGATCCTAAAGGCACTGGTTATGTTAGCAAAACAGAGGTTGATGATATTATGAGAGGCATGAAACTTATTTAACAATATAGATCTTAAATTACTTAATAATGAAAAGATGATTGCAAAATTTAAAGAAGAACTTAAATTACAAGATTCAAAAATGTTAGAACTAAAATAAATATGTGAAATCTATTGCAAATTAAAAAATTATTAACAATAATTAGATGATGAAGAGACTATCACATAAGAATACAGTATTGTTATTTAAATCATTTTAATCTAGTTGATGCTTTTGTAGCTTTGGGAGGTAATCCAGATAGAACTGGTGTTGTTTAAAAATAAATGATTTTTGATATTGTATAAAGTGAATTTGAACTTAAAATTGATTTGGAATCATTTCTTGGAGATTTTTAAGGAAATTAATTAGAATTTGAAGATTTTTGTTAATTATTTGAGAATGCAGGTGAAGATGCTAAGTCTTTCATTACTGTATAAAATTTTAATTCATTTTTAGAGCTTTTCACAAGCAAAACGTAATAACAATTCTGATTTTACAGTCAGATTTAAAGACTTTGAAAAATGGGAAAAGACTGCTATGTGATTATTGCATTTTAGACTGTATTTTAATTACAATAATTATTTTTAATGATTAATGTGTTTAATAAGATTAAGTTGATCATCTTAGAATTTTTATCTAAACACAACATAATACTAAAATAAACAGAATCTGTTGCTTTAGATAATTAGATTTCAATTGTTACAAAATTGGATTACTAATTTATGACACCAAAAAAGAAAAATTTGAACTAACAATTTACTTCAATTTCTATATCTAAAAGTGAATATGTGTCAAGTTAGGAAATGTTTTCAAAGATAGAGGAGAGTTCTAAAAAGTCAATTGAAGAAAATTATACTAACAATTTAATGAATATGACAAGTAGTGAATTAAAGCTTCAATTTGGTGCTGCTGTATAATTTATTCTTAATCAAAAATGCAAAAATAATTAGTTAAACTTTGTAAGTATACATCCAATCATATTTTCAATTGTTAATAATTTCTTTTCAAATTGACTAACAACATATATGTGATTCAAAAATATCAATAATTGATCAAATTATTATTCTATCAATAAAATACTATTCACAATTTTTTTAATATTTTAATCTTATAAAGATTCTTTATTAAAATAATAATAAAGTATTAAAACTATTTTAATTAATAATAAAGTATTAAAACTATCCCAAATAGGCATATTAAAAAATTTATATTATAACTACATTATTAATAATCTTACATACTTATCAATTTTTTTTGTCTTTAATTGACCTAAATAAGTTTTATTCTCTTTATAATATAAAGCTATATCATTAAAACAAATATTTATTATTAGATTATAGTTATTATATCAATATCTATATAAAAATATTTGTTTTTTATAAAATAATCCTTATATACCAACTTAACACAAAAACTTTAATCTTAATCAAGGTTATTTTGCAATAAGTATTGTATTTTTATTAATATCTTTATCCAAAAATTACTTAAGACACTTCATTATCATATCTTATATTTATGAATATTATATATTTACTTTTAAGTATAATAAATATTAAATTAATAATTATTTAGATTATGAATGAAATGGAATCAAATAAGAGATCAAATTTTTTTGCTTCTAGTGGGAAAAGGGTAATTCAAGAATAATAAGAACAAGTAAATTATTTAATTCAAGCAGATGTTGATTCGAGATGATTAACAATATAAATATAATGATTATAAATTAGAAAGACAAGAACCAGTTCCAGTATATTTATAAAGAAATGATCGTCCATCAAAAGTAACAGCTGCAGAACGAAAAGAAATTATTCGTAATATTGAAATAGAAGCAAATAGAAATTCAGATGGAGGAATATTTGCAAAAGTTTATAAATAAAAAGATGCAAAAGATTAATAATAATAAACACAAAAATAAGCATATATTGATGAAATATAAAAGTAAATTGATGAAAAAAGAAAGAGAAAAGAGGAGGAAAAATTAAAATAAATTGAAGAAGATAGAAAATATGAAGAAAAATTAAGAATAGAAAGAGAATAAGAAAAAATAAATTAAAATCAAAATAAGGAAGATGATAAAAAAATGATTATTAAATCTCTTAAAAATAAACATCTTAGATAATAATAAGATGATTCTAAATTCATTTTTAACGAATTTGAAGATCATTAAATTAATTTAACTAATAATAATATACTACCTCATTATTTAAAAGAAGTTGATGATAAATATGATTAAGAACTTAAACATAAGATAAATCCTCATACTCCTTTAACTAAATTATAATCTTAAAGAACTTTATAAGACTAAAATTTAATCAATATTACATATAATCCACCAAATACAGCTGGTTAAAATTAAAATAGTACTTCATTTAGAAATAATTCATAACATCAATATAATTAATCATTAAATTAATAAGAAATATCATAAATGTAATAACAATAGATGTTTTAATAATAAGCATCATATCATGATTCATAATAATAATCTAATTATCAATATTAACCTTACTAATATAGATCATATATGCCATAAATAATTGAATAGATTTAATAGGAATAATAGGAATTATAAGAAATTAATAAATTTAAAAATAGAGAATAGGAATAAGGCATAGATAAATTAAAAGAAGAAATGGAAATATAATCTAATAGATGGAATGAAGAATTAAGAAAATTAAGAGGAGAAGTTTAAATGAATTCTGAAAAAAAGAATAGAGCATTTTATGAATTATATAATCTAAAAGATGAATTAAAAAAATAATAATTATTTGAAGAGGCTAATTTGAGATTGTTGAAATAATAGATGGCAAATAAAAAACCTGATAATTTATCTAGTTATGATAAAAAATTAATCTCAGAAAGTGATTACAAAAAAAGTTCACGTTAAAGTAGATAACTATCTAATATAGAAGATAATTTATTTTTAGAAAATTTTGTAGATTAAATATGATATTAACTAATTTATATTATTGATATATAAAAATCAAGATTACATAAATTATAATATTTATTATTCTAATTTGATTTATAATAATAATAAGAAATACTGATTATTTAAAAGTTTTATATTAATGACAATTTATGTATTAGATATTACAATAAAACCATTTGATTCAAATATTTTGAATCATTTTTATTGGTTATTCTTAAAAATAGATTAAATTCAATTAAATTTATTATCTTTTTGTTAATGATTACTTAAAAATTTATAATATTATATATTATGAATTAAAATAAATGTTAATCTGATTCTGGAGGTACTAAAATTAAAGGACCTGATGAAGATAACTTTCTACTTGTTATGAACTAAGTCTTAGATAGACATAAGTCGATTGCAGCAAAGAACAATGAAAGTTAACTTCTTTAAAATGCTCTGAAGGCTTTATAATAAGAATTAAATGAAGCTGAATCTAAGAATCCTGGATCTGCTAAATAAATACTAGATTCCATTTTCAATAATTGATAATACAGAATATTAAATTATGAAATTCATCAATCTATTAAACTTTTATATCCTTTTAATTTTAGTTTACACAATACTATTTATCATCAAATTTTATATTGTAGTCCTTAATTGCTCAATTCTTTAGATAATATAAATGTAAATACTTTTACAGAATAAAAATTCTATAAAATTTGACAGATTATAAATCTGAAATTAAAGGTGCTTAAATATAATATCTATATTTTATAGCTAAATCTCCTTTTGATATCCTTCTTTTCACTTAAAAATTATTTGACTTCTTATACTCACATAATCCTTTCTTTCTTTGATAGTTACCATCTTTATTTTCTTTCATTACATAGTTATTTATTGTGAATTAATTAAGATTAATTTCTTCAATTATTTAGTACTTTATTATTTTTAGACTATACTTTCTATATATACTTCACAAGTAATTTAAACTTGCTAATCAATCAGATGCTTATTTTTGCTTCTTATACTAATCTTCTTTGAACCAAAAGATATATATTTACAATTATTCTTGCCTCGATGACTATCATTTGTATTATGTGAATTTTATCATTTTTATTTTTAAAGCAAATAACTCTACCAATTTTTCATCATTCAATACTTAATACATTATTCTAATAAGCTTAGCTAGACACATATCCAAAAAAAATAGCCAATTGGGGGAATTGAACCCCCGACCCTTTGCTTACGAGGCAAATGCTCTAACCACTGAGCTAAACCGGCATCGTTAAATACTAAATTTATTTATTATATAAATCACAACTCATCATGCATCTTTTTCACATATTATATAAACTTATGCTCAAATTGCATTGCTGCAAAATTCAATTGAGTTTCACTGATTGGTTTATAAGTACTTATTCCATTCTCTAAAAGATTAATAAATCTCTCTTGTTCACCTTCGTAATCTGCTGATACAAAAGCAATTTATAAAGTAGTCCCTAATAAATTATATATATACTCTCTTACCTTTCTTTACTTCAGGTTTTACTGTCAATACTACACTCTTAAATTGCTCTTCATTAATTATTATTTATGGAACAAAATTCTAGAGACTTAATCCTACTGCATTTCCATTCATTCCAAATTACAAAAAGAAATCAGTCTCAGGAAATAATTCCTTTAAATCTAAAACATTGTAATTATCAATTACTTTTAGCTTTAGATCTCTCATGATAAATCACAAATTAATTATATTTCTCTGAATAACACAATACTCCATCGAATTCTTTATAATATCCATCCAATACTGTAGCTACTTAAACTTTCACTTTCTACAATCCTGCTTCCTTTTAATCGCAATTACCAAAAATGAATAATGCGAATAACACTATTAAACTCATTTTTATTAATCAAATTTATTCATTACATTTATTCTTAAATATTTATTATATTTACACGTAATACTATATTTTATTATACTATTAGAAAATCAAACTTTTAATACATAAGAAATACTCTATTCTAAATTTGAATAAATAAAATAGATTAAATAATTTAAATCAATTTCTATATCATTTACTTTCTTTATTAATAGCATTATTTAATATAGTTTAAAGTATAGAAAATATATTATTAATAGAAAATAAAAGTGAATTAATTAGAATTAAATAATAAATTAAGATTATAAAATTTATCGTTTTTATTTAGTAATGTTTAATCAAGCTATCCCCTAATAATTTAAATAAAGGAGCATAGCATATTTAAAGATGACTCAAACTTATTGAAAGATATGTTATCAATAAGTGTATCATATATATATTTTAATTTAATTTATTACTCAAAGCCGGTTTTTTTCTTTTCCAGTAAACGGTATAAACGGGTTTTTTTCAAAAGAAATATAAATGGCTAGAATATCTAAACATAATTACAATGATTTTTAATTTTGGTTATAACGAAAAATCTGCTCAAAAATTCCTGATGAAAGTGAAAAAATGAAAGAACAACGGAACTATTAAAATTCCCACAAAATATTAATTATATCCTATCTTCTTCTGGTTATGTATATCTTAATTTAATTAGATAAGTATTTGTATTAGAATATATCTTAAACAATATTAAACTTAAAATATCTAAATTTGTTTTCAAAGTTATTGATTTTTGTATATTGATCAGTACTATGATATTAGGAAAATATTTAGATTATTCTGAAATTATATTAAAAAGATTTATTTCTTATAATGTCTATTCCCAACTGGTTTGTAAATTATGATAAATTTCTATTATACGAATCTTTTTCATAAAAGTAATATAATTTGGTTTGGATTTCAATTTATTCTTTAAGCACTTTAATAATTGTACAAAATATTTAAAAAAGTCTTTGTTCTTTATTGTTGATAAGTTATTTTATAACCTTAATTTAGGTTTATGAAAAACCATTAATATAGTTGGTTGATTTGCAAAAAAGATAGAAAATTCTAATTTTACTAATTCTCTTTATTGTTTGACAAGTATCTCTTTTTTATAGAGATCTATTCTTTTTTATTGATATTCTTTCATTTAATGATAAAGATAATTATTTAGAGATTCTTTTTAATATTGAGCTTCCTTAAAGAAATTTAAAATATCTTCTTTATTTTTCAAGCAATTTTTAAAATTTTAAGCCATAAAATACTCAAACTAAAATGAATTTTCATTGAAATTTAACATAATATAAGATTATTTATCGATCAACTATCGTAATATTCTCTCCCATTATTTATCTTTTTAAATTAACATAAATTAAGCTCTCATTGCTTAATTGTATTTGTACAAAAAAAATAATTAAGATATTGATACAAACACTAATCCAGCAATTGGATATAAATTTAAGCCTATTGATTATTTCAAAATGAAAATTATTCTGATTATAGTTATTGATGTCACCTAAAGTAATGCTTCTGGAAATTCACTTCCCATTGTTATAAGAAAGCTAGATCCCATCTAGTTTACTCCTTTCAAATGTGAAACTGCTATATCAACTTCTTCATCGTATAAATAAAAAAAAAGTGTCAACACATGATTTACAATGACTGATAGGATTCTTAAATTTAAATTGTGTCTTGTTAAAAAAATCTCTATTAAGATAAAGAATATCAGCATTGAAAGGTTTGGATAAAATCTAATTAGATCAGCATCTAATAGATAGGTAATGCATCTAAATATGAAACTACCCATAAAGCNGTATTAGAATATATCTTAAACAATATTAAACTTAAAATATCTAAATTTGTTTTCAAAGTTATTGATTTTTGTATATTGATCAGTACTATGATATTAGGAAAATATTTAGATTATTCTGAAATTATATTAAAAAGATTTATTTCTTATAATGTCTATTCCCAACTGGTTTGTAAATTATGATAAATTTCTATTATACGAATCTTTTTCATAAAAGTAATATAATTTGGTTTGGATTTCAATTTATTCTTTAAGCACTTTAATAATTGTACAAAATATTTAAAAAAGTCTTTGTTCTTTATTGTTGATAAGTTATTTTATAACCTTAATTTAGGTTTATGAAAAACCATTAATATAGTTGGTTGATTTGCAAAAAAGATAGAAAATTCTAATTTTACTAATTCTCTTTATTGTTTGACAAGTATCTCTTTTTTATAGAGATCTATTCTTTTTTATTGATATTCTTTCATTTAATGATAAAGATAATTATTTAGAGATTCTTTTTAATATTGAGCTTCCTTAAAGAAATTTAAAATATCTTCTTTATTTTTCAAGCAATTTTTAAAATTTTAAGCCATAAAATACTCAAACTAAAATGAATTTTCATTGAAATTTAACATAATATAAGATTATTTATCGATCAACTATCGTAATATTCTCTCCCATTATTTATCTTTTTAAATTAACATAAATTAAGCTCTCATTGCTTAATTGTATTTGTACAAAAAAAATAATTAAGATATTGATACAAACACTAATCCAGCAATTGGATATAAATTTAAGCCTATTGATTATTTCAAAATGAAAATTATTCTGATTATAGTTATTGATGTCACCTAAAGTAATGCTTCTGGAAATTCACTTCCCATTGTTATAAGAAAGCTAGATCCCATCTAGTTTACTCCTTTCAAATGTGAAACTGCTATATCAACTTCTTCATCGTATAAATAAAAAAAAAGTGTCAACACATGATTTACAATGACTGATAGGATTCTTAAATTTAAATTGTGTCTTGTTAAAAAAATCTCTATTAAGATAAAGAATATCAGCATTGAAAGGTTTGGATAAAATCTAATTAGATCAGCATCTAATAGATAGGTAATGCATCTAAATATGAAACTACCCATAAAGCCTTTTGAAAGTAAATTAAAATGCATAATCCTTATTTACTAAAGAGATTAAGATTAATAGAGTTCTTCGAGTTATTTGTCAAAGAAGAACAAAGTAAATTTATTCATTTTTAAATAAATATAGAAATTTTCAATTTTTCATACAATCAAACCATTCTATTAGTTTGTATATTTTAATTATTTTATGATATGCATTTTATTAACAATATTCAAGAAACGATATTTAATAATCAATTTTGATTAAGTAATTATAGTAATTAGTAATAATTTCCTTAAAGAACATGTTTAATAATTATCAAATTTTTCAGATTCCCAATATACTTACTAATATTAAATTATCGAAAATAATATTAAACTTAAACTTGTAAAAATATAAATCTCATATTAGTATTTTCTTATATAAGAAGCCTGTTTTAAGAATTTCTATTAGAATACAAACATATTTACTTTACTTTTAGAACTTTTTATTTCTTTTAAAGAAGTCTTTTTCTTGAATAGTAGTTCTGAGTTCCCTTTAGGCAACTTGCTTTTCTTTTTCTGCAACTTAGTTATATCTTACATCCTATTCTAGATATCAAATTAATATCTAGTTTAGATTAATTTTTTGTAAAATACTCTTCATCATCAATTCTTTGTTGAAATCTAAATTGTATCTTCTTTGGATTTTTATGAGAATACAATTGAATTCTTAATCAAAATTACTTAAGATATGATATTTTGAGATTGAAAATCTTAGAAAAAGATAGGGCTGTAGGTTATTTATTTTAAGCTTAAAGAAATCTTATTAACATTCAATTTAATTGTATAAAAATTATTTGAGTAATGTTAAATCTAAAGACAATGATGTTTATAATAGACTTATTTTTATAGGAGATTACATGATATAAGGATATTTGTTATTTTTTTGTTGGTATGGGTTCTATTATCCATTCAATAGTTTTTAAGAAGTTAGTAGAAACTCATTCAATTTTTAAGTAATCAAAAAATCAAAGATCATCATCTATGAGTTTTATTCAGCTGAATCAAATTATTTATTATTTAATTTTATAATCGCTTCGATAATTTCGATGATTATATTTTATGATTATTGTAGATTATTATTTATTTGAGGGTCTATTGTTTATCCTTAAAGGTCTTGAATAATAAATTATATAGTGAATCTTGGATATTTAATAAATATATTTGATTTTCTATTTTTTAGTTTTAATATAAATGGACATCTGAGTTTTGAAAAAATATTGATTAACTTTATATTCTTCAATAAAATTTGTGATTGAACTAAAATCAATAAGTTTAATTGATAATAGTAAACTACAATAATAAAAAAGTCAATTTGATTTAAATTTAAATTATGAATTAATAAAGGGTGTATTGATGGAAGGTATGTTGAAATGAATTGTTTTTTTGTATATGAATTTGTGATATAATTCTAGTTAATTAATATTAAAATCTGTTAAAAATATAGTTGTTAATAATGAAATCAGACTCTTTGGCAGTAAGTGTATTAGTTTTTGATTAGGAAGAATTACCAAATCAAGAACCCGATAGGTCGTGGAGCTGGTAGTTTTGTATGTAAAATTGTCAACCGTTTAAATAAAGTGGAGATGGCTGCCAAGATCATACAAAAAACATCATCTAATGCTCAAAAAATATAAAATGAGGTTGATATACATTTAGAATTGCATCATAAGAATGTAGTACATTTAACAGACATTTTCGAAGATGCTGATAATAGTTATCTGATTATGGAATTATGTGATTCAGATATATATTAGTTAATTAAAAAAGAACAATTCTCTGAATAATAAATAAGATATTATGGTAAATAATTGGCAGAAGGCTTATAATATTTACATTCTCATAATATAATTCATAGAGATATCAAATTAGGTAATTTATTAATCCAAAATGATATTCTAAAAATTGCTGATTTTGGATTGGCTGTAAAATTAAATAATGATGAAGAAGAGAGAAGTACTTTATGTGGAACTCCAAATTATATCAGTCCTGAAATATTAAATTAATAACCTTATGGTAAGAAGGTTGATTTATGGAGTATGGGATGTTGTTTATATGCTATGGCTACAGGTCATGGTCCATTTGAAGAGAAGAATACTCCATTAGGAGAAGTATTGAGAAGAGTAAAAGTAGGAGATTTTGATTTACCTAATAATTTTTCAGAAGTGTTTAAAGATTTGATTATTAATTTATTGAATTTGGATGCTGATTAGAGATATTCTATTGAAAAGATCATAAAACATCCTTTTTTTATTGAACCTATTCCTCCAAGGATTTAGAGTAGAAATTAATCAAGTTCTTAGATTAAGTAACTTCTTGATTTAAGTCCTTTTGTAAAACATTAACATAGATCAACATGTTCAATGATAGGTTTGGAGAAATAATAGATAGTAGCTTCATTTTTATAGAAATAATAATAATTAGGTGGTAAAAAATTACTATTTGGTATGACAACTAATTGTAAAGGTGTTTTAAAATAAAATTATCATTTAGAGAATGTACCTCGATTTTTCTTGCCTTAAGAATCTCATTCAAATAATACTAGTTGTAATCATCATAATAAGGAAAATATTAATAAAGAGAATTGTAATAAAGAAAATATTAGAGAGAATAGTGTAAAATTGACAAAATAGAATTCATCAACTATTAATATTTATAATGAATCTCCAATAAAATTAGAAGATTTAAAATCATGTAGATTATAAACAAAAAATGGTTTATTATAAATACATGAAGATGGTAGATTTGAAATGGATGTATGTAATAAGGATTTAAACTTTATAATCTAAACAAATGGATAAGAAGTAATAATTATATAAAAAAATTTTAGATTTTAGTTTAAAAAAAAGGATAGAAACCAAAATAATATAGATTAAATGAATTACCATAAAAATTATAGAAATTTTATACTTATTCTAAATAAGTATGCAATGCTATTAGAGAAAGAAATTAAAAACATAAAATTACCAATGAACATGGAAATTTTGCTTTAAAAAATACAAAATTAGGATAATGTTTTGAAGGATACATTGCTTAATCCAAAATTAAAGTATATATATTTATTTATTCTATGATTAGATTCAATATATTTTAAATTCAGATACTTTAAAATTATAATTGTAAAATGGAACTTTGAAATCTATCAATATTAATGAATTTTAATAAATATCTACTTAAGCTAGAATGGATCCTAATGAAGTTTATTCAATAAAAATAGCTCTCAAGTATTTAACTTAATGTTAATAATGATTTATTAGTTAATATTTATTTTTATAATATTCACCAACCATAAGTGGCTTTCATCTTCTCTTTCTTATCTTTAAAATCTTATTTTCTTGATTCATAACCTTCCTATTTCAAAGCAGCTTAATAATTAAGAGAATCAATATGATTTTTCTCTCTTTTCAATTAATTTACATCTGTGGGAACCTTCAAAAAAGCTTCTTATTTTTATTTCATCTTCTCTCTTTCCATTTCCCAATATTTCTCATTTGTACCATGTAAATTCATTATTTAAGAATTATCTTCTCCTATTTCATAAGTTACTTTAACAATTCCTTTTTCATTTATAGTTTTTTAATCTTACATATAGATGTCATCCTAATCAAACTCTTAAATCAAAGCTTGCTCCTCCTTTGTTAATTTTTTAATAGCAGTATTACTTAAAATTTCTGCTTCTTTAAAATTGATACCAGGAGGCATTGGAGGTAGACGCTTTTTCACAACTGTTGTATATTACTACTCTAATTTGTTCTTTGGTTACGACAATAAGAGATGTAGTTTACCATTCTTGATCTCCTATTGTAAAATTGGAATTTGTTCATTATCATCAGATTCAGATTGCTGATCTACATTGACAGCAATCTCCTCATTTGTTTTAATTTTCTTTGACATTTTGTTTAGATGATCTAGAGTGATTACTTTATTTAGAGGTTTCTTTGGTTCTGGATGAGAATCAGAGTTGCTTTCAGAATCATAATCGACTAACTTTTAAATCATAACAATTATTCAACTATATATTCAACTAACATACGAGCATTCGATAGTAAAGTAGTACGTGATGTTATTTATGTAACTAAATCTTCTTTCTCAGCATTTAGAATATTGCTCACTTTCTTCTATTACTCGCACAATGTTTCTAATTATTCTTAAGGAACACTTAAATGCTTGTAATTTCTAATTGTAAAATAGTTATACTATCCTAATAATTCCCATCTAAAACGCAAATGCTTATAATATCGATTCTTAACCATAGCCAACGTTTTTCCAGGAAAATGTCTATGAATCTTTTAGAATTTAGGTCCATTATTCAATACTAACTATAGAATCAATCGATCTTCCTCATCAGTGAACTTTTGTCCTGATTTTTTACTATTTGATCCTTCCATGCCTCTTCTCTTCTTTCTATGATAGTCATATTCATTTTTCTTTTTCTATTTTTTAGATATTCCTAGTTTATTGACTTAATCATTTTAAGATGATCTTTCTTCATTACTATCCATTATACTAACAAATTAACTATTTTTATTAATTATGAATTAATATTTGATACACATAAGGTTTTATTTAAAATAACTTATAATGTATAAAATGATATCCATTCAACAAAATTCTCATCAATCATCTAAAAAAATATCATTCACAAATTGTGTCTAAATAACTTTTATTTTTCTAATTCATATTTCAATCTTCATAAAGTTTTTGACACATTATTATCTTACGACTACAAAAACAAATAAAAAATAATAATCAATAGATTAAAATTATTTAAATAAATCTATTTCTTATTTTATTTTAAATACCATTATAATATAAATGTATGTTGATTTTAAGGAATTCTATATAATAAGTATTAATAATAGATAAAAATATTATATAGAAACAAATAATCTTTATAAGACTATTTATTCATTAAATTTTTATGTTTTAATAATAAATAAATAAACAGTTCCAATTACTTTTAAATCTTTACAGAGTTATTAAAGAAATCAATTGTATTTCTTAAACTTTTGATAATTTCTTATTTGTTATTTCTTAAATTTACATATTCATACTCTACAATAAGCATCTGTCAAAAATAATCAATAATGTTAATATCATATATCCTTGCATAATAATAACAAAGATTATTCTTGAAATATTCATTTCTCAATAATAAAACTTATGAATTGAAATAAAAAAAGTATAATCTTTCTTTAGTTGATCATAAAAATATATAAAATATATAAAAAAGTAAAAATTTATTCAATATATTAATAAATAAAGTGTTAATACTCTTAAGTTTAACAAATAAATTGATTTTATTAATTGACAATCATTATATATATTGTTTTCTAAATTTTTTAATATTTAGATAATATTATTATTGTATTTTAATGAATAAATTAAAAAATAATGTTATTAGAAGCATTCCAAATCTACATCAAGAAATGAAAATAGAGCATGGTAAAATATTAAGTGCAATAAAACCTAATGAATTCTAAGAACCAAAAACTGCAAAATATATAGAATTGGATCTAAAAAATAAAATTAATTTCTCAATTAGGGAGAATATTACAAGTTTAAGTTCAGAGAGATAATAACCAAAAAAAATAAAGAAAATTGATGGAAAAGTGGCAACAATTGTTGAATTAATTAAATAAGATTTACTTCCAATGTTGAATATTCAAAACGATAGAATTGAGAAATTAGAAAGAAGAATTAAAGTAAAGAATGAATCAGAGGGTGATTCTGATTTACGTAAATCTTCATTAATTTCTGATAAAAAATCTAATTCAGTTGTAGAAAGTGAAGTCTAGAATTTATCCGTTAGTGTAGATGAAATAAAAAAAAATTTATCACATTTAGATAATTTTGTTAAATATCAATTCATAAAACGTAAATGTTAAGCTTCAGAAGTACCTGATAATAAAAGTAAAAGTGTTATCTCTTAAATCTAAGCTAAACTTAATACAGAAATTATTTAATAAAAAATTGAAACTCAATAAACAACTAATTAAATACAAGAATACATCACATTATAATTATAAGAAATTAAAGAATGGATTAATAATATATCAATTGAATAATAAAAGGAGATAGAAGTCAAATTAAATTTGATGGAAACTCAATTTTATTAATTTCTTTATCAACCCATAGAGGTTTTAAGATAAATTTAAACTAATTAAAATGATGTTTAAAATAAAATAAAGGAATTTGAGTCTATATTTAATTCTAAAATATTCTAAGACTAAATTTAGAATTCTTAAGTTATAGCAAATTGTTGTAAACTAAATCAGAATAAGAAGACAATTTAAATTAATTGTGGTCATTCATACCATGATTAATGTTTATTATTACAAATAGAAGAGGATCTAAAAGAGCAAAGAAATATATGTTGTAAAGAATGTCATACCTAAATTCAATTCAATAAAATATGTTAAATATCTATCTCAAAAGATATATAAGATTAAATTTATAAAGAATAAATTAAATAGTTGATAAGGTCTTCTAAATGTGATATAATACAATGTTTGAAATGTGGTTTTTTGTTTATTAAAGATTAATTTTGTCAAACTCAGGAAAATAATTGCGTTTAATGTACTTGATGATTTAAAATAGTCATGATGAATCTATTTCAAAATAACTTTATAATATTTATATATTTATATACTCTAATTAAAAAAGCTAAAATGAAACTAAAAATAAATCTTATTCAATTATAATTAAAGAAAATCCTAAATATTTACTAAAAGTAAATTAATTCAATTTCTTTAAACTTATTATGATGAATCTTTATCAAACTAAAAACTCATTTGAATATCAATAACTCCTATATGATAATCATTTTATAATACATATTCTCTTATCTTTTTAATAAATCATATATATTATTATATCACTTATAATCTATATTTTTTTAATTATAATATTTGTAATTGTTATATGGAATTTTGTTTTTTTTCTAAAAAATACTATTTAAAGATAATTTGATTCTATTGTAAATGAATTTAGACTTGTCACGTTATGTAATCCTCATACAAAAAAATTAATCAATTCTAGAATGAATTCTAATTCTATATAATTTAATTTCAAAAATATTAGTTCTTAAAGCAACAATAAAGCAATAACTTTTAAATAATGTACAATAAGATAAATTTTATAGAATAAAGAATGAATTAATGTGGGATTATTTTATAGAAATCCTAAATTTATAATTTAATTGAATATTATTTAGAATATGGGAAATTAAAAAAAATTCCTATAAAAACTTTTTAATATTCTTGAAGTACTTGTTATTATAATTTTAGTCAAAATAACATGAAGATTGTATATTATGGAGTTAAGATGGGAATTCAATTGTAATTATTTGTGCAGAATTATTTGAGGAAAAGGTAATGCCTTCATATTTCAATTCTACAAAAATTTCAACATTTTATAGGTAATTGAGTCAGTATGGATTTAAAGTAAAATAAAATGAGAAAAGATAAAAGTAATTTTATCATTCTAATTTTTAATAAGGAAATTTGTATTTTTATAAAATTTATTCTTATAGTGACAAAGTTTTAAATATAGAAAGAAGAAAGAAGATACAATAACATATAGATCATAATTGTAGTATAAGTGAAGAGAATAAAAAAATTAATAATGAATTAAAGGTTCTACAAAAGTAGTAATTAGCTATTTAAGCTTAACTAAATATCCATACTTAGATATATTTAATGTTTTGCAAATAGATGAAAAATGTCTATGATGTATTTAATAGATATATATTAGTATATTAAATAAGATGAAGATGGTGAGGAATGCATGGTATTTTTTGAGGCAATTATCTCTGTATTTAAAGGATTTAATCATGATATTGCCTCAAATATCTTTGAAGAACTTCAACATATAGGAGGTCCATAAAGTCCTTAATTATCGCCACTTCTCTTTCCTTATCTAAAATTTAATTGAATTATTTTAACAGCTTCTTTTAAATTTTATTAAAATTGTAAAGACTCAAAAATACTCTAAAATATATTTGAATATTTGTTTGAATTTTAGTGTTTAATCTTACAACTAATTATGTAGCTTTATGAAACTATTATATTAACGTTGCCCATGTGGCGCAATTGGTAGCGCGACAGCCTTCTAAGCTGTAGGCTGCAGGTTCAATCCCTGCCATGGGTGATTCTTTTTTTTTTATTTAATATATATATATATATATATGAAATTGAATATTTATATTGAATTAAATTGATCATATTGTACATTATTCTAATTTGTTAAGGATTTGGGATGGATGATCAACTTTGAGTGTCTTCATAATTTTGAGTATGAGATCAGGATCATTAAATTAGTTCTATTTAATTTTTTCAATAATTTTTAGAATGTAAATCATACAAGCTTCACTTTTCATATTTTCATCTAAGTCTAATAATCTTTTAGCTATTTTAATAAATTATTGAATATCTTATAATAAAATGAAGGTTTAATTCATTTTAAACATCAAATTATCACTTGATTCTATTTTAAATAAGGATTTAATAGTTTGAATATCATTATTGGATGTGTTTTAGAGTGATTTAATAGCATCAATAATTTAAGAATCGGTTGATTATTTTAATGATAAAGTTTATTCTAATTAATTTTTGAAGTTCAAAAAACAATCTACATATTTAGAATCGAATTTCCATTTTTGAATGATGGGAAAGACTTATTCTAAATTATATTGTTCTTCATTTTGATCATATATAATTTCACAGATTTATCTACAGAATGATTCTAAATGAGCAACACCTAACATGACTGTCTTAATTTTTTCTGCTGTTATCAATAATTATTCCATTGAATTGACAGAGAATATTTCCATTAATTTATTTATATCTCTATCATCATGTTCAAATGTACCAGTTTTCATAGTTTTATTAATTGTTTAGATGAAATTAAATGATTCTTGTAATTCTTGTTTAGTTTCTTAATATAATTCTTTTAACTAATTTAGTTAATCTGTTAGAAATGTATTGTTATCTATCAATCTTTAATTGTCTTTTTTGATCCTATTTAATTCCTATACTAACAATTGATTTTCATTAATTAATGATTAATAGGTTGAGTTTTCTTTCAATTGATATTCTTAATTCTATTTCTTTAATTGATTATATTCATTAAGGAATTTAGATAATAATTCTGTATTGTCTGTTGACATTCTTTATTCAAATTTAAATTTAATTACATTAATTGATTTTCAAATATTTTTATGCTTGAATTACAATTAGATTGATTGAAATATAGATAAAAAAGTTATAAAATAAGTGAATATTCATTTCTAAAATTTAGTCTTTAATCTTTAATACTTTTTTGGATCTATACTTGTATTGTGATTTCTAAGTTTACGCATTTATTCACTATTAAATTCAAATGAGACTCGTTTACTAGATGGTCTCATCATTGGACTATTGAGACTTTACATACTTTATCTACTTCCTATTTTGATAACTTCAAAAGAACTTGATTTCAAAATGCCTTTTTGAGTAGAGGCAGAACTACCTTTTTAAGAATGTAAACAATCATTATTAGCAAGCATTCTTGATATTCTTTATGGATGTGGAAATGGAAAGCTATTTAAATCATTGTGATCATTAACAATTTATGTTACATAAATTTATCTCTTTGGTTTACGATTAGATATTAAATTTGTTTAAAGTGCTTATGAATTTTAGTGTTATCTGTTTTTAGGTTATTTATCAATAGAATTACGAGAGTTGTGTCTTCTTCTAGAGTTAGCTAAATGAATTTAAGTCTATTAGATTATATCTAAGGATTAGTTTATTTTTTATCCACTTTGAGTTTGCATGTTTTAAGTTGATACTTAATTTGTGGACTTAAAACCATTTGATTATATACAAATATCATCCTTACATCCTAGCACATCTTTAAACTTGCACATCATAGTATTAATTCCATTCATTCTCTTGTTTACTGAAGTACCTTTATCATCTAATTCATGATGAAAATTTGGAGTCAAGTACTTAAATTCGATAGCTTTGATGGCTTCATCTGAGTTGATAGATTCTTCTGAATCAAATTCTTAATTCATTTTATTTAATGTCAGATTATGATTTTTGTATTCATCTCTAACTAATTAGATTACTCTTTAGGGGGTCTTAAAGTTTGAATTTATAATTTAATACTATACTCATAAACATTACCTAAAATGTATTAAACTTAATTGAAAACTAATAAATAAGAAATCATTAATATTTCGTGGAATCTTTATAGATGTTATTTAATCAATAAATTTAATTAAATTATATTTATAATATAATCAAAATTAATAGGTGCATACACTACAAAGTTTTAGATTTTCTTTATTTTCATCATTATAATTTTTTAATTTTATGGTTTCCATACTATTTTTAAATGAAGCCTATTTTAACATTAATTTAAATGGTTAAATTTTTTATGTTTTTTATTAATAAGAGATTAAATGTTTTATACTCCTAATTCCATCAACTAATCTTTTAAAATATAATTTTTAAATAATTTAATATCCTTTATTAACTTATTTATATTCTTTCTATTTAATATATTTCACTAGTTTTAAACATTGAAAACCCAAATTCATTAATCTCTTATTTTATTATCGTTACCTTTTTTACTTATTTTATTCTAAAACTCTTTTCATAGCATAAAATAAACTAGATAAATAGACAATTTAAGGATAATCTAAAAATCTAGTATTTTCTTATTCTACATTATTAATTCTATTGAAAAATCTTTTGATTCTTCTTTTAAATATCTTATTTAATATAGTAGTTAAAGACTATCCTTTTCTTTATTTTAAAATCTCATATTTAACATCACAATAATTCTTAATAATTGGTTTATGTTCATCAAGAGATTAAACTTATTCTTCTCTTGGGGATATTTCAAGTTTTGAAGGTTTTAAATTTAATTTTTCAGGTGCTGGTTCTTCAGATTAGAGTACTTTCTATTTTTTACGTAATGTACGTACACTCTAAGGAACACTTTGGATAATAGTTTATTTTAGATAGGCAACTTAGGAGACCAGATTTTTAAGTTCAATTAATTTTAATGTGGCAATTTATAGGATTGATTGTATATATTCTTGGCGAAAAGGAAAGACTGGAAAATATTGGAAGAATAATTCTTTCTCATAATTAGGGATTATCCTTTATTTTCTATATGTATTGGATATGACTTCTTAACATTTGATTTTATCTTTTAGAAATATTGGTACTGTCTAATTTATTTTTTAAGGTTGATCTTGAATAATAAGATCATCATCTTTAGTGTATAAATCAGAGGAGATATGCAATTAAGGTTTTTGTATGTTGAGAAATACTTTATAATAATTAGTTTTATCTCCATCATTTAATCTTATCAAGTAATCAATAAATGCAGAATAATGATTGGAAGATTACAATTTAATGACATCTTGAAATGTTTCATAATGTAATTTCTTCATTTATTTAGTTTATTCTTAATCAAGTTCTTAATTATATTAGATTGATTGAAGTAATTTGGAAAAATTCTAAAGATTAGATGAATTAAGGAATGATAACATAGTATCAATAAATTACCAATCTATTTATAACAAGAGATCATTGGATACAACGTTTAATTGTGATCTTTAATCAATCTCTTTGGTTGCAGTTCTTAAAGATAATACTTTTTATATATTTAACATTTAGTTGTTAAGTTTATATATCCATGGAATTAGCCATCTTGAAACAATTTCAGCTTAAATTCTTTGAGATTTAACTATTCTCATATCTACTACCATTCCATCAAGTCTTTTAAGTTATTAAAATAGATGATAACATACATCATGATAATCATAAACAGTAAATGGATTAGTATGGATAGATAAGTATTAGATATTCTTATTAACTTTATTTAATTCATTGATATCAACTATTTGATTATTTGATAGTGATAAACTTTTTAACTATTTGAATTATTCAATTCCATCCAAATTAGATATATTATTATGACTAATATGTAGATGTTATAAATTTAGAAATGGTGAGTTTTAAACTAATTTTCCAATTCTGATTATTTATTTTGATGAAAGATTTATACTTTTATTGAACTGATTTGGTAGCAGTTAACATAATTCCATATTAATTAAATATTTATAAGAATTATTTATATATGATTAAGCAAACAATGAATTTTTCATTAAAATAAAGAAGAACCTAATCATTGGAACCTGTATTTGATGAAGAAGTATTTGGAGAATTGAAAAATGAGAAAGATTTTGAAATGAGATTGCAATAATTGAATGAGATTTAACAAATCCATTAAATAACTCAGAGTTCTGGGATATCAATGTCATCTGGTCGAAGTAAACCTTCTAAACATTAGATGATGGAGAGTTATGCTTATTTAATATAAGAGATGGTTCATAATAAAGAATTACAATAATTCTGTCATTAATTTGGATTCTCAATTTAAGAATTAGAATAATATAATTAAATTGAAGAGAGATAAAATTTTGTAATAAATGCTATGTGTAAACACATAAAAGAATAGATGCAGAGTATAATTATAATTAAATAGGTTTTATGACTAAGGTTGAATTAAGAATGCATTAATATAGAGTAGATGAATGGGATGAATTACAAAAGATGAATAAATAGAACATTAATATATTTGAATGGTTGAATGTTAAATCTAAATATCAACATTTAAGAAAGAAATTACAATATGCTTTAATTGATAGTATAACTGCTACTTAAGTGAAATAATAATAAGAGAAAAGAAATAGAACATATAGTTAATCTAATTTATCATAAATAAGTAAAGCAAGTACTGCATGTGCAACTACAAGTAGAAAAAGATTAGCATCTATTCAAGAAGAAGTAACAGTGAATCCAAAGATCTAATTAGTATCTGAATACAAAGATTTTAAGGCATAATGGAATGAAGATTTAGAAAAATAATATAGATTAAAAGGGAAATCTAATAAAGTTTTGGGATTGTATCCTGTTATTTAGAAGGCTATTTTAGATAATGTAGGATAGAGTGTTTGGAATTAATAGAGAGATAGATTACTCACAAAATATACTGAAGGTGGTTGTTTAACAGAAGAGGAAGTTAAATTTATAGCAAATACATCTTAATTATTAAATAGTTGTTCAGATAAAGAATTTCTATAGAAAACTATATCACATTTAGATAAAAATATTATAGATGAAATTGAATATAATATAGCTGAATGTATATTGGCAACTTATACAAATATATCTAATGATGTAAAATCTATTAGATAAGTTTGGCTTAAAAAGATTGGTGCAAATCTTGAATAATAAGTTAAAGATACTCATTATAGTGTATTAAAGAAAATGTAATTGTAAAAGAGTTAAAAAGAACTTGAAAAAGTTAAAGTCAAAATGGTTACAATTTTTAAAGATTTATAAAAAAGACATTTAATTAAATTATAATAAGAATTAGATAAAGATCAATATATTTAATAATAAAAGGGTGTCAATAAAGTTATTTTGAAATTCAAAGATAAATTAATGAAAAAAGTTAAAAAATATAGAAATCAAAAGAATATTAGTATTGCCAATGATTTCATTACTAGAAATATTCCAAAATAAGGATCTCTATTGTTTAAAATAAATAAAGAAATGAAATCTACAGAATATGTTAAACGTTTATTTCATCCACCATCTAAATTAATTATTAAGAATCCTGGATCTCAAACTGATAGAGCTATTAAAGAAGAAAAAAAATATAAAGTTAGATCTTAAAGTACTTTAAGATAAACAGATTTTAAAAGATATCTTAGTGGAGGTCCATAAACAGAAAGACAATTTGTTTCTAAAGCTTTAGTTGATTAAAATTAATAAAGAATTAGTGGACATAAAAATCCTCATGAATGGATTACAAGTGAAATAGAAATTATGGCTATTAATAAAATTAAAGCTGCTATTAGAGCTTATCTTTAAAGAAAAAAATATTAGAAATAAAAATAATTAAAATAAGAATAGGAAGAATTAAAAAAGAATTTATTAATATCTCTTGGTAAGAAGAATCCTGAAAGTATTAAAAAGATTGAATTAGAAGTCATTAATGTTATTAAAAGTTTAACTTTAAATAAATAAAAGAGTTAATCAACTATGTATTCTTCAAAATAAAGAATATAATCTGATATGAAATTAAAAACTAGAAAATTATTCTAGGCTGCAAAAAAAAAATGTTTAAACATAGCTATTTAATCAGGTTTTATGTATACAGTTGAAGATGTAAATCAATAAGATGAATTTGGTAGAACTCCTCTTTCTTATGCAGCTGAAAATGGAGATGAAGCTATTTGCAATTATTTATTAAAAATTGGAGCTAACATCAATATTCCCAGTTTTGATGGTATGACTCCTATGCATTTTGTTTTTAAGAGTAATTCACTAAATCTAATAATGAGATTCATCCATTTAGGTGGAAATTTAAATAAATTAAATAATGATGGATTAACACCAGTAGCCTTTTGCAATCAAGAAACTCTAAAGAAATTAAATCTAACTCGGATGATCTCCTCTTCTCTTAAATAAGGATCATTTGATAATCACTCGATCTTGAATAAAAAGTACCCTCAAAACTCTGATATAATAGAAGCACTAGAATTTTCAGGAAATTTCAGTAAATTATAATGAAAATTAATTTTTATAGACTAATCATATTATTTTAAGTAAATTTATTAATTTTCAAAAGGATCTTTTAAATATTAATAAATTGCCGTTATGGATTCTTTTCTTTTTATATATTATAATTTGTATCTGTTTATCAAATATAATATCTAATAAGTATATTATGAATACTTTAATAGTAAATTCTTTATATCCATAGTGCATATAAAAATAATAATACTTTACATTATTTCTATTTTATCTTAAATATTAATTATGCTAAATAAATATGATAGTATATTAATAAGTTAGATAAAGTTGTTTTGATAATCAAATTATAAATTTAATTCTGAAGAATTTAAAATATATTTTATGAGATAATATCCTTTCAACTAGAAAAGATGTTATACTTAGATTTAATAATTATTTTAATAGTTTTATCATAATCATCAAATTTATAAAATTTTTATCTCACTAAAAATATGTTATTAAAGAATTATATGTATTGTTTTTCCATTTAATTATAAATCCTTTACCAAGATTATCAGCTATTTAGACACCGAATTTATTCTCCCATTTAAACTATTTTTCATCTTTTAAAGTACCTTTTTTGCCTTTAACTTATAAAAAATAACCAGATATTTCTGGAGAACTACATTAATATACTACAAAATCTCCTTATTAATTAATTTAAAAATTAAATTTCCCAATTGTTATCATTTATTCTACACTTTAAATAGCAGTATTTTCTAATTATTAAATTGTTTCATTCCCTTTGAAATGCAATTAGTTATTAATTTATAATTATTATTAAGGTTATATTTAATTAAAATTTTAGAGATTTCCATTTGAATTAGGAATAAAAGGATTAGTTATAATATTTTTGGAATATCCTAAATTAAGTGAATTTGGTTATATTCTTGAGTTTTATTAATTTAATTGATTATCAAAATTGGAAATAGGTTAAAACTTATTAATTTATTATTTTTGCATAAATTATAAAGGATTTGCTTAAATGGAAAAATTTTGGATTTTGAATTGTTATGGTTATGGATTAACATTAGAAAGAGCAATCTAATTAGTTTTTGGTTGAGCTTAGTTTTATGATTATGGATTAACATTAGATGAAGCAATCTAATTTGTTTTTGGTTGAGCTTAGTATTATTAAAATTAAAATTGAGGTATAAGTTTGGATTAATTTGAGATTTATGATGCAAAATTAATTGTATCAAATTGTATTAGTAATTGAGGATCTATTTCTTTGGGATCTATTAGTTTACACATTTGCATTTCCATCAAAGTTGCTAAAATTTTAGTTTAGTTAAGATCTGTAACTTAGATTGATTTTGGTATTGATTGTATAATATTTTTTTATTTAGCTTGATGTAATACCTAGAAAATTCAATTATTTTACTTCTTCAAATGTAAAGTCTGAACTTAACATTACTCCTAAACTTAATTCAACTCCATTTTATTTAAACCAGCATATTACTTTAGGATAATAAGATGAAGCTGATTCTGATTGAATTCTTTTTGCAAAAATAATATTATTAAGTTTTGCTTATTCAATGCTTAATTATGAGTCAATCTCGTATTTACATTCTTTATCCTAAAAAAGTTGGACTTTGTATTGAAGGAATTCAGCACATTTATCCAGTAAATTGTTGACGTATTGGAAAGTCAATAATACTTGGAATTAACGAATTTATTCAGGAGGCAAAGTTTACACCGTAATACTTTTATACATAATTAATAGAATTAGTAATTATATAATTTTATTTTATTATGTTCATGTTCTTTGGAAATAATAAAATGGATTAATATCAATAATCATATTAAGATTTATATCAACATTATGAAATCATTCAATAAAATTATATTAACTTACATGATTAAGTATTATAATTATAATTATTATTAATTAAGTAAAATCATTATATATTAATAAATATTATTGTAAATAGAATATTAGCAATTGATACAATTTTTAAATAAATCTTTATATCAATTTAAATTAGATTTGTAATTGATATATTTATAAAAATTGATAAATATAAATTATCTTATACGTAATAATTAATTAATGAATTTGATTACATTAAGATTTAAAGATTAAATCCTTGAAAAATAATATTAAGAACTCAAAACAAAAACTATTCGTAAACCTATTTATTTTGGGATTTATTCATTTTGTTTTTGTCTTAATGCTTTTAAAATTGTAAGGGATTTAATATTGTAAGAGTCATAGCAACAATTATACATAAATTATATATTTTTAGCATTCATGATGTTATCCATAATGTTGATAGTCTAAAATTAGAATTTTGTAAAACAAGCTCTAGTGATATCAAATTTAGTATCTGGACTCCTTCAAATGAATTTTAATGATTAATAGACATAGAAATAAGAATTTTATTCTTTTGGAAGTAGTTTTGCTTAATTACAAGCAGCTTCTTATTTTGTATCAGACTTTTTAGATGGAATACTATAAGTTAGTGGTCATTTAATTATGAAAATTATGATTACATCACTTTCAACTCATAAAATAGATGCTTTATGTTCAAGTTTTGCTATTACAGGTTCTATATTTATTCTCGTTACAATTTATATCTGTGATTCCAGTTCAAGAAAATAATTCTTATCCACAATAAGTGAAGACATATGGGATCAATAATTGCCACATATTATAAAAAAACCATTTATCAAGCTCAGTTATTCTAATACCATTATAAATATATTACAAAGTCATCTCATTGAGATATTCCCTAATTTTAATAGTGAATAATGTTATGGATGTAATGGAAGATAATTTTTAAGAGATTGTTAGATTGATAAAGTTTCATTATCACATTGTATTCTTAAACAAAGTGATATTTTAAATAAGACAATCAAAGCAAATTATAAATGTCATAGATTCGATTTAAGAGTTTGTAAATATGGTGTAGAGAACATGAATTTATTAGTTATTTTGGAAAAAATTATTACAACTACTCAAACAAAAGTATTCCCAAATGAAGTTAGATAGGATATAAGTAAATAAATACGAATCAATCATCAAGAATACTTACGTTTCTTTAATTGGGGTTTACTATCCCTTGTCCTTCTTAACAATCATGAAATAAAAGAAATTAAATTGTTTCTTATGATTAAAAGACTTAATAAGAGTTATCGCAATTATTTGTTACCAATTTAACTTTTTACAAAATATCAAGAAGTCTAACTTAATACATATGCCAATTTATTGAGGATATATCTTATTCAAATATACCACATATTAATTGAGCTATATTCAATGTCTTATAGAATTAGAATTTAAATTAGAGAATGTGATGAATATATAGAATTACATATTTTGATAAATTCAAGTATGTTTCATACTCTTTATCAAAACAATATTTTTATATAAAATATAGAAAGATTCATCCTCTATGAACCCTTATCTAACGATTTAAGAATACGTCTCAGTAAACAGTTATCCTTTAAATGATTATTATTAGTTGTGTAATGAAATATATTTTAAAAACGAATTTAATTTTATTGTTCAATAAATATCTAAACTGATTTAATTATTATATTTATAAATTTCAATTAACACATATAATGCCTGTATTATCAACTATGATATTTATGTATTTAATATTACTAATGATATAATCTCTATTAAACCTAAAATAAGTATGATACATTAAAGAAGCATTTTTCACAATAAATATTAAAAATTTAAATTTTAAGGTTAAAATCACATTTATTAAATTTAAAATCTATTTTTCATTCATTATTTTCTAATGAATTCTAAATAATAATATATTTATCTAGTCTAAATTAATATATGAATATTTTGATTATTTAATTTCTTATTATTTTAACCCAATTGTTAAATTACTATTTCAATTAACAATATAAAAAATTTTAAGATTATTATTAAAGTAAAATAATAATATCTTTACACTAAATGTGTTAATAATTATTATTTCCAAATTGTTAGCGAATTTATTACATTCTTAATTTATAGTTATAAAATAAGACAATTATAATATTATTATAGTAATTCCTTTTTTCTTTGGAATATTTATATTTATATCAGATTATCTAACAAAAAGTTAAATATATTGAACAATTTAGACATACATATTAAATGAATTTCTAATTAGATTAAAATATGATTTAACACATATTGAATTTTTTAATATTTTTGAATATATAGTAAAGAATTAAAAGAGGAAATCTGGACAATAATGATAGAACTAGAAAAAGTACATAATTATTATTTTTTGATATATGGGGATACTTATTATGATAATTGAAAATTTAATATCATTACCTATTATCATTTCTAATTAATTCATTAACCAGATCCTTTATTATACTTCTTCATTTAATCAGAATTAAAAGTTAGTTCTCATTCTTTATTGATTGAATTTCATTTAAGATCTTTTATATATATATATTATATTGAAATTTTATCAAATGTAATTATGGGTGAATTTAATGCTTGGTAAATAAGTGTTAATAATAAATAGGGATTATAGTAATGAATAATTTAGTGATAAATCATGAAAGTAAATTATGTTATCAACAATTACAGATTAGGATAGAACATTTAAATGAATGCTCATGCAAAATTATATATATATGTTGTAATGTACTTAAATTATAATCTCATTTCTTGGCTGGAGCTTTCTTTTAGGTTTATGGTTTATCAGCGGCAGCAGCAGCAGCGGCAGCTTTTTATGCAGCAACAACTTGAGCATTTACAGTGTAGATGTATTATTTAGAATTTTAATCTCCAGCTGGTACCAACAAACCTGATTTTGCAAAATGTCTAATGCATCTTCTTGCTAATGAACTTTAATAAGGGATAAGAGAGCAATAAATACCCATTTACTTTGAATTTATCTGATACTGTTGAGACTGTGATCAATGCACCCATTTTTGGTAATTAGGTCTCAATTTATTTGTAGGCTGTATTATCTAAATACACGGCATTGTTTAATTTATCTTTTGCTCTTCCTTTAGTCCATTTCTAAGCAATTAATCATTGATTAATATTACCTTCTTTGTTTATTTACTTCTTTAAGAGGCTGCTTTAGCAATCTAATCCTTGGTTTTCTTTTAACCTTAGGTTGGTTGTTTTCCCTAAACTATAATTTATGATGTATTACCATGATTTTAAATCTTTAATAAAATTTTTGAAATTATTTTAATATAATTCAATGTAAAATGTCACATATGCAAGTAGAAACAAAAACAAAATATCAAATCCTATTTTCTATATTGTAAATTAGAACTTATAAGCATTATATTAATAGTTCTATTGATTAAATGAAATATAAATGACAATATTTACAAATCATTATCAACCAAAAATTAATGAGATATTAAAATAAGATTGAATAATAGAATACTTCATGAAATATTAAGATTTTATTTATGAAATTTGTATTTTTAATATATTATGACATAGTAATTAATATTCTAAAAATTTTAGGGAAATATAGGAATATAATTATTAAATAAAAATAATAATCATAAATATTGAATTTATTGTTTAATTTGATTATGAATGTTAATATTGATAAATTTTTTATGAATATTTATATGTATATATATATAGTTATATATAAATTTTAATATATTCTTATATATAGTTTATATAAATTTTAATATATCCTTAATATATAATCATAAATTTTGAATTATAGAGCTAAGTTGTAGGAATTTTGAATGAATCATTAACTAAGTTAAAATTAGATATTTTCAAAAGAACGGCGTTACCAATTAATCATTTTAGGTTTATTTATCTTTTGTATTTCATTACTGTAAGAAAGATACAAATATCAATATGTTGACTGTAACAAATAGAAAATAGCAAATAAATACTAGATGTGATATTACTCTCTATTTACTCTTTTCTTTTCAATATGGTTGTTTTATGAAAGAATATAAATATATTTTTATTATGGAACCATCATAAATGTTAAAAAATTATTGTATTTTAAGGATATGCTTAATCATCTTAGAATATGAAAATAATGGTTATATTCAAGTATTTATGGTTGGGAATATTATGACATATTTTAATGGATATAAAAACAATAATTAAATGGAATGATATCCAATAAAATAATATATTTATATAATATCATTAACTAATTATGATTTTAAATAGGAATCTTATTTTAATAATTTATAAATATAAGAAAAAGAAAAGTTGTATGAATAATGAGTGAACTATGAAAATATTTAATAATTTCTAATGTATTTGTTAGTTAAGTTATAATATAATTAAATTATGGGAAACAAAGAACTCAAAGTACTGAATTATAATCCCCAAGATCCCGATTTAATTTAATTTAGACAATTATATATGCGTTATCCAAAGTAAAGCAATGTTAAGAGATCATAACTTGTCTAAAATACTTAGGAGCTTCTAGAATATGAAATAGTAATTCATAATGAGGCATTTTCTGAAGTATTTGAGCGTAATCATTACATCAATCTCAAAAAGACTTAGATGAGAGTGGATATAGATTTAACTAGATTCTGCAGTGGTTATAATGGTTAATAGATGAGATTACTTGGTTATAATACTATATTAAATGAAAAGAAATCAGTAGGCAAATTTATGCGTCTAAAAGACTTTGTTGAATTAGTGACAGAGAATTAAAAGATTAGAATATTAGATTTAAGTGATCATTCTTTTTAATTTACTCGTAAACTTAATCCAGAAGATAAATTATAAATAGAATACAGATATATACTTAAACATGAAATACTATAAAATAATGTCAGAATATTATGTTTATAACTTAATCCAGAATGTCCATATAAAATATCAATAACTACACCAGAACTTTAATCTGTAATATCACCTACTCATAAATTACAAATTAATAATAATCATATTTAATGTAATTTTTATAAGGGAACAGATTCTTCTTTATTTATATTATTATTTACAATGAAGACAGAATTGATGTGTACCAAAATATAATTTGGTGCTCCTGGATATTCAATAAATTAAAAATATTGTATGTATTTAAATTTACCATTACCTACTATAATGTATGAAGAAATGATTTATTTTAATTGTGAAGATCCACAAAAAAATTAAGAATAAGAAACTATGGAATCTATGCCATCATATTCAAGTATTACACCAGAATCAATAAATTAACATTATTGGCCTTACTTTTTCAATATAACTCCAATTACTAATTAAAGAAATATTACATTTTTTTTGGATTAAAGTAATTCAATGGAAGGAACTAAAATAATGTTAGCTAAATAAGGATTATAATTATTTATTAGATCTTTGCCATCTGAATGTTATTTTAATATTTATAGTTTTGGAAGTAAATGGAGAAAGACTTTTTAAACATATTAAAAAATATGTGAACCTATTTTAAAATAGTGTGAAAAAGAAATTAAAATGATGGAAGGTAATATGGGTAGTACATTTTTATTGGGTGCTATGAATGATGCATTATTAAATTCTGTAAAATCATCTGATGCTACATGGTTTATATTAACAGATGGTAGAATAGCAGAAATAGAAGAAATATTTACTTTATTAAAATCAAATCCTCATATTCGAGTATTCTCTTTAGGATTTGGATTAGAATTCGATTAAGAAATTGTTGAATAATTAGCTACTTAAACTAATGGAAGGTATAATATTATTATCTATATATTATAGTTCTATATTCTGTCAAAATATTTAATCATTGAATTCTTAAATGATTTAATTATTATAATTAGCTTTATTACCAAAATTTAAAATGAATGTTAAATTTGATACTCATTTACATATTACTACAATGTATCCTAGTCCAAATAGACCATAAAGAGAATTACTATGTTATTTAGATAATCAACAATTACAAGATTAATCAGAAATAGAATTAGATATTACTTTCGGAAATGAAAATGAACCTCAAGTTACTTAATAATATAGATGTAATCTAAGAGATATTCAAACTAATTATTTATTACATCTCTATGGTTATATCTAAATATTAGAAAAGATCTTAGATGAAATTTGGTATTCAGATAGTATATCCTCTATTTTATCCAATCAACTTAAAAGTTCATTTGATATTAACAATCCATTATTATTGTTATTCTTTAATCCTCTTAATATTCTTATGATTGACAATTGTGCTGTGATTTGTAACATCAATATAGAAAATCTATAAAAATTGATTAATGAACAAAAGAAATCTAGAGATTATTTGGGTCTATTATTATAATATATAAGTGATTAAACTTATGAATAAGCTATTAAATGTATAAATGCAAATGAAAAAATCTCAGAAGAATCCATATCCATTGAAATGGGTTCTAGTTATACTTAAGCTAATTAAGATTATTTAATTAAGGTTATTTAAACATAATAAATTGATGGATCTTTTATGGATTAATAAGCACTTGCCCTTGTATGTCCAAGTTAATCTATGAATGCTATATTAGCTAAAATGCCAGAATCTAATTAAAGTTAATCTCTTGTTAATGGTAGATAAACATAATAATTACCTGATTTCATATTAACATAAATATGGGTAACTGCCTTAGTAATTGCATATTTGAAAAAATATTAAAGACAATAAAGAGGTTAATGGATAATAATTTATATCAAAGCTATTAATTTCATTAAACAATATTTAAAGAATTGGTAATCATTATTATACAAAGCCAGAATTGAATTAATAAATGCAGGTCTTAAATGAAGTACAAATATATTTGATAATAAATAAATTCATCATCTTTGCCTATTGAAAACTTAAAATTATGTTATTATTTATATTAAATACCTTATGATAAATTCTTTTTATCCTCCTACTATTCTATATATAAATTTTAAATATTTATTCAATATAAATTATAAAGAAATCCTTTAAATTAATTAAAATATTTAAATGATTAAAAAATACTTATCCATAGTGGATAAATATCTAAAATTATTTTGTATTTAACAACATTTAATTTCTAAACTCAAAAAGATTTATTATATATATAATATTATTATAAAATTAGTTTATTTAAATTTTATAGATTCGAAATTATTAACTTACAAAAGTAAAATTTGACTTAATTAATAAATTTTATTATAAGAAAGGTAAAATTATCAAGTATTAAAAATTTAAAGATTAAATATTTTATCAGAATATATACATTTATAAAAATAATACATATTATATATCTTAATGAATTAGTAATATATTTCAATATTCATTTTTATTCGAATTAACCATACATGTTCTTATTAGATTTTTTATATACCTTTAATTTAATTCATATTCTTAATTGTCTTTAAATTGAATTTAATATTCTAAAAGATATGGAATTTAATCTGATTTTAAAGGATATTTAATTTAATCTAAATGTTTATAAATCATATTTGATTTTTTTCTAGTTGTTGAAAAATTTGATATAAATTTATGAACGCATTAACAAAATAAGAAAATATCTTTGGATATTAGACAACTAGGTTTCTTAAAAATCCCAGCATAATTCTTTGAAATTTTACACTTTAAGAGTCTTTAAGTAATAGATTAAGCTGAAGAATACTTGTTTACCTAAAAAATATTTGCTATTTATTGTAATGGTTTCATTATTATCCTTAAGAAAATCGAAGATATCAATGTAATTACAATAGCTATGGCAATTAAAAGAGCAGTTCCTTTTATCAATTCATTTTATATTTAAGCTTTCATCTAAATTGAATGATTTGAAATATACTAATCATATGAAAATTTATTTTAATATCTAAATATTTATGATAAATTTACAAAATGATTTATAAATTATATTATTCTAAGGAAGTATGCATCATATAATAATTCTAATTATCTATTTTATTTTATCTACAAATGAATCCAATATCAAAATGATTACAATTACTCACATTTGTATAAGTTAATGCTTACCAATCCTCTAAATTAAAACCAGTTTTAGTTTCATTATAAAAATAGTCATTACCTAATTCAAATTCAGAATTATTGAATAGATTGCTGACCAATAACATTCCGTCATTTGTAGTTAAAATTAAGTTAGTTTCCATCTACTCATTATTAATAAAATCTTATAGAATTTTCGATTAGATATGAACTCTCAAAGCTCCAATCATACTCTTACTGAAATTAATTAGTGGTAAAGCTATAGAGAATCTAATGTCATTAAAAGGGATTGCTTATGTATATTAATTAATTTCATACTTAAATAATGCTCAGTCAATCGAATAGAGTATTATTAAAAATTGCTTCCATTATATGCCTTTTAAGCTTCAATGTACCAAGGCCTGGTTTTAGGTTCATATATAGTGTAGTTAGTGAAGTCTAAACAAGGATAATTAAAGAGGTATTATGTTTGAGAATCAAAAAACCCCATAAATTATTAAACACCAAATTAATGTGTAGGTAAGAATGTATTAAATTAAATTAAATGCTAAAGAGTATTTATTAGATCATCTTAGTTTGAATTGATACTTGAGTTATTTAGATTACAATAACATGCTGTCTGAATCTAAAAATAATTGTATAAATTACTTCAATTAATGTCTCATGATAGCAATTTTAATTTCTTATCTCTTATGAATTTACTTTAATATTAGTTTAAAGTTGCTAAAAATTATACAACCGATGCAATGATATTAGTGGCTAAGATACTACATAATATAAATGATTATTACATTAGACAAAGAAAGTAACCCAAAATACTTCTAAGCTTTGTTTAGTTATAGATGCTTATCTTTAAGAGTTGAGATCAAATATTATTTCAGAAGATTTCTCTAATTCTTAAGATATCTCTTCCGTGATTAAAGTGCATAAGATAATTGTACTAACTAGTATAATAAGCATAGAACAACAAATATAAATATATAAAATTGTTCTTGCTTTTAAATTAGATGTGCATCTGATTATTGAAGATTGTAGTATAAGTTACTTTATATTCATATAATCTCTTATCTATTTATTCTTTTTGACTCCTTTATACATAATTTAAATAAATATTTATTGTTGATTGTAATAAATCAAAATAATAATAATAAGAGATAATTTAGAATTCTTAACTGAAAATGCACAAATATTTCAACCGTTCAAGGCGTTAATTTCATTGTCAAGATGAGGATCATAACTAAAATCATCTATTGGTAAACAATTAAGAGGACTGTTTTGAGGTCTATCCTAATTTTTAATTGGACTCAAAGATTCTTCTTATTCTACTTTATTTTTTTAGGCTACAGTCTCAAGAGGAGATTATAATTGACCTTAAGAGAGAGCTTGAAAATCAATATTCTAAAAAAAATTGTGACGTTTGAGATCATCAAAGGACTTAGCTCCTAATCTCTCTTTAGGATTAAATCTCAAAAGACTAGAAATTAGATTGCGAGCGTTGCTTGAGATTTTAGGAGAATAAATGGGTTTGTTTTACATAATGAGCTTTAAAAATAATAGAAATATATATACATTTTGTATGATACAAACATTACGATCTTCACAAGTAAATGGTGCATATCCTGAGAGCATCTCATAAATAAGGATTCCTAATGTCCAAAAATCAACTTCATAAGTATGACCAGATCTAGCAATAATTTCAGGTGCCAAATATTCAGGAGTACCTGCAATCTAAATTTAATATAAATATTTATACTGTATATGAATGTTCATCTTTAATGTATGTAGCTAATCCAAAATCGGTTAGCTTTATGTGTCCAGTTTCTGTAAGTAATATATTTTCTGGTTTTAAATCTCTATATATAATTTTTAGTTATGTATGTAAATATTCTAATGCCAAGATGATCTCAGCAACAAGAAATTTCACTACTTTTTCTTATAATGCACCATTCTTTTTTAAAACTCTATGTAAATCACCTCCTGATACATAACTATTTTTATTATTAAATTTAATTTACTCCATTACAAAATAACATCTTGAGGATGTTTAAAAAGCATACCTTAATTTAACAATAAATGGACATTCACTACTTTTCAATACAAATCTTTCTAAAAAATTAACTGTTTCTAAATTATGATCTGATAAAGTTTATTTTTTTAATTCCTTCATAGCATATATTTATCCATTATCCTTTTTCATTATCTTATAAACTGAACCAAATGCTCCCTATATTTATTAATAATTTAAACTTTTCCAATTAATCCTAAATTTAGAAAATCATCTCGATTTACTTTCCTCCTTTTAGGTGAGGCACTTTAAATAGTAGGAGATTCATCAAACACAGGACCTACTTCAAATTTATCTAATGAGCTTATCCTAGTTGGTGAACTACCTGCCTCACACATATTCCCCATGATTTTATATTAATTATAATTTTGCCGTATTTTATAATAAAAACAAGTATATAAATAATTTAATAATAAATCATTATTCATTAGATAATAATTTGTAGCTTTGATTCAAATGATGTAATTTATTTATTAATGAATCAATTTTTTAATTATTTTCTTTCATTTTTTATGATGATAATTTATTCTCTTATTATTTTATATTACTAAAACTAGTTCTATTTAAATCTCTTTAGATTAATCCACTTTATTCATTAGTTTGATTACGATATTATTACATGATATCTTTCATCTATTTAATTTAACTATCCTCCTATTCACTTAGATTACTAAAATCCATTTCTTTAGTTTATGTATGATTAGTCTTTGGTTAAAAGGAGGACTCAAAAGATCTAAAACTTTTATCTCCCAATTATTATTCAACAAAACTATTATATAAAGTCACTTCTCCTAATTCTTTAACTTTTTCTGAAAACTCTTTCAATTACTATTTTACTTATTTACTATCTTGTAAATTCCATTTATCATCTAAACAAACTATTAATTTATTCAATAATAATAATTAATTATTCATTTGATCATACATTTTTTTAAGTTCTTTACTATTCATTTATATTGATCCATTTAAATTACTTTTACTTGATTTCTTAGAATTAAAACAAGATGTTTTCTCTAATTTATGAAAAATATCTTGCATAACTTCTCTATCATTATTAGTTAATTTATCATCTTCAACTTTCATTACAGCTTTAGAAGTAGTCTTAAATAATCTTTATTATTCTAATATAATAAAAAACTGTATACAATTATTAAGATTGCTAATTATTTAATTTACATTATGATCTCCTCGAAAGCTAACATTATTACTTTAAGTTTATATCACATATGTTTAAGATTACTAAGGTTGATTGTTAATAAAATATTATGGTTATTATACTAAATTGCATACTGGTACTGAGAAACTTTAATTACTTAAATATTAATTAGTTTATTATCTTATTGGAGGACAAGAAACTGCTTATTGAGTTTGTATTCTATTTTATTATGATTGATGTTTAAATTAGTTAGTATTAAACTCATCAAATTTATTAGGAGATCTTGATACTCTAAATTAATGAGTTTTATAGGAATAATATTATGACTCAGATTTATATTGTTATGTAGAATTGTCATCAAATATTGGTTTCTTACATATTGGTGCTGAATAATCTTTAATTTCATTAAAAAAGTAATACCTCTTTGTTTTTTTAATGGATTTATTTATTCTAATCTATTCTTTATTCCATTAGATTCACAACATCCCATATTCGTTAATTTAATAATAAAACAGAATTATTAATCAATTTTAAGTAATTTTATATGATGATATTAAATGACTTAGTTTATATAATATTAAGTTTGTTAAGATTACAGTTTATTTAAGTTGATTGAAATATTCAACAGAATAATATGATTAATAATTTATTAAGTTTAAATAATAATAATTTTAAAATCTCTTAGACATGTAATAAAACATAAATGGATCAAATATAAAGAGTCAAATCAGAGTATCTTCTTTGTCAGAAAAAGAAGAAGCATAAGAAACTTTGGAAAGTATACAATTAAATTATAATATTAGTCATATAGGAAATGTCATAAATTTTAAATTGTGGATTAGATAGATAATAATTAGCAATTCTAGTTAGTATGATAGAAAATGGTGTGAATCCAGAAGCTTTGTCATTGGTTGTAAATGAGATGAAAACTGAGTTGAACACATACAAAAAAATACATAAATAATGATTTTATATTCACTTTTTCACAAAACTAAATATAGTTGATTAAGTTTATTTAAGTGCTTTTTCTATAGATTTTATTGATTATTTTTTTTAAGTAGATTGATCTTATGTAGGTTTGCTTTTTATCTATAATAATAACAATAAATATATACTTAACTTAAGCATTATGTATTAATAATTTTGGATTTATTTTAAAAGGGATTAAAGAATTCAGATGAACTCTCATTAGAATTTATTTCTTCATCATCATTTTTCTAAATAATTTAAACTTACTTTTATTTTGTTTTAAAGAGTTCTTCATTATCATCTTCTCCTTATACTATTTCTAATTCATCTACATTTTATTAATTATTCTTTTCTTATTAATCAAAAATCTCTTCACATAACTAAAATATATTCAATTCTTCTTTTTAAATCTAAGTACGTTTTGGTGCCAAAAATTACTATTCTCTTATAACATTTGCAGGTTTTTCAACAAATTCTGGTAAATTATCAATATCTGCAGTTTATAAAAATTATTAAACTCTTTGTTTAGCTTCAATATCTACAATTTATTGCTTTGAATTTTCTAATCTCCTTTCAATTCTTTTAAATAATTAATTAAAATCTATTTTCATTCTTTCTCTAAAAATCAAAGTCTTGATATCCAAATCACCATTACAAAATTGAACTTACAGATTTTCTTAGATTTTTTCACCCACTAATTATTCAATCTAATTAAGAGGTAAGAATTGATCTTATTCAAGTTTTGAGATAAAATCTTCATATTTCTCTTAATTTAATTATATCCATTATTTCTTAATTGTACAATATACTGTTTAAAATTAAAAGATCAATCTAGTTGCTTTAACTATTTTTTCATATTCCTCAGGTATCTTACCAATAAATTATTTAACCTTTTTCAATTTACTAATTACATTACTAATATCATTATATTTAGACATAAAATCAATAGCTTTTCTTATACCCATACCTCTAATAGATGGGACATAATCACATCCACTCATAATACAAACATCAATCAATTATTCATTCTTAAAAGCTAGAAATTATCGTATATCATCGCTTTTAATATGTGCTCTATTTTATCTTGATTCTCTCAACTTTTATAATTCCAATTCAAAACAGGCTCCATTATTTTACAATTTAAAAACAATCAAAGGACATTAATAACATATTAAATCACTCTGAAATATATAATTAATTATTACATCTTCAGTTATTGCAAAATCACACTATCCACTTAAACACATATGGGCAATCTAAGAATCAGCCTCATATGGTGCTATAATGTATTATACTTCTAATTCTTTCAATACATCAAATGTAGTGTACATCATTTATTTTCGTATTTTTAAACATCTTTAAAAGTATTTTTTAGCCTCTTCTTAATTTCCGCTTTCTGATAATTCTTTTGCTTTTAATAAATTTTGCTGTTTTATTTGCTTTCTCATTTATTCAGTCTTCTCTTTAGCTCTTAAATTTCGACCATCAAATACTAATATTGGAGTTATTTCATATTCTCTTAACATAACCAACTAATTATTAGAACAATTCTAATTACCATTTTTTAAACATAATAAAGATAATCATTTGTTTTGATATCTTGATTTAATTCATGAGCACAAGAATAACACCCTCGATAAAGCCAAGACATGGCATCAATTGCTGCAGTTTTACCACGATAATAAGTAATACATCTTTCAACCAAAGCTGGTTTCAGAAAATTGAGCAAATTATCTATTCCCATTTAAATTTAATATAAAATTTATTATCCCGCCTTTTTTTTCTATAAATATATTAATCATTTATCGGATGTAATTATATATCTTCTACAACATCAAAATATCTATAAACATTTTACAATTAGAATATTAAATGAATATAATTTAATTACTATTACCTAAATATGATAATCAACAGAATTAATTAATCTTACTGAAATTAAGTTAATTTTTTTATAAAAATAACTACTTTTATAATTAGATCTAAATATTGTCTAATAGTCAAACTGACATTCCTGTAATAGTTACATAAAATATATCAATTTTAAGTATTGATATAAATTATCTTATTTTTCATATGTATTAAAAAATAAAGATAAGAAATTGTTAATAGAAATATCTTGTTAGAATATTATTTAATATATACTAATGATGAGTTTATTATTAGAAATAAAAAATCAATATAAAACTATATTTTTAATTGAGTATTAAATAGATCATTTTTTAAAATTAAAAAAGTCTAAAGGCAATCCAGCTTTCGCAGTTTTAGGGATTGATGTTTATTTTGTTCTTTTTTCTGATAATTTAATTTTAAGTTCTCTTGTTGATAGCATGAGTAAATCAAGTATTTTATCTGGAACTTCAGTTTTAAGTTTAGAATTGATATTTTATTTTTCATTTCTAAAATCTAATTTGAGATTAGTGGTTTCATCTGTTTATTTATTTAATGGATAAATTTGTTTGCAAATAGATTTAATCTATTCCTTAGATTGTATTTATTTGGATGTCAGTATAGGAGTTCTATAACAAATGATTCTTTCACTACAAATTTATATGTCAGGTTCAGTTTTGATAACAGTTTTATCTTTATTAAAGCTTTGGTAGTCAGTAATTTATTATTATTTAGGAGATTGATATGAATTAGAATTTAATTATTATTTAACTAAATAGCCATTGATAATTTTAGATTGTTTGGGTAGTTATTTAATAGCTTAATTGATTGATTACTAGATTGTTTCAACATCTTAGGATTTTTATCTTCGAGAAGAGTGTAATTTTGTTGAAGTAATGTTTTTTTAACTTTTGAATTTATGTTAGTTAATATGGGAATCTTTATTATTGTGTAAGGATTGATTTACATGTTTTTTGGATTTAAGTAATTTTAATCTGATGATATTATAAATTTATACTAATCAGCAATATTGTCAGGATTTCTGTTTAGACATGCTTACTATGGAATGTGGTAACTAATTTGGTGGGAAGGTACATAATATGCATGATTCATGATGTTAGAAAATATTAAAAAAATTAATCAATGTAAAATTGAATTAGGTAAAAGAGCATTAAAAAAATCTGTTGGGAATTTAGTTCTGCCACCTTTAGGGATTAATAATTTATTTGATTGTCTAGTATTTATTTTAGAGTTGCCAACTTTATTTAATTCTGCAAATTTCCTTTTTAAATCTTATGTTGAAAGACATAACAAGTCTAAAATTTTCTCTTTGGTTTATGAATTGTATTAATGAACATTTTATTTATTTTCTTTAGTATCTTATAGGAATTGACTATCTTAATCTAATTTAATAAAAATTTGATTAGATTTGTCTTTAGAATCAATTTTCTTAATACTTCGAGTAAGTTGATGGCCTAAGATTGAAGATAATTTATCATTAGGTTCTGTTGGAATTGATTGTCTATGTAAACGAAAGAGTATTTCTTAAGATTCATCTTATTTTGATATAGAATGAGTATGGACATCATTAGGTTCTGTCTTCATTTTTACAACAGGAGTATAATTTAGTTTTCTTTCTGTTCTCAATTTAATGTTATTCATATGATGACTCTATAATTTCTTATTTTATTTAGGTGTTGTAACTTGTTCATCTGATTTAAGTCTTCTTGCTGTAGGCATCTTATACACAGAAAAATCATTTATTATTTTAAACTTAGTTATGGATCCTTCTGGAAGTGGTGAATTAAGTGTAGGAATTGTTTTAGCTACTTGATTCCGATATCTTAATATAAACAAAGTATACAGATCCTTAAGATGAACAGGAGAATGTAATGGTTGAGATATTATTGGAGTCTTTCGTCTTGCTCCTTGACTATTAGAGGGAGTTTCTATTTTATTGGTGAAGCTATTTTTATTGGCTGAATGACGAGATGAAAGATTAGGAGGAGGTCTTATGAAATAGGGTTATTGTTTCATTTATATATACAATATAATAATATTATGAGATTTCTAATTGTAAATGGTTTCAATGCGACACAAATAAATGCAAGAATATTCGATCATTTTAGAACAAGCATCCAATAAGTTAAGTTTTTAAATATGTAGATGATATCCTCCTAAAGAGAAGTTGCAGATACTGAATGTGAATATCACATAAGAGATCGTCATTCCTTGGATGATTTCCTCTATGAACCAGAGACTAGTTTGATTAGAATGGAATACGGTCTTAAATTTGATTCACTTGATATAGTCTTTATTATTGCATCACCTAATTAAAAACCATGGCATCCAAACATGAAGAAAGTAATAAAATTTCTTATTTAAGGTTATTACTCTCATAAGAATGTGTTTAAAAACTAAGAAATTACTATTCACTACTTCTTTTGGAGCTTAAGCAATTGCTTATCTTTGTTCAACAAATTTCTCTGTGGTAATAAATATATCAATCTTAGCATGCTAATATCACTAACAATCATGGAGATGGTTGTAAATTAGTCGACTTTCCTAAATATACTTTATAAGCACTAAAAAATGGACCAAATGAATACTTTCTAGATTCCACTACTGGAGATCTTTATCTATATAGTAAAGTTACAGATGAGTGGTTACCCAAAGCTAATACTGGTCTACATAATAGAAGAGATGCCATGGAATATTAATCTATAGGTAGATTCGTTGTCAAATCTCCTACTTATAAACCTAAGTAAAATATATTGGCTAATTAAAATGAAATGCTTTGTTCAATCAAGAAATAATTCTTACATCATTGGCTCTTTAAAGGAGTATAAATGGAATTCCCAGTCAATTTAATACATCAATGGGACATTCATGCTATCACCTTTACAAATCCAGATAGAGTATATCTTTTTATTAAAAAAATCTAGAAATTCTTGGCCTTAGCTGAAAATAATTTAAGAGGACCATTGATTATAGAAAGTGACAATATTATTGCAACTATGTTTGAATTAGAATCTAAATAAAAAGATACTATGAAAATATTATCAAATTTCATTGATAATGCTGTTAAATTAATAAGATTCAACAACACATATAATTCTGTTAGCATTACTAATGAAAAATACTTCTCTGTTAATAAGGGATTAGATAATATAGAAATTGTATTCTAATAAAAAAAGAAAATCTCTAATCTCAATCCAGAAGATTTACTCAAAAAATAATAAAAAAATTTCATGCTTGAATATAGAAAATTATTGAATAATGCAATCTAAGAAACAGAACGTGATAAAATATTCCATGTTGGTTTCTCTGTTAAAAAAGATCGATTACCAGAGTATTACTTTATTAATATAGTTTTGTTTAGCAAAATAATATTCAAGATAAAAATTACAAAGTTGTTAGAAGAAAATCATTTTAATTGAAGAAAGCCTAATTCTTAAGACAATAAAGTCAAATCAATATTGGAGGAGATGATGAATAATAGATTAGAGATTTGTAAGATGAATCTCCAAGAAGAAAGTTACCATTTTCAAATGTTGTTACTACAGCAAGTACAAATAAAAGACTTCATTCTAAAATGAATTCTCATCCTAAAACACCATTAACCATTGAAAATGAAGACATTCATCCATAAGACCCTGATTTTTAAACTTTGTGTCAATCTACAGCCAGAAAAATATTACATCCAACCTTAGAAGATGAATTTCTTGGATCTAAAAAGATATGGGTTCCTGGTTATCTATCAAAAGATAGATTTAAAGTAGCAAATACTCCTGGGACTCAACGTTCAATGAGAACATAAATTCTGAGAAATCATACAGAGTCCTTAGTATGAAATAATCATATTATTTTTAAATTATTAATAATAATTAATTATATTCTAAAATATTGTAAATTTTGATATTAATTATAAATACAAGCGTTTTTAATTCTTTTAGTTGTTATTCATATTATATATTTAGTTAACTTACAAATTATTATTTTAAGCCATAGGATCATATCTTAAAATTGTGTAATCCACAAAAATTTATTTGTAATTTATAAAAGTATGAAATAATCACATTAAATTATTTCAATATTCTTAAGATATATTATAGAAAACAACATTTATTGATAAATTCATTTATATATAATTTATTCTCCATTATAATTTTATCATATGAAATTATCTTATATCGAGTTGAGAACATTATTGAGGCATTTTATTATACTATATCTTTAGTTTTTGTTTATTTTGACTTTAGTTAAGTGGAGTTTGATTTAATTTATCAAAGTGGAATTTGAATTCAAATAATATGAATCTGGTTGATTAAAGAAAGATTTTCAGACACTCTATTGGTTTGACTATTCAAAAGGAAGATTAAGTTTATAGAAAATTGAAAGATGATCAAGATTAAAGAAAGATGAAATAATTATAGTTGTTATAAAATAAATTTAGGAAGTTCCAAAATTATAATTATTAGATGGCGATAATTTATTAGAATAATCAAAGAAAATTTGAATAAAATGATAAACAGACAAAGATTAAATCCTAATTTATAGGATTTCTTTGACTTTTCTCCAGAATCAGCAAGACTCAATAATCAACAGTTTGGTTGAATTTGTAAACCTTAAATCAAAAAAAAAGTTGGTATTTAAGATACAAAGCGATTCTATTCTTAAAATATTTGTAAATAGGAATCTGATGGTACTCAATGTCTAGTTGAAGAATATCAAATAAAATTATAATAAATCCTTAATCCTATTATTTAATAATATAATTAGATATTTGGAAAATCTGTTGAAGTCATTTCAAAGACTTAATTTGATATCTATTCATTCTTATACTAAGAAGAATAAATAATTAATTAGATATCTCCTAATATAACTAAGAAAGATAACGTTAGAAGTGATTAATCTAATTAGAGTTATTAAATTTAATTAATAATAAATTTTTAGAATTTTACATAGAAATTTTAAGCTAATTCTAAAGATCATCTAGATTATAGAAAAAGTGTATATTATACATGTTTGCTAAAACCTATTAACTGGATTAACTAATAAAACATTAAAGGGAACTTAAATACATCATTTTCAGTTGATATTAAATCTCAAGCAGCTTATTTCATCAAGTCTAAAACTTGGAAAGTTTATCAGATTAAAATGAAATGAATTTGGAGTTATTCTAAAATTATTGTATATAAATTTCGTTTGTTTATTTTAACAATGGTGGGGGTCTTTCGACCTCTAAAAATTTCTGTAAGTCACCGGTATGAGCCCAACCCACGGTAATCTTTAGTAAAAGGCGAAAAATTAGCACGTTATAGGTTGAGCTCGGTGATGAATAATTTATATATAATTTTAACTCACTTTATATATTTAATTAAATTTATAGATTTTATGGGTTTAAGCATAATTATTAAATAATATTTCATTTAGTAATTAATTATTTTAGTTACAAAAAAAGGATTTAAAACAAAAATCCAATAACTATGACTATTAGGGAAATAATGTAAATCTTATTGTATGATATGAAAACCAATCTTTAATCAAATTAACTAATTAAATATAAATATTTGGTAATCCTCATTATATATGTATGAATATATACTAATTCTTATTACAAATTTTGAGAGTTATTTTAAGCACTATCATATTAAATTAGCAACATTAAATTCAATTAATAATAAACTTTTAATTATTTACAAAATAAAGTTTTTGTATCAAGTAAATTCTATAAATGAAATATTTTAATACAGATCAAACCTGTACTAGCATAATTTATTAATATCATTTAGTTTTAGAATCAACATTAATTAATAGGCAAGCAAATTAAATTTTTTTATCACATGAGACAAATAAGTATCATACACATTTACCAACATCAATCTTTTCTACAATTACTAATGAATAAAATCTATTCAAATTTTTAACTTAAATTGATAATATATATTAATATTAATAAATAAATATATGAGTGAAAGTGAAAGTGAAAAATAAGAGGCTTAAATGGATTATTACAAAGAAGCAGTGAAATTATATTACTATAATTGTATCTTGTACAATCATGTAAAGAATATAATAAATGGAGTTGGAAAAAGTAATGACGGAAAGAAATGATCTAAAAACTAAAGTGCTTAAATATGAACTACTAGGTGGAGAATTGGCATAATTAGATGATGATGAAATTATGAATTAATTGGAAGATAGAAAGAAAAAGAGTAGGAGAAGTGCTGCTGATATTGATCGACATTTTTTTTGTTCCTTTACTAATTGCAAAAAAGCCTATGGTACAGAAGCTTCACTTATATAACACTAAAGATTAAAACATGGATAAAATAATGGCATGGATGCATATTTTAGAATTTGATATAATTATATGTCAATTAAGATTATTAAACTTTTATTAATAATCAATTTGTTATTTCAGGTAGAAAAATCATCTTTATAAAAAACATTCTTATAAAAATATTCTTCAGTTAATAGTCTATGCAATACCTATAACTATTATTTTGATGAATTTATAATATTATAGTAAATTATTATATTAAATATATCTAAGAATGTCAAAAATTAATATTTAGTTAAAATAATAATACTATATTTTCATTAAATATTACCAAAGTATTTAAAATTGCCCAAAAAAAATACTGAGAAGATCTTAAAGTGCACAATTTACCACTTTTCTAAATGCTACTAAATTGTTTTTATGAAAAATTTTTAATATTATTACACTCCTAATCAATTTTTAAAGATAAAAACATCATTAAAAAAGTATCAGTATTATGGAAGCACAACTAAATGGATTTTTCAAAAAGTTTAATTTCTACTAATTTCATCAATATGCCTTCTAATGAGTATTTTACATTGAAGAAAATCATTAATTAAGAAGATTTAATTTCAAAAAACAGAGAATTAATAAATTTTAATTACAATTGATCAATTAAGATTAATTAAGGTTACATTAGATTGCCAATAGATGTTTATTTTAAGATAATCTCTAAAAATAAATAAAAGATATATTTTTAGAAATCTCAAAAAAGTAGTTAAGCTATTTAAAAAATTACAAAAGAATTTCTTAAACAGGAATTAATTTAAAATAGGATATTAGAGAAAATATTTAAAATAACAATCTAATAAAACTAAATAGTTCAAGCATTTTTTTTATTAGTACTTCAATAAAAGATAATCTAGATGGATTACAGATTTTAGGATATGTTGATTGAAATCAGTTTCCAGATTTGATCTTAAATCAAAAACATAAATAAAATTTACTTAACTTATTACCATAATTTCAATTACGGATATAATTTTATTCTAATATAGTTTATTTTACAAAAAATAGTGAAGAGAAATTTAGAAGTTTAATAATAAGATTACATATAATGTTATTAAAGTATATTTAATATATATATATTCCAATATTATGTTATATGATTAATTGTTATGACAAATTATATAATAATAATTGAATTATATTATACCTATTTCACATTCTTATAGAAATCTAAATAATTGATTTTTGTTTTCTTTCTGATTACTGATAAAATTGATAAATACAAAAATGCTACTTCATTTTACACTAATTTTATCAATTCATTCTTATTTTAATTAATTTTCTAATTTTGTAATTATGGACTTTGTAAATGAAAAGTATGCTGTCATACCAAAATCAATGAAGGTAAAAGTAATTCTTTAAGTGAGAGTGATGAAGAAATTCAAAAAAATATGGCACCAGAGAGTAATTCTTTCATCGAAAGAGCTAAATTTTTGTTGTTAAAAGGATAAATTTTCTAAAAAATATTTGTTTCAAAGAATATTCGAGAATCTTTATCTGATCCGAATGGCGCATTATAATTATTAGAAATAATTGCAAATTAATTACATTCATTACATGATGAAACATTAATAAAAGAATACATTAATGCTGTGAGTGAAATATTCAATAAAATCTAAGTATTAAGAATTAACATTTTTAGATCACTAATTAATTAAAATAGTCTTATAGTGATATTTGCTTCAATATTTTTACAAAACAATATCAATAATATGAAATAATTAATTCTTGTGCAGAGATATTAAAATATTTAGATGACCTTGAGATTTATAAAGAAGGATTATATCTTGAGACTGATAATCAAATGTATCAAATACTAAAGATAATTGAAATATATTATCATAAATTTACACCTGAATTAAAAAAATAAGCTCATCTTTAAATAAAATCTAGCATGAAGCATAAAGATGAAAGAGTTCGTAAAATTATTTCAGAAATATTACTAAGTAATCAATAATTATTAAAATCCATATTACGTGAATTTGATTGGATTGATAAATTTACTACATTAATTTATGATTCATCTAAAGATGTTAGAATGAGCTCAGCAAAATTATTTTTAGCTACATATGAACTGAATGAAGAAATTCATAAATCCAGATTATTACTTTTATTAGAAAATATAATTAAATAATTAGATTCAACTTAATTTGAGTTTTGCCAATCAATATCATAATATGTATTATTTAATCATAATATTTAGAGCTTAAATTAAGATAATTTGTAATCACTTTTGATTGAAAAAATTACTGAAATCATAAATCATAGTAATGAGAATGCATTTCGATTTTTAGAATCATTACATAAATATTATTCAATAATAAAATAATTTAATGAGAAGTACTCTATTTTCATTGATGAATTATTATTAAATTCTTTATAAATCCTTTCAGAAGATATGAGAAATTATGACATATTAAAGTGTTTGTCAAATTTATATTCTAGTTTATCCTAGGATATGTAATTTAAAGTAATTTAAAAATTATTTCTTAATTTTGAATTTAATTAACTAATATTTATTCCTTATTTATATGAAATTATTGAGAAAGCAACATTAATAAATAAAAATAAAATTTGGCTGTAGTAACTTTAAACAATATATGAAATGTTTAAAAGAAATGTTTTTTAATATGAAACAAAAGGTTTGTGGAATGAAATATCAAATATGATTGATATTATGAAAATAATATCTAGAATCTTATTTTTACAGAAGGATTTTCTACAATAATGTCTAAAAATGAGTCATATGGGTTCAAAATAAATTAGAGATAAAATAATGAATTTTTTGATTGAAAAAATTATAGAATTAGACTCTCTCGAAAGTAGAGATTAAATAATTCAAAATTATACAGGATTTATTAATCATTAAAATTACTAATTAAGATAATTATCAATAGAGTTCATCATTAAATTATGTTAATAAAGATCGAGAAAGTTCTTTATTTCAAACAACTTAATAAATGTATTATAATTGTAGTACGATCCGGTTGCTTTAGTAAGAGCAAAGATTCCTAAATTGCTTTTTTAAATAAAATTACTATTTTGGAATGATGAAAAAGAAATTCTTAGTAGAATTGTTTAAATCTTCTAGAATCTGATGAACGATAAGAAATTATACATTTAATAAGTACATACTTATATAATAAGATCTCCAAAGACTTTTGGGCCGAACTAACAAATATTTAATTTTCGAGTGCATAAATGACAATAGAATAAAACTAGATTATGGACGAAAGAGAACAATAAGAATATGCAAATTTAAAAGTATAAAAAAATAATATTAGATGATTAAATAGTAATTGTTACTTAATCCTAAAAATATTAAAAATGAAGTCAGCAAATCCAGAAATCAAACTCCGACATAAAGATTACCACCATTAAATAAAAGATAAAATAATTTCTTGTAAGTTCCTAAAGGCCCTTAACCAAGAAAAACATCTGCTCAAAGAGTTATTTAATCAAAGTCTCCACAACCCTTTAAATGATTTATTATATATTTTAAAATGTTCACATTTAGAACAATTTACAAATTTACAAACAAAACAGTTGATACAGAGGCTCTGTTAAAGAAACTCTAGACAAAATCTTTAATCACTTTAACAAGAGACAATTATTAATTGAATATGGGTCTAATGATCCAAAGAGATATAATATTTCTTCATTATACAGAGGAGGAAATGAAACTTAGAAAATTCAGATATTAATTAGGTAATCATTAAGGATACATGCTTAATAGAAAAAAGAAACAATTATATTGCAAAATTGCCAAAAGAATTGCATGAGTACACTCATTTTACGGGGGATTAGAATGTTTTTGGAGACGATACACCAACCCATGTAAGATTAGTTGGGGATGTCCGTACAGTATTTTTAGAAAATAGCAAATTCTTTAAACATTGTGGTATAAATGCAATTTAATTCTTAGATCCAAATGAAAAAAATAATAAGTTGATTTAATACAATTCTTTGCACACAGTATACTTATTGGTTAAATAAAATGGTATATGGGGTTTTCCAAATATCAACATTGAAGAAAAAGAAACTTTTTAGGAAACATAAACAAAATTATTCGAAAAGATGACATAAAATTCATGGCAAGTATTAATATATTATCATTTAGGTATACTACTTTAATAGAGACCCAAGATTAGTGACTGTTGATCCTAATCCTGATGAAAATGCAAAAATCAAAGGAATTAAAACAATCTATTTTTAAGCCAAACACTAATAAGGAAAAGTTTAGATTTTTGGATATGATGATTGGGCTTGGGTTTCTAGACTGGAAATGAATAAATATCTAACAGAGAATGCTTATAACTAAGTTATCCATGCTTTAGATTTGTGAGTTTATATTTTAAAGTATATTAAGAGAATTTTATATTTTCTGTTTTAAATAAAGTAATTAAAACATAATATTAATCAAATTTTAAACTTAGGTTTCAAAGACTTTTTTTTTGGAAATATTTCTCTATTCTCTTTATCACAACTAGGTTCTTGTAAAGAATAGCTTATATTTCTTAATGGTTATTTTGTAATCAATTCAATTGAATAATTATGCCTTTTCTTTAAAGGAGAATTTGATAAAAAGTCTTCATTTATATTATTTGAGATTTATTTCAGCTTATTTTTCAGATCCTAATTTGTAGAACTTAATTTATGAATTGAAACTTAATTTTCTTAATGAACTAATTTTAATGCTTAAATTTCTTATGTATAACCATCTAATTTTTTTGCTAAAAACCTTTCAAATTAAAATAATTGCTTATTTATATTGCTCATCATCTAATTATAATCTATTTTCAAATTTATTTCTCTAATTACCCATGCACAAAGCTATTTATACTCTATTATAACACTTTCAATGAAATTAGTGTTTGTGCATGATTTTTTTGATAAACAATTTTATTAAGAACCTCCACTAAAATGAAAATAAAACTAATTACTTGTAAGGCACTCTTAATGGAGTTATTGATTATTCTGATTTACAGGAGGCTCTATAATTATGAGAAATGTTTGAAATTGTGCTCATCATTGTCTTCATATTATTCGTTAAAATAATAATCAAATTATATATTATACTAAACTTGCAATTATCAATAATTCTCAATATTAATTATAAATTATAAACAATATTTATTTATATGTAAAACTTCAATTTTTTCATTTTTCATGATTCATGAAATTATATTTCCGATAATTTAAGCAAAACAACATTAGTTTTTTGGAATTTTTCATTAATATATAATATGATGATCAAGAAAAAAACTTCCAAAAACAATTTTAGGAGATTTAGATCAAAATTTTGTGAATTCTATTTTAAATTCAACAAATACTCCATCAAATAACAAATAACGTTTTAAATAATAAAGCTTTTAAAATTAGGAATGCAATTTACGATTGACAACCCAGATACTTTAAATTCATATTATTATTTAAGAGGATTCAATAGCTTTATGCCGAAATAAAAAAACATATATCTCAAAGAAATAATTTTAGAAAAAGCCTTATGCCAATGTTAACCTAATGCGTAATATTAAATCTTTTAAAAAAATAATCTAATTATGGAATAATTAGAGCTAAATTAAGGATAATAAAAAAAAAAATAAGAAAAAATGTTCCTTTTATGTTAATTATATGATAAAAACATAAAATCTTCTAAGAATTCAACAGGTATATGTAAAGTAAGACAAAGACTGAAAGGAGTTATGTCAACACATAGAATTTTTTTAGACTAGCAGTTAAACGATGATCCACTTAAATTAATTGAAGACAATAAAATCTTAGATATCATATGAAGGATTCAAAAAAATCAAAATGAACTAATTTCCATTAAAAAAAATAGATAATAGTTTTTTCAATTCTACCCGAAATGAGAACTTTGAAATTCTATTATTTAATTAAACATAAAATTACTTAATATACTCCAGTAAATACCATAAAAAAAAATAAAATATAAATTGATTTGTTTTATTTAAATTCCCTCATTCGATATTAATTAAATTAGACAAATAAGGATTCTTATAATTCAATAAAGCTATTTCATTTGAAAGAATATCATATTTATGGATAAAATCAACAAATTTTTCAAAAATCTTAAACAATTTTTCAATGAAAATATAATTTTAATAAACCCCTTTTATTTAGAGCAAAACTAGTTTTACTTGGTAAAGCCTATCTAAATAAAAATTAATTTAGATTTATCTTAGAACTTAGTGATCCTTCTAAAATTAGATTGAACTAAGATTTCTGCCTAAGTTAAACAAACACTTAAGTGTAAAAATGCCAATAATTAATAAGGAGTAATAGGATTTTCTTATGTTAGAAAAGTCTGATGGGCATCTACAAAAAATAATTCTAAATAATATATACTTAAATTAGCTCATGATTGATTTTACCAGCACATAAATTATATTAATATTTAATATTATGAGAAGAAAGAGGGTTTTATGTTTAGAAGAAGCTAATTTTTAAGAAAATCTCCAACTAATATTTAAGAAATGAGTCAAATTAATCTAAAGGGCACCTTGATGATCTCTGAATACCTAATGTTGTTTAATATATGTGTACGAATCATTATTAATAACAAAAGTAATAAATATTATTATCTTATATAATTTTTAACGAAATAACATTCATAATGAATAAAATACCAGGATAACAGCTTTAAACATAGGGTCTTAAAGTTGAAATTATTCTTATTATATTGAATTCTTAACATGCATCCTACCTTGTCAGAATCAAATTGGAAATAAATCAAGAGAAATTCTAAATAGTATTTCGAAGAAATGTTTAAAAAATTTAACGATTAAAAACAACCTTATAGAATCTGTAACGAAGATATCTAAATGCAAAAAGTGTATCATAAAAAATAAGGAACTAAAAAACCAAGATTAGAATGTTCTGCTCAAATAGAAAGTATATTTTATTAATTTTCATTATTCTATAATTTATATTCATTTATTATTANAAATAAGGATTCTTATAATTCAATAAAGCTATTTCATTTGAAAGAATATCATATTTATGGATAAAATCAACAAATTTTTCAAAAATCTTAAACAATTTTTCAATGAAAATATAATTTTAATAAACCCCTTTTATTTAGAGCAAAACTAGTTTTACTTGGTAAAGCCTATCTAAATAAAAATTAATTTAGATTTATCTTAGAACTTAGTGATCCTTCTAAAATTAGATTGAACTAAGATTTCTGCCTAAGTTAAACAAACACTTAAGTGTAAAAATGCCAATAATTAATAAGGAGTAATAGGATTTTCTTATGTTAGAAAAGTCTGATGGGCATCTACAAAAAATAATTCTAAATAATATATACTTAAATTAGCTCATGATTGATTTTACCAGCACATAAATTATATTAATATTTAATATTATGAGAAGAAAGAGGGTTTTATGTTTAGAAGAAGCTAATTTTTAAGAAAATCTCCAACTAATATTTAAGAAATGAGTCAAATTAATCTAAAGGGCACCTTGATGATCTCTGAATACCTAATGTTGTTTAATATATGTGTACGAATCATTATTAATAACAAAAGTAATAAATATTATTATCTTATATAATTTTTAACGAAATAACATTCATAATGAATAAAATACCAGGATAACAGCTTTAAACATAGGGTCTTAAAGTTGAAATTATTCTTATTATATTGAATTCTTAACATGCATCCTACCTTGTCAGAATCAAATTGGAAATAAATCAAGAGAAATTCTAAATAGTATTTCGAAGAAATGTTTAAAAAATTTAACGATTAAAAACAACCTTATAGAATCTGTAACGAAGATATCTAAATGCAAAAAGTGTATCATAAAAAATAAGGAACTAAAAAACCAAGATTAGAATGTTCTGCTCAAATAGAAAGTATATTTTATTAATTTTCATTATTCTATAATTTATATTCATTTATTATTATTATAAACAATTTATCAAAATAATATCAATTATAGTAAAATCCTAAAATATGAATTTATATTTTAAATAATTTATCAAAATTCAATCATATTTAATATTTGAATATGATATGGAAATAAACATTCAATAATTTATCATCAATATATCAGTTTTTGTAAATACATATATTATCAATTTATATTTTAAATAATTTATCGAAAATATATCAATTTTATTTAATGCATATGATATAAATTTATCTTTTACCTAATTTTAACATTTTGAAACTATTTAAAAGAAGAATATGTTATCATTTTATTTTTAATAATCTATAAAAATTCAAATATAAGTATAAACATAAAATGATATTTTAAAATACTTTACGCAAATCACTTAGTACTTAAGAGTTCAAATCAAAAAAAATATTTATATAATTTAAAAATTATTAATATCAAACTTTTTGTAATAAATTAAAATAATATGAATTCACATTTTTAAACCTTTTCTATAAAACTTATTTAGTATTTTTGAGATAAACTAGTTAAATATTCTATTAAGTTTGCTATGATTGAATATTTTTAGGATAATTATGGCTATTTGCGTTTTAAGAAATTAGTTATCCACGATTTACTAAACTATATATCTTGATCTTTCTGTATTTAAGCGAGCATAATGATAGGAAAGTTTTTAATTTCATACAAGCCGGATATATAAGGATAGTGTCTTTTTACATTGGTTGGTTATTCTTTTTTTATGAATTTATATATCAGTTTACTATTATTAGAGTCAGGTATAATTTTGGTTTCATTAATATAAAGTCGATTATGTTCTTAAAGAAAACTTCCTTTCTAGTAATTTTTACTTAAATTGGAAGATTTGCGATTAACCTAATCTACTGTATAAAGAATATTTCATAATATTATTCCTCTGAAATTTCAACATTTACATCTGAACTTTTGATTTTCTTACTTCTTGTTCTTCCCTCTACGTTTTACTGATATTTTTATTTAGTAATTTGAACTAAACTATCTATTACATAAATTCATTTAAACTACATGTCTGAAATTATGCTAAAGTTGATAAATTATTTATAATATAATTTCATATTATTTTATTTTAACACAACTAATTTAATTTTGTTTAATTATTGATACTTATTCATTTGCATTTTATATTTTTATTCTTCAAACCTAACTTATTTGTATCAAGTATTGAAATTCTTAATTTATATCATTTCTAAATTAAAATTAATTTAACCTTAACTTTATTTCATATATTTTAAGTGCCTAACATATTTTTAAAATAAAGCATAGAATCAGAATATTTAATTATGAAGAAAAAGAAGGTGATGAAATTCATTTTAAGATACAAAAATAGACATCACATATATTTTTAGATTCATTACTAGAAAAGCAAAACTTGAATTACAGAATTAAAGAGTAGTCCTTCAAATAGTTTATAATAAAACACTGGATAAAGAATTAGAATTATAAACTAATAATAATTTTAATTTGTTAAATCTAGGGTAATCATTGGATTAAAAAAAAGAATTAAAGTCATTTTGAGTGTTACATTGAGCACAATAATCGCACCCTTAAAAAAATTTAGAAGTACATTTAGGTATAGACTCATTAACATAAGATGGATTAGGCTGGAATAAAAGACAGGTTACATAAAAGATTAGATAAAATGTATAAATTAGATGGTGCTGAGTACTAAATATTTTTGTAAGAATTTAGTATAATGTATTTCTTTAAATCGATATTATATTATTATTAATACAATTCAATATTTATTTTTTGGTTAATTTGGTGGTTATTTCTTTTTAAGTTATTTATTGATTTTACGAACTAAATGAATTTATGTTATTTAATGTATCAATTTTTTTTGTAATAAAATTATTTATATTCATTATTTTCAAAATGCTATATAATTAATTTTAAATGGACTACACATTGTTATATATTTTATTATACTAATATAAAATTTTATCTCTGGAATTCTTTTGCACTTAAAATTGATATGCCATTTTTATAATTTTTATACAACATAGATTTTTTAAATTAATTTAATTTATTAATAGAAATTAAAAAATTAAGGATGGATTCGAAAGTAACAAAAAAGGATTATAATAATGAAATGGAGCTAAAATAGTAATTAGAAATCTAAATTTCAAACTAAAATAAGATATTAGAAGAATTATAAGTACAATTAGCTTAACTTGAAAAAGAGAAGGAGGAATTATCAAGATAGTAAAGTAAAAATGAACAGGTAATTTTAAATTAAATTCCAATTAGGATATTAATCGTTTTAAACTAGCCAAATAAGATTATTTCAATTAAGGAAAGGCCAAACTTGAAGATTTAAACAACTAATTAGAGAAAGCAAAAGCGGAATAAAGTTAGTGTAGTTAAATTGACTAAAATTTGCATTAAGAACCTACAGTAGTTAGGTTGAATATCAAATCAAAAGTATACTTTATTATTCTAATTTAATTAGCAAATTGAGGATGAAAATGGAAAGTTGAAAGTTAAGATTGAATTTGATAATAACTATACATAAATTGAAATCCAAGAAAGGTTGTTGGAAGATAAAAAATCTGTAGAGTTGTAAGGTTATGCGATTCTAGATTTCACTTTGTTTTTCTTTAATCAAAAAATAGAATTGCAAAAGCAAGTTTAATAGAGAGAATCAATTTAGTTAGATGGACTTGAATTGATTATAATATATAAATGATAAATATATGTACAATTTAATAGTTAACTAATCAAAAAGGAAGCTAAACCTGTATATCCCTGTTTCTTAAAGCGATGTTTATGGAAAATAAATATTAAGAAATATATATTTAATTCGAAAATGGAATCATTCATAAGCATTATATAAGTACTTTAGAGAGTATAGATACATAACAATAATAATTTAAATACAAATTCATAATTTCAATTAGTATTTGATCAAAGATTCTAAAGTAACCTATTCATATTAAAAATGATACATGAGATTCGTTCAAAAGATTCATATTATTTCAAATTTCTTCTTCACTTAATTTTTTGCCAATATTAGGATAGATTTGAAAATCAAATAAGGAAGCAGAAGCTTAATTATCAAATTTGATAGTTAAAATTATTTATTTTAAATGAGAAAATAAGCAGAATATGAACTTTATAAACGTCTTAAATTACTAGGAGAAGGATCATTTGGGAAGGCGTATTTGGTAGAATGCCTTTAGGATAAGTAGATTATGCTTGTAATTTTTAGGTCTTTGTGGGTCACCAAATACATGGATTTAGCTGCAATGACTCCTTAAGAGAAAGATGAAACCTTGAGAGAATCTAAAATTCTTGAATTTTTATCTCATCCAAATATTGTGAAGTTTAGAGAAGTTTATAAAACAAAAAAAGGGAGATTGTGCATCGTTATGGAGTATGCTGATGGTATTTTTAACATTAATCAATAGGTGGTGATTTGTCATAAAAAATCAAAGAGGCTAAAGGCAAATAACTTCCTGAAGCTCAAATTTTAGATTGGTTTACTCAAATATGTTTGGCTATTAAACATGTTCATGATAGAAAGATTATTCATAGAGATTTAAAAGGACAAAACATATTCCTAACGAAAGAAGGTCAAGTTAAATTAGGAGATTTTGGAATTGCGAGAATTTTGAAAAAAACAGTAGAAAAAGCTAAGACAATGGTTGGGACACCTTATTATATAAGTCCTGAAATAATAGAAGGCAAACCTTATACATTTATGACTGACATATGGTCATTAGGAGTAATATTGTATGAACTTTGTGCTTTATAACCACCCTTCAATGCTGAATCACTTCATTTTCTTGCTTTAAATATTGTTAAAGGATAATACAAGCCTATTCCTGCAAATTACTCAAAAGAATTGAAGTAGCTTGTCTAATCGTTATTGCAAGTAGATTATCGAAGAAGACCTACAATATAAGAAATTTTAAGTAATGATCAATTTCATATTAATAGAAATGCCAGTTATTACAAATAGAATTAAAAGCTTTTTAAGTGAAACCATTTAGAGATAAGAATTTTCACATACTGTTTTCCATAATAAAGTTTTTGAAGTCAAAGGAAATTTAAATTAAGTTAATCTAATATTAAATGAATAACCTTGTCCACCATAATTATTAGAAAAAAATGCCAAGAATTTATAAGAGTTTCCAGATATAGTTAAAAAACCATCTATTCAAGAATTTGATGCTGTTCGACCACCTTAATTATCTAAATAATAATAATAACCATCATCTCGGTAATCTGATCCTTAAAAAGAAACACCAAAAATAATATAATAAGAATAATAAAGATAGTAAGATTTCCAAAAATAAATTGATGTACCTAGAAAAATAGATCCAATTACAAAAAATTCACCTTTATTGTAAAAAAAAGATATCTCTAAAGTAACTCCACCATAGAAGGAAATTAAAAAGCAATCACCATAATAATAATAATATCCTTCAAGACCCAACAGTGATTAAGAAAAATAATAAAGAAGTGAACCATGCAAATTTGATGCCTAAGATTAAAAAAAACATTCAAACAGTAGTGAATAACCAAAACATTAATAAAAAATAGATTAACCAAGGTTAAATATTAATTAAATTTTTTTTAGACCTCCTACTGCTCCAAAAGAAAAACCAAAAATTTAAGTCGCCCAATAAAGACCTTAAAGTTCAAAGCCATAAATTTAAGAATAAAAAGTAGTTTAAAAAGTGAATATTGAAAAGAAAAGGCCAATAAGTGTGGATAAATCTCCAGTTATCCAGCAATAATAATAAAAATAATTACAATTAGAATAATAGCGTCAAGAAGACAGAAATCGTTAGTTGAAATTAAAATAACAATAGGAATAATAAGAAAAAGAAAGGAAAGAAAAGAGAGAGAAAGAATTATAAATTTAATAAGAGTAATAGCTTGAAAGACAAAGATATTTTGAAAAATAATAACAGTTAGAAAAATAATAATAATTAGAAAAATAACAATAATTAGAAAAACAAAAATAATAATAATAACAATTATTAGAAAAATAAAAAGAATAAGATCGAATCAAGTAAGAAGAGAAATAAAAAAATGTTTAAAATTAATAGGTTTCTAAAATGGATATTAATAGGAATGAATAATAAAAATAAAATTTAGAAAGATAACCATCATAAAAATCATCTCAATTAGAAGGCAAATAAAATGAATCTAAGTCTTAGTTGAAATCAAAAGCTGATTAACTATAAAAGATTGAAAAGAATGGCAAAGATTTTGCTCTAATGCTTAAAGAATTAGAAGGCTTGGTATATATTAAATTAAATTAAGATTAATAATGTTCATAATGCAATTGATAAATTTCCAAGTTAAGGAGGAAAAGAAAATTATTTTGATTTTAGTTCTATTTAGACATTGTAATTAGAGGATAGAGAGGATGATGAAGATGAACCAATAAATTAATTTGATAGGAAACCAAAATATATAATAAAGTAAATATCAAAGGAAGAAGAGGAATGTTTAGAAATGTTAAATAAATAAGACTCCAATTTATCTACTCTAAAAATCAAATTAGAAAATGCTCTTGGAACAGAAAAGATGAACAAAGCAAAAAACATTTTGAAATAAACTGTAATGTTATTATTTATGAATAGCTAGAGAAAATGGATTTAGAAACTATGGAATAATAATACGGACCTAATTATGAAAAATTATTACCATTTTTAACTTTGGAAGAAAGAAAAAAATATGCACCCCTCTTATTTACTTATATTATAGCTGGATGATAGAATTGATTAGTTATAAAATAATATTAAATATAATAAACTTATATTATAAAAGAATTTTGGTAAATATTTATCATTATCAGAATTTCAGGATGTTTTTTGAAAATAGCAAGGGAGAAAATAAATGAATAAACAGATATGGTCTATGTATAAAAATGGTTTTATTAATTGAGAATCAGGGAATTGTAATCTTCTTTGGCTCATTGTCTTATTTAGAGACTTGCCAATATATTCTCATCACAATCAATTTTTTAATTAAATTATTTAAAACACCAGTATGACAGATTTTGCTTTGACAACATTCAGCAGTAAAGGCAAGTTGTTGCAAATTGAATATGCATTAAATGCTGTAGCAAAAGGAGATACAGCTATAGGAATTAAGGCTAAAAATGGTGTTGTTTTGGTAGTGGAAAAGAAATAGTCATCAATTTTGATTGAAGAATCAAGTGTTCAGAAAATAGCTTTGATGACTGATAATATTGCAGCTACATATGCTGGTTTAGGACCAGATTTTAGAGTGTTATCATAATAAGCAAGAAAATTAGTGAAGAAATATGATTTGAAATATCAGGAGGAGATATTTGTATAAACATTAAGTAGAGAATTAGCAGAGGTAGAAATATTAATTAAAATTAGGATGTATAAATAGCTACATAAAGAGGTGGAATAAGACCATTTGGTGTATCCATACTTATAGCAGGATATGATGAAGAGGGTCCTCATTTGGTGTAACTCGATCCAAGTGGTGCTTATTATAGTTGGAAAGCAACAGCTATTGGTAAGTAAGCCAAGAATGCTAAGGCATTTTTAGAAAAGAGATACAATGCAGATATGGAAATTGAAGATGCTATTAATACAGCTTTATTAACATTGAAAGAAGGATTTGAAGGTATATCTATTTATATATTTCTAAGGATAAATAACACCCACAAACATTGAAGTTGGAGTGATTAGAGATGATCATGTATTCAGAATATTACCACCATCTTAAGTAAAAGACTATTTGGAAGAATTAGAATGATAATTGATTATGAGAAATTTATGAAATATAAATTAATCCTGATATAATTCATTTCTTTATACACATTGAAAATATTCCTAAAAAGTAGAATATACAACTGATTGTTGGTAATATTTTGAAGGAATGATGTAATAATAATACTAGTAATTAAAATCCAATAATTGCACTTTCAGCCATCTCATTTGGTATTTTTACTTCATATTTTAACCATTAAAAAAATGTGAAAATGATTAATACTGGAAAGGATGCTAGATAAACAAAAAATGAGTTTTCAATTTTATCTGAATAGAATCCAAAGTTAAATAAAGACATCATTATCATAAATACTCCTTTATATAATTGTAGATTTTGGATATGAAATTTATAGCGTTCTTGAATCATTCCAGATCCAGTTTGACACACTTATCCAAAAACTAAAGCCCAAACAGCTAAGATTCTATCATTACTCATAAGATTCAAAGTAAATCCAAATAAAAATAAAATTGAACTCAAGTTATTTTAGAGTTTGATACTGTGAACAAACAATGATTTAAAATTGAAAACTAGCATTATCACTAATAAATCTATTTTACGTAGTGCTGCAAATAAAGTGAAATAGCCGATCGCATCTTAGATATTAATAATAATTACTTAATCCTCCAATCAAGGCCATCATTAATGCATCATACTAAGATTCAAAAACATATTACGATCTCTGAGAGTCAAGCAATAAAATAAATCCATATTAGATTGACAATGTCACATAATTTGGTTCTAATTCTTTTAATATGACCATTATGCCTAAACAACCTATAGCATTAATTGCCATTAATAGTTTTGAAGAATTATTCTGTCCAATTAATGAATCAAGGTAGTCTATGTTTAACATTTATATAATTTAATTAAATCAATGAGGTTTAGGTTTGTGACCATCAACATAGAAATTCCTTGTAGCTTTTGGTAATTATATTATAACATTCTCAAATTTCTCATCAACTTATACTTAACATCCTAGTCTGGATGTTTCTGTCAATCCATAAGCTAGATCTAAGAGATCTTCTTCTTCAGGTATAGGCTATGTCAATTTATCATATAATTATTCTATATCAAATTCAAATATATTACTTGGTAAGATTACATGACAAGTAGAACAGGCTAGAGATTATTCACATGCTCCTTCTAAATCAACTTCGTTTTTATGTGCGATTTATAATAAATTCTATCCAATTGGAGCTGTAACCTTTGTTAAGGAATTATCTTTATTTTTAAAAAAGAATGTCACCATTTTTTATGAAGAAGCACTGTATTTACTAAAAAGTCTGATCATCAAAATTATATAATTATGGTAATTATTACATTAGATTAATTGATTCATAATATATTTTCTACTAATTTTAAAAAATCCTATTGTGGATTAATGTCTCCTTACTTAGGAAATTTAGTAACACTTTTCCAAAACTCAATACATACTAATAAATAAATAAATACATAAACAAATGGTAATATCAAGTAGAACAAATTAAAATAGAATTTCTATAATTGAAATTTATAAACCATTTATTCTAGTATATAATTAAGTTTCATTCAACTTTCCATTAATTTTGATTATGGATACTTAAATGATTTAATTTTAAATATTAAAAATACAAAAAAATAAAAGAAATAAAGTTCTTGCATATTTAAAAAAAGAACTCTTATTTGAGATACCAAAAGAAGTCCTTTTTAATAAAATCTTTAATGAAACAATAGATATTGATGAAACTCAGTTTGAGAAACTTGATAATTTGTTATAGTTATAAATAATAGATTTATCTATTAGAAATAGAAATAACTAAAGGAATCGAATAACAATTTGATTATGATTTCGAGGACACATTTAATTTGATTTCGTTGATGATATGATATAAAATTGATTGAATATTCATACTTAGTAAAAGGGTTTTTAAATTTAAGTTTAGTTCATATATAAAAATATACAGTTTGGATCAAAACTGTTGTTATCAAGTATAAAATAATAATAAATATTGATTCTCTTATTATTTTTGTCTATAATATTGTAATTATTACTAATTATATTTAATTATTAGATGACCCAAAAAACAGGATAGTTTGGAATTGTGTTAGGGATTATTGTAATATTGGATATAATTAATTGTATATTGATTAAGGAAATTCCGATTACAATTTGTAATTCTTTGATTTTGTTGATTTGCATAAGTAAATTTGTCCATTCATATAAAAAGTACATCACTTTATGAAAATAAAGAATAAAAAATGTGAAGAGCTCTTATTATTTTCATTGTTCTTTCACAATGCAGTATAAATATACTATTATGGAATGAAATCATTGTGGTTTCTAATTTATCTTTTACAGATATTCAAATAAGAAAAACATAATAAAATACTTAAATATTGTAAATTTATTTAATTAGCTATCAGTATAACTATATATTCTATTTAATATGATGGATTGTTGGATAATGCTTATTTTTAATAACTCAATAATTATATAGCTATTTTTATTTATCAAATATTCAATTAAAATAAATATGATTCAAAAATTGACAAAGCAGAAAATTTAATTATTTAAGAAATAAAAAAATTAATAATTTTTAAATTATTTGATCAATAATTTAATGAGATATCAAAGATAACTTCTAATAAATATATTCAAATCACTAAAAATCAATAGGATGAAAATCAACATTTTCAAATTAAGGCTTATTAAGATAAAGAAGTAGCCTTTACTCCTTAGAATTAATGTGATTGGAAACCTACCTAACTATTTAATGATTATTAAAGTTTTATCGAACATATTCACAATTTAGAAAGTTTAGATTCTTAAATGTGTTATCATTATATTGCTACATAATATGATATAGTAAAGAAGATTAAAACAAAATATAAAGTATTATACAAAGAACTTGGAAAATAAGACTTGATCATAATTGCATTAGTTCGAATTGATAATTTTACAGAAAAATAAATGATTTTGAAATTCAATAAATTTAAAAAATACTTCTATGATATTTTTGCTCATAAATTAAAAACACCCTTAAATGCTTCTTTAGGCTTTTTATCATCTGCTTACAATTATACAGAAATGGACAATACTATTAAATAAAATTATATTAAACCAGCATATATTAATTCTAAATTGTAATATTTTTAAATATCAGATCTTTTGGAATTTTTAAATCCATAAAGTGATTAAAGTAGAATATAATTTTGTAAAATTAACATGAAATCATTTTTGTATACACTTAATGAATTAATTGAATCCTAATGTTAAAATAAGAAGATCCTCTTTTAGGTTTATGTAGAGAGAGTTCCCTTAAATAATATTGAGAAGTAAATTCTTAAATTTATCAATTATATAGATTTTATATTTCATCTGATCTATTGAAATTAGAGAGAATTCTATACAATTTGTTAAATTTAACATATAGACACACTCCATAGAATGGTTAAATTAATTTAAATCTATTTATAGATAAAATAAATTCTTAGATAATTTTTGTAATAAATGGTAGTGATAGTTTGTTTAATGATGAAGAGCTATTCAAGATAAATTAATGGATAGTATCTCAAGTAGAATTTTAATATAAAAAAAAATCAATAACACTTAAGAAGGAGATTAAGTTATCCTTAGAAATAACAAATCATTTAATTAATATATTAAGTGATTAAGAATAGCATCTTTAAATTTCTTCTTTTAATAATGGTACTGAATTCAAATTCAGATTAATCCTGAAAGATAATAATAAAACAACAGATGGATCATAAGAATAATTCACTATTGGTTTCATGCTAAAACAAAAGAGTAACAAAAGTGTAAAAATTGGGACTACTATATAAAAAACTCGTAAATCTATGTTCATTTAACTTGAATCACTATCACCTTTAAATTCTTTCAAAGTCATCAATGAACCATCAGCAAATACACCAATAGTTATTCCAATTAATTAAGGAAAAATGTACAAAAGTTCTGCCACTTTAAAAAGAATTAAATCATCTTTTGCTAATAAAGGATTGATGGACTATGATAAGAAAATCTTGATTGTTGATGATGAGCCATTCAATCATGACATATTAATTTTAATGATGAAGAATATGGGATACAATTATTTCTTAAAAGCATTTAATGGTCAATAAGCAATTGATTTAATTAAGGAGAAAGAAGAAGAAATATCCATTATAATTATGGATTTAGATATGCCTATAATGGGAGGAATTGAAGTATATATATAGTATAATAATTATGAAGGCTACAAAAATTTTAGTAGAAATGATGCTAGATTAAAACCTAGTTTATATTCCAATAATTGGTTGCACTGCTCATGATGATAAAGAAACTATGGACAAATGTATATAAGCTGGAATGCTCTATGTTGTTGTAAAACCAGTGTTTGTTAAAACTCTAAGAGATGCTTTCTAACAAATAACTAATATTGATGATACTAGAAGAAGATCCTTATTGTGTCTTACTTCTTAATTTCAAATTTGATTTATATATATTTATTATTTACAATACTAAAATGCTTAAAGCAATTGAACATAATGTGATACTCATTTTTCTACTACAATTAGTTTCAATTCCATTTTCAATTATTGAACAGAAATACTATTTGTTAATTTTGAATTTGATTGAAGTTTCATTGATCATAGGTATACACTTAATATTTTATGTTAAGTACATTTAATCACTATAAAATTAGACTGTCTTATTTTTCATTCAAAAGTGATACTATTACTGTTTTTATTAGTAAGATAATTAGCTATATTTGGACATACAGATTTCTGGATAGTCATTTATATATACAATTTAAAAAAAGACATAATAATTCTCAATTAATTCGCAGTTATTTCTATGTTTATTTTTTGTATCAGTCAATTTGATAGTATTCACATTAAATCATACTAATAAACTATTACAGAATTAGGAGTTTTGTATTTGTTTGATGTCTATTTACAGTATAGAAATTATAAGAAAGGAGAAAATTATAATTCAAATGAGTTTTTTCGTCAATTTAATATTAATCATTAAGAAATTAATAAACATTATAACACTGGAAAATAACTAAATGTGAACCATCTAAATAAAGAGAAGAAGACTATATCAATGAATTAAAGCTATATGAATGAAGCTCATTATTAAATATATTAAGCCTAAGATTCAATTCCTAGTCTAAAAGATATATTTTATCCAGAATGGAAGAAAACCTACTTCTGTTATTCAACTGAAGAATTATTATAGGTTTATGATAAGGAAAATTCTAATTTATTTTATATTCTTTATATAACAACAGAAAAAAATAGTAAAGAAATATATAGAGTATAAATAACAAGAAATAAGGTTTAAGATTATATTTTAAGATTTACAAAATTGGATAGTCTCTTATATTTTAAATTAAAAGGATCAAAAAGAAGATTTAGATAGCATTTATCATAAATATTTTCCCATAAACTCAAAACTCCATTAAATTAAGCATTGGCAAAGATAACATCAATGTTGACTGATGGCAATGTATTACCATATCAAAAGTTAATACTCTCATAAATTTATATTTAATAAAAGTGTTAATTATACAGCATTTTAGATTTTCTAGATTATGTTAATTTAGATTCTATGACATTTCAACCTTCTCGTGTAACATTAAATTAAATAATTTAAAATGTAAGAGATTTGATTAGAGAATAATGCAAAGCTAAATCAATTGAATTAAATATATTTATAGAAAAATTGCAATATAAAGATTATAAAGGGTAAATATTTATTTAAAATATTGTAGAATCATTGTTTTATAAACTGATTCATTAAAATTAGAAAGAATTCTATATAATTTATTAAATAATGCATATAGACATTCAAATTAAAATGGAACAATACATTTATCAGTAGAATTAATTTAAGGAACATTAAATTTTAGTATAAAGAATACTGGTATAGGAATATCTAAAGATATGATGGGAGATTATAATTTATAATTTCATTATCATTAAAATCCTTCTAATTCAATTAAAAGATCATGGAATCACAAATTAGGAACTACTTTATATGTTACCAATAAATTAGTTCATTTATTAAATGGAAATAAGGGTCATTTAGAAATATTGAAATAAAATGAATCTGAATTTAAATTTTCTATTTTATAAGAATTGAATATAAATAGAGGTGTATCAGAGATAGCATTAGGAAGTTTAAGTTCTGATCGATCAGAAATGAATGTATTAATAAATTAGTAAGATCATATGGATGAAATATAGGAAGATAATGATTAAGTAGGAAATGAACCTAAGAGTTAATAAATAAAAATAGAATAATTGAAACATGTTAGAAATATTAAATAATCAATAGTATAACCTTAATCTTAGAGTAAACATTCATTATTGTAAAATAAAAGATCTTCCTCTATTTTTGATGTGAATTCTTTTCTAAGATAATTTAGTTTTAAAGATGTTGGAATAGATTCTAATTAAGAATTAATAATAGATAAAGATTAATTTATAATGATTGTTGATGATGAACCATTCAATCATGATACTTTAATTATGATGTTAAAAAGAATTGGATATATTAATTTTATTCATGCTTATGATGGTAGAGAATGTATCAATAAGACTTAGGAAAGTCATTTAAAAATTAAATTGATTTTAATGGATTTAGACATGCCCATTTTAAATGGATTTAAGTAATAAATAAATATCAATTCAGAGCCACTTAAGTACTCAAGGAACTAATGAACACTAACTAAATAAAGAAAATACCCATTATAGCATGTACTGCTCATGATGATTATGAGACCGAAACATAATGTAAAGCTCTTGGAATGTTAGATATCATCATTAAACCAGTCTTTATAAAATAACTCTAAACTGTAATTAGAAATATTCCTAAGACTTTATGATTTTTCTTATAATATTAAATATTAAAATTATTTATATACCAAATATTTAAATATATCATTTACATTTGACATATATTGGACTACTTATTGGTTATTTTATACCTACTACAAAATGTTTTAATTATATTGAATTGCACAATTCTTCATCAATTTCAGAACCTTCTGATGTATCATCTTCGAAACTAATTTTTCTACTTGAATTTACTCCTTTAGATGGTGAACGAACACTCCTTCTTTAAATTAAAATTGATCTTAATTTTATTATTGGTTTAGAAGAATAATTATGATAAATCATACGATTACTTTTTTCAACTTATTAAAAGATAGAGATCATATAATCATAATCTGGATCTTCTTCAAATTATAATCCTTTAACATAATCCATATAAATTTATAATTAAATAGGTAATCCAAATAATTCATCTAATTTTAATGACTTTTTCATTTTCTTTATCTTAGAATATCTAATTTCTTTTTCTTAATCACAAATATGCGACCAAGGCAAATCACCTTAATGTAAATAAATGAGCATATAACCAACAGATTCGAGATCATCTCTTCTTGATTATTCAATACCTTTTAAAGCATTAATTGAAGCATATCTAGCAGTACCAATCATTCCCTTATTTTCTCTATAACTTATATGATTTCCATTAATGATATATTTTTTTGATAATCCGAAATCAATCAAATTTATTCTTCCTTGGTTCATCACAAAGTTCTCAGGTTTAATATCTCTATGAATTACTCCTTCCGAATGGAGCTCTTTCAAAAGCTACAATATTTCTAATCCAATTGGTAAGATCTTATTGAAAATACCTTTATTTTAACGAATTTATTCTAAGTTTTCTCCCATCAAATTCATTACAAAATATGTATTATGTAAATCTGAACCTGATGCAAATAATTATGTAAATCCTCAAAAATAATAAAATTATTAAACCATACCTTTCTTGCCTTTAAGTTATTATAAAATTTATATTTCTCTCAATAACAACTTTTTTTCTTTTTTCATTGAATTTTTTACTAGTTTACAGGCATATATTTATCCACTTGAAATATGTCTGACTTTCCATATGTAACCAAAAGCACTATTTTATTTTATACTATATATACCCTTAACCTAATTTATCGAGAAATTAATAGGAAGAAGAAGCTGGCTACTTAAATGATTTTTGAATGGCAATCATTTATTTGATATCTATTATTTTTTAAATTATTATAAATTAAATTATCTTCATATATGATTATTATTATTATATTAAGACTTGAATAATCTTCGAAAATCAATTTATGGCAATATTATTCTCAATTAGTTCCTTCCTTATAAATAATAAATAAAAGAGAAGCTAAGAAAATTGAAGACATTAATCTTTGATTTCTAGAATAACAAAAGAATAAACAAGTAAAATCGTATTGATAATATGTATCAAAGGGAAAATTTGATTTTGTTCTCTTCTTATCCATCTTCTGAAAAAAACAATTGTCTCTTAATTGCATTTAATTCTTAATCATTATAGTTATAGGAGCAATTCTTTCTTTTCTTAGGTGCTTATGGCAATATTAGCTATTTCTGCTTTTTCTCTGGAGTTCTTTAATTCATGATAAAAATTAATAAATATAATCAATTTATAATTTTTGCATATCCTTAATTTTGATTTGCTTAGTATAATCACTTTACTATTACTTCTATAAGTATCTATTATTCTTAAATGTATTGATATTTAAAGGTATTATCATAAAATTAAAACAAATATATTAAATATAGTTAAATACTTAATTTAGTGAAATCTCTTGAAAAGAGTAAATGATAAATCAATAATAAATATATAAAAATAACTTAATCTTCATATTTTTGTAGATCTTGTTTAATTTTAAAATTAATTATCTTATAATTAAGTATATGATCTATATACCTTTAGTTATTCTGAATATATTAATTCACTTGAATTAATAGAGAATTCTTGAGAGAAAGTAATAAATTATATAAAAATTGTTTAGATATAATTTTTATTATATATGTTTTTAAAAGAATATAATGCAAATTATACAAGAAGATCATGATAATAGTTTACAATTATTATAAGATATTATATAATAAAAACATTATTAATTTTGAATTAATCAATTATCAAATAAATGATTATCATCATTGTCATTAATTACTTGTTATTTATATATATATAAATACCATCTTTTTTCTCGCTTACTTGGTTTTAAATTTAATCTTCAAAATCGATTTAATCGTTATCTAATGGTTATTTTGCAGCAGATTCAATTCCCTATAATGGTAATGCTTCTTATTCAATAGTTTAAGTTACTACTAATTTTGGTTGAGGCTACATATTTATCTATAATAATACTTGTGGTGGGATCAATTCTTAGGAAATGTGATATTAACCTGATCTTTCATAAATAATTCCACTTTCTTCTGCTTAAGCTAAAAAGTTATGAACAGTTTATTCTTCAACAGTATTTGTATAGAACAAACTTAGATTATTTGTAATATCCTTTAATGTTGTAGATGTTCCAAATGAAGCTATAACATTAATTACATTTTATTGTAATTCATTTGGGAACTATTAATTAGGAGTTTCTGGGTAATATAATTTATCTAGATTCATATAATTAAATACTGAATCTTTCTTTTGTAACCTTTGGTTTTTTTTCTTATTGTTATTTTTTTCCTTTTTTAATAGGAGATTATGGAGGTGATACAGATTTTTCAGCTGGTTCATCATTAACTTTTGTTTTTTTAGTCTTTTTAATTTTCTTATCAACAACTTCAGCTTATTTAACTTGTTCTTATTTGGTTTACTTTCCTTTTGGCATAAGACTTTTCTTGATGATATAATTTAAATATTAACTAAAAGCGGCAAATATTTGTATAGATTATAATCTTATTTATTATTGAATTGGCCAATAATATTGTAGATAATGAGTGATAAGAAAAATACTATCATACCATAAAATAACAATCAAACAGATGATCCCAATTATGCATTGCAAATGTAAATTATTGCATTTTAAGATTAAACCATTAATAATTTAAAAAATATTATCATTGAAAAAGATTCTGAACTTTAAGTATGATCTATAATTTAATAGAAAAAAAATCAAGAAAATGCTTAGTTAAAATAACAAATACAAATAATTGAAAAATAATATTCACAATAACAAATGTCATAATAATAAGATAATTCAAATATTTCAAATTTACAATCTTAACATCAGAAAACTTTAGATGAACTAAAAAAATTGAAAATGATTTTCAATTAGAATTCTAATCCAGATATAGTTATGGAATCACTTTAAATTAAGTAATTATTATATATATATATATCTATAGAGAATAATTAGTAATAATTTAACAATAAAAAAATAAACTTGAAATTGAATTAAAAGTATAATAAAAATAATATCAATAGGAAGCATAAACTAGATTGATTCAAACTTAAGGAATTATTTAAGAACTATAAAGAGAAAATTATCAATTAAAGTCATTTTCAATGCCATCCTTCTCAAATAATTCAACTATTTAATAACCTTCCATTAGTTAAAGTTAATTCTTATAATAATAATAATATCCATCTAAGTAATTGGTATGTATATATTATTAAGTTCAAATAATGAAGAAAATTAAAGAAATTTAAGAAAAATGCAATTAAAAAATGAATTAAGATAGATCCCTACTTAAAATAGAACATAAGCATAATAAAGAAGAATTCAAATAATAGAAGATGAATTGAATTACTTAGAATAGTTTTGATATATATAAATAAATATAAATTGTATTAATCAGAATTATTAGTTTTTATTTTATTAAATAAAATGAGCAATGATTATAATTATATGTTTAAGTACATTGTAGTAGGAGATACAAGTAAAGATTTAAATAAACCTATTAAAGATGTTGGAAAATCGTGTTTATTATTGTAATTTACAGAAAATAAATTTTGTGATCATACAGAGAGTACAGTAGGAGTGGAGTTTGGTTATAAAACAATAAAAATAAATGATTAATTGATAAAGCTTTAGATTTGGGATACAGTAATAAATAAACTATAATTTAATAGGCAGGTTAAGATTCATTCAAATCCATTACAAGATCTTATTATAGAGGAGCTATTGGAGGATTACTTGTATTTGATTTTAGTAGAAGATCAACATTTGAAGATATTAAAAAATGGTTAAAAGAAATAAAAACATATTCTTGTGATAAGATTGAATTAGTACTTGTTGGCAATAAATCAGATATACTTAAAAAAGATATTACTATTGAAGAAGTAGAAGAATATGCATAATAAGAGAAATTAGAATTTTATGAAACTTCAGCTAAAACTGGAAAGAATGTAGATGTTGTCTTTGAAAGTGTTGCAAATAAAATTTTAAGAAAAATCGAAACTAAATAAATTAATTTAGATGATTAAGTATAATTATTCCATAAAAAATAGATGTTAGGAATTAAAGTTAATTTTAATGGAAAAATGAAAAAAAAAAGTAAATCTCAAAATAATTAATCTCCATATTATAATATAACATTAAATGGATAATAAAGTGAATCAAATAAGAATGATAAAAAAAGTTGTTGTTGACTTTTTTACTTAATTATCTTAAATTTTGATATTTATTATGTATTAATATCTAAATACATCTTAAGAAGAGTATTTCATTAAACTTATTATTTAATTAAATATATAAACCATCTGATTCATCCATTAAAGACATTTGATTATTATATTGTCTTAATTCGTATTTCATAATATTATTGAAAGTCTTATTTATTCATATTGCAATAATTGTACAGATGATCAAAATAAAGTAATTCAAAAGCAAATTCTTAGGATTTGAATCTGTAAAATTAAATTTAATTGGCCATTTTATCAAAGAATAATTAGATTATTATTAAAGTCTTACTACTTCTTCATATATTGCTCTCTCTATTCCAATAATTTCATTGACTCAACATGATATAAGATTGATACTTATTCTTATGATAGAATACAAGTTGGTTATTGATACACTATTCCTATTTAATTTTTATTACATCTTAAACTATTTACATTTGGTGCACATTTATGATGAACCTTTATCAAAAATAATTTATTAATCATTGATAGTATAATTTTCACTTTAATATTGATTCTTTTAATAAGAACTCTGAATTGGCCTACATAATAATAATTATAAAAGTTTTATAATTTCAAAGTATTATTTTTTTCCTATTGATTTGTGTAAATATCAATTAAGAAGGAACTTAATTTTATATACTTAAATGGTATCTAAAACTATTATATAATTGGGTAAAACAAAGTGAATACATGCTACACTAATTAACAATTAAACTATTATCATATATAAATTATATACAAATCATTATAACATTCTATACTAGGTTTGAGGTTTAGAAATTAATAACAATAAACTCAATTTAAATCTTCTATTCTTTTCCAATTTAACAAATGTTCTTCTTCTTTCATTTGCTGTCACATCTTTCAAAAATTCCAATTAAAATTTACTCATTCTTTCCATCAATATTACATATTACATTTTATATTCAGGTATTCTTTTATTATTTTAAAGAATTCATACTTATTTTAATTAAACATTTCTATCACATAATTACTTTAAAAGAATCGAGTAGCTTATGGAGTTGTTGGTTATTTGATCAACTTTAATTCAGGAGCCTTATATTCTCGTACAAATTAAGGCAATTTATTTTATAGACTATTGTTCTTTCTATGTAATCTCAAGGAAATCTGATTATATTTGGAATTGAACTAGAATGATTATTTAAATTCGCTTTAACTCGCTAATAAAGTAGATTAAATTAATTCTGTATTTTCAGGAGTGCCTCCCAAAAGATTCTTTAATTTTAGTCTTGTGGCAGGTAGTTAATTCTCATATAAACTACTTGTGTTTGAAATTGAGTTCTTACTTAGAAAGTGGTGACTACTTTTTGGAGAATTAAAGATACTGGATGTATCACTTTTTCTTTTTCTATGATAAGATTCACTTGATATTAATCTACCCATACTATCTCTTTCATTGATGAAGGGTACAAATGTTTGTTTTTTTTCAATTAACTGATTAAGAGGATGTTCATTGTTTGTTATTGAATCCATGATCAAGGCTCTTTTAACTGCCTCAGTTTTATGTAAAGCTGGAAGTTATTTGTCTTTGTAATACACACAATAATCTAATAAATTTTCAGAAGGATGCTTTTTCATTATTTATATTTTGTAATTAATAATGAGTTACGAATCATGTGATTTATAAACAGATTCAAGATATCCTTTTGATCCAAGAGCAAATGCATTTGAATTAGCGAAAATGGAGACTATAAGAAGGAAATAACATCCATTAATTTTAATAACAAGAGTTAAATCAAATGGATTTCATTATTTTATAGGTCCATCAAAATCTTATTCTAATGAATATCCAATTGAATTAGAACCTTATATAAGTAAGGAAGATTTTGAAGCCTTCATAAATGAAGTAAATAATGTCATCATAAAATATTGGCCTTGTTTTTTCACATTCATTTTGGCATTTGGTTTTTCTATTGTTTCTTGTTTCTTAAGTCTTTATCTACCTAGAGTTTGTATTGAAGATGTTGAAAGATTTTTAGGATATGTTTTAGAGAGATGGAATGAGAGTTGGGAAGAGAAGATGATTAAAGTGGAATACAAAAGGAATCTATTTAATAGTGAATTATAATTTTATAAATTATGATAATGTTGTATTATTTGTTATGATCATTTATAAATGAGAATTAAGAATAATGAAAACTTGAATTAGAAACATTTAAATTTTATATAATTTAATGAAAGTGTTATTACTTTGATTAATTTTGAGATTCAATTAGTCTTATATTGTGTTTAATAAATAAATGAGTAAATTATAAGAATCAAATACATTTGAAAATAGCAAGAAATATAAAATAAAAACAGAACGTAGTACTTTAATGGCATCACCAAAGAATAAAGAATTCGATGTATAAGAAGATTTAGTTAAGAGATTGAATGAGAATTAAAAGAGTTTATAAAAAGAAATAGAGAAATTACATTAAATTGTAGAAAATAAGGAAGATTAAATAAGAAAATTGTAAGATTTAGTGAAATTACAATAAAAGGAGATTGATCGATTGACTCATATTAATGAATATTTAATGTAAGCAAATTAGACAAAATTGAGCATCTTAAGAGATGAGAGATAATCAAATTAAGGAAGTAAAACAAATGTAAAAATAAAGAATCATAAATCATTAATGCCTTTAGATAAAAAGGTTAATAAATAACCAGAAGATAATACATAAACAATTAAATTATATCGTAGATAGACATTTCGTAATCCTACATTAATGAAGTTCCATCAAGAAGAAGGAGACACATTTAAAAGTGATAGAAATACATCTGGATCATCTAATTTTTATGACATTCTACAACAAGAAGATTGTTTCAGAACAAATGCTATTTTAAATATTTAACTATGTACTAAAGAATTTTACTTATAATAGCTGATGAAGATGCAACTACTTAATATAATTAAGATGGAACAGTTTCATTAATGAAAGTGTTATTAGATTCTGAAGAAATCTTTAGTGAAATCATATAATCAATATCTGCATAGAAATTGTCATTTCTGTTTGATAAATTTAAGAGAGTAATGTCAGATCATTAATAATTATTTATATTAGTATTAAGATTGAAAAAGATTGTGACTGGAGCATTATAAATGAATACATCTGTTCTATTAGATGATGCATTATAAAATATTATAGATAAATGTGTTGATTGTTTAGAATGTGATAGAGCATCATGTTTTATTGTAGATTAAACAAAAAAAGAATTATGGACTAGAGTAGCCAAAGGAACATCTACAACTATTCGATTACAAATTGGTTAAGGATTAGCTGGTTTTGTTGCTTAGAATCATACAATATTAAATATTGAAGATGCCTATAGAGATTAAAGATTTAATACATAATAAGATGCAAAGAATAATTATAAAACTAAAACACTTTTGGTTTCTCCTATTTTAGATGGTGACAAATGTGTTGGTGTATTATAATGTGTTAATAAATCTAATGGTTTCTTTACTAAAGATGATGAAGCTTTATTATAAATAATGGCTGAATTTAGTAAAAGTGTTCTTAAGAATGCTCTGAATCATGATGCATAAATGTTAATATAAAATAAACTTAGACATATCATCAGAACAGGCATCATTTTATAAGGTTGTCTATTCAAAAAAGATAATATATAAGAATTATTACTTTCTTCAGAAGAAAGACTTAGATCATTAATGAATGTTGATTAAGCAAAGGTTATCTATTGGAATAATAATTTATATCACATTAATAAAGATGGTAAGATGACAGAGACTTAAAATCTAATAGGCATTGTAGGTAAATGTATTGAAGAATCATAATTGGTAGCAGTAAGTAATTGTTATACTAGTCCTATATTCAATCCAAATATTGATATTGAAACTAATATGCCTATAATATGTATGCCTTTAAAAACATAAAATCATTAAATTATTGGTGCCATTTAAGTAGTCAATGTAAAGGGAATTGGAAATATTTCATCTAATAGTGATGCCAAGATTAATTCAATAGATCTAGATATGTTGGAACTCTTTTGTTAACATTGTGCTTAATCTTTATTGTAATGTAAATTACATACCTAATAATTATGATATTAATTAAATAATATTAAATAATAATGGGCAATTCACAAAAAAATGATTAGAAATTAATCTCTACAGTTTGGTTAGGTGTAAATGTAACAAGTAAATCTTAAGTTAGGATGAGTGGTCATCGTTAATGAAAGAAAAATTATCTCGTCTTTCTGAAGAATGGATTGTTCCTTCAATCAAATGTTTAGATAGATTTTCTTAAAAAGAACACAAAAAATTCAGAAATTAAGTTAAACTAATTTGTATCTTTTGTTTATTATTGAATAGTAAAAAAGAAAATCAGAGAAGATCAATATGAAGAATTATTCAAAAGAAGTTAAGTATTTTTGTAAATTCATTTCAATTAATTATGATTCTATAGAAACAATAATGAATATTTTAGATAAGATTTCCAATTAGGTATCCCAATATCAGAACTTACAATTTCTACAAATACTAATTCTAGTAAATTATAGTAATATATCTTAGTTGGTAAAATCAATGATTATCAATCTATATCATCTAAGATATAAGATAGTTTATTAATGGAAGATCAAAGTTCCTAGGTTTAATAATTTTATGTTTTAATATCTTATATAAATGATGTAGTAATTTGCCATAAACATCCATTTATACATCTAATGAATTAATTTAAAGAATGGGCAACTATTTAATTAACTAATATTAAGAATTCTAATAAACATTAATTAAAATAAAAGCTTTAAAGATTTTAGATCTCCTCGGATCTCTTTTTGAATTTTCTCATTTTTTCATTAAATGAATATTTGGGAGATTTTAGTGATGAAATAAATGAAGAAGGATCCAATAAATATATTAAAGATAAACAAAATTATTTTAATTTATTTCTATAACATGTACTTTTTTTATATATATATATTTAGATATATAATGAAATCTTAATAAATCATCTTATGGATATACTTAAAATAATACATTAAAACAACCAAAATAATTTTATTTAAAAAATAAAACATATACAATTCAAATTTGAATGTTTTGAAATTCCAAAAAAATATCTAATTAATGATAAACCATTCAATTAAGAAATCTCATGTTTAAATGAAGTACAATAATTAAAACGACCAGCAGATATTTTTTATTGTTTCATGAAAACATTTTTAATGATCAAGGATCATTTAACTAAATCTGCATCTAATTTTTTGATTTTCCAAGTAACCAATTATGTTATTGTGCATTCTAATGTTGAATATATTTATGCAATTCTCCATTTACTAGAACTCTTCTATTGTAATTCACTTATTTTACATAAATATCATCAATCGTTGGAATTCATATAAAATATTATAATTTCTTGAATCCTTGAGATTAATGATGAATTAAGTAACAAGATTATTTATAAAAATTAATAAATAAATAAAAATGCAATAAAATCTAAAACCTCTACTGATTATTGACTCTAGATATACTCTCTATGACTTAAGACAAAAAAGAACATACAAATATAATACTGTTCTATAGAAATCCTTCATATTACTTCAACAGCATTTTCAAATATTAGTCATTTTTTGTCACTCTAAATCTAATACTAATGAATTTTTTTATAATGAATTTCAAAAGAATTTTTAAGGAATCGACTCAAAATAACTTTCAATAAAAGAATTATAAAACACTTCATTTCAGAATCAAGAAATTATTGTTATAACTCATAATTATGAATAATTCATTCTCAATCAAAAATATCAGTTATACTATTTTTCAAGTGTTTCATAACAATTAGATAAAAAAAAATAATTAGAACTTAAATATTATTAAACAAATCCTAAATCAAATTTTCATATTTCCCATATTCAGTAAGTCTTTTCATATTTTTCAAAGTCAGAAAATCCTTTCTGTGTTGGTTATTATTTTTATCCTAAAAAATTCAATGAATTAATTTAATTTGATGCATTAATTAGCAATAATAATTTCAATTATATCCCCATTGACTTTAGATTTTACAATAAATACATAAAAATTAATTTATTATTTCATAGACTAATGGATATCTATAAGAAAAAGGAAATCAATATGAAATAGAATGAGGTTGAATTATTTTAATAAAATTATGACAAATTTATAACTGAAAATGCCTAAATACCAGTTATAGATTCAATTGAATGTTTAAAGACGTTAATTTAGAGAGATGAACTTAATATTAAATTATAATCTATCTTTTCTAGTCCCCAATTCTAATCTGCTGTATAAGAACATCAAATAAAGATTATGACTCCAGAATAAATTGTTTATGAGAATAATGATTAAAATTAAGATTTGTCAAATCTAAAATATCCACTCATTGTAAAAAGTAAATAAGGAGCGTTGACAGCTAATTGTCATATAATGGCTATAGTAGTAAATGAAAAAGGACTAAGGGAATTGTTTAAGCAAGAATAATTTAAGTATCAGATTATTAGTAGATTAGAGGATAATTAATCTTGTAGTAAATTATTAACCATAACAGCATTATATACAAAATATATCAATTAGGAAGTAAAATGATTGTACAAAAACGAAAATCAATTCCTAATATAGAAATTAACAATTTTAAATTTGAAGAAGTAACTTTGATATTTATAAACTTTAGGGTTTTTACATTTTTGATACACAAAAAGACTTATTTAAAAATGTTTCATAATGTTTGAAATAAGTTGATGAAGGAATTCATGAATGTTCAAATGAAGATTAATTGCTTAAACAGATGGAATTATTATCTTCAATTATATCAAAGGATTTTAATTTACATCTTTTTGGTTTTGATATTATTGGAATGAATTGGGAATTCTATATTATTGATATAAATCATTTTCCAGGATATAAAAATGTAAGAAATTAAAAATGTATAATAGGTTGAAAATGCTAGGGAATTATTTGAGTAATTATTTATATAAGTATCAACAAAATGAGGATTTGATAGAAAAGATTATAATTTATTATAAAAATTTGTAAAATGATATAATTGCTAATCAAATTAATTTAGAAAATTCAGGAGCTAAATTTATGACTTCAATTTCTTCATCTTCATTTGATTAATGTGGAATTCTTGTATTTCTTTTACTTGGAGTTGTAAGTATATATGAAATTTATTTACTTTGTTTTCTTGGACTAATCTATTTTTATGAAGAATTATAAGAAAGTTTTGAGCTATTTTATTTATTATTCTCTCTTGGTTTATATAAATAGATCTGGTTATAATAAATAATATGTTATTTTTTTGGGGATTTTGGAGTTTTAGTTGGACTTTTCTTAGAACTCTTTTTATGATTATTCTTTCTTCCCATTATTTATCTATAAGTATCATTAGGATTACAAGCCCATAATTTTAGTCTTGATTATTATTATTGTTGAGTTTCTTCTGGATATGATATTTCAGGTAAATCTTTAATTTCTTATTCAATATCATTATTATCTGATAGTTTCTATTGGTATTATTATTAGTTCTGATTTAAGATATTGAACACTTCTTTCGATATTGGTTATTCATAATACTATTGTAATTACTCACTTTTATCTGTTTGATCTCCTTAGTTGTTAGACTCCATATAACGTTTTGAACTTGCCTTTGGAAATAGTTACTATTATTCTTATTTCTCCTAAACTTTAGACATATCCAAAATTTTAAATTGCACAGGTACAGGCGATAAATTTTTATGACCTGACTTTTCTTTGCTTTTATTTTTGATATTAGATTGTCTCTTTTATTGATAGAACCGTTCTTGTGATTCACTCATTATTTTTTCATGTGTTGAATGCACTTTAGTTAATTTGATCTCATTTAATTCTTTGATAGGAGTTTCTCTACTTGGAGTATTTTCAGTCCCTCTGAATGTAAACTTATTTTCTCTTTAAGGTGTAGGATTAATTTTCATAACTGAGTAAGAGAGTGGAGTACATAGTGTCTTGGAGCGTAACTTGTAGAAGGAAGGAGAAAGGGATCGACAAGCAAATAAAGGTCTAGTCACAACAAATGCAGGGATAGGATGGAATTTGCGATCTATGGAGCTGAAATGTTAACGAATTTATTGAATCTGATATTGCATTGTTTTATATATTAATACATTCATCAAGAAAAATCAATATTTCTTAAACAACTTAAATAGAATTATGTTATCATGATAATTTAACATATATTTCATTATTTATCAACTTATATTAATCCTTAACATCTTCTTGTATTTTTTATTAATTATTTTATATATTATTATACTTTTATCTTTTTATTCTTTAAATTAATTATATTCTATAATATGGATGCAAATATTAATATTAAGTTGATTGTAATTATCTTGTTAAAAATATATATATACTTATGTTAATATATATTAAAAATTTAAATTTTAAATACACAAAATATTTTGTGAGTTCTGTATATATAGGTGAATAAGAATTCTATTGATTTATCTTTATTAGATGAGTGTTTGAATAGACTGAATTCATAAAAATAATATTGATAATATAATTATAAAATGAAAACAAAGGAACTTTGGAATCACACAATTGATAAGCCAACTGAGCCAAATTTGAATCTCACAAATCAAGTATTTGCTTGTGCTTTTTTAAAAGGTAAAATTTATGCAATATTATGAATAGATGGAGATGTTGTGGTTGCCGCTGTAGGTAATGCTATACTCTTATTTGATACATAAAAATCTGAAATGTTAAGACCACCTTTAAGAGGACAACATAAAGACACAATCACTTGTTTAGCTGCATCTAAAGATGGAAATAAAATGGTTACAGGTAGTGCAGATAAAACAGTTGTTGTGTGGGGATTCAATATCACTAGAGGTGAAAAGATGTTGGATGCAGAGAAATGGTTTTCACATAGTGATGCCATTTAGTGTGTTGCCATAAGTCCTTTGATGTATTAGATATTTACGGGTTCAAATTAAGAATACTCTTTATGGATTCCTGGAATGGGCAATATTGAAAGGTAGAAGTATAAGGAGAAAATAATATGTGCAGCATGGAGTGCTGATGGACAATATATTTCATTTGGGACAATGAGTGGTATGATTGAGTTCTTTACACATTAGGAATTGTTGTGATCACAGATAGATAAGCACATTAATTGAAGGAGATTTCGACTTAGAAAGGTGGACCAGTATGGTGTATGGAATGGACTCCGATAACATCTGAGTATTAATAGTCTCAATTAACTGTTGGAGTTTGGATGAATTCATTATATTAATTTGATTGTAATGGATAATAAATTGGGGCTAGAATAGAATTACCATTTGATCCTTTACATATCAATTATTAATATAATGGTGAATATATGGCAATTGCAGGAAATAATAATAAGATTAATCTATATACAAGAGAAGGAGGATTCTTAATAGAAGCCTGTTCACTTAATGATTGGATCTGGTGTACTAAATTAAAACCAAAATCCACAGTAATTGTTTGTGGTACTAATGATGGTGATATTGTTGTATAAGAATTATTATCAGAAAATGTTACTGCATTATATGATGATAAGTTTGTTTAGAGAGAACAATTAACAGATGCTATCATATTATCAATGATATCTAATTAGAAGGCAAGGATTAAATGTAAAGAATTAGTCAAAAGAGTGGCTATATTTAAAGAGAAAGTGGCTATTTTATGTGGTATCAAGGTTTTAATTTATACATGTGTTATTAAAGGAGATGATTTTATGAAATATAAATAATTCAAGAAATTTTAGAAGAGAGTAGATTGTGAACATTTTTAATTGGCATCATCTAATGTCTTAATTGGAGCAGGATAGAAATTAATTGCATTTAATTTTAATGGAGATATGGATAAAACTTGGAGTTTTGAATCACCTATTACTGTTGTTTCTTGTTAAGGTGGTGCACCTAAAAGAGAATTAGTTTTGATTGGATTAGAGAATGGAGGTATCTATAAAATATTTTTGGATAATTCATTCCCTATATAAATTCATAAGGTTAATACACATATAAAATATTTGACAATGTCTTAAACAAAAAGAAAAATGGCATTGATAGATGGAAATTAAAATTTATAAGTATTAGATACTATCAGCAAAGAAGTTTTATTTGGAGAAATGGGTGTTGAAGGTGTTGCTTTTAATCAAGAATTTGAAGATTTGATAGCTTATTCAGGTAAAGGATTATTATTTTTCAAATGCATTACATTTCCAGCTTTAAATTAAAAAATATCTGGAAATGTTATAGGATTTAAAGGATGCAAATTATTCCTACAAAATAATAATTAAGTCTAAACTATTGATATATAATAAACTGCCAATATGCAAAGATATCTAGAGAAGAAGGATTTTTTGAATGCTTTAAAGATAGCTTGTCTTGGTGTAACAGAATAAGATATAAGGGCTTTAGGTATTGAGGCATTGATAGCAGGGGAATTTGAAATAGCAAGAAGAGTATTATAGATAAGAATATTTTTTAGTGTTTTTTAAGAAATAAAGATTACTAATTTATTGATTTACTATTGAAATATGAAAAGAAAAATATGGATGCTTAAACACTGAATGAATTAAATGCAGAGGCTTTGGCATATTAAGGAAGATTCATGGATGCTGGTAATCTATTAATTAAGGTTGGGTAAGCTGATAGAGCAGTATAATTATTTAAAGAATTAAGGAGATGGGATGATGCAATAAGTAATTAATTATTTTAAAGTAGATTTTGCTAAAAAGGGAGATGTTGCTTATAGAGCTGTTACATCTGGAGGAAGAACTGGCACTGGAGTTAGAGCACCAACTTCTTAAGGAAGAACAGGTACAGGTAGAGGTTAAGCTGTTATGCCATAACCATAAGATATAGCACCTCCTAAGATAGAAATGAATATGTTGTTAAGAGAATAGGCTGAATGGACAAAAGAATCTGGAGATTGGAAGGCTGCAGCTGAATTATTTGTCACTTGTTAAGAATATAAAAAGGCAATTGAATTATATGGATAAAATAAATATTTGGATGGATTGATCAATGTTTGCAGAATGTTAGATAGATAAGAAAATTCAGATAATATTGTTTTGTGTGCTAATTATTTTAAGAAACTCAAACATCATGGAGGTGCTAAAGAAGCTTATCTTAAATTAAATGATTTAAAAAACCTTATGATTTTACATGTAGAATTTCAAAAATGGTAAGAAGCCTTATAAATTGGAAGATCTAATAAGGAACTTCTTGAAATTGCCAAAGTACCTTATGCTGATTATTTATTATTAAATGATCGGTATGAAGATGCTCTCAAGGCTTATAAAAGTGCAGGTAGATTTGATATTACAATGAAAATGACCAAAGATATGGCCAAAAATTGTATAGAAGAATAAAGGTATCATGATGCTAGTTAATATTTATGGAATTTAGCAATTGATTGTTTAAATTAGATTCAAGATTATAAAAATCCATCAGGAGATGATGTGAAAGCAATCACATAATATCATGAATATAGTGATTTAGCAGATGTCTATTATGCATATTAAAAGATACATAGTTTCATTTGTGAACCATTTCAACCTTTATCAGGAGAATCATATTTTCAATAAATAATGAATTCTTCTAGATTCATAATATCAAAGTGGAAAAGTGTTTATTAGGGAATAAAAATGAGTTATGTTTATTATGCTTTAGCTAAGTGTGCAGCTCAACTTGCATGTTTTAAAACAACTCGTATATGTTATGAGAAATTGAATGTAAATAAATCTTTATAATAATTATTTAGTAATTCAAGATACATGCAGAATGGAGTGAAGAAATAGATCTTCAATCTTTATTAGTTAGATCAAAACCATATACAGATGATGAATCTAAATTACCATTATGTATGAGATGCTCAACATACAATGTAATAATTAATGTTAATGAACAATTATCATTATGCAATGCTTGTTTGCATCCTCTCTTTTGTTCTTTTATTAGTTTCTCTACTCTACCCCTTGTTGAATTTAAAGTTGATAATTCATTATCCAGAGATGATGTGGAAAGATTGCTTAATAGTGAAAAAGTATTTATTAATAAGAGACCAGGATAATTATTCCAAGATAAAATCAATGAAATTATTTAATAATAACAAACATCCCAAGATTAATATTTAGTGGTAGAATTAGATGAGACTGCAATTTAATCACTTTCTCCTGAAGAAGTTTTGATTGTAGATTATAGGTAATATTGCAGTACTATTGATGTTAAATATTATAAAAATATGGTTGGAGAATAACCTATTCATGTTTGTCCTGATTGTGGAAGATTCTTCTATATTGATGAACATGAATTTGAATATATATAAAAAAAATGTTGTCCATTTTGTAGAATTTCAGATAAAAAAATACCATAGAAGGATATTTTTGATATTTGATAATTGAAATATAATAAATAATTAAATATATATTAATTGAAAGAGATGAATAATGCCTATAAAGTACAAACACCAAAAGTGCAAGGTGGACAAGCACAAAATGTCAAATTCCCATCATAAAATGATCAAATAAAGGAATTAGTTACTTAATTCAAATTTAGAGAATAATAAAGAATAGATGAATGCAAAAAGAAGATGAATTAGATTAATACAAATTTTAGTGATATAAAATAACCTTGAAAGTTCATATTTTCATTATCTATTCACATTTTCTATAATAATTTTTCTAATATCATTTTTCTATTAATATTTTGTAATATATTTTAAATAATTATCAATATTAAAATATAATATTAAAAAAAAGTATACTAAAGGTAAAAATGACAACGATAATTAAAAAAGATCCAAGCTATATATATTCTATAGTCATATTAATAAATAGACATCTAAAATCTTATCAATCCTTTACTATATAATAATCATATTAGAATCAAATTAATAAATTTATTCTTTAGAGTTCAATATTGATAATCTTTATATAAATCAATTTTTATATGTGTATTAATAAAAAAATAATTAATTAATTACTATTTTCTAAAATAAGTATTGTTATAATCTTTTTGATATTTGAAATTCAATTTCATCAAAGAATTTATTTGAATTAACATAAAATACTTTTATGAATTTTATTAATTAAATTTAAACAGTTAATCTAATAGATATAGACTATCTATTAATCTTTAATCTTAAAATGAGTATTTCAATTGAAACCACTACTATTTATGAATTATTATCTTATGATTTAATCATTAATATATTTTAAAACAAAATTAATTTAATGTTTATTTAGAATCTCATCATTTTTTCTTATATTAATAAAACTATTTTTAAATAGTATATCAGTGTATTCTTAAAATTTAAGAATTTTTTTCTCTTCAAATTCCTTAACATAATGATTACAAAGACATTTTTTTAATTTATATCATAACAAACACCATTTTTACAATTGATTAAACAAGTAAGATAAATAAATTTATCAGAATTTAATAATATTTTTACATAACAACCTAATAAAATATATATATTTAAGATAATATATATAAACAAAGCAAAAACACTATTTTTGAATTAATTTAATATTTTAATGGGAGTTTGTAGTTCATCCAAACAGTGTGATAGCAAGACCAAACACAAGGATAATTTTAACTCAGCATTGACCAATACTGCAGAGGTTCAGCAAACCCTAAGAGAAATACCTCCAACCTAAAATGAATAGAGGTTAAATGAAAACCAAACCGTTTAAAGAAAATTGAGAAAATCAGGGACTTTGAGCTATTTTGAATATAAACAAGATAAAACAACAATAGACAAACAATTAAGTAAAATTTACTTTATATGTGTTTAGGAAGTAACAGGAAGATACCTTAGAAAGTACCTTAACTTAAAATCAAAGTCACTGATGCAATAGCTTCAAAAGATTATTCTGTGTATAAGGGAAAGGTCAAAATACCCAATAAATCAACTCTTCGAGTAATGCAACATAATAGCGATGGATAATTGGTAATTATGGAATAATTGCCATATGATTAAGAGGGTAAGGATTATATTGAGTGGCTCTAAAAAACCAATTTGGTAATTATTATTGTGATAATGAGTAGGAATTTTATCATATTGGAAAGATTCATGAAATCTTTATCTTTGGAAAGTAATTTTAAATAATAAGTGAATTTTGCACAGGAGGTCCATTATCTGATTTATTGCATTGCAAATTATCAGAATAGATAGTTAGTAATATTCTGGATTAAATATTTGAAATCATTAATTTCCTTCATTCAAATAAGTTATCTCACAATAAGTTGACAATAGATAGTTTTTCTTTTTATTACGATTTGTAAAATTATTTGATTAAGTTGACTGATATCAGAAGTTTATTTAAACCTTAAAGAGAACCTTAACTTCAACTTATTTAATATGCATCTCCTGAAGCTCTAACCTCTCATCATCCTCATAAATCAAATGATATTTGGTCATTAGGAATTATTGCCTATTAACTTATGACTAGAAATTTGATTTATGAAGGTGATCAAGATTTGACTACAAATCAAGAAGTGAAATAGGCAATCCTAAGATGGACATCTAAATAGGATATAAAAGATGAAATATCTGAAAGTTTTGAAGATTTAATTTTAAAAATGCTCAATCCTAATAAAAATGAAAGATATACTATAGAAGAATGTTAGAAACATGAATTTATTGTACGTCATTAGAATCATAACTTGAATTGCTATTTTAAACACATATTTACAGAGAATTTTAGTAGTAAATTGTAGAAATGGTTTATGATTTATCTTCTAAATAACTATGAACATTCTCATTATCATGTAGCACATAGAATATTTGATGTATTAGATAAAGATAAAGATGGAAAATTGAATACAATAGAATTATTAGATTTTGAAAAAAGACTTAAATAAGCATAAGGATAGGAGATGAATATTAAAGTCATATAGAATTTAATAGATAAAAATATGAATTTAGGATTAGAAGATTTTATTCTTATGATATCTAATAAATCATTATACATAACTCATCACAATCTCGATCATAGTTTTAAGAAATTAGGTAATAAAAATTAAGAAATTACTGTAAAATCTTTGTCTAAAATAATCAATATTTCAGAAGAGGAATTGACAGTGGAATTTAATAATCATTAATTGTTTTATGAGGTATTTTTAAATATTCTATATTAGTCTTATTGTATTCCTTTAGAATTTGCATTATATGAGTCAATTATGAACTAGATTATGGTAGTTTAAAATGAATTTTAATGAAATTTAATTGATTATATCATTAATAAAAATGCTAAATTTGTTAAATTCTTTAGAAAACAATCCAAAGGTTCCATTCTAATTAAGAAGATATCGCCCTTCATTAACAATTCAAAGTGAACCAAAAAATTAACTTACTAGATAACATACAATTTAAGATCTTTTAAACTTCAAATTGTCTGGCATGTCTAGTAATATTCCTCCACCATAATCAATAATTTAAAGAAAATTGAGTATTAGACCTTCATTAAAGTTGACCAAAATTACTCCTTTTGTCACAGAATCAGGAGATAATTGTACACCCCTTATAAAGAGAACTATCTCTTTGGAAAACACCAAGAAAGTTGACTTTCACCCTTCAGTCTTGGTAATTTACTCAGAGAATGGAATAAAGAAGAGAGAGAAGTTAATTGATGAATTTAGAGTTAAAAGAAAAGGCACCAGAAAAAACTGTATAATAATTTAAAAAAAATGAGTATCCAAATAAACCGATTTGATGATAATATTGAGTATAGATTAAACAATCAAATATAAAAGCATTTTTATATTTAATCTTTCATTATCAAAGCTTATTAAGATATTAATTTATCATTAATACTTAATTTAATCATAATTTTATCCAGATTCTAATTATATATATATTATTTATACAAATTCTTCTATCTTTAACTTTAACAATTATGTGATTACTCACTTTAACATTGATTACAATTAAATCCTTTGTTTATGTTTCATTAATATTTTGACTAATCAATAATTAAATTTAGATGACCTCATGAACAAGTCAATTGAATTTTTATTAATTATAATCAAATCCAGTAGAATAAAAGAAGTTTCGGATACATTCCTAACAATCTTCATATTGGTAAATTTCAACACCATCAATATATTAACTAGAATGAAATAGTTTGATCTTAACAATTATTTATCTATTAATTGATTTTCAAATTAAACTATTTACATTTCATCTTTTAATTCTTTCATAAAACTATAATATTTATACACTAAAGTTTTCTATAAAACCCTATTAATTTATCATAATTGATATAATCATACAATCTTATCATATAAATTTCTATTGTTTTATTAAATTATATTAACAATTTTAGATAATAATTTATTTTTTTAATTTGAAATGATTAATTCTTATAATCATTTATATGTCAATGTGAAGGATTTATGCCCATAAAATACAGTTAATTTGATGGTTCTATACTTTAAATTGAATAAGAGTATGAATAATTAAATTGATTTTATTTATTTTAAAGGTGACTTATAGATTTAAAGATGAATCTAGTTTGCAAGTGTATTATTTACTATTTATAATACTAATTTTGTTGAATATCAATTTATAATATTGGAATTAGATATATTTTGAAATAGTTAAATTTTAATCATTATCTGTATAATTATTTATTGTTATCTGAATAATGATTGATTAAACAATATAATTTAACAATTGATCAATAATTTTAGGATTAACTATTATTTATTTAATTTTATTTTTTCTTAAATTATTTTCTGATAGAGACTATTATCAATTTAATTGGAATAAGTTTATCTTTCAATAACATATGAATTACTTATAAAGAATTATCTGAAATATTATGTCATAAGAAATTCATTTATAATAATTTTAATAATATTAAAAGCATCTAAATTTTAATTTTTCTTATTTAATATTATGTTAAATAAAAATAAAATGAGGACTCTTTATTATCAATCTATTGGAATTGGTGTTTCATAATTAAATATGAATTCTATGTACTCTTATAGATTTAACTATATATAATATAAATATAATATTCTTACACCATCATTGAGATTAAATGATTTAAAATCTTAAAGAATTTATAATTCATTAATATTATCTATTACTTTATATAATGATTTTGGAGTGATTAGATTTGATTATCTAGATAGAATTTTAAAACTAGATTCCATAATGTCTTAAGTTAAAATAATATCTTTATTAGAAGCTGATAGAAGAAATTCATCTAAAGTGAGATCTTTTTATAGATTTAATTGATCAATCAAATCCTTACCTTCAAGTGAAAATAATTCTTTTAATTCTTCTAAACTCAAACTTCCATCTGAATTAATATCAGCTGTAATAAATAATTTGGTTAAGACTTTTAAATGATCATTAGCATAATTTTGAAGTAGATACTAAAATATACATTTATGTAAATAGGTCATATTCTTACATTTTATCATATTTTTTAACGGTTGTAATAAATCTTATGGTTAAACTTATTTCATCTTAATGAGGAATGGATGTTCCAAACATTATTTTAAACTAATTCTATCATGACGATTGATGTGTAACATTTCAAGTAATAATGAATTCATCTCTGAAGGATATTTATTTAAATAATATTCAGGTTTGAATGAATGAATTTCTGAAATATCATAAGGTAATTCTTTATTTTTTAATTAGAGTATTATAATTGCCAATGCCCAAACATCACTACATTAATTTTTGGTTTTAATTTCAATAGGATTACGATCATTATATTTATTGTTAGAATTTTAATGCTTTGATTATAATGGATCTTCATAAAGATGAGCATTTTTTGGATATATTAATTAATAAATGCTTCTGATATTAGATAATTTGATAAATGGTGTAGAGGAATCATCAAAGATTGAGAAACTGTCAATTGTTAATTCATCATGACTTAATCCTAAAGAATGTATATAAGCTAATGCTTCAATCATTTGATAAAATATTATTCCAATTTATTGATCATCATATTTACGATTTTCTATGTATTTAGATAAAGAACCTCCTGAACAACATTCATACATTATTTAATATGTTTTTTTTTAATGATCAACAAGAACGTCAATTATTTTTACAATATGCATATTATCCTAAATTATTAATCTGCTTACCAGTTTAATTTCTTCCAATTTCTCAATATATTAGTGATTCTTACTATCAAACTTAAGTAACTCAACTTAAACTAATTAGCCTGTTTCATTATGTTACATTACCGTTTTGCCTAAATTTTCTGCTATGTTATACATCATATCATACCTAAATTTTTGCTTGACACTATTGAATAGTTTCTAGAGGCAGACACTTGAAGAGTTTTAGTTCCTTATCTAATACTGTTTCTTTTATAAGGAACATTCAATAATGATGATCTCTTTATTTATTGCTACTCTTATAATAAAGAAGGTTAGACAATCAATGTTTTTGTTGTAGTAGTTGTAGCATGTGAAGCTCTTCTAATACTCATTGTACCATTTTTTATTGAATTAATTTATACTGGAGTTGTTGTTTTATTAGGAGAATGGTTCCTTTGGGCAGTTAAAGCTTTTTTATTTAAATTAAGCTCTTCCAATTAGTTTGTATTATTTTTCTATGCTGAAACTAATGAAATTTATTGATTTGCTTAGGTTTCCGGTTAAAGTTTCTTTTATTTCTAATTATTTTTTGTAGATGAAGAAGTACAAACTCCCATTAATTATAAATAATCAAATTTAAATTAGGGACATTTAGAAGTTTATCATATAAATACAACTATTTAAATATCTTAAATATAATTATTCACTTGGATTAGATATAATTCAACTATTAAATTATTTTAAATAATATCTAATCCATTTAAACTCACTTTCTTTAGGACAAATATATATAGACAATATTATTTTTACTAAATTAATATTTATTCTGTGATTTTTATATTATAAAATTCTCAAAATAATTGATTTTCATTTATTTAAAATTAATTCAATTGTTTACTAGGATTATTATATAAACACATATATAATCAATTATTATAATAGTTCTTTATAATTGTTAAGCTCAATAAATGTAAACATAACCCATATATAACGATTGACTTATTTTGAAAAAAATACTATCACTATTTATAGATATAAGTGTAATACATTTTTATTTATTCTTATTTTGTAATTTAATTCACTTAACTCATATAAATTTTGTAAAAAACAACATTATTATATATTAAAATTCTCAGCCTCTTGTAGATTCAGAATAAGATTAAAAGAAACTTGAAGAATTTAAACTATTAGCTAATATAGAAAATGATTAATTGGTTTATATCAAATCCATTATATAAAAAAATAAATTATAAATTTAATCAATAAAGTTAAAATTATAAAAACAGTATAATAATTTTATAATATTTCATTTTAACAATAAATACTAGTATTCTTGTAAAAGGTAGACATTAGATATAAATTTTAATGATTTATAAATTTATAATTTATTTACTTTTTTTTTTGGTATATTTTAATTTGTCAAATAAGCGGGAAATCTATTTCTTAAGATGAATTATTTTATAAGGACATTTATTTAATTATAAATTACATGTATACAGGCACTATTTCAGTAATCTATGGTCCAATGGTAAATGTATTATAATATTTCAGTTTTCTGGTAAAACAAGTGAACTAATGAGATTGGTTAAGAGATTTACAATTTCTGAAAGAAAATGTGTTGTTTTAAATTATGCAAACGATAACAGATACTCAGAAGAATAATGTATTTCAAGTCATGATAAGTATGCTGTTTATTTAAAAAAATGAAGACAATATTTAAAAGCCGTAAAAGTATGCAAATTGAATGAAGCTTATGATAAGTGTAAGGAAAGTGATGTTGTGGCTATTGATGAAGGTTAATTCTTTTAAGATGTAATTAAAATTAATAATTATATAGATTGTGGAATTTAGTGAGAAAATGGCAAATTTAGGAAAGATTGTTATTGTAGCAGCTTTAGATGGAACCTTTGACAGGAAACCTTTTCATAATATTTTAAACTTAATACCTTTAGCAGAACGCATAACAAAATTAACTGCAGTATGTTGGTTTTGTAAAAGAGAAAATGCATCATTTACTAAAAGAATAGTATAATCATAAGAGAGTAAATAAAATAAATAAAATTTTAGTTGAATTGATTGGTGGTGAAGATTGCTATAAACCAGCATGTAGATAGTGTTTCCATTTAGCTGAAAATCAATTGAAAAGTCAATCTATTCCACAATCAATATATGTTAATTAAGAGAATCATTATGATCAAAATAATTTGATTTGCTGAGCAAAAACTATAATTAATTTATATTTTTTATTATTAAACCATCATGAGTTATAATGGAAATGCATTATTGACACCTTCACGATATGGTGGTGAATCTTGGAATGCTTAGACATGCTTCACTGCTTAAGAGGACTATTTTGAATGTTTAGATAGAGAAAATTCAACTAATGGTAATTGAATTATTAATCCAGTCAATCGTAAACTTTGTGGAAGAGAACATTAATTATGGAAGGAAACATGTCCAGATAGTGATAGAAGAGCCTAAATGATATTTAGAAGACTTGAAAGACAAAATTAAGCATTGTATACATCAGAATAGCTCAGATAATATAATAATCATTAAAACAATAGAAGCTTCAAATGATTAATGAAAAATGCACAAAATAAAATAAAAAATATATTATAATAATATAAAGAATAAAAATAAATTAATAATCTACTTTTATTATATTGATATCATTAAAATAATTGATTAATGGATAATATTTGGTGAGAAGAAATTGAATAAAAAAATCAAATTATAATTTTTGATTAAAGAGTGTGTTTTAAAAAGATTTACTAAAAATTGTAGATATATAAGATGTATATAATTAAGAAATCACATTCAAAATATTGAGAATGATATGTTAATTTAAATAAATCTTAAATTAGTTAAAGATAATAAATAAAAAAAAAGTGATATATTAATAATGTCATATATTTCTAGTTGGCCTGTGTTTATAGAGTGTGATCCATGCACAAAGTTTTGGAATAGAAATGAATGTGTTATTGATCATAATATTTTAATGAATGAAGAATTAATGAAAACAGATCAAAAGAATATTATAATTAAAGAATAAACATATATTCTAACCAATTAGGGTTAATTTTACTATTAGAAACAAAATAAATTGAGATGGGTTTAATTAAATACATCAATAAGTGTTAAACTTATAGAATTAAAGTTACCTCAAAGAGAACATGATGTTGTAAAAGTAATCCGAATAAAGAGAAATTAAAGAGTATACGCATGCTTTTGGAGTTTAGATTTGTAATTGTTTAACTGATTACAGTTAGAAGACATTCTAATATTTTAAAAGAATAGCAGGATTTTGTGTATGTTAGAATTTTGAACAACTTTACACAATATAAGATCTATTGGGAAAAGGTGGATATTCAAAAGTGTATCAATTGTGTCCAGTGAATAGATTACCTTATTAGTAGTAATATTATGCTGGCAAAATATATAATAAAGTTGAAGTAAATTCAAAAAAGAACTTAATTTAAATATCACATTTAATAAGATAAGAATGTGAAATACTCAAAAAGTTAAATTCACCATTCATTATAACTTTATTTGAAATCATTTAATTAGATGAACAATTAAGTAATGAGTTTATGAATATGTTATAGTTTTGATAACAGAACTACTAAGAAGTGGATCATTATATTAATTACTTAAAGAGAAAGTTCGAATACAAGAAATTGAAGCTAATGGAATTATATTAAGAATTGCTTTAGGATTACAATGTCTACATAAGTAAATGGGATAATTAATTTAGTTTAGGGTATGTTCATAGAGATATTAAACTTGAAAATGTATTATTAGATAAAGATTAGATCAAAATTATTGATTTTGGATTTGCAGAATAAATAAATAGAGAAGTATTGACTTCAGGATAAGGAACTATTGGTTATATGGCACCAGAAATCTTTTAAGATTAACCATATACAGAATTAGGAGATGTATTTAGTTTAGGAGTAGTATATTATCTATTATTGACTGGTAAATCTCCATTTAGAGGACATAATTAAGATAATATTATGAGAGCAAATAAATTATGTGAAGTTGATTTTAGTGAATATTGTTTTGTAAATGTGAGTCAAAAAGTTATTAACTTAGTCAAAGCAATGCTTTAAAGAAATCCAAAAAATAGAATTAGTCTAAATGAAGTTATTCAATCATTGAGAACTTAAAATCCAATGATGGATTATCCTTATCATACTAATTCAGTTGATGGCTCTTAAATGACTAAATAAGCTGGAATTAGATCTCTCTATTTATTAAGTCAAAATTCTTAAGATTCTCTAAGAGGTTAGAAAGCTTAGTAGAATAGATTAAATGTTACAGATAAATTCGTTGTGAAGACAAGTACGTTTCGACCTTCACTTGTTAATTTAGATAGTAGTCATAATGAAAATGAAGACTTAGAGGATAATCATCTACCTGGATCTGTTGTGGAATTCTTGTTTGTTTCAATGAACATTATGAATAACAATAAATTTCCATGATATTAAATTAATAATTATGTAATTCTCTTGTATGTTCTGTGAACATAAAGGGAATCTCCCAGAATTACTTAATATGGTAAACATCAAAAAATATTCAAGGCTCTTTCCTCAAAATATCAAACTGATTTTTGTTAATTCTAATTACATAGTCCAATTACTATTCAATTCTAAGATTAAGTATGTTTTGAAGAATAAGAAGAGTATTTCAAATTGTATTTAGTCTAATTAATTAGTTATTATACATACCCATAACTGAAAGATAATCAAAAACACCTTACTGAATATTATAGATATCATAGAGACATCCCACGTATTTTCATTAAGAATATCACTTCTTAATTAGAAGTTTATCATGAAAAATAAAGAGAAATCAGATATAAGAAAATAAAGAAATAATTAGGAATGTAAGTCAAAGATACAACAAGAGATGATATTATTTAACCATTTAAGGCTCTTAAAGGTCTTAGTGAGTTATAGACTTCAAGACAATTGTAGTAATTGTTAAAATAAATCAAACCACTTCATTATGATAAAAGCGGAATTGCAACTTTGATTTAATAATAAAAGTAATAGATGTTACAATCCCCAAATTTAAAAAGATTATTAAAAATGGATAACATTAAAACTACTACCACTTTGATGACAACCAAAAGAACTCATCATACTTATCATACTATATAAGATATAAAAAAGAAAAGTCATAAAAAATAACTTACTTTATGCACTGAGTACTCTCCTGATGAAAGGAATGATTTTTATAAGAGATGGTCTGATGTTTTAAGTCATAGATAATTATAATATCATAAAAATAAAATAAAATGCACTCTTCTTAACAAAAAGAAATCACTTAAATGATTTTTATAATATTGTATTTATAATATGAATAAAGCTGTTAGAATAAGATGATAAATCATGTTATCTAATAATACTTTCAATGAAATTATCCAAAATCAAATTTAAAATCTTTGTTTTTTTAATCATAATTATGAAATTCATATTATATTTATAATATTCATCTGTATCTCTTATTTCAATTATTAAGTATAATTAATTTATTTAATCTTTTTAGTTATTCTACTTTATTAATATCTAACAAAAGTATTACTATTTTATCAAAATCAAATTATTTTTTTATATACTCCAAAAATTTACATTATTTTGGACATTTCTAAATTCATTAATAATCATCTCTATTAAATCTTAAACATCATCCTAAATATATAACAATTAGAATATTATAAAAAATCTTTATTATAAATTTTGATATTGAAGTAATTCAGAATATTTTACAACTCCTTTTAATCAGATTTAATTTTTACATTATTAAATTTAATCTACATACTTATAAATAATCATGAAATTAATAACAAATTAATATATAATATAAGCATATGAGCAAAACTAATTAGATGTCTTGTTTTAACATGTAATTTTAATCCTTTATTATTTATTGAATGTGCAAATCCAATCTATTTATCAGTTTAATCAAAAACAGTATAATAGCTATGTAAGAATGCATCACCTAACAATAAAAAGTCATCTATCTCTGATCTTTCTAGTTTAGTATTACATTTTGATTGACTGCCATCTAATATTGTACAAGCTATCATAATATTGATAATAATATTATACAATAGATATAGTCTTAAGGATTTAAAAGTAATTCTAAGGTACTATTGATTCTTATTTTTATAATAGGAAATTAATCAATAATTCCTTGTTCATGAGTTGCATCTACGAAGCAATGTACAGTACTATAAGATGGTGCATAATTTTCAACTTTGTATGAACATTGTACTCCTTTTGCTGTAAATACTTACAACATATCATCTATTGCAATTGCAGGAATAGTTAGACAACTAGTTCCACTGTCCACTAAAGCTGTTGTAATAGTAAATAATTCATCATCAATTGACATTCCCTCTATTCCTATCAGATATTGATATTCAGATAATAGTGGTACATAAGATATCTTTTAGTCCTTTTACACAAATTGCATATCAATACCTCCAAAAAGTATATAACTACCAAATTCACCTTCATCTTTTAAATATAATGAAAAGTATTTTTTAGATATAAGTTTTTATTAATAAAGTGATTCCAAAATAGATGGATATGGATTGGCAGCAATAGAATGAAATCCAAGTCCTAGAATACCTCCACTTGATGCAATATTCCCACTTGCATTTTCAATTAATAGAAAGGATTAATTAAACTTGATATTATGCATCCACACTTAATCCCAAGCCAAAGTACCTGAAATTGGACCATCATCATAGAAAATTTAATAACGAGAATCAGTTTTAATACAAGTCTAACTCGCTTTATAATCATATCGCTTGACTATTATATGAATTTCTTATTATATATTTACCATAATTAAGGAATCCTTTTGCATCTATTGATGGAACCCATAGATCAGAAGATCCAGTATCTATAATTAATTCCATCTGTTATTTCATAGATCCAAATTGCATCTAAACTCTGTATTCTACTTGATGAATATCATGAATAGGATCCACAATAGTTAAATGTCTTTTTATTTGATACATGATACTCTTAGTTTGATACAATAACCCAAGTAACACTATTAGAAACATAATAAATGAAATAATCAACTATTCAAAGTTAATTAAATCGCAGTAGACAAATGATTACGTTATTTTAGTAGCGTATGCAATCAGAATGGTAAAAAAGGTATGATCAAGTTAGAACAATCACTCCTTCAAAATAAATTCGAATAAGAACTACTCCAAGTCCTGAAAGACCAATAAAATTGAAATTTGCATAATCTCCTGTTCAAGCTCTTTATACAACCTCTACAAAAGCAACTGTAATTTTACCATTATAAAATGAATATAAATATACAATGCCAGAAACAAGACAAGGTTGTAGATCAATAGAATTGTCAAATTAATTGGGAATAGTTTTGGGAGGGCATTCACATAGAGAATCATTGGAATTCAATTTTATAGATTTATAAAGTGGATAATGGTTATAGAAATAATAATTTTAAGATTGGGAATACTTAAAATATAGAATGAAGGAAAATAATACAAAATTAGGAAGTCATTTTTCAATAAATTATGATTTTGAAGAATAAACACTATATTGTTTTGGAGGTGAAAGAATATAAGGAGTTAGAAGATAAAGTAATACTTTAAGTAAGATACAAAATCATTAATTGTAATAATTTATAATAAATGGTATCAATCCAAGAAGGAATCATACATCAACTTTAATGGATAATCAATTGATTATTATTGGAGGATTTGAAGATATGAATACAAAACCAATTTATTTTGGTGATATACACAGTATCAATTTGATAACAATGAAATCAACATAATTATAAAAATAATTTATGAAAAATGGATTGGCTTATCATTAAGTAATAAGTGTATAGAAAAAGAATTAATATTTTGAAGAAAAAGAGAATGGTATATATTTATTTGGTGGTAAGGATTAAGAGGATAATTTTAATAATGATTTGCTATAAATAGTTATAGGGACTTAATTGTAAATGAATGTTGTTTAGACAATTGGATAATAACCAAAAGCAAGAAGAAATTTTAGTATGAATTACGATTAGAATAGTTAATGTATTATTATATTTGGTGGAACAAATGACTTTGAGATTTTTGATGATTTATATACTTTAAATATTTAGAGTAAGATTTGGTGTCATGTTTAATTGAGTGGATATTTAAATTTCTAACCTAGATATGATCATTGTTCATTATATTAAAATGAAAAGTTGATAATTTTTGGAGGATTAAATGAATTTGGATTTATTTTATTTAATCCAATATTAATAAATTTAAAATTAAAAAGATAAAAATTGAATCATTAGGAATGAATATATGTGTATCCATCAAATTATTACTACACTTCCTTTATTCTCAATTATTTTGTAAATTCCTCAATCAAAGTTTTATCTGATTCTTAATGTCCTTATTGTAATTTCCTATTGTATTCTTCACATTTAGGTAAATATGGAGCTGCCATCTTTTTATTATACAAACTAATCCAATCAAAACCATTAAACCATGGATGATCCTTCAATTAAGATATTCCTCCTATTCCCAATCTTAAAGATTATTTTCTCTATATTAATTTATTTGTAAAATCAATAATAGATGGTGAATAATTTGGACATTCTTTTTAACTCAATTATACTTATCTACCAAGTATTTCATCTCTTACTTCCTTACGAGATCTACCTATATATGGTCTTTTGCCTGTAATCATCTCATAAGTCATTACTCCTAAAGCAAAATAATCAACACCATAAGAATGATTCTAACGTAACAAAACTTCAGGTGCCATATAACCAGGAGTACCACTTGTTTCATTATGATTATCCAATTTATGCACTCTAGCTATACCTAAATCTGTTATTCTTAAGTAACCTGATTAATCAAATACAAGATTTTCTGGTTTTAAATCTCTATGGATAATCTAATTACTATGCATATATTCTAATCCTAATATCAAACAACCAATAAAAAATTCTTATTTTCTTTATATATTATAATTTACTTATTTGATCTTCTTTAAATTATTTGTTTAATATCAAATGAAATCTAAGATCTCCTCCTGATAAGTAATCCATTACTAAATATAATGTTTCTCTATCTTAAAATGCAGCCACAATGTTTACTATAAATGGATGTTTTAACTTAGAAAGTAAATTCTTCTCATTTATTACAGATTTTACTGAGTTCTTGCCTAAAATTCTAAGTCCTCAATTTTATTTACTTGGCTTTTTATAATTCTTTCATAGCAAAGATTTATCTAGATCGTTTGTGTTCTACTTTCCAAACTTTACCAAATCCTCCCCATCCTATTACAAATTTTAATGTAAAATTAATCTTTCCAACATAACTATTATATTGATTAGTTGTCAACGTTGTACTTAAATTTGTATTCTTAATCTTAATTATAACTACTGCTACCTTAATCGTTATGCTATTACTATGTGGTAAAGGTTTTCTCTTTGTTGTCTTCAACTCTCCTAAATAATAAGTCTTTCTTTCCGGACTATGAATTTATGCCTAAGAAACATGAACACTGAATTTTGGTTATACAATTAATTTAGGTGACACACTCACCAATGGTGGCACTATTATATTAGAATTACTTATACTATCTTAAGATGCCCTTCTTTTTACTATTATTTGAATTGGTTTTTCACTCTCAGCAAATAGATCTCGAATATTTGTACCTTTCTTAAACATATATATATATATATATTATATTAATAATAACAGTCAGTCAATCCAATAATTATTTTTACTCATTTCTGCAATCAAATTAAGAAGAATATATATATATATATAATATTTATTATATCTAAAATTCACTCTAGATATGTTCTCATTATTAATGGTCTTTTGTATATATATTAATTAATATGTTATTATTTATATTATTTCCAATAGTATTTACACAAACCTAAGTGTGCCAAACTTCAGATTTCAACTCTGGATATATAAAGGTATAATATACTATATTATTTAGGGTGATCATATTGTCATATGTCTATTCTTCCAAACCCCTGATAATCAACAATACAGATAAGTATATTAATTAAAAGTTGACTAATATACTGCACTCTTAGTTTCTGGAGCATATTAAACTCTATCAAGTAAACAGAGTAGTTTATGGGCTAATTCTGGTAGTATTTCTACTACTTATGGTACTCCATACTCATAACCTGGTGGTGCATTCCCAATTTAATCAATTGTTATTCAAATGATTTAAGGCAGTGTCATTGATGTTTTTTGGGATAATGTTTGTTTTGATGGTAGTTAATGTAAAGAAAATACAATCACAACAACTACAGGATAAAGTATTTCAGAAAATAATGATTTTGTCACTTCTTGTAATGGTGGTGCTTGTGATCCAAAGATATATGTAAGTTTTTTGGGAACTGATGCTAATGGCTAGTATTATACTAGTAGTGGTATAAAATTGATTATATAATAAATAGGAATTCGTATGTCAAAGTTTAGATAATACTCAGCAGCATAAATCTTTACAAATACTTAAAATGCATTTAATAATGTAATAGATGAGTATTCAAATTATACGTTATCAGCAAAATGATTATTTATGATTCAATTTAGATATTGATTAATTTAATACATAATCTAGTACTTTATTAAGACTCAAATTTTTATCAAGTTAAAAGTTGCTAGGTATATTATATATATATATATATTATTGATTTTAAATTTTAATGTCATACTCCTGTACTGAAAAACTATGGAAACCAATCATTAGACCTCCAAGACACTATTATTAATTAAAAGATTTAGGCAATCAAATCACAATGGTTATTGATACAGTTACGAAACGAACAGATTTTGAAATTGTGAATAAAAGAAAACTTACATTATAATGTAGGTACACTCTAAACAAATATTACCAGTCTATTTGAACCTGTGAGAGTTCAAGATCGGTAACACTCTTGTATGATTTATTTGCATGGAAACTCTAGCAGCCGAGTTGAAGCATTGACAATTTTAGAATACTTGATCCCTTATAACATAGCAGTTTGCGGAATTGATTTATCAGGTAAGCCATCGCTCATTTATCCAGGTTCTGGACATTCTGAAGGTGTTTACATTTCTCTTGGTTATTATGAATCCCAAGATGTACAGAGTCTTATTGATTATCTACGAGATCATAAAGTAAGATACAACTTTAATAATAGAGCCTTACATAACTTAAATAGGGTTATGGGGTAGATCTATGGGTTCAGTAACAGCTATTCTAAGTGCCAGTTAGAATGAAGATATTAAGGTTTTAGTTTGTGATAGTCCCTTTTCTAATTTGACTCTTTTGTGTAAAGAAATTGCAACTTTTGGTTATGGAGTACCTGGTTGTTGTTTTGATTGTTTTTTTTGTTTTGTAAAATCAAAAATTAGAAAGGAAGCTAATTTTAATGTGGATGATCTGAATGTTATTTAAATAATAGGAAGTAATATTTTGTTAGCTTACAAATACTAGATCTTTCATCTTAAGTTTCAATTGCATTTTTGAGTGCTAATTAAGATTAATTGATTCCTTCAAAACATGCTAAATAATTGCATTGTTTTTTTAAAGGAACTAAATTACTTAAATCATTTGATGGCCATCACAATTCAAAAAGACCAAATGATGTTATGAAAGAAGTGGCAGATTTTGTTATTTCTTAATTGGGCAAATAACAAAGTGATTAACCTTAGAGTTCAAGAGATACTAAATTATTGTTACTACACAATTAAAGAGAAAAGATATCTTTCCAATATGATGAAGTACATCCAATAATGACTGGAGGTTAAATTTCGAATAATGAATAAAATATAACAAAATGACAATAAATTTTGATTTTATTTATTTATGAATAATAATTTTGGATCACATTTCCATCTAAAAACAGATTTACCTATTCTACCATAATCAGAAGTTTTTATTAGACAATATTCATAAGAAGTAAATTATTTATATATATTATAGAATGATGTAATTTGTAATAATCATGCTCGGACTTACAGTTTAGGAATCGAAAAGGTTGGCTCCAATAAATTCAACACTATCTCATAAATTGACACAGGGAAACATGAACTAAACTTAGCTAGCCCTCTTATTATTAATTAAGTAAATTTTATCTATTATCATAGTAAACGGGATCAGAATTCTAAATTAATGTTGATAATATCATCTAATTCAATCAATAATGTATGATAAAAGCATATCATATAAGCTCTAACTTTTATGAATTCCAATTATGCTACCAACAATTTTATTAAATTAGGATCAAACAATGAATTATTACAAAATGAAGATGATGTTAGACCATTTACTCCACCATAAGAGGAACATAATTTTGAAATCAATAACTTAAATGATGTAATGCAATCTCCAAGAAAATCATGTAAATTCAAAGCAGCTGGTAACTTAGTATTAGGAATAAGAAGATTATAATAAAATGTTGTTGAATAAATTACATCTTCAGTACTATTTATAGGTATTAGGAATAATTTTATGAAAAATTTAACCCAAGTCCATGTTAAACTACCAAAAATATTCACAAAGTTCATCCAATTTAAGAATAAAAAGAATTCTAAGTGATAGAAATGCTCAATCAATTTAAATTAGTTTTTCATTTAACATAACATTCAATGAGTGGTTCATATGATGATATTTAACAAATGATTAAATTATTATAAAAAGATCCAAAAAGGTATGTCTTATATAATATTTAATTAGAAATCTAACAAATCCTTAAGATCCAAATCATATTATTAATTAATTTAATTAATATGGATAAAATTCATTATACATAGCTTGCAAAAATGGAAATGATAAAGTTGTTAAATTTTTATTATCACTTGATTGCAATGCTCATATCAAAAGCAAAGTTTATGATGATCTATCAGAAAGCCCATTAGATGTATCTGTCAGATGGCATCATTATGAATGTGTTAAATTACTTTTAAATCAAATCAAATATACAGATGCAGAATTGAGATCAGCTCTCAAGATTAGTTAAAATCAAGAAATTACTAATTTAATCAAAAGAAAAATGAATTCCTCATTATTCTCCTGCTGTCTCTGAATATACTTCATAATTGTTATTTATTATAAATTTGTAAATTTCATATTATTATTCCAATTAATTCTTTCATGTTTATTATTTTAATCTTACATTTTTTTATCTTTTATAATAAACTTTTAAAATTGATTAATAATATTTATTAATATGTAACAGTTAAAGAAAGATACACATGATATTAATTTTTAATTTATCTCTAGAAATTACATTGTCATCAAGATTAATCTAAACAAAAATGTTATTATATAAACAACATTATCAATAATTTCTTATAAATTAGTTTAGACATATAATAAAAGGTTATACAAAAGATTGATGTTTCTTATAGAGTATTAATAATTTTTTATATGATCTACTTATATTTATATACTCATAGAATTAATTAATATAATGATAATTGTTTACAAAATAAATAATATATCAAAATTTTTAAAATATCTATTCCATTTGTATACCTATTTCAAAATTTTTATTTAAACAATTAGGACAATATTATAAAATAGATGTTTTTCTTTTAAAACTTTGATTTGTTTTTATCCAAAAGAAATTACAAAATGAATTTACACATTTCTCAAAATTATAGTATTTAAAATACTTGATTTATATTTTCTAATATTAATTCTAAAAATATCTATCAATTATTAAATGATTTGTATTATTAAGTACTATTTATTATGATATCTTAGCTTTGCAATTACAATAGATTTAAGAATATCCTTTTTTGATACATTATTCTAAATATTATTAAAAGCAAACATAATGATAAACATGATAGCAATTAGTTTGAACTATTTTTCCATTACAAGATCTCATACATAATTAACAATATTCTATGAATTATTAATTTTAAGAAACATTATTATGGTCTTTCTAGATTTAATCCATTAATTTTGATTAATTGAACTTTGATAATACTTATTTGGGCATTTAGTATTTATGTATTTTAAATTACTCTTCTATTATAAGTTAATAGAGTAATTAAACATCAGACTATAATTTTTAATTATGTTTATTAATTTCTTCAGTATTAATAGAGAATTTAGATTTTTAGTATTTAATATTCTTAGATGATGGGATCAAACCACATAAAAATTTTTCTTTTTCATTCTTCTACTTCTAACTATTGCTTGAACTTCTTATCGAGATTTTATTTTTACTTTAATAATTATTTCCTCTCTCAACAGATAATGAATGATCATACATATAACTTCCTTTAGCTTTCCTATATTGTAATTTATACTTACTCTCTCTTAAATTATCTTCTTACTTTTAGATAATAATTGGTAATTATTACTTATACTATTTATTATTTTTCATTGTTATAATAAATCAAATAAATTTAATTTACACAAATAAATTAAATTCACAACACAATGGACAATATGAGATCTTATCCTCCTCACCTATGATAATGAAGTAACAATGTTCTTTGATACATTTTTAAATGATCTGCTTTTGATGTTAATTATTGGCTAAGTAATGGCTTTTAGCTAATATAAAAAGTTAAAAATTTGATAGAATTTGATAAATAATTGAGAACTCTGGTTAATTCATTATTTTAATAAAGTTTAAATGAATATTTGCTTTACAATGACATGAAAGAGTTCCTACTATATTAAAACTGTCCTATTATTTTGATAATTACAATCTTATATGTTCTATTAAACAATTTAAGTGATATTGATGTTTACATTCTAATCTGATAATGTGCATATTCTTAATGGAATCACACTTATCACATTTGATATATGGAATTAAATTTTGATTTCCCTTATAAGAATGATAAGTATAATTTTAAATTTGAGACTTATGATATATATCTAATAACTTTATTGTTTCTTATTCAGAATTCTATTAATTATTTAACAATTATGAAATATTAATATTTTCTCCTTTGTGAAATTATGAAATGGTTCTATTTAAAATAATTGAATCAGTTTTTGAAAAATTGGCTATCTAATTATTATCTAAACTTTATCCAAATAATCCTATTGATTTTTAAACTTAGACTCTGCCTGTTGCTGAAACTAACCGTTCTTTTAATTTATCTTCATTGATAATCATTTTAGTATTTGATTATAACTCTTTCTTTAATTTCTCTATTTCCTATGTTAAAGCTCTAATGGTTTATAAATTTTCTTCTTAAGCTTCCTACAAATCAGAGATAGTTTTAAGACATTTATAGTTTTTACATCCTTTATACTACTGCGATTGATAACCCGCAGAACTTAATTATCTAGCCTCCTGTTGAGTAGATTGATATCTTGATCTATGGGATTGAAGCGTTGTTGTACCTATTCTAATTCCATTAAAAATAGAATCATTGACTGTTTTGGTTTTGATTCTAACAGATTTTTTTTTATGATAAGAAGTTTAGAGATACAAATGATCCTAAATTGTATTCTCTCTTGTTGTTTATATCATAGTTTTATAACTGGTTCCATAAATTCCTAAACCACTCTCATTCATATATAAATTAATTATAATAATCATTTTTCCATCTATTCTTTTTTGTAGAATAATCTCATGTTCAAACAAGATTAACAGAAAGATTAGACACTTAATATATTTTCAAAATCTAAGTCGATAATTATAAATGGACAAGAACTTTATTAACACTTATAAAAAGCAAATTTATCAGATTTCTTTATTAATTAAGATAATTAAGAAGTTAATTTGATTTCTCTTATAATTGCCCTTTGTACCTCATTTAATTAATTCATATCATGTTTACTTAATTTTTAGTTACATTAACAAAAACTGCTTAATACCTTTGGAGAATTTACAACTTCTTCACATAAACAATTCTTATGATAAGTGTGATTGCAATTCAATTCTATAAAATCAGTCTAAGCATTATTTTAACAACTCTTTAAACATTTATTCGATTAGACTTATTAATTATTCATCACAGTAGGTTTATTCCAACTTATATCTGAAAATGGTTACTTGAAAAGCATATTAAGATTATTAAAAATATCAAATGTCCTTTTTTGTGTAAGATTAGTATGATAAACTTCATTTGAAAATTTACTAATTAAATGAGCATCATGAAGACTATTGAAATTAGATCTTGGATATTACACCTCTTCTGTTAGCTATTTTAATTAAGAAAATTGTTCAGATCTATTTATAGATGGTACTAAATTATCAATGAATGATCTATCCATTTATAATTTTTATCTCAGTATATTATTCTCTTTTCCAATTTCTTTTATTTTCACTATATATTTTGCTATTTTATCCTCTAGATTTCTAACTAAATAGATGCATGATTTATTCTTGCAAATTAATGGTTTCAAGTGTATTTAACTGAAAGGAGGAGCTCCAGATAAATCTTTATGAATTGATTAAGCCAAAATATTTTATGCTTGTAATTTTATTTACGGAAGTGATGGATTGTGACTCACACTTATTAAACTTTCATTTGGAGAACAGATACGGTTTGAATGTACTCCTTAAAACTGTTTTCCTTTCACATTTAAAAAATCTCTCTCTGATAATATCATTTTATAATAATATTTAATTTAATATCAATCTTAACAATAAAAAATGAAAAGAACTACAACCATTTGACATGAAGGGCAATAGAATTCAAAATAATTTTTTTTTATTTATTTATAATATCCAAAGAAGTTTCATTATATTTATTTTAATTTTCCTAAATTTCTAATTTGCTTGAATAAATAATAAAATTAATTATTATATCATTCCTATAAGAAAGTGGAGATATTATTTTGTTTAAAAGATTATAATTAGCCAGAATATATCTTTAAAATTTCAAATGTAAAATAAAAATATTCTTCTTTTCCTTTATATAACATTTTTATTATATAAAAGTATAAAAAAATAATATAAATGCATATACAAGTTGTAATTGAAAGAGTTTCTAACTATTTTTAAGGAATGTATTCAATAATTTTCAGAATATTTTTATGATTTTTAGATCAGTCAAATGCATATATTCAAATTTTATATGATTTATTAATGATATTAAAGTATTCTAAACAACTTAGTCAATTGTAGCATTATCCTTCAAAATTATTTTTTTTCAATTTTAAAGGTATGTTTGATTATCATTCTTGATGCATTTAAATTCTTTTAAAAATGTTATGATAATTTTTGGTTATGATAAATTTAATTAAGAATAAAATAGTAAAGAAATAGAGATAGATTACAAACATTTTATTAATGATTAATTTTTCAGTTTTAATAATTAGATTTATTATTAATATCATGACAGTTATAACAAACCCATTTTTTTTAGAACATCTAATCATAAATGAAAAAATAATCACATTAGTTGCAGGAAATAATAGTTTTTTAACAATCTCTTTTTAAAATTTTTAATTATTTTTTTAAAAGTTGTTCATATATTTCTTTGTAAATATCCTTTATGATCTTCGTTTTAATGTTAATTTTGCAATAACAAAGAATTTTTGGAATATTGTTGTTTTATTAAACCTATTTTTATACCATATCAAAAAAACAATTTTAATGATATTAATGTAAACAACTCAAGGAAATGATATTATTTTTGAGAGATGTTTAACATTAGAAACAATTTGCAGAGACTGTCTAAAATACAGTGTTAATTAGATTTGATTCTTAATATTCTTAAGATTATTATTATTATTATTACTATTAAAGTTATTATTATTATTGTTATTTTTATAAATATTATTATTACTGTTATTAGGATTATTGTTATTGTTATTACTATTATTAATATTGTTATTTCTATTTTTATTACTATTATTATTATTGTTATTACAATTATTATTATTATTATCTATATTATTATTATACTTCAATAAACTATTTTGAATCGATTAAGTTTGATTGATAAACCTATTTTTTAAAAAGTGAAATTTGTTGAGATGGCTAAAATTTTGGTATTTTTTTGTCGATGTGTTATTTTTATTACCAAATATTCGATTCTAAAAAATTAGAATTAATTTTTTGAGATTCTTTATTTTAATTATTAATGTTACATTTTGGAAGTATATGTTGGATTTGAGAATTTTAATTATTGAAAATCTTTAAACTTCTATTTTTCTGGGATGTATTTTATTAGTATTTATCCATCATAGATTAATTAAAACGAATTGATTAATTTTATAATGACTGTTAGAAACCAATATCATTCTTGGATAGTATTTCATTTACAGGAATTTACATCTATCGAGTTCCTTATTCAAAAGTTGAGTTGTTTCTAAATTTTTTCTATTATGAAATTTATTAGCCACTTTATTATTGGATTTAATAAATATGATTAGAATTTTCATTAGGATTATTTAAGGGCACTACTGATAGAATTCTTATTTTTTTTTTTTCAGGAAAAATCATAAATTGTAAAAAATAAAATAAATATATTAAGTATCTTCAAAATAATAATAACTATTAGTAATTAAAAAATTTAGTGGATATCAAATGCTAAATCTAATCAAAATATGAAAAATAACTGAATAATATAATGTATAAACCTGAAATTAAAATCTATTAAGTATCTCTATTAAAATCTGTAAATAAAAGTCTAAAGAAATATTGGAAATAACAAAAATAAAATAATGAGCAATTTATAAGCATATTTGTAATAATAAGTACTATAGAAATACCATCATCTAAAAAATGAGTTTTAGAAACAAAATTTAATAATTTGGAAAAATATAATAACATGTATATATATTCTCCTCTAAGAATTTCTTTTATTAAATAAATTTAGTAAAAGCTAATAAGTAATCCTAACAATATCTCATATATTATTATCTATTATTAATAATCATTTTAATTTTTGTAATGCTTCTTCATAAGTTAGATTACTCTGTCTCTCCTTAGAGTCACCTTTAAGTATTAAAAGAGATAATTACATCTTTTTGGAAGAATGTTAGTTTATTCAAAGTGAGTTAGATTGGATAGTGTATAGGAAAGAGCTTTCTAAAAAAATAGTATAAATAACAGTTACTGATGTTTCTGGGTCTAATTTTCCATATAGATTAATATCTCTTCCTCTTTATTCTCGTTGATCACAATAAGCCTCTTTTACTTCGCTTTTGTACCTAATGTCTGCAGGTAAATCAGATCTTGAATTACAGATTGAGATTATACCCTCTATGATGTTCGTGAGTGCTTGAAAGTAAAGTAATTTTTCCGAAAGTCTTTCCGAATAGGTTTTCTGACCGAATACCTGGAACAAACCCTGCATAATCTGGATAATAAGTTTATTCAAGATACTTGGAATGTGATTTCTATTGCCTTAAATTTGTAATAAATCTTAATCATAATCTTGGCTTGGTATGAATCTAAATTCAATAAATATATTATCATTACCCTGTATATCCAGGGATAGCATTGGCACCTTTTTCTGCTTAAAACATTTTATTATTATTAATATTTAATCAATCGCTAAACTAAATTGTAAATATCATTAGTCAACTTCATATATACCTAAGACTCTGTTCAAATTTATAGAGACTTAGAATCCATTAGATTATTATTGGAAAAATAACATCTTAGTATTTGTTTTCAAGTCTTTTTCAAGTCAAACCACAAATAAGTAAGGAACTAGAAAAAATCAATTATTTGGTTGATTCTCTATTTTCATAAGACTCAACTAAAATTGATTTAAGTACAAAAAGAGTTCAATTTGATTTCATATATATAAAAATCTCCACTATTTGAAAGTCTTCTGTCTGAAACTGCCAAATCTATAGATAGGATTTATTAATAAGGATGAGAGTATAATTAATCTTAAGTTCGACATTTTTAACTTGGGATCAATATTATTGAATAAGAAATAGTGTTCATTCTCACTAATAGCATATATCCATCTATAAAATATTCATAATTTTTTTTTGTAAAATTTTTCACATTAGATTTTTCTTGGATATTCAATTTTTTCCTCCATTTAATGCTATATTTTTAATACTAATTGACTAATAATTGATATATTATATATCCTAATTAATATTGTAGTAAAGATTACTAATAATATTAATTAGATATTCCATCTAAAATAATTTGGTATTTGGAATATCATTGAATATATATAGATAATCATTATGTTGATTTTAATGTAGTTATGATATGTGTATGTCTTTTACTTAATTCATAAAGTAGTTTTATAAATTAGAGATAAGTCTTTAAAAATAGTCTAAGCATAGTATTATTTTAAGTATATCAACATGATTTCAATAAGTATAACCATAATAACTTATTGAAATAGAAAACTATATGAGTAGTAATTATTAATAAAATATATATGTATAAATTAAGTACTACATTTTATTTAAGAAAATGAAACTTAAATGACTTACTTTTCTAATTTTATTAAAAAGAATGTAAATTGGATTGTGATTTTTTATTTTACCTTATCAACAGTACTAGAGAAGATTTTATTTAATACATTGAATTAGGATTGAATATTTTCTAATTTATTTTATATTCATATAGGAAGTTATGTTTATTTTGTTAAAATAAATGAGGTGATGTAATAATAAATAATTTCTGATAAGAAAGTAGCTTTAATTTAGGTGAATAAACCGATTACAAGTAATTTTAATTTAAATTGTTATTATCAAATTAATCAGATTTGAAAACAGTTTCAATTCTATAAAGTTAATTTAAAATACAAATAAGAATTAATTAAATAAAATTGAAACTTCACATGACTTAAGTTTCATCTACTAGATTTTCACTACCAAGGATTGGAGAAAATGATCCTAGATCTAAATAGGTTCCTAATACAAGATAAATGAGACCTTCCCTTTTTCTCAATTAAATAGACATAGTTCCTAATTCTATAAAAACTGAGGCATAAGCTACAGAAATAAGTATTTGCAAACCAATTCATACTGAAATTGAAAGTGATCCATTAATAGAAATATCTTATCATGTTAAACTTCCAAAATTGGGCAACTCAAGAGCATAAAACTTATAACAATCACTACCTGATTTGCCTCTTGTTTATAGGGAATCTAGAAATGGTTCTCCTATTGAATACTAGAGACCAGCAAAAAGAACTAGATTGTTTTTGAGAAGATAAGAGTCAAAAATAGATACTCCAGTAATTAAATTTCAAAGGAGGAGAGTGGAGTTTAAGAAGTCTTTAATAGTGATAGATTTAGAGACTGGTGTCTAAGAAAGATAGGAATTGAATGAAGTAAAGAAGCCATTAAGAAGGATTGTACACTAAAAGACAAGATCTTATTAAAAAAGATAAGATTGAATAGATTGTTTTAGATCTAATGTCTAAGACATCAATTATTTATACATCAATAATGAGAAACTTTGATTAATTTAATATGTTTTTACAAAGTTTTTCAATAAGACGAAGATTTAAGAATTTAGAAATATCAAATAATAATTTTAATTAGCAAAAATATGAAATATAAATAATTTTTTCATCTTTATGAAATGAAGGCCTTAATCTTCTAAGAGTCAATAGATTGAGATAATGAAATATCAACATTTTAATAGGATGAATTCTAACCTTTGTTTGGTAGTGTTTATAAATGAGGAAGAGGAACAATTCTTTTAATAAGACTATCATCAATAGATTTTGCAATTTTTCTTTCTTATTCCTGATTAATCTTATTAATGATGTCATATTTTTACATCACCATATATGGAGGAGACTTAATTTTCTTATTGTTTAAGTATCTACAAGTGAATCTTAATTAATCTGGCTCATTATTCTTTAACTTAATCAATTTATCCATAACTAAAGTTCCTTTTCTATATTTCATAGCTTCAATAGATCCAGATTAATAAACTTAAGTTGCATCATTTAGACTTCCACTTAAATGAGGAATGAGATTATCATCAAAATTGTTTTCTGATATTTTATATCTTACAGTATTAATATTTTAGGTTAATGAAATTTTTGGAGTTTTAGGTTTATTAAAACAATTTGTTAGACTTACAGGTAGTGATGGTTTTACATCTTTATTAATTTCTGTTGTATTTTTGTTGTTGGAGACTTTTGCTAATGAAGTGTGTTTAACTTTTTAATTAGGACACTAACAATAACCAAAATACTTATTTTGATGAGGTGTATATGAAATAGAGTTGTGATATTTTAATTTCAATTTTCTTTGTTTTGAATTACTAAATCCATTTAAAAAAGGAGTGAAATTATTAGGATTTTTTCCTTTTGAATAGTTTTATTAGTCCTTTTGGTTGATAAGGTCTAACATGTATTAATTAACATTTTCAAGATTATATCTATTATAATTCTTAATATAATTACACAAACTCCTTATCCATTTAAATAATAAAAAATAAATCAGATCAGAAACTTTAATTATATATATATATAAAGAGTGTAGAATGAGATGGAAATAAAAAGTATATGATGAATTAATTTAATCAATAATAAATACATCAATTCATATTTAAGTTTAATAATTTTAGAGTTAAATTTTTTTTAATTGGGACTCTAAGTAATTATTGTTAAGCTTGCATCAAAAAAACATTCAGTTTGAATTATTCCAAAAATAAAACTTATGGGATTCCATTAAATTTGATATTTATTATACCTTCATCATTTGAAATATTTATAATGATCTTTGAATTTATCATTCTATTTAAATTAGTAAATATGTTGAATATGCAGATCATAAAAATAAAAAGTTATTACTTATAAGTGGATAATATATAAGATTTTGAAGATTGAGTTGGATATATTTCAATATTAAGAAAGTTAAAATAACTGACTATTTTTTTCATAAGATCATATGTATTTATGATTCCAATTTATCTATTATTAAAATGCATAATAGTAAGAACACCTAATTTAAAGAATTTTTGATTCAAAAGCTTTGAATTTGAAGTAAGAGAATTCAACATTGTTTTCTTGATATTTGATATTGAGACTACCTATTTCTTTGAATTATTGAATTATTCTAGTATTAGCAAGCATTAAAATCTATTTATATGTTAAGTAAATATATGAATAATAAAGGATTATTAATTGTATTAGTAGGTTAATTGATAATTTTATTATGTAATTTAATTCTTATTTGCTTGATAATCATATAATAATTTTTATTCTAAAGATATATTTTGATTTTAACATAATCTCAAAAAGGCCCTTAAATTACAACTATCACAGAAAATGGATTTGAATCCAGGAAATATATTAATCTAGTTACATAAAAGAGTAACTAAATTATTTGTAAAAGGTTCAACTGTAAATTAGAAAAAAGGCTTTTAAATGATATCTGATAACTACTATTGCCAAAACTAGTTTTTCATATAAAGAGTAAATTATTATCTACTCCATTTTTTGTACTAGTGAATAATAATAATTTCAATTATAGAACTAAATATTGTTGTAAAGACAATAAACCAATTTACATCTACATGATTCATGCATTAAATGTAAATCTTTAATCCTAAAGATAAAAGCATCTGAAGGCAACTAAGATCAAATATTTGTAGTAAATGCAAATTTGATATTAAATCAATTAAAGGCAGTAATTAATTACTTGCCATATTGTGAGTATAAGTTATTTACAATATTGTTGAAATAACAACGACAAACTCCAAAAATATCATATGATTTCCTAAATAGGGATACTTTCTAGTGATTATATATATGAAAACAATTAATAGGATATTAATAAGTGACCAAAAATGTTAAGGATTTTAAGGGACATAAATGAATTATGAAGAAAAGTTCAGTGTACATATTATGAAAAAGATTATTAGGAAATATGTATTAGTTCTGGTTCTAAATTCATTTAATTCAATCTTTTAATACTCTTATTCTAATTAAGTATTATCAAATCTTAAATTGAATTTATTCATTATTATTAATAATATGATTATCTATTTAATATTTAATATTTCAATTCTCATCATCATCATTTTCTTACTTTTATTCCTTAATTTCCTTGCTTACAATATCCCAAGTCATATAATAGATCAAAGACATAACTCCAAAACCAGTTCCTCCTTTTGTATAAATTCCTTCATTCTTATCTGTAACAGCCACATTAGCTATATCCCAATGCATCCATCTCACTTTCTTTTCAACAAAGCATTCTAAAAATGCTGCTGCAGCTGAAGCTCCTACTCTACCAGAACTTGAATTATTGATATCAGCAACACTTCCTTTAATCAATTCTCTATGTTAATCTTCTAATGGTAAAGCCCAAAAAGGTTCCTTTGTTATTTTTTCAACTTTTCGTAATAATGAAAAACATCCCTTTCTATTTGTAAAAACTCCACAATATCTACCCAAAGCATTTTTAATTATGCCAGTAAGTGTTGATAATTCAATCATTTCTTAAATTTAGAATTTATCTTATGCATAAGACATAGCATCAGCTAATATTAATCTGCCTTCAGCATCAGTATTTAAAATTTCAACAGTTATACCCTTATAAGATTATATAACATCAGAGACTCTATAAGAATCTGGTCCAACTGAATTTTCAACCCAAGCAGTTGAACAAACAACATTAATAGGTAATCCTAATTCAACAACAGCTCTGAATGTCTCTAATACAGTACAAGCACCACCTTTATCATCATACATTTATTCCATACTAGATGTAGTTTTAATACTCAAACCTCCACTATCAAAAACCACTAATTTTTTTGATCAATATTTTACCTCCTTTTCCTACTAAAGCATAATACTTATCACTCTCTGCATTTCCTTTATAAGACAAACATGAATAAAATGGCTTATGTATTGAACCTCTTCCAACTGCATGTATCAATCTTAATCCAGCTCCCAGAAGTTCATCTCCTTCAATTAGAGTTGAAGTAACTTTATCACCAAATCCTTTTACAATGTCTAAAATATAATTTTTCATAAATCCAGTAGTAGCAATGTTAGGTCTTGTGGGTACCAATTCTCTTAATCTCAAAATTGGTTTTACTAAATGATGCAAACTATATTATTAAATATAATATTTACTATTTAAGATTCCAATGTTATTCTACTTGATTAAGATATTCTTCTTAAGTAATTGATGTAATCAAATTTAAATAATTGATTGGAAATGAAGATGATTTACCTCCTTCTTTAATAGATTAATATGTCCATCTATAATTAGCCAATTAAAATCCAAAAGAGAATTCAGCTATATCATTAACTGTGTAACTGTGAGGCAATAGTACACTAATTGAGTTATCTTCTGCTTTTTGATTAGCTATCTTATTGGATGCTTTTCTAGCCAAATTTGCCCCATCCATTCTAGGAGTTGTTGCATTCTAAATGATCACATATTCAAAAGGATCGTTATCATTTAAAGCATATATCTTTGCTGACTTCCCAGAATTAATGTCTTTGAGCAACTCTTTTGATTTAAAATAAAATTGCAGCGCTTTAACAATTGGGTCTGCAGATTCATTTATAGATGGATAATACAAGACATAAACTCCCTTATTTATTGCTTAAGTGGTATGCTTAATCTCAATATGGGGAGTTGTCTCCATCAATGTGTGTTTCTACATAATTAATATATAATTTATTAAAAAATATTAGATTTTTAAGTCTTCCACTGAAGTAGTATTTAAAACAATACAAACAAATTTCAATCTAAATGCTATTCGTAGGTCTAGCCAGAAGAATAAAAGATTAAATATTATAAACATTATTACAATAATTAATATATTAAAATCAAAAGTATCTAACACAGTATATACATTCTTAATAATAGTCAATACTATAATTATTATAGAGACACTAAAAATAAATATTAACAATTATAAAGTAGATAAAATTATTTTATGTAATTTATTAATAATGTCTCTTGTAATTATAACATCATTAAAAATAAAATAATTCAAGGATTGTAAGAATTTCTTATCATTAATACTATAATAATATGATTTTTCTGCCAAAATTTATTTGTCCAATAGGTCATATTATGATTTCATTTTTATAAGCTTTTAATGGAATACTTTCTAATTTTGAATTTCGTATTTATTGAAATTCACTTCTACAATATATTTAGATTAATAGATTCTGTAGAAAGAATAGAATTATAAAATCAAAAAATTACTAAACAACTTCTGATAACATTTATTTCTAACGCTAGTATTAATATAAAATAATAATAGAACTTAAAAAAATAGATGATATAAAATAGTTTGAAGAACTATAATTTATAATCATTGATCTCAATAAAGACCTCAAATAAGATGTATTTATTCAATCATTCATTTATCCTAATTTTGGTAAAAATTTAGTTTATTGTCTTTGTAAAACTTTTCGAATAAGAGGTTTAGCACTTCCATCAATTTTATCTTTCTTTATTACTTAATTAATGAAATCTATCACTAAAATAGATGCTCTAAATTCAACTCTTTTTTTTAATAGGTTACCCTCTGTTAAATTTTTTTTATGTTTAGTATCGTTTTATGGAGATGAATATTATATTTGAGGTAATTGTAATTGTCCTCCTGATTAAATTGTAGCCTTCATTGATTAGATTTAACTAACAGAATCATTAAAAAGAGTATTTTCAAGCGATTCTTTATTACTGATTGATATTGATTATTTTTCTTTTATTACAGGTAATTTTGTAGCTTGTCTTTTCTTTAAGGATTTCAAATGAGTGATAAGTGGAGACTTTTCAAGATCAGAAGGATTTAATTTTGGAGACATTAAAACTGTGTTCATATCTATATTATTCAAAAACATGGATGGTCTTATTTGATTTGTTTTTGTTTTAGGTATTTATAATTGCATAACAATTTTTATATTAATTATTTTGTATAGGATAATCAAATTTTAAATAAATAGAAGCGATATACAACAATTTATCTCAAATAAATAAATTTTGATTAATTATAAATTTGAATGCTTACGAGAATTTAAAGAATTTACAAGAAGTATTAAGATATTAAATTAATTCATGATTTTATCAATATAATGAATAGATTAATCAAATAGTTATTTAAAATATTAATTAACATAATTGCTTTGAATAAAAAATGTGTGAAAATTAATAATTTTCTTATAAAAATTAAAATAATCAATTATAAACAATAATCATAATTATTCAATAACCCAAACTTCAAAATGTTAAATAAAAAATTTTTCATTTTAGGTAAATCTAGGATTTTCAAAAGTTGTACATGGATTATTATATCCAAAGTATAATTTTGAATCAACAAATATACCAAATGAAGGACCACAACCAATACTAAATCCATCTGAATCACAATAAACAAAATCATTATTTGTTTCTTTCCAATAATATGGAATCATCTACAATTAATCTTACTTTAATATAATTTAATTATTATTACTTAAAATAAAAATGTTTCTCCAGTTCCATGAAATCCTGGTTTTGAATTTTTTAATTCAGATGAAACATATGCTCCAAAAACATTTCCATCTTTATCTTTGATTGTGAAAAAGAATGGATTTTAATATTATAATGAGAGCAATAATTATTAATAACTAGAACCATCATTATCTATAGTAAATTTGATATTCCAATTAGATAATCTATAAATTGCAGGTATTAATTCAATTAATTATTTATAAAGACTTTCATTTAAACATTATGAATTAGCTTTATATTTTGGAACATATGAAATACTTGCCCATAATCCTTAATGATATAATTATTTCATTACTTCCCATTCTCTTTCCAATTACATTATCTAATTCCTATTTTTAGATTAATTGTTAATAGCGATTACTTTCATCAATTAAATCTATATAAGGAAGTTTAGTTAAATTAATAATATTATCTTATTCCTTTAAATTTTAAACAGAATGATTAATAAAATCAGTAATTGTTTTACACATCTCTTTCTTTACTTCTTCTGGAATTAATTTACCTGATTCATATCTCTCTTAATACTAAATTTTAAATTATTAAATTACTCTAAAAAATATAGTTGCAATACTCTTTTTTTGTTTTTTGAATTTTTCAAGTTTCTTTCTGAATTTCTTTTCAAATTCTACTCTACCAATACCACTTAATAAAATTTAAATTAAATAATCTTTTTAATCATTTGCATTAGGTAAGATATGTACAATTGCTTCATTAATATCATTAATAGAAATGCATGCATTATTAATTATTCTCTTACCTGCTTACTATTAAATATTATTAGTATCAAAAAGAATCATATCTTCTCTTACAGTTATTTAACCTTTAACATTTTAATCATCCATACAATAATACATTGGAATATTATTGTATTATTGGATTTATTATTTCCATATGTCTTATTATATTTATTCAACTTCTTCCTCTTCATCATCTTAGTCTTCTTCTTCACTATCCTCTTAATTTAATTTAAAGACCTTTAAGACCATTCCTTTACAAATAAATTCGCTGCTCAAATTATTCATCCTTTTTAATAACTCTACACTCATATCAAATTTTAAAGCTATCCCAATTAATGAATCTTCTAATTAAACTTCATATTCCTCATACTCTTTGTTCTTAGAAGTATCAATTGTACTTTCCTCATTGAATTTAGTTTTAAGCATTTCATCATATTAAATAACTGTTGTCTTACGCTTCAGTTCAAAATCTTAATCACTTTAAGGCTTTTATTTTTTAGGTTTCATAAATTTTAAAGCCTTTTTCACCTTTTTGAACATATGGAAATTAAATTTAATAACAAATAAATTAAATCCATATTTGATTATTTAGTTAAAAATGGAAATTTAATAGATATATCTTTAAAATTATTAGAAACATATTCTTTTATTAATTTTTTTGATAATTTTATCTAAATTTTAAATATACTTAAAACAATTTAAATAAATTCTTAAGACCATAATGTTAAATAAATCTGTTAATACAAATAATAATTAGTTAAATAATTCAAAAATAATTAATATACTTTTATAATATTCTCATTAAAAAGTTATTTATAATTCAAAGCAATACCTTATTAAATTACTAATCAAATGATAAATATGATTTGAAATAATATTAATAACTTAATTATAGGAATCAAAACTTAAAAAAAAATAATCATATAGATTAAAATTAACTAATTTAAAGTAATATTTTCTTAATTAGATTTTATAAATTTAGAAGAGATATACTATAATTATTTATATATTAATTTTAATAATATTCTTAAAGAATTGAATAAAATAATAGAAAACAGTTTAAAATACTAGATTATGTAATAATTACACTAAAAAGTTTGTAGTAAATAATTTTTATTAGGATTTTCATTAAAATGTAATATAATTAAGGTATATATATCTAAGCATTTATATTTAAATAATAGTCCATCTAAAATGATCTATTAAGAATGATATTGATTTACTTATGATTAAGAATTAAAATAGCCTAAATAGGATTTTAACAATTTAAGATGAAAATTTGAATTAATAAATATTGAGTTTGAAACATTTGTAATTTTTAGATTTAGATCAATTTAATTATTATGAAATCCAAAATTAATAACAGAAGAAATGAAATGAGATTTTTTTTGATATAATATTTATAATATTAAATGGGTTCTTGTGCAGGATCAGGATAAAATAAATAAAAACAATTAAGAGATGATAGAATCAGAACAGAACCAGATAAGGAAAGAGGAAGTGATGCTTTCACAGGTGGGATCAATCTCTCAAATGCATCAAAAAAAAGTCCAGATTTGAAAGGATTGGATTTGCCAAATTCTAAAAAGAAGACAATGAAAAAGTAAGAAAGTCTTAAAGTCACACTTTCAATCACAAATGGTCCTATTACAAAATATTATATTCGAAAGAACCTTCGTTATTTAGAAGGTGTAAATTTTAAAGATAATATGTTTGTTGTTCAACATATCGTTACTGGAAAAATTCGAGTAGCTGAAAGATTTTCAATTAATACACTAACGAGTGCATTCATAAATAAAATAATCTACTTATAATTAGTAAATATTTGATCTATTTTAGAATCATCCTAATTTGCTTGATATATATGGAATATTTTAGGAAGATAACTATTACACAATTATTTCTGATTATTGTAATGGAGGATCATTATTAACATTACTTTCTGAAAGGAATTCTCATTTTGAAGAGGGTATTGCTGCTTAATGTTGCAGATAAATATATGAATTGATGGGTTATTTACATAAATATGGACTTTATCATGGTTAATTAAGTTTGAAGAGTTTTGAGAAATATAATTAAGGAAAGAAACAATTTAAACTAAAACTTGTTGATTTTAGTTGTTTATTTTGTAAATCAGATATTAATGAAAATAATGTATAATTTTTATCACCTGAATGTTGTAATGAAAAATAAAGTTATACTGCAGCTAGAGATTAATGGGCAGTTGGAATTATTACTATGGCTATAGCTTTTGGTAAATTACCCTTTGATGCAAATTCATTATAAGAATGTTTGGACAATATTCAATTATCTTGTAAAAAGGAAGGTTTTTTATAAAAAGAATTGGAGAAATAAATTGGTAATCCTTTAATTAAAGATTTGATACTATAATTTTTACAAGTTGTTCCATCTAAAAGAATAGATTTTTTTTAAGCTTTAGAATCTAAATGGATGAAAAATTATGAATAAGTTACTAAATAATAATTTAAATAATGTTTAGATGAATTAACTAAGAAAAAAGAGGCAAACTTTCTTCAATCTTGTTTTCTTATAATGATGATCAAATAATTTGATGATTAATACTCTTAAATATAAGAAATATTTAATGGATTAGATCTTGATAAGAATGGAAGACTCACTAAACCAGAATTAGTTAAACATTATACTTAATATTTTAATGGTTAATACAAACCTTATGAGATCTAAGAATTTGTAAATGAAATATTTGATGCTTCAGATATAAATCATAGTGGTGATCTAGAATTTTCTGAATTTTTAATTGCCTTATCAAATCAAAAAACCATTATAAATAATGAAAATTTAAAATCCATTTTTAATCAAATTAATTAAGGTCAACCTTTTGGATTTAATGAATTACAACCATTATTTAGAACTAAGGAAGCAGAACTTCAAAATTCACTTTAATAAATTCCAAATTAAATTGTATACTTTATGTTATATATTTTAGATTAATTTTGAGGAGTTTTAAAAACTTATGTTTGAATTAATAGAAAATAAATGATATATATATAAAATTTGTTTAGAATTTCTAAATAACAAAATAATAAACAATCAATTAAATATTATTTATTTTTAATTAAATTAAATAAAGATTTACAATCTAATTTATTCATATATTTTTGTTAACAATTTTATATAAGAAATCAATAACAATAACCATGTTCTTTTGTATATATATAATTATAATCTAATTATACTAATGGTCTAATATATTGACATTATTCAGGAATGAAATATTAAATTTCTTTTGTTTTTCAAATTCTAATATTTCAATTTTAATTTTATAATCTTAGAAAAAATAAAATAAATATATTATAGAAGAGGTATATAAAATAAATAATAATAAATATTAAAAAATAAAAGTATTTTGAAGAAACATAAAATATTCTATTAAAAAATGTATAATCTTAGATTTTAATATTAGTAAGATATTCTATATTAAATAACAATATTTTAGATATATAGACACCCAAAAGCACTTAATTTTATTATGCACCTAATATATACATTAAAATAATAAATAAAAAATATCATAATAGTTAGGTAATCTTTGCATATAATTCTTGAATCATTTTGTCATCGAAATCTTATAATATCTTGTCTAATTTTAATTTAAAATTTTATTATCTCAATTTTTCTTTGATATTTTCTGTAACTAATAATCTTAATATTGAATCTAATAATTATTTTATTAATCCAAGATCATTTAAGTCTAGAAAACTACAAATTATTTGAAGAAATCCTATATCTAATAACTTTTTTGAAACTATTTCATCTCCAGTTGCTTACAAATTCAAAATTACACTCATACAATAACTCTTTTCATTACTTGAAGCTATTATGTTTTCAATTATCTTAAATAATATAGGATGATTAATAATCTTAATTGAAGCATTACTATCATTATAACTTAAATTAGCCAAAATTAAATAAGTTTCTTTTCTAATACTCTAAGATTTGTTACTCAAATTCTTTAATAATATATCTAATATTTTTAAATCTAATAATTTCTAATATTAAATATATTTATACATGTGCTATTAATAAAGTGTCTGATAATGTGAATTACTTTATTATAGCTAAGCATTTATCCATCATTGTGCATTAATGATTAATTATTGTTTCAAAAACATTAGATTGTAATAATAAATCATCAAATTAAGAATCATAAAGTCTACCTAATGGCATTAGATACTCTTCACATTATTCTTTATTTAAAGCCTAAAGAACAATCTTAAGACCTATAAATTTTTAATTAGAATCCATTTATTAATGCTCAATTATAGAATTCAATAAAAATATTATACTTGTTAAGAACTATCCTTCAGCAATAGATCCAAATTATAATAAATTTGGAAGTAAATTCAAATATTATAACTTATATTGTGATATAATATTTCCAAGAAAAAAGAATATGTATTTGTATTAATTTTCTAGATTCTCCTTAAATTTATTTATTTATTCAACTTATAATGTTTAATTTTAAATTAAATCATTATTTTATGATGTTTTTTGTGAAATTTACATTTGCTATTATATTATAATATTATACATTTTCGAACTATAAGTTTGCTTGAATTATATAATTTAAAGCTTATTAAATTAAGGCTTAACTAATAGGATTATTTGGATATTATGGATTTAAACATAAATTTGTTAATACTTGATAACATACAAAAGATCCTAATTGAATTGATTATATGCAAAGTTCTAAGTATTGATTATTAATAAAATAAACTTCATGTTATACAAATTCATTGATTTATTTAAAAATAACTTAATGAAGCAATCCTAATTGAATTACATTTTTTTATTATAAACATTCTTTTATTTAAGGAATTATTTATTCAAATTGTATTTCAGGTAATTTAGAGGATTATTAGAATTGCAATCTTTTTCTTTAAAAAAATGATTCTTAATCTTTTTTCCTTATTTCTTGTCTAAATTATTCTCTCATGTTTAACATCATATTTTAAGAAGTGTTAGAATCCATTAAATAATTAATTTGTTAAATTTATATTAAATTAATTCATTCTTATTGATACAATCCAACATGCCAAAAAGGAAATAAAGACATTATATAACAGTAGATTAATTCAAAAGCAGCTTTAAAAAATGAACTAAATGTTCTTTTCTATTCTAATATATATTAAGATTAAGAAAATACTTTATTATAATTATTTTAGTTTTCTAATTTCTTCTTCTAATTCAGGTTCTTCATCCTATTCAACTTTTGTTTATTTTTCATATTATATTTCCTATATATTTTCATCAATATTTTCATTCTCTTTTAGTTCTTTATCTTATTTATCAATTGATGTCTTATCTATTTTTATTTCTCTATTTGACTAAACATTTTATTTGATAGGTAATTCTTAACTATTTTCTTGAAATTATCTTTCATCGAATAATAATTCTTCTTCTTCTTTGAATATTTCTTCTTAGTTATCTTAAAATTAATTTTCCTTTTTTTCTTTGTTAATAATGTTTTAGATTTACTTGTCTTATTAATTTAATTTTTATTAATATTCAGTTTTTTCTATTTAATTTTATTATTGATCTCTTTATAATTCTTAAGCTTATAATAGTTTTGCATTTCTAATCAAAAATTCTTAAAGTTGTTCTTTACTATTTAGTTACAAATCTAATTCATTGTCTTATTCATTAAATGAATCTAATTCATCAAATTTTTCTTATTATTATTCTAAATTGAAATTATCTTTTTCTTTAATTGTATTATTATCTTATTATTATTATTATTATTATTATTATTATTATTATTCTTAATTTATATCTCTTTATTATTCTTATTATTATTATCTTTATTACTATTATTACTATTATTATTATTATCTCAATTATGCTTTAAATTCTTGATATTTTATCCAATAGTATATTCCAATAATTACCAATAAATAATAATAATTCTACCCCTTAAAATAAGAACTAAACAATATATAGAATGCTCCAATATAACAAATCATCTTAAAATGGAAAAAGATCTCTTATTACATAGGAGTATCTCTATCATCTAATATAATAATCAATTTTACCTTATCTCCTTTATTATTATGGTTTTTAAATTTTCTCTTAATTATTTTGTTAAAATTTCAATCCCATGATTGGCATTTAAGAAACAATAGGTTAGAAATTAGTATAATTTAATTAATTGAATACCAATGTTCTTTGAATATTTTTAGTGTATTCTAGATAAATCAATTACTTATTTGTTTATGAAGGTTATTTTTTAGTACCAATCATTGTTAGAAATACAATCTGTTCTTATTTTTTTGCAATATCAAGTAACTTTTCATTGCCATACAATTCCACGCCACCATGATATAATTTGATTGTATCTGGATCATAAAAAGATTAGTTTTTAGCAGAGAAATATCGAATCTAATATAAAGTTGAGTTGTACTTATTCAGTTGTCCAATGATCTGGACATTGGAACTCTAAAAAATGTCCATTAGGAAACTTAACTTTTATATTCATTTAATAATGTAATAATGGGATTTAGTAAATGAATCAAATGATTAGTTAAGAATGTTTAGCTATTGTTTTATAGTGTGGAGTGCTTTATTTATACTTTGCTATGATAGAATCAAATTGAATAACCTTAGTTCTAAGAAGCAAATAGATGTTTACAATCGTTTAGTATCAATTTTACATGGATAATTTACTTTTTGGGGATCACTCATTATAATATTATCTCAGACACCATATGAATTATAGGAAATGAATTCTTCTGAAATGCAATTTGTTATGATAGTCAGTGCAGGTTATTTTGCATACGACGTCATAATTTGTACTTATTTCGATTTATATGATTATTGGTTGATATTTCATCACATCATTAGTTTGATGGCCTTTGGAGAAAGCATTCTCAATAAAAAATATGGACATATCATTATATGTAAATAGCTATACTCATATACTATATAGTCGGTATGTTCATTAGTGAAATATCTAATTTGCCTATGCATCTTAGACATATTTTAGGTTGTTTTGGATTAAGATAAACAAAAATCTATGAATCAATAGAACTTCTTTATTTCTCATTATTCTTAATATTTAGAGGTATCTTGAGCCCAGTCTTACTAATAAGAACATATGAAGATCTACATGCTCCATTATTAATTAAGATATCTGCATCTGGATTGTTATTATATTCAGTCTATTACATCATAGAGTAAATTAATATATTTCTATTTTTAGAATGATCAAAATTACTTAAAGAAAGATTAAATCATATAGAGATAGAAAGAGAAGAAACTTAACAATGTATTGGTTTGTTCAGAATCCAGTATTACCTTCACAAAAATACGTAGACTCTATATTATGAATAATATTATAATAAGAATTATATTATATCTATAATAATCATAATAATTTTATTTCAAAATAGATTAGATATGTTGATTTTAATCTTAAATTTAATAGTTATATTCAAAATAAATATTTTTATTTTGTTTGATGAATAAATTTACTTTAAAATTTGATGATAAAATATTAGAAGAATAATATTAAAAAGTTAAACTGTCTAAAATTAGAAAACCCATTTATTTGGGATTGTTATTACTATGTTTTTGTATGATGAGTTCAAATGCCATATTAAGCTTGTTTACATCATAATAACAGACTTTAAAAACATATATAAATTATTCTTACCTAATATTTATGGTCTTTTAAGCTATTATAGTATACAAAAGACCTCATTTAATTAAATACTTATTGGCAATTTCAAATATTGCCACAGGATTATTGCAATTTAATTTTAATGAATCAACCCCAGCCTAAATCTACTATGATTAAAGTTCTTCATTTACTTAGTTATAAGCAGTTGCATATTTCATATCTGATTTCAAAGATGGAGTGATACAAGTTGTAGCCTTGCTCTTTATGAGATTTATGATTACCTCAATTAAAATAGAAAATGTGGATTTGCAGACTGTGTTAATAGGAATTGCATCAACATCATTTATTTTAGTTACCTTATATGTAAATGATTAAAATTCAAGAAAAGAATTTTTAGGAAGTATTTCAGAAGATTTATGGGATCATTCTTTATCCATCCTTATTAAAAAACCTCATTTTAGGGTGTAATACAATAAGGAATATATGAAAATAGATTTAATATCATCAAACTAATTATGTGATTTCCCAGGTTATGATGAAAATTTATGTGAAGGATGTAATAGTAGATAATTATTACATTTATATTAATACAACAAATATAATTTATCTGATTTTATTCTAGAATAAGCTTAGACAATTTAAAATTAAATAAAAGTTTAATATAAACATCATTCATTTCAATTAAGAATAGTATGTGTTGGAATAAAGAATTTAAATATAGTAGTAATTTATGAAAAAACTACAAGTAATGTAAATGAATAAATAGTTCCAATAAAATTAAGAAATTTAATTTTTCAATATATTTAATCATAATCATAAAAAACAATTTATTAAAGGTTATTTAATTAAGGTTTATTATCAATTTTATTAATTAATAAAATGAAATTAAAAGAAGTGGAAATTACAAAAATGTTCAAGAAATTAAATAAATAATTTAAATATACAATGAAACCCATTAAAATACTTCCAAAGAATATAAATTTTAAATTTTATACTTATTCTTCATAATTGAAAATACTTTTAGTTTAAATATTTTAAATCTTTGATTAAATCTCAAAAAAAAGAATATCTATATTATTTTAAGATTTAGAAGATTGTATTTTAATGTAAATTAAATTTAAATAAAGTTAAGAAAGAAATCTGAACCTCTTATTTCTTAGCTTTTATAGCAAGAATATATTTATATAATAAATCAAATCACTCTTGTTATTTAATGAATTAAATTTAGATTTGCAAATACAATTCAAAAAACACATTCCATACTAATTAATATATTGATTTAAATAAAATATTTATATATCAAAATATCTTCTAATCCTTTTATAATATTGTATCTTCATCTCCAAAATTTATAGTATTAATTCTAGTTTCAATATTTGTTTAAACCATTCTAAATGTATGAGGCATTAATAATTTTGAAGCTCGATTTTAAGGTAATTTTCGAATCTTTAATTCAAGTTATTAACTTTCAACCAATTTTTCTCTTTAATTTTTATATTAACGATATGCTATATAAAAAAGAATTGATATAAGAAATACCAATAATATAAAAAATAAATAATAAATTGGAATGATAAAGGGTTTTTAATTAAAGTGAACTTTAAATTCTCTTGATTTCTAACCTTAATTTGTTCTATATATTAATTTATACTTTATTTCAATCTATTTTGAATCAGCTAAAATTATCATAAAATTATTATACTCTCAATAAAGCACTTAATTTAATATGGCTAAATTTTTGGTTGAAATTAAAATAAATATTTGGATGTAGTACCATAAATATAATCACCAGCTAAAACAAATTATTTAACAGAAGTTAATTAAAAAGGTATTGCATTTTCTTTATCCTAATAATAAATAAGAAAATGAGTATGAAATCCTTGAACTAAGATAAATTTCTCATTAACTCCAATATCAACAATTTTATTAGAAATATTGAATCTAGCTACAGAACCCCACTTTTTATTCATAAATTCAATATTGAATTAGATTACATAATATTGATTTTTTGTTTTATAGGCAACAAAGACAAAATCATCATTATTTATAGTTATAGCAATTCCATCAGTTTTAGGACCTATATTCTTCAAAAGTAATTTACTCAATACTTTTTCATTTTAAATTGTCAAATCAATAACAATAATACCATTTATTTTACAAAGTATATAAAGTAAATAATTCATTTCCTTTAATTTTGAAATAGAAAAATCTCTAAAATCAACAGCTTATAAACCAATAGATTATTTATCTAAAGTATAAGACTAATAATCTTGATTTACAAAATAAATTTCTAATCCATCTAATCCAATAACTGAAAATAAATAACAATCAATAATTTGTGAATAATATCTACTTTATCTACTTTACCAATTCTGAATATTTCCTTGATTTTATAGATTTCTAAAATCTAAATAATGAGCATAGTTAGGATAAGCTAAAATAAAATATTCAGAAGATCCAATAAGTTAAGGCAGTGAAATTTATTCATGTATAATGTTAAGATCATAAACTTTTGTGATTTCATTTATTAAACTAATATGAAATAGACGATTATTTATTGTTAATCCATAAATTTCACTATGACCTAGGATCACCATATCAATCAAGAAATCAGAATCTTCAGGTAATGAATCATTTTTGAATTAGTCAGATGGTAATTAAAATGTTTATCCTTCTGTTAATAATGTTCGATTTGATAGATAACAAAACTATAAGTTATTGATTATTTTATTATTGTCACTAGGTTAATTTTAATCAATACTCGATCTAAAGAAGTTAAGCATCCAAAGCATCCTTTACTTCAAATAATGTCTAAACTTCACCAAACTTAACAAAATAGGATTATAATGCTTTGTTCAAAGTAGGAAGGATTAAATAAATGAATAATAGCATTAATTTAGTAAAAATTGCAAATTAATTTTTTATATGATTTAATATATTCATATGGCAAATTCTTATTTAAATATTAGAGCATATTTCGCAACGTCATCTTATTTATAGGATAGTAGTTTTTGAATAACATTAATTCCATCTAGTTGCACAAAAATTATAAAGAACTAATTAGATTTGTTATCTTTAGCCTTGATTTCCCCTTTTCTAATAATTTTAATAAGCATTTCGAGTCCCTTTTTAAGATGATTTGAAGCAATTTCTTTTTCATTTGCAATTTCAAACATTCTAAGTAGATATTTAATAAGTCCATTTTTTACAAGATGATTAACATCCTCATTAGTCCCATGTTATATAGCATTTCCAATTACTTCTAATACATCTCCTCTTAAATTTGAATTATCATCACATAATGATCTAAAAAGAGAGACCAAAAAGTTTTAATTTGATAAAACCTTAAACAACGTTTCCGTAGCTGCAAATGTTTATATCATATCTCCACTTTTTTCTCTACTTTTAGGATCAACAATCATTCTAATATGAGCAATAAATCCACATTCTAATAAATAATTAATTTAATCTTCTGTTCCATAAAATATGCATTCAAAAATTCTAAGAATTGATACAAAATTGCCCATTGGTAATAAATTAATTAATTAAGGTACGACTCCACTATTTATTAATGCAGCAATTCTATTTGGTTCACCATCAATCATATATCCTAACGCCCATATAGCATCATTAATCATTTTTAAATTTTGTTGATTGAACTCTTCCATAATCACTTATGCAAATATCTCAAATGCTGATTGTATCTTATCAAACTTAGGACTTGGCCTACCTATACATAAATTAGCCAAACACCAAATGTATATTGATTTGTATTTGGATTCCATTTTGCTTATTATTTTTTCTATACTGCAGGCTTACAATATAGAATCTCTATATTTCACAGATTCACCAGCCAATTTACCTAATATCGTTATGATTAACATAATCAATTCGCTTTAATTACCATCCAATACAGTCAAAGATAATTATAGTATTCCATTTTGCATAATAATTCTTGTTATTTCACTTCTTCCAGCAGCTAAAATTGAAATGATTTCTAAGATATTAATTAAAATATAAACAACATGCAGCTTCTAGTTTTAATAAATATGTGCTTCCAAACTAGATGATATGAAATAAAATAGGTATAAGCTCATTTTCTTTAGCAATCTATTCTGCCTAATCAAAATTCTTTTTTTATTATTGAAATATTTATACAGACAAAGTTCTTCTTAATTTAATAATTGCTTTATGGCTTTCAATAAAATTCTCTGATCGCAGTGCAATAATGGCATCTATGACAGCTATATGATCTTCATCCATTCTTAAGATTTAAATTATTTCATCCTTCAGCGTTTGACATATTTACTCCTAATCGACTAAGTCTTCATGGTTAGAATTTTGTTACAATTTTTTAATGCCTCCAAGTTTCTGACTATTTTTCATGGTTTTTTCTTTGTTTATTGTAGGAATAATAGAAGAATTTAATTATTTATTCTCCCCGGAATAGTTTATTCATAATGAAATATCAATATCATAAACTATCTATTTATTCTTTCATTTTCTATTTAGATATGAATAATTATATAATTTCAATTCAAATCCAATTGAATAATTGTATCATTCTTACTGACATTAAATATCAATTTTTGTTACTAGAATAAAAGACATTATACTAAAAATATAAGTATTTTAAACTACTAGATTCTTAGTAAATAATATGTTTTCAATGATTCAATTTAAATTGTTATCATATACATAAGTTAGATAAAAAAAATAAGTGTTATTGATATTTTCATATTATCATTTATAGAAATCAGATTCAAAGGAGAATTTCATTTGGACTGACATATTTTTTGCTATGATTGATATTTAAGGATTTCTTGTTAGGCAATTCAGTTTATCCAATATAATTTTTAGAGAGAATATTACATTATTCACCCTAAATACCTTATCTATAGTTATTATAGTTCTTTGAATTAATTTTTGTGTTCATCACGTTTAAAATATGATTTAGTTATTTAATCAATATAATAAAAACTGAAATATATAATTATCATGGCAACAATAATTTTTTGATTGCAGCACATAATCTCTATGAATTTTATCTACATTCTTCTTCCAAATTGCATTCTTGGATCTTATATTTCTCTTTAATGGAATACATAAACTCAATTAATTTAGTAAATTCTTCTCCTTAACCTAAATCTCTTGTTTATTAAGATGTCAATACACACTAAGATTTTATAACGTAAATAATATACTTAAGCAATTAATTCTTAAGCAATATGCAAATCATTTTTATCAAGATTAAATCTATCTTATGGATAACTCATTGGAATAATCTTTTATAAATGGAACTTTTAAAAATAGGAATCTTTAGCTTTAAATCCAGTATAAAGTGCAAGATTTTTCATGCATACTTAAGTTTTATAAAGAACATCATTTCCCAATAATATATGATCATTTCTAACTAATAAACGATTTAATATAGTAATTGCATAATCATAACAAAAAGGTGTATTTTAAATATTACTTTCTTACACAGGAAATGTGAATCCAAGATTGTAAATCTTAATAGAAACTCCTTTTTTTAATGCAATATCAGTTTATATTGCTTTAACATGATCTATCATATATAATAGAGTATGAGGAACACAATTTCTATCAACAAACAATACTGCTTTTTCATTATTGGAATTGATGATTTCATTAATTTTTTTATGAAATTCCTATTAAAATGCTTCTTTGATATATAGAAATACTTTTTAGAATTTAATTGCCAAAGAATCTGTACTATCTCCTAATTTATCTTTAATTAATTGAAGAGTAACTTCATCTGCACAAATATCATAAAAAGGATAATCCTTATAATTCTATTTTAAATATTCAACCAATGTTGATTTTCCAGAACCAGGTATCATAAATGGATAAATAATTACTATTTTTTTTTAAGGTTTAACATCTTCATCAGATTCTTCAAAATCTAGTTCATTTTAATCTTCTATTTATGGTTATTCTCCATATTCAAATTATTTAATTATTTACTCCAATTTTTATAAATCAAATTCTTCCAATACAAAAGTTCTATTTGGAAAATTCTTTTAACATTCTTTCAAATAAACTTATCCTTTTTCTAACCATCTTTCCAAACTCAATTATTATACTTTTGGTTTTGCTGTTGTAAATTGAACACCAAATGAACTTATTATTGGATTTTAATCTTAAAATATTTTCGATTATAAATTCTATAATGATATTTTGAATCCTTCTTAATTCATACCTAAAAATACAAAAATAATGTTAGATGGTTCTTGATTTTATAATGTTGAATTAACTAAATAATCATTCAATTATTATTCATTATTAATATTGTATGGTAATTTAGGAATCATATGTAAAATAGATATTGCTCTTTATGCAAATACCTTTTGATTTCTACACATATATTAACATTCAACACATTATATATTTAGATTATCTTTTAAACTTTGTAATACTTTGTCTTCAAACAACATTGGTAATGTTAATAGAATTACTCTTACATGACGTTAATAATTCTTCTATTTAACTTCTCCTAATTCATCTATTTCATTCATTTTGTCCTCTTACATATTTTAAATTTGTTCAAGAAAATCAACAAAATTATATCTTATCTTTTCAAATGCAATTTTATTATTATAGACCTCTTCAAATGCCAATTTCGATATATGAAGATAATATCTTATAGGTTAAGGTGGTGAATATTATTTGATAATGATTTACAATTCATTAAGAAATTTCCCTAATTAAACTGATAATTGATAATGTTCATTTAACTATATCTTTTAAATCAATATTTTTAACATCTCTCTTAATTTTCTATATATCAAATATTCCATAGATTTTAATTTACAAAGACTTATTGTTTAATGATTTCCAATCTGATCTTCTGCTACTATATAGGCAACTGATCCTTCTCCTTCTAATACCATAGGTCCTTCTCCTATAAGTTTTGACCATATTGCTAATTATTTTAGAACACCTTCATAATTATCAAAATTTTTAATTGATTAATTTTTAACAAATTGCAAATTAAATTATTCACATATTTATTTAGTATGTTCTACAGGTAAACAAATATCAGGTGAATTATTATTAACAATGGCATAAAAAATAAGTTGAATATGTGAATATTTTGTTATATGTTAATACTCAGGATTACCACAATATTCACCTATCAAAGTATGTTGAGTAAGAAATGATTTTAAATCATCAAAATTTTATTCTTTAATAATTTCTAACCATTATTTTGCAATCAATTTTGCCCATGTATGTCTTAAATCATTATATAAATTTAGATCATCTTCTTATTGAAAGAGAATTGTGCAGTTTTTACTAGCCACCAACCAATATCCATTCGTAAAACTTATTTGACAATGTTCACCATTCTCTTTGAATAATTTATAAAGATGTATCTTTTTTCCCTCTTAAATTGCTTGTTTTATAGGATTCAAAATATTGAAACATGCTTTTTCATGATATCTTGATAATTTAACATTTTATTATTCCAATTCATAATCAATGTACTTCCTTTCAAGATCATAGAACTTTCTCATTCCTCTTCTACATATGCTTATTGAATCATCATGTACTAAAATTGAATTACCTCTTCTAACATTCATTAGAAAGAATGGATTTTTGAGGTAAAGCTTATCTTCCATTGGACCTTTTTTATGAAGAGAAATATCATAAAGTTAAAAGCCAAAAATATCTTATTTTACAAGCAAAATCTTTTTATGCTCTTTCATTTTCTATAAGTATTCAGCAGGATCAGAAATGTAAATACCTTGTTACATAATTAAATTAATAATTTATGGAGTAATTTTAAAATGCATATAAAGAGTTGGCAAAGATGGCCAAAATGAGTAGTTTTTATTAAGCCCAGAAGAAGGAATAAAAAATTAAAGGAATTCAATAGAAAATAAGTCAAAAATCAAAGAAAATTAAAGAGGCTCCATTAGCATCCAGAGAAGAGTTGATGCAAAAACTTAAAAATAAGATAGATACATTAAAAGCTGATAGAACTACAAAGAAGGATTATATACCACCTAGAAAATAAAGATAATAAAAAAACAAATGAATATATAATTATTTCTAAAGAATATAATATATTTTTGTTAAATAATAATTTTTTAGTAGTATGATATGATATCCTAATATCATATTAATTAAATTTAATCCTAGTAAATGATAAATCTAATTATTAAGAGATAATTTGAGATGAGACAAACATCATTTTATTCTATAGTTTTTGGAATTCAAATTATTATTCTATTCTTTTTCATTTTCATTCTAAATTAATTTATTATGAATCAAATCCTTTATAGTTCTAAACTTTATTTATTTTAGCACATATATAATAGTCTTAAAAATCGAAAATTTTAATTCTAAAAATATATATAAAAAAACATTATATTGTTAGATTAATTATTATAAAATATATTTATAATAATTTTATTTAATTGTGATGTTCAGCATTATTCTTATTTTAAAATTCAAATAATATCTCTGTTTGACTTAAAATTAAAGAATTTATAATACCAACCTCACATTTATTTATTAAATACTATATATGTAATAAATAAAATTAATAAATGATGCTATAACTTATGGCATATTGAATCATTAAATTTTGAAAATAGTATATATTAATGATGAATTATTATAATTCAAAACCCAACAATATCTTTATTACTTAAATCAATATTAAATACACTAAAAAAATGTAAAGGAAATAGTAATATGAAAGTGATTTCAATAATTTCTAAGAAGCCAGCAAAATTTCACTCGATTAAATGTCTAAACAACAAGACCTTAACAAAGAGACATGTCTTAAAAATGCTAAGACTTTTGAATTATTTGCTACATGTATTAATTTTGTAGATTTATGTAGGTATGGAAAGACATGAAGGCAAAATAGATAATATTGCTAAATATCTCTCAATGAAGATGCTCTTTATTGAAAAATAAGCATTAGAATGCTATAAAGGAAATACAAATGATAGAGAATATGAAAGATGTCATCAAAGAGTTGAATAGCAGCTACATGATGTCTATAGTTAATACTATTAAGGTTTACTTAACCTTTGACTTCATATATATATATTAATTTAAAAAACGATTACCCAAAAATCTTATGTTTCAATATTTCACTTTATATAAATTTTTACAATTCACATAATTATAATAATTTTATGAATAAACTCTAAATATTAATATATTTGTTTATTAAAATCAATTATATCAACTAGACAAGCAAGAATTGAATAGGTATTCTTTATAAATATTCTTTATAAATATTCTTTCATTATCTTCAAATATAAACCGTCTTCCAAATAATTAATTTTATATTAAATCACTAAAAATAAATATATATAATATTTTTCAACAAATTTTGCAAGTTAATTCATATTTATATAAACCATAATATAAGTGAATATTATACTTATATATAAATAATATTAATGTTATAAATTCTTCAACTAAATTAAAACCTTTTAATTTCTTAAAGATCTCATCCTAGATTCTATAAAAATGTTACTTTTAATCTAACTTTTTTATTTAAAAGTCTTAAAATAAGATTACCATCAGACATATATCGTAATTAATATTATATATATTTATTTAAGATAAAAATTTATTATTCTTATTTATCTAAATAGATTTTTAATATAAAATAGAATACTCTATTCTAAATAACTATGTTTCAAATAAAATTATATTATGTCAGCTATTTCAAATTCTGATTTTTAGTTAGATTTTTAGATTAAATCAATATTATGCTTGAACTTTTTAATCTAAATCAAAATATTCACAATTCTTAATGATTTCTTTTAATTTACACTATTATTAACCCACGCTACTTCTCTCATTAAATATAGCATAGAGTATCATAGTTTAAAATCATTTTATGGAATTATATAAAAAAAGACAATATTTATATAAAGAAATATAGTTTTTCAATAAAGAATGTTCATTAAAGTAAGGATTATATAAGTTTTAATAACATAATAATCAAAATATTTCTACTGATCTTTCACTTTAATCCCATTTAGCTAGAGTGATAGAATGTTTATACTCAACTTTATTATAATTGTAACTTGATGATTCAATATTTGATTTTTGTCTTCGGCGAGGTACAAAAGTATAATCAAGTTTAGTTTTAACTTATGGATAACGAATACTCAAGAGACATTTCTCGATTTATAAACCTATCGTATCTTTAATTTCAATAGGTTTTTGGTGTTTTTTAGACCTTCTCATAATGGGTGTTGCTGATTGAGTTCTTGATGTTTGACTACGAGTTTCAGTTTATTTATATTTTAGAACTGATAAACTCTTAATTTGAGGTGCTTCCTTAATTTATACATGAGTAGTAATAGATCTAATTTTCTTTGGTAGATAAGTTTCTTCTAAAATTTTTTATTTATTCTCAATGCTCTGTTTGATTTGAGATATTTAATTTGAGAGTTATTAAGATTTTTGAGAGGTTTCTTCTTATTATAGTGTTTATTATTCAAATGGTTAAAAATTAAATTGTCTTCCACTTGGAGTCCAAATATCATTGAAACAATTCCAAAGAGACATTCGATTTTATTTAAAATGCTTACGTTTCTAATTAGGTTTATCTTGAATTTGTAAAGTGACTAATTTAGTAATCTTTAAATCAAATAATTATTACATTTAATGGCATTCTCACATTTGATAAATTGTCTTTTATTAGCATTTGGACCTTTCTTTGTTGTATACAAAGCTAGATCACTGTAAAATTAACTTATAAATTCTAGTGCTGAATAAGGAGCCTATAAGACTGTATTGATTAGCATTTTAGGATGTTTGCTAACATAATTTTGTAAATTGTTTCTGTTGGCCTCTTTATCTGTGATTACTGAATAATTCATTCATGTAAGGGATTACAATTAAATTGTAGATTAAATTGCTATTCGATTTGATTGATTGTTATGGAATCATTTTAGTATCAAAATAAAAGACTAATATTGATGATAAAATAAGCAGAATATTTGCAATTGCAATAGGATGGGCATTGATGGATTGTGTTATGAAACACCTCTTCACTTTTATTCCAAATGCTACAACTGATGAATTTACATGGACATTTATTTTAAGAGGAATTACTGCAAATTTAGAATTTGTACATATATTATTTTAAATTAGTTTGAAACATTGTTCTTAGTAGGATTATTGTAATCAAAAAACAAAATTAGTTATGCAATGATATTGTTAAAGGTTCTTGTACTTCCAAATTTCCAAGATATCATCACTAGAGGAGGATTATCTTCAGTATACATGCTTGTGTCTAGATTTGTTATATGAGTATTTTTTTACAATTTACAAATATTTTATAAATGCTTCAAGAATGCAAATCAGAATTGGCATCATGTAAAGCTAAATTGATATCCTTGAGTATAAAGGATATGTCTAAATTATTACCTATGTGTAAAACTAGTACAAGTAAGAATGAAGTTTTCATTTTGAATGACATGATTGAAAAATATGATTTTGATGAAGAGAAGGAGAGGGTAGTGTGTTAAAGTGATTCTTTAAGGATAATACTAAGACTAGTTTGAGATTGTTAAGAAATGATGTATAGAGATACATTAAAGAGTTGAAAGGGTTCACTAACAGTCATGAGTATTATTAAAAAATTGAAAGCATGGCAAACAATATTACTAATGAGTATTTATCATTATTTATGTATTCATAGAATAACAGAGTATAAATCAAAAATGTCATATCAATTTGATGATTTAGCATAATAAGAGGAGACATTGACTGATGAATTGAAAATGATTGAATAGAAAATGGATAATTATGATGTTGTTTAAAAATAACCCATTATCAAAAGAAAACCTATGCAAAATAATGAAGAAACAATTAGTGAATTAGGATTAATCAAATAAAAAGTGGATCTAATAGATGAAAAAATAGATTAAATTAAACTCTTAGAACCAGAAGATCATAGAGAATTCTTAAGAGTAAGAACTAAACATAAAGGTAAAGTAACTCCAAATTTTATTAATGATTGTCTTAAGGCTATTCCATTTATAACTGAGGATCAATTAATGGAATAAATAGAAAATTATAATTTATTACAATAATTGGAAGATGAAAAGAAAGAATTACTTACAGAATATAAAAGAAAGAAGGAAGAAAACAAATAAATTCAATTATAATAAGAATAATAATAATAAGAAATTGAAAAATAGAAATAAGTTAAAAAACCTTTGGTTCCAAAAGAGGAGAGAGATAAATTGAAAGAAGAAATAAAATAATGGAAAATTAAGAGAGTTACATAGAAAGCAATAGATGAAATAGAGTATGATACAAAAAAAGATATTGAGAAATAGAAATCAGAAATGTTAAAGAAGGAAAGAGAAGAAAAGAAATTATAAGTTTAATACTATAGGGAATAGAAATTAATTGAAAAATAAAGAGAATAAGAATTAAAATAAGTAGAAACAATGTCAAGAAGATTTGTTAGTTAAGAAGCAAAAGAAAGAATAAAAATTAAAGAAAATCAATTAATTGAAAAAAAGAAAAGTATTCTTGAATAAAAGTAAAAGAAGTAATTTGATTAAGAAATGAAATAATAAGCAAGAGAAGAAGATAAATATATTAAATTTGCTTATGTTGAATCAAAATTAAATGAAACAACAAAAGCTGTAGAATAATAGAAGAGATAGAAATTTGATCCAAAAATTGATCAAGGGAAATATGCAGATACTTTTGGTGGTAATTTATTAGGAGCTGGCAGAAGAGCCATTCCTGGTTGGAGATAGAATTTAGGTTGAATAATGGTATTTATGATATTTATTTTATTTTATCAATTTAGTTATATTTCTGCAATTGATTTTCTTAATTCTTAACTTAAACCTGAATTGAATATTATGAGTATTTAATTAACTGTTTCCACTTATCCAACTCTAAAAGAATATTAGTAATATTAAATTACCTGCTATCAAAAATGGCTCTAAGATTCTTCTCTTCATCTTAACAAGTCTTTACCCAATCATTAAGTTCTTTAGTTTTGATTGATGCAATTGATTTATTAGTATTAACATCATTTGTAACTTCAACAATATCTTATTGTAAATGTAAGACTTAAGCTTTCAATTAAGCTACTGATGCAGCCAAAGTTTGATTGGCTAAAAGTAAGATTTCTCTATTAATATATATAAATAAATGAATAATACCTTTATCTAATGAATTCAACTTCTCTTGCATCATCAACTAATAATTCTTATTTTTAAAGTTCATAGATAGAATCAATTAATCCTTATATAGTAGCAACAATTTTCTCAACTTATTCTGGAGTTTTGGCTTGTGTTGATGCTTTTAATAACAATTCAACCATTATTCCATAACCTCTAGGTGTTGGATGTGCTTCCTCTAATTATAATAGATAATTAAATGTACTAAATTTGAGATAGTGTTAATTTGAATTGACTTGTAAGAAACTAACAGAACCTAATCCAGATACAATTGATTTAGCTTCACCTAAAGCTGCTACATAATTAGTTAATTCATTTCTTCTATCTTAATATTCTTATTTTTATTATTCTCTAGTAGCTGTAATAAGTGAAAGTTTATCATTATTTCTTTATTCTTCAGAATCCTTTACTAATGCTTATTCTTATTTACTAATCAATTCCTCATTGAGTAATGGTACTAGTATTTAAATGTATATATATACATTTTCTTTCATCATCAGCTCTCTTAGCATTTGCTCTATCTATAACACTCTAAGCATCATCTTGTCTTGTTTAACATTAAGTTTGTCTATTTCTTAAATTAGTTTGAATAGCTCCTTTTTCTTATTCAGCTGATTTCAATATTTCATTTAATGATTCAACAACAGAATCTACTGCTGATCCATTTGATAATTCTAATTGGACAGTTTACAATATTGTTTTTCCAAAATCTGTTTTGGGTAACTAAGTATTACGTTGTTTGTACTGTATTAAAGATGTCGATGGCTTCGGTGGCTGATGATAAAGCAATCAAAACACAGAGAAATACAATAATCTTCATTTAATTTATTAATCTGCATAGAAAACGACTTTTTTTTGTATTTTTTTCATCAAAATTTTTATATTATTAAATTGCATTCATTAATTATATCAAGGAGTGCCTTCTTTCATAGCTTATTATTAAATTAATCTTATTGATTTGTATTCCTCCATAAAAGTAGGATTTATTGTACTTGAGTATGATTTGGATTTGGTTGAATTATGCTGTTCAAATACTTACTAAAATACCCACTTAAAACTAGCAACCTATTCTATTTGCTAAAAGGAAGTACATCTATAAGGATCATATTGTTACATTCAATGATATACAAATTTTAGTAACTGAATCTGATTTCTGTTCAGTAATAAATAATTTTATAGCCATAATCATTATTGTTGCTGATGTTGTATGATCTTTTGATTAGAATACTGGAAATGCTATAGATCTCATTTATCTAGCATTTGCCTAACTATAATTTATTTGATACCATTTTAAGACAATTTTAAATAGTTTCATAAATTAATTGTCTCTCTTCATCCTACTAATCTTAAAAACTCATTTCATTATTTTCTTGAACAACAGCCAATATATAATTTTTTTTGTTTTCTAATCTTTTTAATTTCTTAATTACTTTTAGTTGATCCTACAAAAATACAATTCCCATTTGCTGGTATAAATGTAGGTTTATCATTTTAAGGAACATTTGAAAATTGTTGATCAGTTGGCCAAACTATACAATCTACTGACTCATTCTCTATATTTCCTGCTGTTAAAAGGACATCACATCCATTAAATTTCTATTCGCATAATAATTGAGACATTGTAGATTACATACCACTCTTGGTATAACAAAAATTATTTCCCATTATAGTTTTATATATTATTATACTATAATTTATTATATATTAATATATATTATCCTACTAAACTTCATATATCAATTAATATTTCTAATACATACTTATTAGTTAACTATTTTCAATTAAAACTCAATTTATTAATTTACTATTGATTTTTTCTAATTTGTTCTTATAACTATTAATTCAAATATAATATATACATTAATTTGAATCATTATTTATTTACTATTATTTTATCATTTTTTGTTATTTTTTATATTGATTAAGTAGTGATTAATTTAAATTAAACAAATCATTGTATTTTCATATAAGTATTATTCTTATTTATGAATAATGATTTATAATTGTCATAATAAATTGTAATTTATTTGATTTCCTTTTTAGTTACACATTTAAATATGATTATTATTATTCATTTAATTTATATTGTATCTATTACTACTAAAAGTATATTTCCATATATTTAATAATATTTGAGGAATTCTTATGAATTATTTATATAATAAAAATATGATTAAATCTTTATTAAAATTTATTTCTAAATCAATATTAATGTATTTCAAATTTATATCTATAATTTATATAGATCTACATAATATTTGTTCCATATTTCTATCTTTAACAATCGTATAATATAAATACACTTGTTTTATAGATTTTAATCTCAATTTATAATTCTAATATTTGGATTATAATTCATCTACATTTTATTCTTGTATTTTGAATATATTTATATTTAACAATAGAAATAAATTTGATAATAAATATTGTTATAAGTATTTGTCCATTATATAGATTAATTAATTTATGAACATGAATTATTAATGTTTTATCATATATTCAACATTTATTTATAATTTGATTCATTTATTGTTAATTATAAATTATGGATTTAATCTTTTTCAATCAGAATAATTTTAACAATTTTTAATCTTAAGCTTGGATTTTGTTTCTGAATCTTCATATTATAATATTATTATTAAATTACATTTATGTATTTTTTAATCTTGATAGAGTGTCTAATATATTAATGTAATTTATATGTGTTTTATTATATCATATTTACAATAAAATGTGTTCTATTTGATTTTTCATATTGAATTTCTTGGCATATTTAGATGTCTATTGGATTTTTAAAAAGATAAATTATTTTCTTTTAGAGAACAAAACATTTCAGCAAATTAGATTCAAAAAGGTAAAATATTTGATATAAATAATTTAATATACTTTTCTAGATGAAATTCATTATGTTTTCCAACCTAATTGGAACACATTTTGAGTCTCTAGAGTATATGAGGTAACAGGATTATGATTTGGAGGGAACAACTGGAATCTATCTTGAATCTCCTGATTGACCTCCTCTTACATATACCTGATTATCAACACTAATTCTATTATAATCTCACTTTTTACATTCTATTATTTTTAGGAATGTACAATAGAAGACCTGAAAGCAGAAATTCACAAATTACAATTTTACTACATAAAGTATCAACTGGGTATGAAGTAATGGAGGTGCAAACAGAACAGCGAAAGATGATACAAAAGCCATCAACATAGCCAATTCCACCACCTGTTAAAAAAGAAAACACAACCACTAACATTACCTAAGAAACAACACAAAGCAAGGTAATAATTGGACTTCAACCTTTTTAGAAGGATTGGTTTTTGTAAAATTGGGAAGCCATCATCCCAGCTCCTGCTAGATGGTTTTAAATTGATTCTATTCATTAAATTGAAAAGGATTCCCTCCCAGAATTTTTCCATCAACATTTTCACAATGACAATTCATACTATAAGGGCAACTATAAGACTCCTCTTACTTATCTTAAAATAAGGAATAGTATCTTATAGAAATGGATAAGCACTCAAACAAAATATCTAAAATTTACTGATTGTCTCAATTTTATAAGCGGAGATGCTTCATCTTTATTGAGAGTCTACACTTTTTTAGAACATTGGGGATTAATCAATTTCTAATACAATCCTAATAATCTTCCAAATTAGGGATAAGTGTATCAATAAAATGGCACTTTTTTAGAAAGAATAAAACTTAATTTTTAAAGCAATCAAATCAATTTCCATAGTGAACCTCATTATGAGTAAGAATAATGTTAATTTAAATAGATGTCATATATGTGATATGAAAGCTTATCCATTTCATTAATAGAAAAAGGAGAATTTGGCATCATTTCAATTATAACCATTATTGTTATGTAATAATTGTTTCATTGAGAAAAAATATCCTAAATTTTTGAAGAATGAAGATTTCTGTAAGTATTTTTCTTATTATTCTTAGAATAATTCCAATAAACTTAAAAATATGCACCTTGGACTCAAGAAGAAATATATCGATTATTAGAATTAGTATATAAACATAAAGAAAAATGGAATGAAATAGCAAAATACTTTACAAAACGATCTTTGACTGAAATTGTTAAAATGTATTTATAACTTCCATATTCCAACTTATTTCCATCCTTAGATAAAGAACCTTCAATTCCTAAGAAACCATAATAAGTAATTATATTAATTAATTTTATAGGAACATATTACATTTCATAATGATGTGAGTAATCCTATTCAATTAGGTGTTGCTTGTTTCAAATCACAATTAGATAAACTTAAATTACCTAATATTGAAATAATTTAAAGTTAGGAACCAGAGAAAATGGATGAAAACTTAAAATAAATGATCTCAATATAAATGGAAAAGATTGAAGAACAATTATTATATCTTGAAACATATGAGTAATTAATCAATCAAGAGAAATAATGTGTTTAAACTATACAAAAAAAGAATTTATAGATGTAAGTGTAGGTCTAGACTAATGATATTGTAAGTGACAATATGATGTTTTTATGAAACCATTCAATTATAATAACTATAATTCATTAAACAATAATTATATTCTAAAATCATTTAGAATTCAATAATTTATGCCAGAATTTAAACTTAATTATAAATCATAATTTCTACACATTTTCATATTTCATATGATAATTGAAATCATCAAAAAGATTATTTATTCTCTTTATACAACTTTATTCATCCTTCTCTTATAGACAATTCTCATATTTTAATTCACAAAATCTAATGAATATTTCAGATTTCATTTATAATTTCTTAAATCTCTTTTCTTTAATTAACATGCAATCAGCAAATGCATCCATATTCTTTGAATTTTAATAACATAACTCTTCTTTTTATTTTATAAGTTAGTTGACTATATCAACATGATTATTTATTAATTCTCCTATAATTGGTTGTTAATGAAACATTATAAATATTAGTATTTAAATCAAATTCTTATAATCAACTTTTATACTCTATTCAATAATCTATTTTTTATCCTCTAAATGATGCTGATAACTATTCTAATCAACTTCCTATACTGTAGACAATTCTTAGGTTAAAAGGTTTATAGATCTCTCATACTTAATCATAAATATTTAAATTTACTAAAAATAAGTAATCTTCTAGTTCATATTGTTTTTACATCATTATGTATTGAATATTGAATCAATTTGTCAATTAAAAGTCAAGAGAAGTTGTTTTAAATTTATGGATTATTCAAATGATTCATTCTTTTATTTAGTATATTATGTTAAGTAATAAGTGCTAAATATTAATAGTTAAGTGTATAGTCTTAATCAAAAATGCTTTTCTAGATTTTTGGATCATTCTATATATGTTAATTTATGTATAAACAACAGTTTATATAAATAGTTTTAGAGATAATCCATAATATAAAATCAATTTCTCATTTGTAAGGTCAATTTTATTTGAGACGTAAAATAATATATACAACATTATTATAATACGAATGATAATTAATAATATCGAATTTTAATCAATATTAATGACATATATTTATCATAATTTGCATTATTAATTACTTTTTAACATAATTTCAATATCGAAAAAAGAAAATATTTTTAAAATAGAACATTATGTTTATAATCCCCCTCTTCATAGAGATAATACATGCATGTACTAATACGGCAAACACAGGATGGACCAACAATTACTAGAAAATGTTAATAACAACTGTCAATTCCATAACAAATGTGGATATCACTACTGTCTGTCCTAACATTGATCCAGCAAAGGTTCCTGGTTTAACACCCTATCAATACTTGAGTTCTAGCAGCTGTCTTGGATATTTAGGACCATTGGGTCCTTATGGACCCTTATCTCAACTAGGACCTTTGTCTAATCCCTTTTGGAACCCATACAACTTTTTTGGACAAATCTAATTGCCTACTAATTTATAATAACTAATTCAATGGAGTCAATATTAATATGGAGCTCCTATGTCAAAGGATGGTCCATTAGGTTATAAAGGTCCTTTGGCTACAACACAATATTATGGTTAATAAGATCCAGGGAAAACCTTATTTGATACAAATGACTTTGCTGTATAATTAAGAGCCTTTGGTTTATGGTCAGCACTTGGTCCCTTAGGACCATTAGGACCTTTAGGAGCTTTGGGACCATTAGGACCAATAGGAGATCATGGATACAGTGTTGATCTTAATGGAAATTATGTAAATGGAACAAAAGTAGTGAAGACGGTTACCATAGATTATGATGGTAGTAGTACAAGAACATATCCTTTATACGAATTTTATTAGAGCTATTATGCTAAGACAATTCTATTAGATACATCATTTTTAGTAGAGAGTGATGTTTGTTAAAGTGATGATACTTATCAAATTGGTTCTCTTCCATTTAATTAGATAGTAACATTTGTTTTGACACCACTTTTGGGTTTAGATTCATATTCTTTGATTTTATAGGATCAATATGGTAAAGTGATAGCTTAATCTAATGTTGATAATTACATTCAAACTATTTAATTGAATGTGAAAATGAATACTAAACTTACTATAATAGTTCATCCAATATATCTATCTACAACAATTGGATCATATAGACTATTCGTAACAGGATCAACATAATACATTACTCAGTATAATATATCTGGAAATCAAATTTTATCTAATTGATTTTATTAAATGTTATATATATAATTCATTAGTCCTCAAACTATTTTTTATGCAAAGCATCTCTAATAAGATTTTTTTCATTATAGTGTTATTTTCTTTTTTTAACAAATTCTTCATGTTTTTTTCTTTTTTCTTCTTCTTCTGAAGAATCATTATCCATATTTTTTCTTTCTCTTTCTAAATCTTCTTTTAATCTTTTATTCAATTCTTCAATATCTAGTTTCTTTTGATGTTACTACATATAATGGACCTTATTTTACTTATTGTAATTTTTGTTTATTCAATTAGGCTTATACTAAATCTTGCTCAATTTCATCTTCTACTTCAATTTTATCTTCCTATTGATTTTATTGTATAATTTCATCTTCATATGGTGTTTTAGGTTCATCAATTTTTGTTTTATTTCCTCTCTCTAAGTCTTGTTATCTAATAATATTGTAATATTCTTTACTATATTGTATACTCATCCCAATGCAATTCTTTTTTCCTATAAATAACATTGATATCAATACATATCTATATCATGTTATGATTATTTTTTTAAAATCCCTTTTGATGATGATTTCATTCTCAAGATATTAATATAAATTACAAAAATTATTTAAAAATCAAACTTTTTAAGAATTATTCATTTGTAAAAACTATTTATAAAGAAAAAATTGAATTAAATAAAATATAAGAATTTATAATAATAACACATTATTTTTATTTTATAATGTTAATAAATTTTATGATTATTTTATATTAAAATTTAAACAATATGAAAATCAAGAGTAAATTCAATGAGTTCATTTTGTAAATTATTTGATAATAGAATCATTTTTACCTATTTATTTATTTTTTTCATAGATTTTTATTTATTATAAAATCGGTCCAATATAGCTATGTTTTAGTTGTTTTTTAGGAGAGAATTAAGCTTTCTTTATAAAGTTTCCTTGCAAATAATGTTATTTCTAGGATAATACATAACCATTATCTATGACAACTGAATTTTTAATATAACATTAAAAAATTCGACGCTTTTTTGGAGAGACTGATTAATGTAACTTATAATCATTCTGAGTTGGTGCTGTATTAACATAGTTAAGTGATTCACTCAAAAATTTGAGTTGATTTGTTGGAGTATTAGAAACAGAGTAGTCTTCCCATCCCTATAAATGTGAGTATTTTTTGTTCATAATTCTTTTAATTAAATAATGCAACCGGTGTAACCTATTGCTGAAGGATAGCGAACAAAAATTATCTATACTTTGATTAAGGATCAAAAGTATAAGGAAGCTATTAATTATTTAAATTATGAGTTGCAATTTTGTCCTAAGAGCAGAGCATTATCTTTACTTGCATATTGTCATTATATGAATTAAGATTTCACTTCTGCTGTTGGAATGTACCAGATAATTTAAATTACATAGTTATGAACAATTAGTGAAGTATTATCCTGAGATTGATGATTATAAGATTTATTTGGCATAGTCATATTATAAGGATAGTAAGAAAGTTTTTGAAAATAGGTCTTTATGATGAGGCATTAAAAGTATGTGCTTCTATTGAAAATCCATAATATTAAGGCAAGATGGTTTAATTGTAAGCTCTGATTAGATATGAGAAGAGTGAATTTCAACATGCAAAGACATTATTAAAATAAAATGAAATGGATGATCCAGATTCAATTATTAATGAAGGATGCATTTTATTTAAAGAAAATAAGTTTGATGAGGCAAGATAAAGATTTTAAGATGGAATGAATTTAACTGGTTATTCTTGTGAATTAGCATACAATATAGCACTTTGTTATTACAAATAAAAATAATTGGCTTAATCTCTAAAATATATAGCAGAGATAATTGAGAGAGGAGTAAGAGAAAGACCAGATTTAGGAGTAGGTTCAAATGCTGAAGGAATTGAAGTAAAAAGTGTTGGTAATTCTTAAGCATTGAAAGAATCTGCTTTGATTGAAGCATTCAATTTAAAGGCAGCTATTGAATATTCAATTAAAAATTATGATGCTGCAAAAGAAGCATTAATAGATATGCCTCCAAGAGAAGAAGATGAATTAGATCCTGTTACTTTAATGAATTAGGCTTTGATGAATATAGAAGATAAAACAGCTGAAGGATTTAAAAAGTTGAATCATTTATTATAAAATCCTCCATTTCCACCTGAAACATTTCCAAATTTATTAGTTTTGTATTGCAAATATGGTTATTTTGATATGGCAGCAGATATTCTAGCAGAAAATGCAGATCTCACATTTAAGACTATTAGTTCAGATGATTTTGAATTTGTAGATGCTTTAATTTTAAGTGCAGCTAGTCCAGAAGAATCCTATAAAAAATTCTAGATTTTAGCTAATAAACATATTGATACTTTAAGAAGGATTACAAAATCTATTTAAGATGCTAGATTGAATAGAGATAATGAAGGAATAAAGAAATCACTTAAGGAATTTGATGATTGTTTAGAGAAATTCATACCTGTATTGATGGCATAAGCAAAAATATATTGGGATAAAGACAATTATTCATAAGTAGAAAAATTATTTAGATAATCAGCAGAATTTTGTGCTGATCATGATGTATGGAAATTAAATGTGGCACATGTATTTTATGTGTAAGACAATAAATATAGAGAGGCTATACGTTATTATGAACCTATAGTTAAAAAGAATAGTGATAATTTATTGTCATTAACTGCAATAGTGATTGCTAATTTATGTGTTAGTTATATTATGGTCAATCAAAATGAAGATGCTGAAGAGTTGATGCGTAAATTAGAAAAGGAAGAAGAGAAATCATAATATTAAGATCCTGAAAAATCAGTTTATCATTTATGCATAGTTAATTTAGTTATAGGAACACTTTATTGTTCAAAAAATAATTATGAATTTGGTATTTCTAGAGTTATCAAATCACTTGAACCATATAATAAAAAAGTAAATAAATTATATCATTTATAGATTAATACAGATACATGGTATTATGTGAAGAGATGTTTCCTTGCTTTGATTGAAGTATTAGCTAAACATATGATAATTCTAAAAGATACTTCATATAGTGAAATCTTGGATTTTCTAGATGCAGCTGATCAATATGGCAAAGCTATTCCCTCTGTATATATTTATAATATATTTATATAGATAATTAATCCATTAGAATAACTTGATGATAAAAATACAGTATCATATGAAGCCAGGATGATAAAAAGGATGTTTCTTAAATTAAGAACATGAAATTATATATATATATATATATAAATATGTTACATAAATAATTTTAGAAAAAATTTCTTAACAAATTTTGAACTAAATAAAAGTTATTCAAATATATGAATAGATAAATATAGAGAGAATGTTCAATAAAGATTTATTATTAAAATTGCATCCTTTTAAAATTTAATTACAAAATGAAGCCCTAAAAATTGAAACAAAAAACTAAATAATAAAATCATTGAAAAAAGAGTTAATATATTAAATAAAAAAAAAGATTCTAAATAATTATGTATAATTGACTTGATTAGATAATCATGTGAATTATATTAATTCAAATGATTATAATAATCTTTAATAAAAAGTCTAAGAGCTTATTTGGAAGTAGAATATTAAATAAAATCTACAATAGGTGATGAAGAGATGGAAATACGTAAAATATAGATAATAAATTTAATAATGATTAAATAATTTAGAATTTTAATAAGGAAAGCTGATTAAATACTCTTAATAATAATATTAAATATATTAGAAAATTAATTATTTTATATTAATTAATATGATATAAGTATCAAAGATGTTTGAAATATATAGAATTATGATATATTGCCTATAATAATGAAGTTATTATTATAATTAACAATCTATAATGATATTTATTTATTATAAAAAAAGTGAGTTTGGTGCTTTTTTATATCTTAAATTAATATTAAAATATTTATTTTAAGTTTAAACATAGATGTAGGTTTTATGTTAATATGCTTTACCTTAATTTTACATAGTGACAAACATTATTTCTCTTGTTTATCTTATTATTGGAATTTCAAGGTATAATTATTTCTATAAAATTAGTTTAACATCTGACTGGCCAAGTTTAGTTATAGAAATCTTGCACTTTCTAGTAAGTCTAACACTAATAATAATGATTGCAGTTAAAAAACGATATCAAACAAGAAAACCTCATTTTCTAGGGGTGGCAAGTTGTTTTTCTGCTTTATCAATTATTTTGGCCATATAAAAGTTTGATCAATATTATCTTCTGTTGATTTTAGTTCAATAATTAGCCTGCTGTTTACTTATATCGTTATTAATGTTAAACAAGAAGAGAATAGGAGTTGGTGTAGTATTATAAATATATTTAATTGGATTTTTGATTGATGTCTTCTCTATTGAAATTTGGTATTAATTATCACTATGAATATAGGGTATTTTAGAACTAATTCAGTTTGAGTAGAGCAATTGCAATTTTGGGATCTGGAGGAATTGGTTTAATAACACTAATCTTAAGTCTGTTATGTCATTTCAATCCTAAAGGGAAACTTTAAAATGAATTACACATCATAATAGGATTTTATATTTTTTGTGAATTATTTATATGCTGTAATATTATAGCTGAACTTGTTAATGTAATAATTTATACAATATTTAGGGTGTTTAAAGTATATATTTGATAGATTTGATGATACTCAAAATTTCAAATGTATTTTTGGATGTACTCATATATCCATTTGTAAGATTTCATTAACCAAATATGGAGAATAAAATATCATCTGAACCAATTGATAAATAATTTGAATGTTAAGGAATTGCAACAAAAGAAAGTGATTGTGAATTAGATAGTGCTTTAAAGATTAGATCTGATAAACAAAATGTTGTTGTGAAAGAAAAACAATCTGATACAAATAAATGGATCTAATCTCTCTTAGAACTTTATTGATTTATTAAATATATTTCTCATCAATATTATGATACCATATATTAATGAAATACATTACTTGTAGAATAAAATTTTATGTTTTTAAGAGATAAACAAAGGCGCAAAAAATTAAAAGAATTTTTAAATCTTTATTATTAAATCCAGAACCAAGTAACATTTTTTTTGTTTATTGACTTAGTGTTTAGGCTCCCCAACTATTAAGATCAAAATAGACCATCAGAAAATGGACTTCATATTGCTGATTTAGAAGATGGAATTACAGAAGAATAATTATATGTAGAGTTTCGAAAATTTGGATAGATTACCTTTGTTAAATTACATAGGTATATAATCTAACTATAATTAGATTTCCATTCATTGGAAAATCAAAGCATTTTGCTTTCATCTATTTCTCAACATAGGAAGAAGCAAGAAAGGCAAAAGAAGCCATGAATTACAAATAGCTTCTTAGAGAGCCTATGCGTATTACCTATATTTAGGAATATGATAAAGATGCAAATTTATTCTTCGCAGGATTTGAGTTGAATATAACACTCCAATAGCTTGAATAATTCTTTAGCAAATGGGGACAAGTAGTAAGTGTCAAATTATCAGTTGATCAAAATAAGAAGAGTAGAGGTATATTGAAATTCTTAAATAAATTCAGGTTATGGTTGGGTATAATATGAGAGGAAAGAGCAAGCAAATAATTTATTGACTGAGAGTTAATAAAATGAAGGAAAGGTTTAATATAATGAGAAGACATAAATTATTGTGAAGCGATTTGTAAAGAAGGGTACAAATGAACGTGAAGATAAGAGAAGTAACTTATATATTAAGAACTTCTGGACTTCATTGGATACATTTGATTTGGAAAACAATTAAGTTAGAGAATAATTGGTATATATTAATGAATTATATATGAAAAGGAAGGTGAAATGCGTGCAAAATTGAATGAATGGTTCAGCACTTATGGTTCAATAATTAGTATTTTGGTTAAAATTGATATCGAACGTAAAGCTCCATTTGCATTTGTGAGTTTCAGTAGACATCAAGATGCTAAAGAAGCTTAAAAAACATTAGGTACTACCTTAGGAACAAATGCATAAAAGGATCCATTAAATACTGGAAGAAAGATGTATGTAGGATGGGCATAAACAAAAACGGATAGAAAATAATTAAGAGATAATAATTTCTATTCAAAATATATTTATGCTGATCATTTAAATAGAAATGTTACAGAAGATATGATTAGATAAACATTAAAAGATGCTGGTTATGGTGATATTTGCATGGTATTATTCAATTATATTTTATATTAGATTAGATTGGAAAAGATGTAATAAGGATTCTAATAAATCATTAGAATTGGATATATTGTATTTGATCAAGCTTCAGATGCTAATAAATTGATCAAATCATTCAAAGAGAATGAAAAGTTTGATGAAATAAAGAAACTATTTGATCAAAATGTAGAATAAGCTGGTGGCAAATACTTTCAACATCTTTTCCCTCAATTATCCTAATAAAGAGGATAAAGAAGACCTAATTAAAGATAATCTCCAACAAGAAGAATGTATCAAATGCCTCCAGGTCCACCATAATATGGTCCTAGAATGCCATTCCCATTCCCTATGTAATAAAGAGTTCCAGGGGGTGGAATGAGAAGACCCTATTAATAATAATTCCCAAATCCTATGAGACAAGCACCCTTACTTCCTCCTCCTGTACAATAGATAAGTGAGTTGGCTCCAGTTTAAGCTGTTGCCTTCGATAAGAGATAAGATTTAGTTGAATTATTGGCTAATTTAGAAGCTTTCAAGGCCAAACCTGAGAATGAACAAGTCAAATAATTATAGTAATTCTTTTATTTTTATAATTTCTAGAATGATGTTGTATTATAGAATCAAAGCAAAACTATACTAAGATACAGAAGGTCAATGGAAGAAAGTAAGTGAAGTGCTTTCAGATCCTTCCAATTATACCATAGATGAAATACTCGATATGATTAAGAATGAAGATCAATTTAATGAATTAGTAGATGATGCTGTTGCTCAATTAAAAGAAGAAGCAGGTGATACTGTTGCTCAATAATAAAATTAATAAGATTGGTGATAAATTTAATATTTGTTCAAATATAAATATATTTCAATATGAAATCTATTCATATAATATTCTCATTTAAGATATCAAATATTTCTATTATCTAATTCAAATATTGATAATATATTAATAATAATCTCTATTTATTAATATAATCTAATTAAAATAAATTTAAAATTTCATTATTTTTAACTAATTATTTAATATTAACTTATTTTATGATTGCATTATATGTATATTTATGATAAAATGTAAATGTAACAAAATCAATTGGCACTTAATATAATATTATTTATTGGAATGAAAACCAACTTAATAAAGTATCCGACAGCTCCCATAACTACAAAACCAATAGCACATGATGTTGCAATTTTAATGTATTCTATTTTGTTATTGTACATTCATATACCTCTTTTATCTGGTTTAGTACATTTTCTAATAAATCTGTAACTCTCTTAACCAAAACTTTAGACATCCTACAATATTCCATTGATTCCATTTAAGGTTTCTTAACTCATTTTTAATTTATTATTGAAATCTCACATAATCATTTTGCAATTTTATATTCACACTATACGTGTTAAATTAATTTATATAATTAATATATAATTATATAATCATTGTGGAAATATGCGATTGTCAATCATATTTCTATTAACGAATTTCTGTTCTCTATATTGAGTTGGGATTGGTTCAATTGGATTCTTATAAAATTAACCTAAAAGAAAAATCATTTAATATATCATACCATATCCTTTATATTGAGCATCATCCAATTCTTTTCTTTTATTTTAAATTCTACTATTTTATCTATTATTATTAATGTTTTCAGTCTCTTATATATCTGTATTAAAAATATTTGAAGTTTTATTCTTCATCGAAGTAACTTTATGTTATTACACTATATGATTATAATAATAATATATAATACATTAACTAAATTAACTAAGAGCATCATCCTATTATTATTATTATTATTATTATTATAATTAGGGTTCTTGAACTCTTTGATGAGTATAAGCATTCTCATAAGCAATACCTGTGATAGGATTATATTAGGCAATTGGTGGTTTACCATTGTACTATTATTTACTACCACTATTTCCTTATTTGTACTTGATTTATATATTATAAAAAGATACTTTTGAATATAATTCTTCATCATCATTTGGTTATTGATAATGATCATATTTATTTGATTATTGTAACAATTATGGTTATTCATATGTGTTAGGATTATTATTATTTGAATATTATTTTCCATTATTATAATTATCTAAAGCATCCTAGTAATATTAATCTGGTTGCTTATACAAGGCAGCTAATTCTTATTTTTTGTTCATTTCTTGAATGTATAACTACTTCATATACTCTTCATCTTGATTTTACTAATTATGTAATAGAATACTTCTACAACTGGTACATATGTTTATGCTTGATATGAGGGTATGTATGAATTTCTTTGATCTTGACCGACTTTTCCTGCAATTTTGGAGTCGCCCTTTCTGGTTTAATCTATATCCCATCCTATTTTGAATCCTTATCTGGTATTTGAGTTATCTAACAATATTAATAAATAATACCATTGTATGTTCTGATAGAGTTTTTTTTATCTCCATCGTAAAATACTTAATTTTTTGGTGCTCCTCTAGACTAATAAAGACTTATATAATTTTAAAACCATTGCTAATTCTTCTGTGTTTTGAAATTTAATTAATATTAATAATCTAATAATTGATATTAAAATTCAAATATATGTCGTTAATTATAAATAATAGATTCAAATATCATAAGATCATTAATCATTTGATTTATTAATTTATAGTTTTTAATTCAATATTAATTTTAGCAGTGGTTTAGATTTCTGATAATCGATTTCTCAAATTGATATCATCAGCCCAATCAGTATCATTTCTAAGATTGTTAATTCAATTTTATTTACTTTTAAAAATTAACATGCAATTCTTTCAATTCTGACCAAGACTTTATTGAAAACAACATCACAGTAACTGAATTCCCAGTACCTTGAACATTTTCAAGACTTAAAAACAATCTCTGTAATTCTTTCAATTTACATAAACCTTTAAATAAAGTATTCACACCTTCATCTCCTAAAGGATTACTAATTATTTATTAAAAATATATTACTGATCAAGTATTAGATTCACTATTTCTAACTAAGTTGCTTAACCAAAACCATTATACAATAATTCCATACCATCTAATCCTATTTAATTTGATCTAAAATTTAGATTGATATTTCTTAATTTCTTTTGAGTTGCCAAAAAACGATTAACATATCTCAATCCAAAAGAAGTGCAAGATACACTAAATATTTATATTAATATTTACTTCTCAATCCAAAACTTTAATTCTCTCAATGATTATTACATTTCATGAAATGATTTTGCTAAAAATCTTACACCATCATCTTCTATACGATTTTTGGATAAATCAATTACTAATGTACTTAATTTCTATAATTTAGGTAATACAAAACCAAGAGATTCACATCCCTTTTTTGTTATTTAATTATTCCATAATGTCAAATTTAAATGCTTTAATTTATCACATTTAGATAATCCTTTAGCAAATTCCTCTACACCTAAATCTTTTATTTATGAACCCCAAAGTACCAATTCACAATTCTCTAATTCAGATATACTTTCTCCAAGATCATAAAAACCTTCATTATGCATAGGATTACTGATTTTAGAAAACATAAAAATACTTTGAAAAATTTATAGCTAAATTAGTTAGGAGTGGTAATTTTTTCAAAGATTGATTTAACAATTTAGAAAGTACTTAATTCATATAATTACTTTCAAGATTTAAATCAAGTTTTTTTAGTTTTGGCATAGCACATATAACCATAAAAAATGCCTCGCAACATTCCATTGGTAAATGATTTCTTAATTAATTTAGAACTTATACAATCCGAAATCTAATTTTAATTCTTCCATCTGAATTAATCCTTCTAAAAGAGGTAATGAATTATTAATCCCTTCATCTGATAATTGATTATTAGATATTTCTAAAGTCAATCTTTTCAAATCACTCATTCTCATTATTGCCTTTGTTAAAAATAACAATCCCAAATTTCCTAATTTATTACTTATTAATATATTAAAACATTTATACTTCCATAATTATAATTTTAATTCTTTCAATTTTTAAGCTCTACTTAGAATTTTTTCAATTGGTGCAATAGTTCTAACATTTAAACAACTCATTTCTAATTTTATTTGTAATGTAATCATTTAAAAATTTTTAATTTGTTAAGCTATAGTTTCTAAGAATTTAAGTAATTCATCTTATGATTTATTTTACATTCCATTTAGATCTAATTATACATCTTCCTTATTTTTAATATCTAATTAAAAATCTTCCAAATTATTTATAGATTATAAATGTTTATGGTTGATTTTAGCAGGCTATTTTTAAATGATAATCATTTACAGATTTAACTTCTAAATATGATCTTTCTTCTATAATTTAACTTAATTAAGAAAAATCATATCTTTAATCAGAAGATATTTCTAACATTAACTTTAAAATTTTAGAAACCCCTTTGATTCTAGGATATAATTCTTTGACTTTCTTTCTTTATTCTTTTAAATAATTCTACAACTTTGTGTCATCATCAAAAAGCTCTTCTTTTTACTAATATTATAATTATTTGATATTACCTGTTTAGTAATGTTATGAGTGGTCGCAAAAAATAGAAAAACCAATCCAAGAGAGAAAACATCACTTTTATAAGGATTGTATTTAGCCTAAGGCTTTCTCCTTTTAAATGCTCTGTAGACTTCTGGTGATTGATATGTGACTGTACCACCAATGGTTCTTGATCTTGACTCTTCATCTATAATTTCAGTACCAAAACCAACCTAGTATTATAGAAAGGTTTATACATCACAAACTTTAAACAAGAGATTCTCATCATTGATAAGAATAATATTCTCTGGTTTAATATCTCTATGGGCTATTTTAATTTCTTAAAGATGTGAATGTGCTCTGATCATTGTTACAAAGAAATCTGCTACTTCATACTCTAGAAATCTGAAATCCGGATCCGATTACTTTTTGGATTAGATGTATTGCTATAAGTTAGTGATGCCTAATTCCATGACAATACAGCCGAAGGTAATGGACTGCATTTAAGAGATAAATGAGTACTTTATCCTGCGTAGTCACCTTCTCATAATAGAAGCTTTCCTCAAAGGATACTATATTTGGATGTGGATAAGCCTTAATTTTTTGTAAGATCTAAATTTCTTATTAAAACTTCTCTCTCAATTATGCATCAATCAAGACTTGTTTAATACAACATTTTTGTTTGGTCAATAGATTTTCAGCCAAGTAAACTTCATTCCAAGTCTTGGCAATAATACTTATATATCGATATTCTGGGTTTATATTACCAGTCATCATATTTTTTTTAATTATTAAAATATTATAATTTGTAACATTGATCATAAATGTTTCCTGGTCAAATCTGATCTAGATTCATCTTTTATTTGAAGATTATATAATAATCACTCATAAACTAAAATACAAGAAAATTCTATTTAACATTCATAAATATCATTTAATAATCCAATTAATTGATATTAATGATATTACATAAAAATTTAAGGATTATTACAATAAAGTTGTTAATTTTAAATGTATATATTAATTGATAAAATTCAGAATTCATAAAAAATAATCTGGATTCTAATTCCAAATCTTTGTTTATGCATTCTTCATTTAATTCTCACTTGCTTAAAATATTTTAGCTCTCATTTCCAACTTATCACTAACTTCACATACTGCTCCTGAATTACCACATCTATAACAATAATTAGGAGCAGAAAATATTGTTTTTAATTAATCTTTGTATATACTACGATATCCTTCCATTATTACTTAATGTGCTCTAAGTACACAACTTAAATTATTTGTTTATAAGAATTATGTAAAAACATCTTAACCAAATTCTTTACCTACTCCTCTTTTACTTTCACCAAATCCTTTTAATTCTTATTCATTTGGATCATTCCAAAGTAATTCACACATCTCACCATTATCTGGAATCTCTGATAATCTATTTAATGCTCTTACCTAATATATTTTATAACAATAATATTATACATCATCTAATAATTTAGCATCTTAAGCTATTCCACCATGTACACACCATATTTTCTCATCAATTAATGCAGATAATGGCATATAATCAAAAGATTCAGTTAAATATCTCCAAATATTTAAGGAACCATATTTCCTCATAGCTTCATCATATAATCCAAATGTTTAAGTTAGAATTCTAGATTCATGATTACCTCTTAATAAAGTAATTTTATCAGGATTCTTAATTTTTAATGCATAAAGTAAACAAATCGATTCTATACTGTGAAATCCTCTATTAACATAATCACCTAAGAACAGATAATTTTAGTCTCCAACTTCTCCTGATTGTTTGAAAATCTCAAATAAATCATATAATTATCCATGAATATCTCCTACTACAATAACTGGAGGATCTATTCTTTAAACATTTCCTTCTTCAATAAAGATTTCTCTTATTTTAGCACACAATTATTTTACATCTTTCTCTTTCAATAACTCTCCATTCTTCAATTTCTCAATAGACTTGTCTAAATCAGTTTGCATTATTTTAATATATATTTATTTATATATGAAATTCTCTATATAGACAATCAATTAGTTGGTTTGTCTTCAATGGCTTTTTATTGACTTGATTCCCATGTTAATCTTCTAATTAATAATCTTCCCTATAAAGTTGCATTAAACAAATGCATGCAAAATAGGATATAACTTTGTGGAGATATTCTAAGTGCCCATCTCATAAACAAAGAAGAATAACCTAATTTTAATTATAATTCTTACAAACTAAAACACATTGCATCTCCTTGCTGATTTTTGCAGGATCTCTATTCCAATCATATAATGCTTGAATTGGGAAAAACCAATTACAAACTGGAGCCCAAAAATGTGTAGTTTTAGGCCCTGTTGAAGAGTGCACCCAAGTCCAAAATATTCCTGATGCTTTACTAGCCATTCGATTATATTATTATTAATATTAAATTCAAATCCAACCTCCTTATTAACCATCATAATATCTATATTAGACATAATTAAAAAGATCTTAGACGCATTATTGGATTAGAAGGTCTTAAGACATATACCAAAATTATTATCATGTAATTGATATCCTTTAAAAGATGTGTGTATCTTTTTATAGAAAGTATTTATAATAATTTATTTCATAATTATTATAAATATAAGATACTAACGTAAATTATAATAATACATATTTTATAATAAATAATTTATTGTATTTGATCAAAATATAAACTAATAATTGAGTCTAATCATCTTATTTATCTACATTTCTTATTATTCAAAAGCAATTGATTAACTTAAATTCTTGTAATTTTATATGTATTTTATATGTATTTCATAAATCCATAATTATTCATAATCAACTAATTATTAAATATTAAGTCTTAAACATTGTTTGTTTAAAACTAAAGTTTTATTGTTTTTTTCAATAATAAATGAGTCATATGATTCATAATTATTATAGATCATTTTTACTTTTTATGTATTCAGACATTTAATAATTTAAATTATAATTCAATGAATTAAGGAGAACATCTGAATAAATAAGAAGATGATCAAAAATTTACAGATGGGGATCAAACATTTATTAATGAATAGACAGATGATGATAAACGATTCTCCAATACTGTTGTGGATAACAAAGAATAGAGTGGATTGGAAGCCTTATTGGTATATTTGAATATAAATTGAAATAGGAATTAGACAATCGAAATAAATAAGAGTTTTTAAGTTCAGAAGAGAAAAGTCTCTTTCAAGAATTCATTGTTATATGTTAAATTAGAAAAGACAAATATATGAGTGAACAAGATCCACATCTTTAGTTTTTAATGGATAAAGCAGTGTCCAAAGGTGTACAAAAGATTTTAAAAGCTTAGAAGATTTAAGATAAGGAACAATGGCAAGTATGCATTAATTACCATATTAGAAAGAGCAATAACGATTGATGAGACTATTCTATTCAGATATGAATATTGGTTTCATTACATCAACAGGGTAACTCAAATCTACAGTATTCATCTATCTTCATCAATCTATAGCAAGTTATTTAGATAATCGCTAAATCAATTTGAATTTTAACAAAGAGGATCTAAAAATTATAGCCAATTATTTTTCAATTGATGAACGCAATAAATCTAGTAAATCAAGTCCTGAATTTACATCACCTATACTCACTAAAGAGAAATCAGAAAAAGAATAATTTAAATAAAATAGTGCAGGTTCAAAGACTATATCTCAAAATGAAGGAGAAGTTGAAAATTAATTAAAAAGAAGTTTACCTCTATGTCATCAAAGTAATTGGCTTAAATAAGAATTTATTAAAAAGGATTACTTTAAAAAGTAATTCCTCATTCTTCAAAAAACAAATGAAAATGAACTCAAATCTGGAGTTCAAATCTTCTTTGTTTATAGAATAAAGGATGATCAGATTTATGCAGTAAAGAAAGTATAATCATTTATATCTATGTAGTCTTAATTAGCTTCAAATGTTATTTCCTTTTTTGATGTGTTTTCAACAGTAAACCTATCAGAAATTACAAATGATTAAAGAAAAATAAGAGAAGCCAAAATACTATCTAAACTAAACCATCCAAATGTTTTAACTTTATATGATTGGTGGATTGAAGAAGAAGAATCTGGCTATTCACTTTACTTAATGTCTGAATACTGTTCTTATCCTGGACTTAAACATCAAACCAATGATCTACTCAATTATGCTTATTATTATCTAAATCCTATGAATTGTAAAGAAAAAATAGAACAAATCAAAACAATCATGTTGTAAATCATGGATGGTTTAGAATACATACACAAACGAGGAATTGTACATAGAGATTTAAAACCAGAAAATATTTTTGTTACTTATGGAATCGATTGCCAACTATAAGTTATGTTGGCTGATTTTGATTAAGGAAAAGATGTTAGAGAATCTAAACTCTCTATTATTACAGATGAAAAACTAAATGATTAAGATCTTAATTCTATTAAATCAAGAAATACTATTAATTCAGGCACTAGTGGTTACGCTACAGCTAATTCTTAGATTAACAAAGAATATGATAAAATGGATGAGTTCTATGCTTTGGGTGTTACTCTACTTCATTTGATATTGGCTTTCCCTGGAGAACCCAAAAATCGCAATCTATACACTAATACATTTGCCATTAGTGATATTTCAGACGTCCTCCTCTTATTTGATAGTTGGGCTGTTAAATTAGTACAAAACAGACATCCAGAATTCAACTTCTAATAATATTTTCATCTTATGGAACTTGCAAAGGCACTTCTTGATAAAAAAGTCAAGGAACATGATCACATAAGAAAAATCATACAAAGTTGGTGAATTGTTGTGTATTATAATTCATCTTTAGATTTATATTAGTATGTTTATATAAATCTGAATTAATAATTATTCTACTAATTTTCATTAATACAATCTTTTTTATAATTAAATATATATAATTTAATAACCCAAAAATAAATTGTATTTTTTATCATAATACATATAACCCTTACATACATTTTACCCTTGATTTTATTAGTCATTATTAGATATAAGTTTTGTAATTAAATTTGAAAATATCATATTCACAATATAAAAGATTTCTATTAATAACAGGTCTGTTACTAAAATTTTGATTCTTGGTATATTCTAAAATTATATTTTTTAATCAATCAAATTCTTTAAAGATTTTAATAAAATTAATAGATTACTTCTATTTAATGAAATAATTTGATAAAATATTTAGATTTGAATTTTTAAATAATTTTCCATCTTCTCTTAATAAATTTATCATTTTTAAATTGAATACTTTCGTATCCAATAATCTTATGAGATTTTTGAGAAATCTCAACAATTTTATTGATTGTTTGAAAATGAAAAATTCTTGTATATTTAGATTTGTAAATTTAAACTTTTTGATTATGTTATTATGAGATTCTAATTCAAAATAGAAATATTAAGATTAAGTTAAAATGATTAATTAATATATATAAATTTTAATGTGAATTGTTATTTAATTTTAAATCTGAAATTGAGAATAAAAATTATAATTTTTAATATTTTAAAATTAACCAGAATTCTCAATTATATTAGAATAATGTTCTTATATGATAATATGATTGAAATAGCATAAAATTGAAGGTTGAAATCTTTTTCTTATTTCAAAACACATTAATTATTGTTAATTCAAGATTAGTGTCCAAAAATTCTGATTCATTAAATATATAATAAATTATATGACGCCAAACTAATTAAAAATGCTACTATGCGTATTTTAAGTAGGTTTCATATCATGTGGACTTTATTTCTATATATTCTGGAAGAAATTAGATCATGTAAAGATTACTTCTTTAAATTTCAGAAACCTTATTATGAATAGCTAGCTTTTGTATATGGGTTAGTTTTAGGATTCACAGAATTATTAGTAGCAATAATTCTATTCATCCTAATTAAAACTAGAGTTTAAATCACATCCCTGGGATAGATTGGTCGTTATATTAGACAGAACTGCTACAAAGAATATTATGCATTAATTATAATAAATTTGGTATAGAACTTAATAATTAGGCATTTCTTATCACCTTCAACATAATAACCATAGTGGATTAAGAATCAGTAAGTTTTATGAATATTTAATCTCTCCACTTTATAGCAGCATATTATACTCAATCAGTTCTTTTTGCATTATTTTCAAATGACCTATTAAAGAGAAGAGCCTTGATTCCTAATGAATATATGTTTGAAAGAGAAGGAATATATCGATGTGCATACGAAGTTCTATATTACGTAATGTGTTTATTCATTGTATTAAGTAAATATGTAAATATACAACATTGATAGGTTATTTTTTGGTTACCCATTTTGAAAAATTACCAGAACCAAATTAAACATTATGTTAATTGATCATATTCACATTACTCTACTTATTTTATTCAATAACTAAATTGGGTATCTTGATAAAAATATTTTTAATTATAACAACAACTAGATTACTTTATTCAGCAATAAATTCAATTAAAGACTTAAAGGATGATTAACAAAAAGGTTGTTAGATTACATTGGTTGTGATTATAATACTATTTTTGATGAGAATGGTTTAATAAAGTATAATTGGTATTTTAAGAGCAAGAGAATAATATTTACATTAAACATAACATCAAACACCTGATATATTGAGTGCATTAAATTTATTACCACCAAGAGATCCTTATGTAAGACCATAAATGTAGATAATAAGTGAGGAATAAATAGAAATGATGCCATAATAAAAATTCAAAATGGAAAATGAATTTGTATGTTCAATATGTGATATGAATCTATTAAAGAATGAAATGGTAATGAAATTAAATTGTTCGCATATTTTTCATTCAGAATGTCTAAAACCATGGATTAGAATAAAGAATTCTTGTCCTAATTGCAGATAACAAGTGTTGCGTTAATCTAATTAATAAGAATTATAAGAACATCCTTAATAATTATAATAATAATAAATTTAAAATGATTAAATAGATGCACCATTAGAAATACCTTAGAGATAATTGGAAATATAAGAATGAGTTTCTTTACATTAATTTATTTTTTATTATAATACTTAAATCTTTCTTTGGCAATAATATAATAAAATAAATTTAAAATTCTTTTGTAAATACAATTACATATTAATTTTGAATATTATTTATATTAATTCTTTTAAATTAAGAAAAATGACACAAAATATTGATGTCAATTTTATATTATTTTGATAGGTACTTATGCTAATGACATTTTAATTAACTATAATAAGATATTAAGGAGCTATTAGACATATTTTTTTTAATTCATTAATTAAATTATATCCATCTGAATGATTTGTGTGAGACATCACACTTTTTTAAACTAAAAATATGGAATCTTTTATTTAGACAATCTCTTAATGATTGGAAAAGTATATATCTATTTAAATCTTAGTCATAAAGAAATCCAAAATATCTTATTCCTTAAAATATTGAAAAAGTTATTATTTGGTGTATCAATGATAATCAATAATTATAAGGATTTGAAATATTTGTCAATGGAAAGAAGAAATGGTTTGATATGTCTCACCATCAAACTAAGTAATTGATGCAAATTTTGAAAGGAAAATTTCTTTACAAAAATATGTTTTCATTTTATCAATTTTAATACATTATAGGAGTGGGAAACTTTAGTAAAGTAAAATTTTAATATTCATATTAGGTAATCAAAGTATTCAACATTATAGAAAAAGAGTTCTATGCTTGTAAAGTACTTAAGTTAGCTTAATTTGATGTATCCAATATATTTTATATGAATTCATAGGATTTTAAAAACGAACTTTCTATACTTCTATCTTTAGATCATCCAAATATCATCAAAGTCAAAGAAGTTTATCTTGAAGACAAGTAGATTTGGTTAATTACAGAATTAATAGAAGGAGGAACTCTAAAAGAATATTTATAGAAAATAATTGAAATAACTCAATTTGAAGTTTATATAATTATGAAAGTAATAAAATTAATTAATTAATTTTAGCAAATATTAAATATTGTTTAATATTTACATTCCAAAGGATATATCCATAGAGATATCAAACCAGAAAATATATTATTAAGTTAATATCATGATCCATCCAAATTATACATCATAGATTTTGGATTGACAGCAAAAAAAGAGGATGTTGCTATTAGATACCCAAATTGTGGTACTCCTGGTTATATTGCACCTGAAGTTATTAATTTCGATCCTAATCACCCATATGATGAATAAAGTGATATATTTAGTTGTGGAGTCTTATTACATAAAATGTATTCATTTTCTTATAATTTTTTAGATTATATGGGATAGATCTATTTGATGGATCTTTTTATAGTGAAGTCTACTACTAGAATCAATAATTTCGTTTAGAATAAGAATAATTCGAAAATAATAAGTTTGAACCGCTCCTCAAAGGAATGTTGAGAGAGAATCCAAGCACTCGATTAACTGCTACTCAAGCTTTGGAAATGTTAGAATAAATATTTGTAACCAAAAATGAAGATTACAAAGTGAATGATACAGATTCTGGAATTCAATAACTTAAGACACTCTCTATTTAAACAATGAAAAGACTTGAGAATTGACACCCATATTGATTTCAATATATGTTCTCATTAAATATATAAATCAATAGAAAATAATGAAATCATTAAGTTTATCTAAATTTAAGAAGTTATTAGATTTTCCAATTATGGAATGATCCTTTATTTTTATCATCTATATTAAAGACAAAGAATAAGAATAAGAATAAGAAAGTTAATAAAATAAAAAACATTATACAACCTAATAATATAAAAAAAAATTATAATAAATCTATTAATATATTCACAATTTAATTATGAATAAAATATATCAAAGGATAATTGTTAAAGAAGCATTATACTAATATCATGAATAAATTAATCAAATCTAATTAAATTACAATATCATTAATACATATCACAATGTTTATTAATTTGAAATAAGATCTTAATATAATTATTTCTGAATATTAATACTCCAACTATTATGAATAGTTAAAATTTATTTGTATTTTCTTTAAAGTTACCTAAAATTATAAGTATTCTAATAAAGCCTAAAACATAATATTTAATATTTAAGCTTAATTTATTATCATTACTAATTAATTTCGATAATTACAATAGTATTTCTCTTGTTCGTACCAATATAAAAATATAAATAATACAATTTCTAATCTGAAAAAACGCAGTCGGATATCTAATTGTTAATTGATATTTAAATTTCAATTTAATTATGATTTGCATTCGTAAACATGCTCTTATAGATTAACATTATGTCTTATTTATTCAAGATGATAATATATGCATAGGAAAGGTACTTAATAAAATTTATTCTAGAATTAAATAAATCCTAAGTATGTTTTGCCTATAAATTTGTAGTCAAAACTTGAATGGAGTTTTGACAAAGAACTATGCCAATTTAATGGATTTATTATTGAATGGAAAAATTAGAAAAAACTATTTCACATGTCAGATGAAAATTGCAAAAAGCTGAAATCTCATATTGATGGTAAAATACTTTATAATGAAATAAATTCATAATATTTTCCTGTTTAAATAGTAGGGGAAGGGACTTTTGGGAAAGTAAGTCTGTAAAATTAATTTCACTAGGTTATTAAAGTGGTTAGCCTATTAGATGGAAAAGAATATGCATGCAAAGTAATGAAGTTGGATAAAAAATTTTCAAAAAACGTAATTAAAAAAAAATATAAAATAGGACATAATTTATGAATTGATGACTATGTAATCATTGAACCATGAAAATATAATTAAAATAAAGGAGGTTTATTGTTCATAATCTCATTTCTTCATTATTATGGAATATTGTAGAGGAGGAACTCTTAGAGAACATTTAGCTTATAGAACATTAAATTAGGATTAAATAGTTATAATAATGAAAGTAATTTAAAATATTTATCATATTTAGTAAATTTTGAATGCAGTAATCTACATGAATTCAAAAGGATACATTCATAGAGATATAAAACCTGACAATATATTATTAAGGGAATAAAATGATGTATCAAATATACTTGTATGTGATTTTGGATTTGCAGCAAAAGTTGAAGATATAGTAACAAAACATCCAAATTGTGGTACTCCTGGTTATATGGCTCCTGAAGTTATAAAATATGATTAAACAAATCCATATAATGAACAATGTGATGTCTTCAGTTGTGGATCTTTATTATATTCAATGTAAATGAAGTTAATTAAATATTTAGATTGACTGGATATAATCTTGAAATGTAAAGTGAAGAAAGTGAAATCTATAATATAGAGGCTTTAGTTTATGAAGAGAAATAATTAACTTAATGCAATAATCAATTCAAAAATATTCTTTTCAAAATGTTAGACCCAAGTCCTCATTAAAGGATAACTGCAAAGGATGCTCAAAAATACTTTGATAATTTTGATTCCTTTATTTTAGAAGAACTCAATTCTCTAGATGTAATTCAATAAGTTAAGCACATCTATATTTAAAAACATTAGTTCCACTCATTTTGATTCTCCTTTATTTATGTTATTCGAGTTATTATTATTTTTATAAATGGATATAGTGTGTTGGTTTAAATCAAATAAATCACAAATATTAGATATTATTATTTATAAGATTTTATCAGCAAAATAATTATATACCCTCATACTTATCATCATGTTGTGTTATCGTAAACACTCTCTATTTACCAAAAAATATCATATCTTCAAATATGACAATGAAATTCACTTAGGAGAAGTAAAATTTTATTTAAGTTTTAGACCACTACTAAAATAAAATATACTATCAATCTTACTCCTTAAACTATGATTGATTGGTCAATTAATCATTAAACCAAATAACTCAATGGATTTTGGTTAATCTGGAAAAAACAATAGAAGTTCTTCTTGATGGATGCAACAACTTGTAATTTGTTCAAATAAACTCTTAATGGCATTGTGACCTATGGAAAACACTAAATTCTTTATGAACCCATCCAATCATTATTACATAGTTCTTTTGGTTCTGTAATTATTTCTATATTTCATAGAAATAATAGCTTGTAAAAATGAAATATCTTAATTCAAGAGATTCATATATGTGTAAAACCATTTAAAAATCTCTACAATATACTGATGATGTAAAATAATAAATAATAACCTAGGATTTCTATTATCAAATTGAAATCCTTTAATCATTAAATCATACAAACATATTAAAGTTAAAAGAAGTATATAATAGCAATAAGAATTATCATTTTGTCTTTGATTTCCCTGAAGGAGGTTCCTTGGCAGATCTAATTAAAACAAAATAATTATAATTTAAAGAAGTGTAGTTAATAATTAGAGTAAATTTTATAATTACTCTAGTAATTGATATCAACCATCTCCTTTATTCATTCAAAAGGCTATGTTCATAGAAACTTAAAACCAGAACATATATTCTTTAAGGAATCAAATAATTTAGAAAGTCTACTCATTTCAGAATTTGAATTGGGATGCAGACTAGTTGATTTCCAAAATAAGTAATTAATTTCGTTTTTACTACTTTTAGACATCCTAATTGTAGAGTTCATGGTTACACTGCACCTGAAATTAAATCCAAAATATTTACATAAAAATGTGATGTCTTTAGTTGTGGTGTCATTTTATACAAAATGTATCTTCTTTTTATTTAAATATAGTTTAACTAGAAAAGATTTGTTTGATCATGAATCAATCACTTATGATGAAAAAATGATGTTACATTTGATCAATCAATCAGACATAGATCCATAATACTAGAATTTACTAAGAAAAATGCTTCAATTCAATCCAGAACTGAGGGCAACGGCAGATCAATGTTTAACCATAATTGATGCAATCTTAGAAAGAACTCCTACATTCTCTAATTTTCTCGATAGGTTCAATTTAGATATTATTTATCTAATATATTTGTGATTATTTATTTATTTTTTTTAATAATCATAAATTTTATTTTATCAATACTAATGGCATAAATGATGAAATCATTTCAATTAATTTGATTGAGGATTAAGATGAACTAACTGAAAATCATGATTTTATACAAAAATTGCCCATAATTCAGATTAATAAAAGAATTGAAATGTCTTATTGATTGTATATAATTTTTGTTATATAATAACTTTCAATTTTCATAACAATATTCAATAAAAACATATTTATAATAACGCTAATTATTGATAATACTTCTATTTTGTTATTGATTGATTTTAGACTTTTATTGTGTTAATTATATTAAAAAATACATCTATCTTGTTATTTCTAGCATTTATAATATTTTTGACATCTAAAAATATATTCTAATTATGAATAAACCATCTTAATGAAATAGATTTGATTAATTTAGAAAAATCATAACTAATTATTTCAAACATTTCAATTTTCAAAGATACTATAACATCTCAAATTTTCTTAAGAAGTTTTAGATTCATTTTCTTCAAATTACTATTCTATATTTTAATAAGTCACTAGAAACATTAAAATACTATTTTGTTTAGTATTTTCAACATTTTTCAATTTTCATCTTCTTTTATTATAGATTATAAGCTACTATTATTATATATTAACTATAATCGGTTTACAAAGTAGTATTTTATTATTTTCTATATTTTTTTATTATTAATTTTTCAATAGATCATGAAACTATTATATTTAATTAATGTGTTATTTACTTACTATCTGATTTTATTCTTAAACCTTTATGATGTCTTTATTTATGTTTCTTAAAAACTTACATTTGTTTCATTCTGTTATTCCTTTTTACAAACTCTCTTTTCAGAAAATAAAACCGAAGAGCCTTGTATATTATTGATTGAGAAAAGAGAATGAATAGAATTGGAATTATAAGAAACTATAGTAATAAAATATGTATTTATTATAAAAATTGAATTGTAAAATCTTCAGACTAATACTTTATCAACTCTTTTATATTCAACAGAAATATTTGAAGTTATCAATATTTTTAAAGTTATTTTATAATATAGAATTTTGTTTATTTACATATAAATTTTAGAAATTTGACATCTTAAGGTATTTAGTAGTTGGAATGATTAATTGTAAGTTGCAAACCTAGTGGATGTGTTTTAGGAGTCACAAAGTCTATTTTATTATGATAAAATTAATTAAATATAAATAAAAGTTATTCTTATGTAGGATTGCAATTCTAAATAAATTAACAATATAAAGACAAAATTGTTTAAATGATGTTATATTAAGAAGCATAACATAATGGTAATACTTTATTAATTCTGGTATTATTATGTAAATATTAATGGAATAATAATGACATCTATTGATCTAAATTAGATGCTTAATCACAAATTTTATGATTAGTAGAGTGAAATGATCAATCTATAAATTAAGTTAAAAAATCTAATCTTATTTTTATTGTTAATTTAATGGGAAGTACTTGCTGCCATAAATAACCACAGCCAATCTCATCTTAAGGTAAACTATTAATATTATCTTAAGCAGAACTAGTTTGTGATAATAGCAATCTTTCTATAATTAAAAAGTCTAATCATAAAGAAGAAAGTCCAGGCGAACCACCATCAAGATTGCCATCTTAAAGTTTTCCTATTCCTTAGGTGTATGAGGAAGTATCCGCACTAAATTAGATGAAAAATCAAGTACCTGCCTTAAAATTCAGCAATACTAAAGGAACTTTTAAGGATGAGAGACTTTTGAAGGATTCGAAGGAGTCTTTTGAGCCTTCAGAAAAATCAGATTAAGTAGAAGAAAGAAATTAAAACCTTGGAGTAAAATAGGCTGAGGTAGAATAAACTCCTATAGAAAAAATCGTTTAAGCAGAAAAATTGGAGAAATAAAATGAAGCATAGTAAAAGCAATAATAAGATACGGGAACTAAAAAATCTCCTGCTGCTTCTTCAAAAACAGTTCCTCGTAATCCAATGGATCATAGTCCAAGCAGAAAATATAGTTAGGCTTCTGTTGGTTCAGTGTCTGTAAAATTTGGAGTGGAATTATTCGTAAATTTAAAAAAACAATCAATAACAAAAGTGTATACTTTAGGTTAGGTTTTGGGCTAAGGTGCATTCGGAAAGGTTTGGAAGGTAACACATAAAACTACAGGTATGAAATTAAAATAAATTGTGAGGTTTAATTAGAGCAATGAAACAAATTCGAAAGTCAGAATTAATTAAAGAGGATGAATAAAAGATGTTTTCAGAGATGAACCTATTAAAAAATCTTGATCATCCCCATATTGTTAAATTATATGAATTGTACTAAGATTCTAATAATTATTATTTAATAACAGAGTATAATTTGTATATAAATTAGATATTTATGTGGAGGAGAATTGTTTGAAAGAATTAAGAAAATGAATTAATTTAGCGAGAGAAGAGCTAGCGATTTAATGAGATAAATATTGATGGCAGTAGTGTATTGTCATGAATAAAAAATTGTTCATAGAGATTTGAAACCAGAGAATGTTCTCTTCTCTGGTACCGAACCAGAAGCTTTACTTAAAATTATTGATTTTGGATGCTCAAGAAAATTTAATTCCCAAAAGAACATGACTAAAAGACTAGGAACAGTAATTTTATACAATTTAATATCAAGCCATATTACATAGCTCCAGAAGTTTTAAATCACAATTATAATGAGAAATGTGATGTATGGTCATGTGGTGTCATTTTATACATTTTATTATGTGGGTATCCTCCATTTACAGGAAAAAATGAGAACGAAATATTTGAAAAGGTGAAGACAGGCAAATTCAAATTTCCAAGTATATTCTACATGTTGATTTTGAATAGTTGAAGAATGGGATTCAATAAGTAGAGAAGCAAAGAATTTAATTCAAAGAATGCTATAAGTAGATGTGAATTCAAGATATTCAGCATCATAGGCATTGAATGACCCTTGGATTCAAAAGCATGCTCCTAATACTTAAATTAATAAAAAAGTACTTGAGAATCTTGCATAATTCTAAGCCAAGAGTGAATTTCGATCTGCAATCGTGTAATATATAATTAGTCAAATGACAACCAACAAAGAATTGGAAGATCTTTAAAAGACATTTCAATCTCTAGATAAGAATAAAGATGGAGTATTAAATAAAACAGAATTAGTAGAAGGATACACTAAGATTTTAAAAAGCAAAGAGCAGGCTGAAGAATATGTTGAAAAGATTATTTCAAAGATCGATAAGAATTAATCAGGTGTAATCGAATTTAATGAATTTTTGATGGCTGCCATAAATGAAGAAAAGATAATTCCAATAAAAAAGGTTGAATAAGCATTTAAGATTTTTGATTCAGATGGAGATGGATTCATAAGCAAGTAAGAAATAGAAGAAGTTATGGGTGAATTAAATGCTGATGTTTGGAAGCTATTTTTGGATGAAACAGATGGAAACAATGATGGCAGGATATCCTATGAAGAATTCTCAAAATTAATACTGAGCAAATGAATATATTCTGTTTTTTATAATACTTCTTATTTACATTTAATTATAGCTTATTAAAAAAATCTATGAAGCTTCAAGATAATTCAAAAAAAGTATTGATCAAAGATTCAATGAACTGACTATTCCAAAACTAATTTATCCTCTTCAGCATATTCTATATCCATAAATTAAAATTGTTAAGATATATTTGATACATAATCTAGAGATCTATATTCACTCCTACTAATGTTACTAATCAAATCCTCAAGAGTTTTTATAGTTATTGGTTTTACATATACTTCTCTCATTCCAGATTCTAATAATCTATTTATTTCATCCTCTCCAGAAAATCCTGTAAGTCCAAATATTGGAATGGGTGTAATGTTTTTATCTTTGCAAATCTAAGTGATATATTTAGTAGCTTCTTCACCATTCATAATTGGCATTTAATAATCCATTATTATACCTTTATATCCTTTACATTTATGATCTTAAAATTATTCAACCATTTTTTCTAATAATTGGATACAATGTTTACCATTTTCTGCCTTAACTACTTAATGTTATAATTTCTTTAACAGTGATTCTAAAACTATTAAATTATAAGGTTCATCATCTACAATCATAAATGTATTTTCACATTAACATAAGTTCTTTGTGTGAATTTAAGCAACAGTCGACCAAGGACTCAACTTTAAATTAAAATTCTGAAATGAATGAACAATCCCTTCATTTTCTACACTTGATTCTTTGAGTATCAACTCACTAGAGAAGTTTTCTCCTGAAATTAGTTTTATCTTTATATGCATTTAAATAATAGTGCCCTTATCAATATCTGAATCTATTGAAATGTAATTTCCATTTTCATCTTTACCTGACACATTTTTTATTAACTAATTAGAAGCTCTTAAACCAAGCATCATCCCAGAAGATGCATCATTAGAATTTCTCTCAACTTAAAAGTCTTCCCCATTTAACAAAGATCGAATATATTCCAATCTTTCTGCTGTCATACCTAAACCGTTGTCTCTTACTTCAATCATATAAACGTCAGCAAGATTTGTAGACAAATTTCCATTTGAAGAAAATTAACTGGCCATCTTATATTTACTATAAGTTCTACGTTATTTATTATTAGATGAGTCATGACAACATTCACTTCCATTCAATCTCTATTACTGAGGAGATTAAGAATGTGGTACTTACAATTTTGAATGCTTATTAATTTATGCTCTATTGTCAGGTATTTAAATGTAGCTATTAGTTTAATTATTGTTATTATTATTATTATTATTATTATTATTATTATTACTTAGATCTTTTAATAATTTAATCGAAATTAATCCATCAGATTTACTAAATCTAACGCTATTAGATATTATGTGAATTAATATGCTCTGAAATTTCTCAGAATCCAACAATTCAAAGTTATTTGTCTATATTTTATCTTCATATTTAATCTTAATACTTTTTAGTTCTGCTTCATCTTTGAATAAATCTATCACTTCCTAAATTAATACGTTAATTTTCACCTTGTCTAATTTGACAGGTAGTTGTCTTTCCCTCAATAAATTATAATCTATAATGGAACCAATAATAAAATTTTAAATTCTGCAGTTGTTAAAAGCTGCCTTTAAGTATTTCTGCACTTCTCGATCAAAATTTTAATTGTAATTTTAAACCATCTATATCATTCCTTAAATAGCATTCAATCTAGTCCTTAATTCATGAGATATTGATCTTATTACTTTACTTTTAAATTAATTCAAATTCTTATAATATATAGACTTTAAATTAGTAGATATATCATAAAGATTAATTAGAGTTGCATGTTTATTATCTTCATATTATAGGAGTGTTTTCATTTTCACTTCAATCACTACTTTCTGTGATTCATCATTAATCATCTCTTGACGATCTATAAATTAACATCTTAATGTATATATTTTTCCTTAGGTCTTTTTGTCAGTCTTAATTATATATTGAATGATTTGATTTAAGTTTATTTATTCATCATCCAAATTGTCAAGATTGAACTTGCTTGAATCTGGAGGCAGTTAGTTCTTGACCTCTTCAACATTTGCAAACATTTAAGAAAAAAATTAAAAAATCTCATCATATTTGCTCATTATCGATGGTTGAGTTTCAAACAAATAATCTTATTTTACAGACTTTGTCATAAATGTTTTTGTCTTTGTGTGAGATTTGTCTATCAATTTCTTCATATATCTATTTGAGAATAAGACTTATTAACAATCAGAATTTAGTATACAAACTGCTGTTGGTATACTTCTTAGAGATTATTCAGCAAAATGTTTTATTTTACTTAATCTCATTATTTGCTGATCCCAGTAATAGACAAGTAGCAAATTCAAAAAAACAATATGGTAAGTGAACAAATATTAAAAGATGGTGAATTCAGTTTTATAGCCTAAGTAAACAAAAAATTTAATTAGAATGATTAATCTTAATTTGAAATTGTTCATTGTTGCCATTACAATTAGCATTATTGTAAATATTAAAAGTATACCAATTAATCTCTGCAAACTTTCGTATTCCATAATCAATTAGGATAAATAAAGCTACAATAATGTTTCCAATGTTATAAAGATAATTTATGTTAGAACTACTTTCTACCTCTTGGATAATTTTTCAATTATCCATCTATCATATATAATCATAGCTGAAGGAAGCAAAATTAATAAATATGTATAAAGAGTGACTTTTTAACTATTGTACGATTCGTACTCTTCAATATTACTTATCATTATCAAAACAATACTGTAAAATAAATAGATTTTCATTATTGTTACAAATAGAGGCCAGAATTGAGAGATGATTAATTCATTCTGGCAATCAATATAAATGGAGTCATTATAATCTTCGTAAATTTCTAATGCCAATCTTTTTTATTTTCTTAACCATATTAACATTGTTTTAATATATTAAAAAACTATAAATAAATTACATACTAATTAATATTTCATAAGTTAATCTTGTCTAGATTTTTTTTTGAATCTTAAAGATACTTTTCATTTCTGTATAGATCTATATCTTCCCTGGAATGGAATAAAAATTCTAGGTGAATTGAAAAAGAATGAATGGACCTTTATTATTTTACTGTAAGAAGTTCAACTTCCTATTTTACTAACATAAATTCATATCATAATAGCATTATTAAACTTCATATCAAATGAAGAAGTTTCTTAACTTTTTTTCTTTGTATAGAGTTATCATAAAATCAAATAATATAGATTTATGAAGATGTCTTATACTTTTGAGATTAATTACAAAAAAAAGTTATAATTCAAATAGAAATATCAGTTTTAGAGTATTTATAGAAAAAATAAGAAATAAAATATATAGACATTTTAAAATTATTTTTCCAACTTAACAGTAGGTGGTCTTGATTAATAAATTATGAGTCAGAAAATTAATTTGATATATAATATTTGTTTACAATTATTGCCTTTTATCCAACGGAGTAAATGAATAATGTATTTATGAAATTAAATACTCTTTTATAAGTGAGAACTTATGGCTTAAGAAATTTAAATTGATTATCTTATGATTTAAACATTTATTAAATAAGTATATAAGCGATTCAAAAAGATAATAGATATAATCAAATAACTAGAATTCATAATTAATCAATATTATGCATAACTTTTTTCTGCATATACTAAATCCCATATTTGGTTGAAGTGAACATTTTCCCTACATTTTCATTGTATTCTTATACAGTGGAGTGTAATTACTTCTTTTATTATTAAGTCTTATCGACAGATTTGTGTTGAGATTATTTGGGTTTATTTTCAGATTCTGTGTGCTAAATAATATCCTTTATTGCCTATTTGCAATTTTCTATTTCTTAAAAATCATGTGGTTTATGATGAGCATTAACTTTTGTGGGAGGAAGAGATCTATTTTTTTATTATTTATTCATTAATTATATTAGTATATGTTTATTATAATATTTAGAGATTTATCACAATTATGTTAATTTAAATCAATTAAGTTGAACTTGTTATCCTTTGAATATTGAGAATATCAAAACTTCTGTGTCATTGTATATATTAAATTAGAAATGAATATCAGGAAAATTATAAAGATGAAGGTTAATAGAAGATAGAAATTGTTGGCTTAATGGGAATAAATTGATATTATTATTTAGAATTTTTATGCATATAAGTTTGCATGATTCAAATTATGAGATGTGAGAATGTGATTACTTATTGTCAATAATTTGAATGCAATTGGTAAAAGATTAATGTTTCTGTATAATTATTTTTAACAGTTAATTTATTTTAAAATGACTGAGGAAATTGAGACTCACATTATGCAGAAGTATGAAATAATCTAGAAAATGGGAAAAGGAGCTTATGGCGTTGTATGGAAAGCAATAGTTCGAAAAACAAAATAAATAGTTGCTCTGAAGAAAGTATTTGATGCTTTTCACAATGCAACAGATGCACAACGAACATTTCGAGAGGTCATGTTTTTACAAGAGATGGCTCATGACAATGTTATTAGAATGACAAATATTCATAAGGCTGATAATAACAAGGATCTTTATATAGTTTTTGATTTCATGGAAACCGATCTTCATGCAGTCATTCGAGGTGGAATACTTGAAGAGATTCATTAAAGGTAAAGCTTTTACTAATTTAGATATATAATCTATCAAATTCTCAAAGCACTTAAGTATATTCATTCAGCTGAAATAATTCATAGGGATTTAAAACCTTCTAATGTTTTATTAGATGCAGAATGTAATGTAAAAGTTGCAGATTTTGGACTTGCAAGAAGTCTTTTAATGCCCCTTGATGAAAATGCCATTTTGACTGAATATGTAGCAACTCGTTGGTACAGAGCTCCAGAGATCCTTCTAGGATCCACTTTCTATACAAAAGCTGTCGATATGTGGTCAGTTGGATGCATTTTAGGAGAAATGATAAATGGCAAACCTATTTTTCCTGGGAGTTCTACTCTGAATTAAATTGAAAGAATTATTGAAGTTATTGGTAGACCATCAATATCAGAATTAGAAAGTGTATAAGCCCCCTTAGCTTCCTAAATTGTCAATAATATTCCAAAAGGAGCCAGAATTGGATTTACTAATTATTTTCCTAAAGCAACACCTTAAGCTTTAGATTTAATTCGAAAATTGTTATCATTTAATCCTCATACCAGAATAACAGTAGAGGAAGCTTTGAGACATCCTTACGTCAATGCATTTCATAATGAATTGTAAGAGACAACAACAAACCCAATTAAAATATCAATGAATGATAATAAGAAATTTAGTATTAAGGAATATAGGGAAGCATTATATTTAGAAATAACTAAAAAGTATGATTAGAAAAATGAGAATAAAATTGAAAATAAATTTGAGAACTCTTTAAAAGCTAATGATGTACTCTAACAATAATAAGAAAGAAGAAGAACCTAAAGCTTTCAATAACCATCAAAAAAACCTGTGGGGCCTTCAAATACAACTCTTCCAACTGAATAACCTATAATTAGATAATCTGACACTAATATTATGTAATAAATCAAAGATTATGGGAACAGAGAAGTTTAATCAAAGGATTATTGTATAAAAGATTATCTCACAAAAGATTACAGCTCAAAGGATTATTTTGGATAATAAAGTGTGAATATGAGCAAAGAATTTATTAGTGGCTAATTTGGTAAAGAAGTAAATAAGGAAAATTTAAGATCAAAGAATATGATTGAAGTTGCAAATCATAACAATAAATTAGAAAGAGATGCCTCCTTATCCAAAAAATAGATTTTATCTATGTGGACTTAACCTAATCAAAAACCATAAATTTCTAATCCACAATAAAGGCCACCTTCAGTAAGTGTGTATGCAGCTTTAAATTAAAATCCAAATAATTAATTAAAATAATAATAATAATAATAATAATAATAATAATAATAATAATAATAATAATAATCGTAATAATAATAATCAAATAACGTGGCTACTTAAAAAAGAATGAGTAGTAAAATGCCAACTAGTGGTACAAGCACTTCTTTTTATTTTCCACCAGAAAAAACTAACTCAAGCTTTAATAATGGAAAAAAAATTTCTAAAGACAATAGCTTCTTAATTGATTAAAATGTTTAAAGTATATAAAACATACCATAATCTTCTATGCCTTAGTAACCATAATAAGCTGGGCTATATTAAAAAAGTAAGATTCATAAATTCTATATTACTAGCAGTGAGTATGAATTATTAAACCTATTTGATTCAAAAAGGTATTCCTGATTAAAGAAGCAAATAAAACTTAGTTAATCATTAAAGAACATAATCGTAATTAGGAGCAAATAATAGCGTTCTTATTAATCGATGTAAAGAATTCTTGTAAAATATGCATACCATTAAATAATGAATTAGATCGTGATCACTTTTTCATTTTTAAAATTAATTATTATTCTTTATTTGAAATCATAACATTAAGATATTGCTGATAGAAAATTATCTAATTATTTTATCTTCATAAATATTTAGACAAATAATATAAATAGATTCATTAGATTGAACAGCTACAGGAACATTTAGAATTTTCCTTATTCTAGTGATATTTTTAAACCATATATATATCACATAATTCTCTTTTCTCTATGATATCTCTAAAGGAAATTCTTTTCCCCTTCACTCCTTTTATAATTGGATGATTGTATTTATCAACTCTTGGGTAGACAAATTTTTTTTGTTTTTTTTCTATCTCTGTTATGCATATGTAAGTTTATGTTTGAGTTTCGATTCGTTCATTCATAATTTAATTATTTATTTATAAACTCCATAAATGATACTCACTTAATTATATGAAAATAATAATACATTTTCTTGTTTTTAGATACCTTTACTGAATATATTTAAGATGAATATTTATACTTTAGGTGTGTTAAATTCAAATTTAGAATTTTAATTAAATAATTTGTACAATAAATATAATTTATAAAGAAAACAAATAACAAATTGAAATGTTAATTCCAAAAATCGTTGAAATGTCAGTACCAAATAACATTATTTGTTTTATACAATAATGATGAAATTTTAAACTAAAAACAAATTTTATTTGTGATTATAAAAAGTATTAAGATAAATAAAAATGATTCGCTTTGCAAGGCGTATGCAAAAATTCTGCAAATCTGCAGACATTTTTGATGTCGCTGTGATTGGAGGAGGATCAGGAGGGTTAGCATTTGCACTTGTAATTTATTTTAAAGATAAATTAGGAAGGTGCCAAATTAGGATTAAAGATTGCAGTGTTTGACTATGTCACCCCTTCAAGTCAAGGTTCAATATGGGGATTAGGAGGAACTTGTGTAAATGTTGGATGCATTCCAAAAAAGTTAATGCATCAAAGTGCTATAATTAAAGAGAACATTGAAGGTTCAACTCCTTATGGATGGACTCCAAGCGAATAAGAATAAGTGAATTGGGAAATCTTAGTAGAGAACATTCAGAATCACATTAAAGGACTTAATTATGGTTATAAATAGAATTTGTAAAAATCTGGAATTCTTTATTTGAATGAATTAGCTACTTTTAAAGATAACCACACTTTATAATATGGTAAAATGGATGATTTTAAATCAAATGATATAAATAAATTAAGAGAATTGAAATTCAAATACTGTGTGATTAGTACAGGTGGACGCCCAACTAAATTATAATCGATTTAAAAATATGCAATAACATCTGATGATATTTTTTCATAAACAAAACCACCAGGCAAAACTCTTGTTGTTGGTGGTGGATATATTGCTTTGGAAAGTGCAGGAATGTTAAAAGGATTAGGTTATGATGTAACATTAATGACAAGAGGAAAGTACCTTAGGGAATTTGATCAAGATGTTGTGAAAATGATACTTGAACATTATCAAAAATATTTAAGTGTGAATATAGTACCTGAATCATTACCGTTCCATTCTGAATTAAAAGATGATAAAATTTTAGTTAAATGGAAGTCTACTATAAATTCATAAGAAGACGCTGGCATTTTTGATACTGTCCTTATGGCAATTGGTCGATAAGCCAACACCTAAATGCTTAACTTAGATAAATTAGGTATCAAAGTGAATCCAAATAACAATAAGGTAATAATAAAAACATAATTCAGATTTTTGGTAATTAAAATGGAGAAGTTGAAAGAACTGAAGTTGAAAATATATTTGCTATTGGAGATGTATTAAATGGGATTCCAGAATTAACTCCAATTGCTTCAAAAAGTGGTTAATTATTAGCCAAAAGAATAAAACTTTTGATTAAAGGGTCATATTCATAAAAAGAATATGAAAGTACTAAATTAGAATACAACGATTATCCAACAACCGTTTTCACTCCTCTAGAATATAGTTTTGTTGGTTTTAGTGAAGAATAAGCAAGGTCCAAATTTGGAGAAATGAATATCGAAATCTATCATTCTAAATTTGTTTCTTTGGAAGAACAATTATGTGATAAGCTTGATGAAAATTATGAACTATTGTAAAGAAAGGTGTATGTCAAAGCTATATGCAATGTATCTGATAACAATAAAGTTGTTGGATTACATTACCTCGGACCAAATGCTGGGGAAGTAATGTAAGGATTTGCTGTTGCAATCAAATTGGGAATGAGATTAGATGATTTATAAAGAACAGTAGGGATTCATCCAACAAATGCTGAAGAATTTGTCCTTCTTAAAGTTACTAAATCTTCAAAAGCAGACTTTGAAAAGCATGGATGCTGAGCTTGAGCTTCTAATCATTAATTGTCTCTATTAAATAAATATATACTCTAAGTATATATTATAATGATGCATTATATCCAAATTACTCTTTAAAGATATTATGCTGATGAAATATTTAATGGAGATTGTGAATTTATTTCATAAATTAATAGCTATTTTAACTTAAAAATTTTTTAATTGTTTTGCTGATTGAATATCTTTTGAAATATAATAAATTCAAAATTTTGATAATAATTAGTTGCAATTATCTTCATTCATAATCTTAAAGCAGTTGCTTGTACTCAAGGAAATTCAACTAAAAAATATTAATTTTTATACTCTATCGAAATCAGTTACTTCAGAAAAAATTTCTAATAATTACTATTCTTCGATATCTATTTTTTTATTAATACTTTTAACAGTTATATAGCCATTTTTATTTGATAGAGACATATAAGATGATGAAATCACATTTTCATTAAGCAGTAATTCTTTATCAATAGCAACTATTAAAAACTATTATAAAGTAATCTATGATCTATCATCTTCATCTAAAAGCTCATAAATTTTCTCACTGTTCTTTTTATTTTGATAACTTTATGTTGCAATCAAATATAATTAAAAAAACTCTAGTAAATCGATTCTTCCATCTCCATCGATATCATATTAGTTAAATAAATTAGTTAGTTTTTATTTTTCGTTTTAAAGAAATCTCTCAACTATATAATAAGTCAAAATAGATGTTAAAGAATTAAATTTTATGTACTTCAATTTTTAAAAAGAATTACCAATTGGATCCCTTAAATCTATTTGATTCTATATCCAACACATTTCTTTTACTTGCTGTAAAGATAATCGATGTAAAGGTATTGGGTTAATCATTTTCATAATTAACTTACTAATCTTCTTTGGCAATTTCAGGCAATCAAACTCTTCATTTAATTCTTTTTTGATTTCCCATTTGGATGATTTATTCAGCATGATCCTAAATGGATGTCCAGTTAACAACTAAAATCCAATCAATCCCAAAGCTTATACGTCGTTTTTTTATGTAATCTTTGTTGGTAGTCTTAAGTATATATTCTTTGTTTAAACTAAGAATAAATTCATATCTGATTGATTTTGGATACAATTAAAAGTATCCAAATGTATTGCTCCATGACAATAAGTTTAAGAATGTAGATATCCAATTATATCAATCATTTTATTAAATATAATACCTGCACTTTCTATGTTAAGTTTATTCACTTTTAAATATTCGCTTAAATTTTTCATATTTTAATGCTCATATAAGACAAAATAATTTTACTCATCTTTATATATGTCTATAAGCTTGATTATAAATTTGTGATTCTACATAATTTCAAGTTTATACCAATGGCATAGAAATTATTCTATTAATAAGTTCCTCGGTATCCTAAAATAACTTTTTATAAACATAAGCCTTATATTGAATATCAGAATTGATTTATTTTACAATTGTATAATCCAAGCTTTAAGTAACCATTCGGTAATTTTCTAAAAAGCCTTCTTTAATTGTTAATTCAGGTCCTTATTATATGACCTTACTTGATTGTTATTATATAGATCCTGTATTCTGATGAAAAATTGGAGTTTAAATCAAAGATGATTTTTATTGAAGTTGGTTTACAAATGACCCTCCATGAAAACTATTATTTTCTTGTCCAACTTATTTGTTATTATTATTATTTGATTGGATAAGTTCTTTGTTTGTTTTACTGGAACATAGTCCCATTAAATTTAATATAAATAATATATAGAAAGAAATACTATTGCCAAAATTAGTTTTATATTGTCAAATTAATAAATTTTCTAAATTTTATGTTTTTGAATACAAGCAACACTATATTGGTAAATGCAAAACAGTTCTTCTTAAATCTAACCATAATCACTCTCACCTCATCGTCATAAAAAAAAATCAACATAATCACTTTATTTTCTATTATATCATTTTATATCCTTGTTTCATTTATAGTTTTAGTTTTTGCTCTTAAATTTATTTCCTAATCTTATAAATTCTCCACTTATTTAATTATTTCTGCCTTCAATTAAGTAGAACGTTTTTATGAATTTAAGGACCTTACTTTATTATATTAATAATGCTTCACTATTTAACTTTGATTAATGGGGATTGACTCCTCTCATATCTTATAATAAGAAGTACTGTTTAATATTGATAATTCGAAGATTGATTATTGTAAGTATGATTTCTTAAATGCTTTGATTTTCATCTTTATCCCAGAAGTCAATTTGATTATGTAATACATTGTTTTATTAAATTAAGCCAATTCTACAATCAACATTCGGACAATATGGATTAGAAAATTTTGGTAAGAACTTTAAGAAAATTTCATCAATTTTAACGATAATGATACTTTCTCTTAATTTCTCAGCTAATATAGGTTTTACCTGGTTCTTGGGGTATTTTGCATTTCTTATAATTTCTAAATTTCTCTTCAATTTTTTGGGATAACTTGATATTCAATATTTTTTCGTTGAATTTTCAATTACTTTTTTTACCGTCTGCACTAGGGTTCCTTTGAAAAATATTTAATTCTTTTTCTCCCTAATAATGAGTTACATTTTGAAGTTTCTTAATTTAACAATATTATACATTAACTAATCTTATGTGATTTGAACAATTGCAATTTTACATATGAAATTCAAGATTGATTCAGATCTAAACAATTAATCTTTGAGATTGATAAGGGATGATTTTAACCAATTTTTTTTGAATTGCTTAATTTTATTTTTAGTAAAAATTTTATTACTTCTTTTTGAAACAGAATTTTTGAGATCAGCAAACTTTTTTAGATTTCATTGACATAAAATGAAATTCAAAAAATAACAATAAATTCAAAATCTTTTTTACTTATGTTTCAATAGCGCTAATAGTTCAATTTATACAAGAAGGAAGAACCATTAATGATGTGGAAATTTAACATCAAACATCTTAATGGTAGTTTACGCTAAAATTTTATGTAATTTATTACATTTTAAGAGCATTTGCTTGTAAAATACTTTGATGATTTTGAAACAGTAGTGTGGAATATTGTAGATTGGAGTTAAGTAAATTATAAATTAAAAATAAAAAAAAATAAGAGTTGAAAAGAAAAGAGTCAAATCAAATAATATATATTTTAAAATATGAGATAAAATATGGATTGTCAGAGAGAAGAAGAGAAAGCATTAAAATTTTAAGAAGAAATAATTTTTTAACTTAAATTATTGCGGAGGAATCTGCCTAACTATATAAAAGGTTCGCTACGTTGAAGTTAACTAATAGTTTGAAATTTCAAGCAAAATATTCTTCACTTTAAATCGCCTACATATTTTATGGATCAAAACTACATAAAAAATCATTCCCATGCAGAATTACAAAAGGCAGAGAGTATTTAAGAAGAATTTTTGAAATAATTTCAATTTTCAATCCATGCTGTTGTTTTACCAAAGTGTTAAATGATTCTAAAGAAAAATTGTTCTACAATTGCTATCCAATTAAATAATTTAGAAGAACTTAAGGTCGAAAAGATAAGAAATTAAACAATAATATTCAATATCGTTTTTAAGTTTTAGTCCTAAAAAAAAGTAAATGAAACTAGTTTGGGTCACCAGCACAAATTAACTAAATATTGGCAATTAAAAGGAGGATTCAAAAGTTTTAGATTATTCCTGTATCATAAAAAAAATTCTTGAATTTTCGAAAATAAAAAACAAATGATAGAAAAATATAGTTTATAATCTATTGTAAACATACATTTTCAATTTGAATAGTTAAAATTAGGAGTAAATGTTTTTTAGCTTATAGCTTTCACATTTATGAAACTTTATTAAAAAATAATTATATCATTCCAAAATAATATGAGAAGAAAGGAAAACTTTAATTAAATTAATTGATTTATGATTTATAAATTCAGTCTTTCTTTTTTCAAAAATTAAATATCAATTTGAAGCACAGTTCGACCGAGAGAACTCAGGGCTAGTATATGCAAATATAATTATCTGAAAATACATGTAGAAAATCCCATAACAAGATAACACCTACATCGAGATCTCACAAGGGATACAAGGAAAATTTTCCTTTAAACCCATATAAATAAAATCATATTTGACAATAAATTGATTGAATTCGTTTAAATATTCTTTGGGTTTAAGATCAAAATTTTCTTTGTTTAGTCAATTCACATTTGGAATTGTGAATCCTAGATGTATGTA